CCCCCCCCCCCCCCCCCCCCCCCCCCCCCCCCCCCCCCCCCCCCCCCCCCCCCCCCCCCCCCCCCCCCCCCCCCCCCCCCGCCCCCCCCCCCCCCGGGGGCGGGGGGCAACCGGAATTCGTGTCACCCGATAATAACGAAGTCTCTCGGCACCGGCGTTCCTTCTGGGGGACGCGACGCTGGAGAGATAATAAGCAATGCGCAAGGCAGTCCAAGCAGGCAGGTGCGTGGGAGGCGCACCGCAGGGCAAACCTGGTCGTTTTCCACTACCTACGTACCCCAAACTGCAGATTTGGAGAAAGAGCAGGCTGAGCTGACGGAGGTCAACTCAACAGAAGCTACTGCCGCCATCGACCGAACCGGATTGCCATGCCATGTGGGAGGACGGGATTTGGGGTGTGGTGGGGGGGCAGATATTGGTGGCTGTGAGGCTTCACCTGAGCACCTGCACACCTGACAAGGCTCCCAGGCACCCGCGTCGCCCGCGACAAGCGACCCTGCCCCCAGGGGTCAGACAACATTTTCACTCTCTCCGGCTTGAATCCGGTCAGGCAGAACTGAAAACCTTCAAGCCCGTCCACACAGCTGCCTGGGGGTCGGATTTGTTCCAGGATACCGCCAACAGCCCCTGACGGTGACGTACGAATAGGACCCCAGGCCCGCCCCTTCCCGCAGCCGGACACACCCCCCCAGCTCCCACACTCCCGCCATGCGATTCGTTCAGTTCGTTTCGATCGAACTTGCTCGTCAGCCCTGCTGAGGCGGTCGACAGGAATCGTCCCGGACGAAATTGCCCTCTGTTGAGGACGATGGTGGGTGCTGGCGGCTGATTCGTCCACCGCCCAGAAAGCCCCGTCCGCTCGCTTCCGACGGTGAACCTCACCGACGCCGTGAATGGCCATTACGTCCCGATATGGATCGAAACTACGACTGATGACCCACCCTCACGGCATCGATGTGCCCTACCCACCTGTGTCCCCGACCCCCTGACCCGCCGCGATAATTAACCCCAGACGGAATGGCTCAGCATTTGTGGCTGTACACTATTGTTGAACGCCGCTCTCTCTTCCTCTCTCTCTTGGGAGACCGAGGGACCGGATTCCGTGTGCGCTTGAGACTCGCTAGGTCGCTTGTCACGACCGACGCAGCACAGAAGGACGGGAGAGATATGGGAGATGCCCCCTGATTCGGCCAATCCTGCAACATACGGTCGAGAGCCTGCTTTTGTGAGGGCATACTATCACTGGCCTTAATATCGCTGCCGCCAGACATGTGTACCCTTAACGAACACGTCGTTCGCCTCGCCTCACCTACGGTGTAGGAAGGAATGTGTCATTTTCGCCTCAATTTTCTCGCGGGATGCGTGGCAGATGGCTGTTGCATATTCATGTTTAGTCTCCTGGGCCATATATAGCGCTGGTACTCCCTCTCATTAACCGTTCAGATACACATCATCGACGATTCCAACTCCTTCCTCGTGTAACAGCCGAGGACAATCTACGAACTTACCTAACTTAAGTGTTCGAAATAAAACACAATAGTTGGGACTTGCACAGCCGACGCTCAGATGAAACCCTTCGCATAGTTGACAATTGCCACCCTATCTGTAGTCTGAAGAACCCAATCAGGCTACGAAACTTAGAACTCGTGAGTTCCTTGTTGGTTTACTCGTTCTGCTTTGGCAAGATGGCAGCGCGCTCTGAACACGCAGCTGCTTATACTGTATACACAGTAGAAACCTCACTCTCTCTCTCTCCTGGTTGTCATACCTACCTACCTCCCTATCCATCATGGACAACCGCAAGAGAGGACAACCCAACATCCCCGGCAACACCATGAGTCCTCTACCATCGGGTATACCAGCCATGAGCTTCAACAGGTTTGATGGCGTCGAGTTTGACGACATGGAGTTCGACTTCTATTCCCAGCCGACGATGATGGAAAGAACCGACTCGGGCACGACCACCCTATCCGGCGGGACGACCTTCAGCGAGGACAGCGGCTACGGGTCGCAACCGGCGTGCAGCAGCTACTACTACTACTCCCCGCAGAACGCGGGCTACTACGGCGACAACAACACCTACCACCAGTACGACGACCAGACGCAGCAGCAGCAGGAACAGTACGTCACCGGCACCGGGAGCCAGTACGAGGCGAGTCACGCCGCCCCGGGACCAGGCGGCCAGGCGCAGCAGTACACAACGACCCCGGAAGGCACGTACATCCAGTTCAAGGAGGAAGACTTCTTCGCCGCCGCCGCCGAGATTCACGCCAGTGGTGTCGCCCCTTTCTATGGCCAAGACCAGCCCGGCCAGAGCCAATATACCGCCGCCGCCGCAGCCCAGACACCCCCGACCATATCGGGAGGGTACCGGAGCGCCCGGTACGCCGGCACATCGCCTACCGCCGCGAGCCCGGCGGCCCAGGCCAATCCCAGTCCCAGCCCCGGGCGGGCCGACGGCAATTTGTCCTCCTTGGGCAGCACCAGGGCCGGCACAGCCGCCGCCGAAGCAGCAGCAGCAGCAGCAGCAGCAGCGAGCCAGGCTGGCAAGTTCCCGTGCCTGTTTGCCAACTGCCCGTCCAAGGCCTTCGGGCGTGCGGCGGACCTGGACCGGCACCTCAAGATGGTGCACTTCAAGGAGACGCACCGGGGCACGCCGTGCGACTACCGGCGGTGCGGGCGGCGGCGGCAGCCGTTCCACCGGCTGGACCACTTCCGGGACCACCTGCGCGAGTTCCACAAGGAGGACCTGCCGCGCCGCGGCCAGGCGGAGGACACCCAGTGGTGGGCGTCGCGGGCGGCCAGGGCCGTCTACGAGGGCTGGTGGAGGTGCAACCGGTGCCTCGGCCGCGTGGCCGTCGGCGAGGACGGCTATGTCTGCCCTGGGTGCGGGAGCCATTGCGAGGTGGAGAGGCAGAGGGTTAGGGGTCTGCCGGTCGGGTGCGATCATGGGGGCGAGTGCGGGGGGGCGGAATTCTACAGGCATGACCACCTCAGGGCACATCTTAGGGAGTGCCATGGCGAGGACCTGCCGCTGCTGGCTCAGAAGGAGCAGAATGACGCGGGGAGGGAGCTGGATTCGGAGGAGTGGTGGCGGAGCAGGACGATCTATCTGGGGTGGTGGAGGTGCAATCGGTGCATGGCTAGGGTCGAGGAGGAGCAGTCTGGGTGGGAATGCCCGGCGTGCTCGAATCCCTGCGAGGAGGAGAGGGTTGCTGCCAGGACGATTGTCGCCCAATGAGTTGAGGGGTGGGATGGGAATGGTGTGGTAAGGCAGATAAGGCGCTGAGGTTACCGATTTCCCGTTCGCTTTTCTTCGGCTTTGGCAGACACCCGCAACTGGCAAGGCTGTCGTCCCCAGGTTCAGGGACCGACGAGCGGAGCTGTCTTCTTTATGTTTCCACTTGGCCCCCAGTTTCGACCTAGCCTCTTGCGAGGCCCGATGCCCAAGTGGGTGTCGGGTTTAAGCTATGGGTGGGTTCCTGCAGTTTTACCCGTCATCGTCGTTCGTTCGTTCATCCATCCATTCATTTTCTTGAGACTACGACTGCGGCGCTTCAATCGGTCCAGCGGTTGGTTGCGGGGGGGAGTTTGGAGGACATCATGGCTGGGATTTGCGTCATCATAGACAGGATGGTGGGATCTCGACCTTCACGTTTCACAGCTGGGCAAACCTGAAGCTAGACAGCTCTGGTCTGCCCAAGCCAGTGTGTTTTCAGCCCGGCGAGGCTGTGTATCAACGTTTGTACGGAACATGAAATGAGCATTCATGGGGGTTTGCATGTTTAGAGGGGCGGCAGATACTCTCTGCAAATCAAGTGTGTCAAAGATATCCCGATATGGAAGGCGGGGGGAACTCCTGCAGCAACAAACGGAACAAGGGATCATATTGCCTACCTACCTAGCGTAGTACACTATCGTGACTATATACTCGGTAATTAGTTATTCCTATCTTGAACTATTTCGACTTCTCAAAGCCCCGATCATGATATTGCCTTGGTGCCTACGCCTTGTAAGCTCTTACCTGATCTACTAATAGCAGTTGAGAGTGAGGGTATTTTCAACCAACTCCGGGCTGGCACTATGGAGACCAGAGACGGCTTCCTCTTCTTCTCAAAAACACCCGCTTTGGCCTCTTCCCCCCTTAAATAAATAAATAAATAAATTTCCGCGGATCGACTTCCAGGTTATCAATCAAATTTTGCTTTGATCCGTTTATCCCCGCTGCGCCAATGCGCAACTTTCGCATGGCATGTGGGGCACCTGGTCTTGGTAGACCCCTCGTTTTTTCTGCTTGGTCCGACTCGGCCGGATCGGCTTTGATCCTGTTGTTGATGCACGCTCATACAACAGACGCAACTCACCTGCATATCGAAGCCCAGGAAGGTTCCAGGTTGCTACGGTGTCATCAGAGTGCAGTGTAGGTACGTAGGGTAACAGCCCCTTTCCCGTTATATACCTCTATCCAAGCCAGCCACACGGCGTTGCGGCTCTTCCTCGCCGTCTTCTCCTCTGAGCAGTTAAACGACTCATGTTTGACACTTGAGCAGTAAATCCAACAACGCTACTATCTATCCTGTGTCACGAAAACTCAAAACCCTGCTCAATTCCCCATTCTCTCAGTCTCCAACGTCTTCTTACCCCTCATCCAATCGCCCTGCATCCGAATGTCAGATTATCTGATCCTGCATCTGCCGTAACACCGCGCGAACGCTATCGTACTTCGCCAGCTACCGCACCTGGAGCCCGAGTTGCATTACTAGTTTCGTCTCGGCCTTTCTTGGGTTCGGTCAACTCCCGATCCCGAACTCGGACGCCACCCGAACGCCTCACTTGCTTCTTCTTGTATCCGGCGAAGAACCTCGGCATTCAGGGCCAAGAGCTGCCACTGTCTCACTCCGCCCCGGCTCTTGCGTGGGTCAGGCCCCTGCCATACTATAGCTACACTACCCTTTTCCCTTCCTTGAATATCTTGCCCTTTCTTTTCTCCTTCTCTCACCATGCCTCCCGCGATCGCAACGGCCCTCCGAGCCTCCCTTAGACAACCTACTCTCTCCCGAACCGCCTTCCGTACCAACGCCCCCTCCGTCCTATCTTTCTCCCGACCGACCCCGGTTATCATCTTCCGCGGCCGAACCATGGCGTCCACTTCGGGTCCGGCCAAGATCAAGGTCAAGAACCCCGTCGTCGAGCTAGACGGCGATGAGATGACCCGTGTCATCTGGAAGGATATCAAGGAAAAGTTCATCTTCCCCTACCTCGACGTCGACATCAAGTACTACGACTTGGGCCTCGAGTACCGCGATGAGACGAACGACCAGGTCACCCTCGATGCCGCCGAGGCGATCAAGAAGTACTCGGTCGGTGTCAAGTGTGCCACTATCACCCCCGACGAGGCGAGAGTGGAGGAGTTCAAGCTCAAGAAGAGTGAGTTCGTTCAACTACCCCGCATATCGTTGAAGATTGGGCGCGATTTTTTTAATTTTTTTTCCACCTCGCTCTGATTTTACCCTCGTCTGGACCAATAATATTGCTTACTGTCCGCCCTGTGTTTCCTTCAACTGTTGTTTTTCTTTCGTGTTCCGTGTCACTACTTGGTTGCTGGGAGTCAAATTTGCTAATACCCCACCTTCGTCAGTGTGGCTATCGCCCAATGGTACCATCCGTAACGCCCTTGGTGGCACGGTCTTCCGTGAGCCCATTGTCATTCCCCGCATCCCTCGTCTAGTCCCTGGATGGAAGAAGCCTATCATCATCGGCCGCCACGCTTTTGGCGACCAGTACCGGGCGAAGGACTTGGTCGCTCCTGGTCCCGGAAAGCTCTCCATGGTCTACACCCCCGATGGTGGCGAGCCCCAGGAGATCGAGGTCTACCAGTTCAAGAACGGCGGTGGTGTCGCCCAGACGCAGTACAACACTGACGAGAGCATTACCGGCTTCGCCCACGCGAGCTTCAAGCTGGCCCTAGACAAGGAACTGCCTCTGTACATGAGCACGAAGAACACTATTCTCAAGAAGTACGATGGCCGCTTCAAGGACATCTTCCAGGAGCTGTACGATACTCAGTACAAGGAGAAATTCGAGGCCAAGAAGATCTGGTACGAGCACCGCCTGATCGACGATATGGTTGCCCAGATGATCAAGAGCAGTGGAGGCTATATCATGGCCCTGAAGAGTAAGTTTACCTTCCCCGATCCCTTGAACCCTCACTACGCCCTAAGATGCGCACGTGGAGACTAACGAGTTCCGCGCAAAAAAAAGACTACGATGGTGACGTTCAGTCCGATATCGTCGCCCAGGGCTTCGGTTCCCTCGGCCTGATGACCTCTGTCCTCATCACCCCCGACGGCAAGACCTTCGAGAGCGAGGCCGCCCACGGCACCGTGACGCGCCACTACCGCGAGCACCAGAAGGGCCGCGAGACGTCGACCAACCCCATCGCCAGCATCTTCGCCTGGACCAGGGGACTGATCCAGCGCGGCAAGCTCGACGACACCCCCCAGGTTGTGGCGTTCGCCGAGAGCCTGGAGAAGGCCTGCATTGACACTGTGGACGTTGACGGAATCATGACCAAGGACCTCGCGCTTGCGTGCGGCAAGTCGGCGCGGGAGGACTACGTCACCACGACCGAGTATCTGGTCGCTGTGGAGCGGAGGATGAAGAAGATCCTCAAGGAGAAGCTGTGAGGGGTGGCATCATTAGACTAGACAGACGTGCATACGCTGGGAGCTTTCCTTGGTGTGATAAAGAGCAGACGCAAGATACCTTGGAGCGATAGATATTGGGGGGGATGATTGCAGTTTCTGCTAGAGCGGCGCTCTGTTCATATCATACGCGCCTCCCGCACATACGAAAGCATCTGTAGATAGAGCAGCATAGCATTCGTCCTTTGTAGGCAAAACATATCGTCTCATAAAGCAATACTCGTCTCTCGCCCATGACTGACTAAATAATATGGAAGGAGAAGAACAACCTGAGAACCCGCCCGCGCTGACGCACACCAAGTTTTGGCGCAGTAAACCCAGTATTTTCCCCAATAAGACTTGTCCTCCGACCCCTTCCCCATAGTGAGCAAAACGCCTTGGTTCATAATGTACTGTACAAAGATCTATCCACCTCAGACCAGACCCCCGGCGCCCCTTGGCGATAGCCCGTTCCCATGGAATGCCCGGGGTTTCCCGAACCAGGATGAGCAGCCGCTGCTGATCACACGTCTATGAGCCCTGTTTATAGCGACCACCTGTTGCGTTTTGGGATGGCGCGAATCTCGCGGGTTCGAAGCAGAGGTATCGCCCCGAATGTCCCGGTCGCAATCCCCTGCCCCGGATTCTCCTCAGCAGCCGCCAATCGTTTTTTCCCCTTGTATCCTCCTCCCTTTCCCTCCTTCCCTAGCGCTTCTCTTTTTCTTGGGCTTGGTTCTCGATCCCCCCCCTCGAAACGCTTCGTAGGGGTCGTAGGGGAGAGAGATCTTCGTCAAGGAGTACGCCGGACACCTAGACCTTGGCAATGATGGCATCTTTCTCCTCCCCACCATCTTTCTCCTCCCCCCTGTCCTTCTCCCCCCTCTCCCTCTCCCTCTCCTTGTCCTTCTCTGCCACGCCCCCAGACTTCCTAGACTTCTTAAGCGCCGGCCCCGACCCCGTGGCAGACGTGGGGGTGGCGTCCCCCTCGCTCTTACGCTTCTTCTTCGCCGGCCTGCTGCTGCCCCCCTTGGGCCTGTACCCGTGGTCGTCATCGCCGCCGCCGCCGCCGCTCGGAGCGACGCGCTTTCGCTTCCCCTTGGCCGTCCCCGGGACGGGCGTCGAGGGCTGCTGCTCCACGCCCGCCATCGACGCGTCGTCATCAAAGTCCATCGGCTCGCCCGCCGACGCAGTTGCCGCCGCCGCCGACGCCGCCGCGGCAGCAGCAGCAGCCACCGCGGCGGCGCGTCGCTGCGCCGCTGGTCCCGGCCGCTTAGCCCGTGCCGCAGAACCACCGCCACCGCCGCCGGCACCCCGGGCGGAACCACCGCGCTCGCCCGTGCCGCGCCCGCCGCGACCGCCGCCGCGCCCGGGTGTGCGACCGGATCCCTCGTGGGCGTGGTGGTGGTGGTGGTCGCGACCGCCGGGCCCGCCCCCCGCTGCGGCTGCGGCGGCGGCGGCGGCGGTGGTGGAGTCGTCGCCGCCGCCGTGGCCGTGGTCCCTGTCCGGGTGGGCGGCCTCGGCGTCCTGGAGGAAGGTCTTGGGCGCGTGCTTGCGCAGCCAGTTGTAGACGGAGGTGGGGTTGCGGAGGGCGAAGTCGCGGTTGGCCGAGTGGGCGGCGTCCTTGGCCGCCCCCGCGGCCGTGATGCCGTTGGCGTGGCCAGCGGCGTAGGTCGTGCTGGTGCCGACGTGGCCGCCGTGGGCGAGGGGCGCGAGGGTGGGGAGCAGAGGGGGTGGGTCGGCTGCGGTTGACTTTGAGGCGAGGTGGGTGTCAATTTCGTAGATGTAGTTGTCGATCTCGTCGGCCGTGAGGAAGGTCGGCGGGTGAGGCTGGCCCTGGAGCGGGTCGCCGGGCGAGTCACGACCGGCCTCGAGGTCGGCGAGGAGCTCGGGAAAGCGCTCTGCGGCGGAGGCGAAGGAGAAGTGTGGTACTTCCGCCAGGAGCTTCTTGTATGATTTGTCGGGTTGAGGCCCCGATGCTGGGCCGCCGGGGATGTCGATGCTGAGAGCTAGGTCTTCGTCAGAGGGCGGGTCAAGACTCAGGTCGATGCGTTTGTCCGTGGGGATTTGGGGCGAGTTGTTGACATCGAGTAGCAGGTCGAGGAGGCGGCTGGGGCAAGGCATATGTTAGCATAGGTCCCATAACATGATGATCCACTCAAGCCTTCGGTAGATTCGAGCCTTACTCTTTCTCGATGGCAAGGCGCCGAGCTGTTTCGAGAGCCTTTTGCTCTAGTTTGTGTAGATCTTCGCCCTCGTGCATCTTCTGGTCGAAGATGATGCGCATCTTGCGATACTTCTTCTTCCATGAACGGTATGTAGGCTTGGCGTCTGCCATCCTCAAGTCGCCGGCGCCATCATCTTCGGTCTTGACGTCGCGATCCAGGCGGGTTGGAGTATCAATCTCCATCTTGTAGGATTGCGGGAGATGGAGCACCCTTTTAATGGGATGCACAAGCTTAGGGCTCGGGCTTGTGGTTCATGATACAATTGATCGGTGTTTGGGTGTTGATTTAGAAATGGCCGAGGAGGGAGGTGAAGAGCATGATAAATCGCGGTTATTATGGGAAGTTTCCCTTGCAAAACTGTGTACGGATTACACCGTGCACCCCTGCAAGCTGAGGTAACTCTATTCGTACGCAGCGCCTCACACACTCAATAGCATCACGCTCCACCAGCGTGACCTGAGGCAGTGAAGGAGTTCGGCTCTAACTTAGCCCGGCGAATTTCAACGTCCCTCATTCCTGCTCCTTTGTTCCACACGGAGTCTCTGTGACGAGATAACACGGTCCCGTATCCCTTTCGTGACCAATAACAAGCCTACTGCTATGCCAGACGCGCATCCGTTCAGAGGAGGGAGTCATGCTCATTTAATCTTCTAAAAGTTTCTTGCTGGATTTCTACAGTGGTAGTTCATACATGGAGATGTGCCTCCTTCTACTCCTAGTCCCAAGGAAGGCGTTATCAACACCAGAGATTCATATTGCCAGGGTGAATTTGCCAGGCAGTCTAGATATTAAACCGAAGTGTTACATGCAGCATATACATCTCTCTGTCTATGTAACTGTGTATGTTTCTAAGAATACAGCCCGCCGCCGCCCATCCACCCAGCCATCCATCCATTCATCATATGCATATAAAGAGTACAAGCAGCCGTTTCAGTCATAGATGCCCATCCCCTATCTATTTTCCATCCCCCAGTGACCCAACCTCACCCCTGAACCACCCCCCCCCATAAGCATCAAGTATCGTAACACATCGGGTTCACATCATCAGAACCACTTCCAATTAACCCCCTCCTCCAACTTCTTCAACACCCCCACAGCATCAACATACAGCCTACTCCTTCCCCCCACACAATCCCTCTCCAGCCTCCTCCGCACCAACCCGACAACCCCACCAGCCTCCCTCCGCCCCCTCACCGCGGCGACCTCCTCGGGCCACCTTGCCCCCGCCACCAGGCGCAGCCACGCCAAGGTCCCCTCGTCGTCGGCCCCGCCGGCCCGGTCGCTAACCCCGGCGCTGCGCGCCCGGTGCCCAAACGCCCAGCACACGAGCGCGCACACGTACAGGGCCCAGTAGTCGCCGAGGTCAGGGAACCATGCCGGCGCGTCGTCTCCGTCTTCCTCCTCCTCCTCCTCCCCTTCCTCCTCATCATCATCATCGTCGTCGGCAGGGCACCGCGTCGCAAGGAACCCCAGTATCGCCCTCGCCGCATACATAGTCGCCCTAGCCGCGGCAGCGGCAGGGAGGGGCGATGAGCGGGCGGCGCGCTGCTGGTGCTCGGCCCAGGCCTTGAGGCGCTTCTGGTGCTCGGCGAAGGACGTGGCCGGCAGGACCTTCTGGCTGAAGATCCAGGTGTCGCCGCTGACGGCCAAGAGATCGTGCAGCGGCGTGTGGTGCAGGGCGAGGTAGGTGTTTGCGCGCGGGCAGGGCGCGAAGAGGCGCGCGAGGCGCTCCTCGGGGGCGGAGGTGCCCGGGGGCGGGGACGCGTGGGGGGAGCGGCGGGGCGCGGGGGCGGAGGCGGAGGGGTGGTTTTCGAGGTCCATATCGAAGTCTTCCACGGCGTCGTCGCCGAGCAGGGGGAAGTGAATGGGGGCGGGACCGGGACTGGGAGCAGGGCCGGCATCGGTGCCGGATGGCCGGCGCGGAAGACGCAGCGACTCGAGGGCTAGGATTGCCGCGCGATCGAACTCGGGACGGTCTAAAAGGCCTTCCGGTGTGAGGGAATTGGCGGGCGGTATAAAAGTTGGATTCCTAGCTCCTGGATCCCTTGAGAGAAGACCAGCCCACTCCTCGGCAGAGGACGCCTCCCACAGTGCGGCGCCGCGATCGATGAGGGGGATCGGCGGGGTCGCTCCAGTTCCAGACAGGTCGTATTCATGGGCCTTCCTTTGTTGTTGATAAACAGAGGTGTGAGTGTCGACGATGAAACAGGCTGTCAATAGGCGGCGGCGGGCCTCTGCGTCAAGCCACGCTTGCCAGCGGTCTCCGACGGAGCCATGCTGTTCGAGTGACATGACAGCCGGATCGAACATGCTCGGATTGTGGTAAAGGACCTGTGTGTAGGGAACTGCATGTGAGCGTGGCTGTTGCTGTACAACTAGTGATGGGGTTTGATAGTTGGCAGAGGGGAACAAGGTCGACCAAGAGGACGGCTCAGACCGGAATTCGAGGGAATTAGAAGAGGAAACGGCAACAGGAGGCATGGATGGCAAGTCGCCGGGAGGCCCTGGGGTCATGCAAGAACTAGAGGATGACGAAGAATCGGGAGACCAAGTACTTGGATCGCAAGGGAGAAGGCCATTGTCGGCTGACGAAAAGAAGTGCTGAGAACTCACCCTCGAATAGAGAGATTCAAACTGCTTCGAGGGTCTCGTTACTGCCTTCCGGCCGCGGAAGCGCGCGAAGAGCTCGCACAGGAGGATGGCCTGCATGACCTGGAGGTTCCATTGGGGTATCTGGACAGAGTTAGGAGCTGGAGGGGGGTTGAGAGATAGTGAGGCACCCATATGCTTACCCGCTTTGCCTCTTGCCAAGCATACTCGTGCAGCTGGTTGCCGTTAATGCGGTCCTGCTTGCTGTCGAGGTACTGAGTTGCCACAGCAGCCACAGCACAGCGCAGCGCATCTTCTCCGGCGACCTCGAACGAGCAGCGATGCACAATCGGCCAAGAGCGGTGTAACCGGCGCCAGTAAACCTTGATGTATCCAGGGATGGCCGCGCGTACGGCCCTGGGAAGGAGGCCCGGGTCTCCCGCCCCGGGGATTCCGCCTCCGGCTATCATGGGACCTAGATTCAAGGCCATCACACCCGTCTCACATCCCAGCCTCCCTTGACCCCCGTTGCCAAGGGCCTCTTCCAGGTCGCCGAGCATGTCGAACCCTCCACCGCTTCCCATGAAGGCCTGCTGTGCCTGCGCGTCGGCGATATCAATCACCATTTCCTTCTGGCGGCCCAGGCTGGCCATGGAGTTGATTCGGTCGGGGAGGGCCCTCATTGGCGTGACTAGGGTTTCGGTCGCGTGGGCAGGTGCGATGTGCGGGGAGGTCGCACCATGAATGGAGGTAACAGAGTGGTGCCGACTATGTGGACGTAAGGTGTTTGTCGAAGGGCTGACCATGGTGTGGCTGGCTGGTTCTGTCGTCGAGCCGAAGACAGACAAGGGCACGTCGAGCACTGCGCCAAAGGTCTCGTTCTGAGGCGCCGTAGAAAAATGGGAAGGTGCAGAGAAGGAGCTCATGAACGCGGGAGGTGCAGGGCCTGCAATTGTCTCCAAACTCGGTCCCGGACTTTGGGTCTCGCGGCGTACCGTGTTGGGATATGGCGACAGTAGTTGGGTAGACGGCCAGTCGGCCGTTGGTGACTGGTGTCGCGGTAGCCAGTAGCGATGGTTGCGTGAGATGTCAGATGCCGGCGTCGAGTAGGTGCTATCGGACGCAGATGAAGGCCAGGGTGAGGCGTCCGGGTAGCCTAGATCTGGAGGGCCATTTTCTGGCAGATTCAGACTTGGCGGCGACAGCCCCTGAGTGACGACGAAGATGGAGGGAGTGCTTCGGGATTGCTGGTATGGTTCCGCCAGGCTGGAGTAGGGAGAGGCCTCGAGAGTTGGAGTTGGGTTGATCACGGAGACCGATGGCGAGGACGAGTACTGGTAGTCGTGCGAACCTCGGGGTGGGTAGTTGTAGCTGTAATGTTCAGCAGTCCCACCTTGACGAGGAGACAGGGACGGGTTGCGTGGGTCCCCAGTGCTTCTCAATTGCTGAAAGCCCGGTGCATTTGTCGACGGCATCTCTGCCGCGGCCGTGCCCGAAGCCGAGGACCTCCCTGGCCCCTGCTGCATCACGGACGAAGGACCAGCAGCTTGCGGCTGTAAACCAAGGTTTGGCAGACTCTCCACGAGTGATAACCCTCCACCACCATCCTCGTCCCCGCTCTTCGCCGCCTTGTCACCTTCCTGCTCGCTGTTGAGCTGAGGTCAGCCTCACGGGAGAAAACAAGGGCGGAGCCGCACGACAAGGCCGATTAATGCAACAACAACAACTTACTGTCTCTGTAGGTGCCGTGTGAGAAGGTCGGGGCGATGAAAAACTCGGCCACAGCCTGGGTAGGAGCATAGATAGCCAGGGGACTGGTGGCTAAGCTGATGCCGTCTGAGGACCACAGTTCAGTAAGACGGCTCGCATTTTCTAACTAGCCTACAGACTACCTACCTGAGGTGCTCTGCCCTCGTAAAGGTCTGTTTAAGTCAGCATGTGGGCAGTCTCCGCCCATGGTCCGAGTCAGGTACGCGTACCTTTGGGGGTTTGCAGATGTCACAAGTATGGACTGGGACGCCCTTTCTTGCCCTGCTGACCCTGCCAGTGATAGGGGTGAGCTTGACGGGAATATCTGCCCCGGCAGGGTTTGGTACCGGCCTCATAGGGCTGATTGAGGGGTTCGCAGGCCCACCCCTGGATGAGGAGGAGGCAGCGGAGCCATAGCCAGCAGCCAGATCCATCGAGTCGGTACTAGTCGTGCTCCGCCGACGGGCTGAGGATCGAGGTGAGGATGCTGACGCGACAGCGGGTTTGGCGGCCGTGTTGGAGGATGTGGTATGCCGAGTGCCTGGCCTGAGACTCCTTTCGATGGCCTGACTAGAACTAGTGACATGACTTGAGTATGCCTGACTGGACGATGGATCTTGACGCGAGCTGGAGGGTACGGCAGCAGGATCCTTGTCCTTTTTATTCGAGGGGGCGTCAGGTTCGTCGTCATCGACGTCCATTATAAACTTGAGGCTGGCCATAGCTGTTGGAGGGGCACGACGACAAAGACAAAGTTAGTAATACACAGCCCTGTTCAAGTGCTTCAATAAAAAAAGAGTACCCTTTGGTGGGAAGTAAGTAAGCAGATAGGTCACATAGAGGCATGTACAGGAGTACACGCGCGGCTGCTGCACAAGATGAGGGCTCGATGATAGAGATTGGACGGAAGGAAGAGAGAGGAAGCCACAGCGAGCCGAGTACGCTTAGAGTGCAGTAACGAGGGTGACAAAAAGGTAGCGAACATTGTTGGGAAGGTAGAGGTAACGGCAACGGCAACGGTAGCGGTAGCGGTAGCGGTGGCGGTAGGTAAGAGGCGTTGCTATATTGAGACGGGCCTCTCCAGGGGCGGGCCCAGGGCCGAACGGTGCAGTTAATCGGGTCGAATGGGCGATTGAGTTGTCTTGCAGGGGCTTGGTTTAACCCCCTTTTTGGGAGAGGCTTGTTGTTCGGGTTCTTCAAGGCCAGCCCCCTGTCAGCTGGGGAACAGGGGTAGCAGCACGCACATGGGTCATTCCTTCCCGCTAGGTACCTCCTAAATGCAGGAGGTATTCCTTCGAAGGAAATATGCGTACATGCTATTGGGAAAACACCATCACCAACCATGCGCGCTCCTGGGACGGGTTCCCCGTGATCTGGTCTGTAGAGTATGTACATGTGGTGACAGACAGACCCATATGCGGCGGGATCCTAGCATGCAGGAGATCTATTAAAGGTACTCAGGTACTCACGAGTCCCGCCAGACTCCCGCAGTTTTTGGCCCAATGCCAGCAGCCAAAAGCTCCGGTTGGCTTTGACGTAGATCCGTACATGATAGGTAGGTACATAATACATAATACATCCATGGCACGGAATACAGAGTGAGCTTATAGGGACGGCGGACTACCGGATTTTCCCACTCAGGCGATGAGGTCTTCCAGGTTCCTCTCGAGATCCGGCCGGGAATGCCATAATTAGCATGGCGGGGTGATGCGACCTTTATTCTCAAGGAGAGGGGAAAATAGCAAGTACACCACCAAATGAGAAATTAACAAATTGAATCAAAAAGGAAACAAGAAGATCCAAGGAGATTTGAAAAGGGGGGAAAGAAGTTAGGCAGCAGCATGAGAAGCTCATTTCGCTGCCCTTGTTTTCAGGCAATCCTTCGTCTGATGGTTTGCGACCCGCTCACCTACATGTCAGAGAGGCGCAGTTCGAGAAAGTGGTAAGCATACGGTAATAAGGGAAGGTGGCTCAGGGGCGGTAACATCACTAGTGTTACACTGCATTGCCCTGATTAGTGGACTACCTAGTTTACCTATGCGTACATACGAAGTCCGCAGTAGTCGCTCTCTGACGGACTGGGTGAGATGGCATGGCTGCGAAGGAGGGGACATGTGCGAAAGCATGACGCAGCTTGGCATCGGCCAACCGACGGACATGGCCGCAGGCGGCAGGGAGAAAAGCGCTGACGATCTTCGAGAAGCTCGTGTAAGAGTGGGAGTGGGAGCGAGAGTGAGAGTGAGAAAGTGTGTGCTTGAGCGCGCGTATTCGGGTGTCGAGCATCGATGTGGTTGTTGAGAGCACTACGTGTAAGCGCTTGGGCCAAGGATCAAGGATTGAGCCTGCCTTGCCCAAAGGCGAGAGCGGGAGAGAATTGGCTTCTTTCCCGCGCGTCTTCCATGCCACCATAGGGATACCGGTGCTACCGGTGCTACCGGTGCTACGCTACACCACGTGTACGCAGTGATAACCTATATGTGGGTAGGTATAGCGCATGGAAGGTAGGTAACCCGCAAGCACGGTCAGCAGAAGAGAGGTATTCCGTCCACCGCGTCCCGTGCCCAGGCAGCAGCATAACCAACCTCTCCATCAATGGGGACACGACAGAGCCAAGGACCCAGGACAGAGGCAGTGGGGATTAGGGAGGTAACATATAACCTCAGGCCGTCCGTCGTTCACAAGGTTACATCCGTGGATCCGGGGCCTGAAGTTGAATATTGTACGGACTATTAGTTCTCAGGCTCACCACAGGAGACGCTGGGTGCGTCCCATTGGGTTTAGGGTATTCCGACTATTTTCGTTCCGCCGTGTTGTTTCGGTGTTGTCTCCCGCAATCTCTAGCTTGATCCGGTAAGCATAGACAACGCCTTCTGGCCAGCCCACGTCTGCTTCCCGCCTCGGGACAGGGTCCCTTGCGGCTCGGTGTTGCACCGGCATGGCAGGCAATATGGCATGCATTGTCCAACCCCATTCGGAAAACTGTCAATGTCAGCGACGAAACACTCATGCCGATGAATAGGTAAGGCACGCACCAACCCAGCGCCCTCATCAGCCACGCCCATGCTATGTGGGTGGGTCTGTCGGCTCTTGCCGGGTGCCAATCATGGCGGCCATTCCGAATTGGGTAGGGCACTAAATCCAACTTTCTGTATGTCGGCCAGCACATAAAGCTAAATTTAGGCCCGTTGAGATCTCCTTTCCAGCTTCAGCCTTCAGTGTTGACCTGTTCTCGAGACATCAGTAAGGATACCCGTGCCAAGAGCTATTCCTGATCCTGTTACTTCTCCCTCTGAAGGAGACAAAACGGATAAATCCTCAAATATGCCTGCCTTTGCCTTCCTCCAAGAAACTGGAGATTGCCTTCCCACATTGAACGGCTGGGTTTCCCTGGAGAGCACATATGGCCTTCGTCGAGAGTTCCAGCATCGCGGCCCAGTCACGAGAGCCGATCATCCACTGAATACCCTGTCCAAGCTCCTTGCAACTCAATATCCCAGAACCAGGTGCTAGGATGGGTTGTACTAGTGGAACGACCGTTTTCTTGAAATAGTTGTCTGTCTCGCACGTGTGGAAGCATCTCACGCCGGTGCCATAAACGACATAAACGTACTGGAACCTTCTTCTTGGCCAGAAGTACCTTGCATCACTTAGCACATACGCGCTCTAGCTGATGCGTCAACAGTCTGTCAGAGTACATTGAAATAACCCCATCATCTTTATAATGGTGGCACTGCCCCAACGACAGAACTGATGTCTCTGACACGGGTGGGACTTACAGACGCCAATTCTCCATTTGCGGTGACCAAGAGCATGTGGTCATGCGTGCCCAAACGTGGATGCTGTCACAACAATGGGAAGCCAAATGCTCACATCACACTGGGGACTAGAAACGTAGGCGTTTCTCTCTTCTCCCCTCGGCGATCCTTCGAGCCGCATGTGTTGAACCTTCAACGACCTCGGAATGCCCTCGCCACCCCCCAAGCCGTCCCGGCGCCTAGATGTGCTCGCCTAACCCACGGTGCTAGACTTCCACGAAGAGAACGTCGGTTTATCCAAGAGAACCATGTGCTGAATCCTGTTGAAAGTGGGGTGAGTCGCATCATGTTGTCGAGTATGGATCGTAGTTAAGTGGACCATGTAGTATTTCGTAGGAAACGAACCTCCCCTCTCCCTCCTCGTTGACCGAGTTGTGTGTGCACCGTACTCGTATCTTCAACCCGATACACGCAAACATAGTCCACTTCCTCATGGTGTTTCGTCTGTCTGACAAATCCCTCCAATCCTTCCCCTGCTGATGCCCTTGAGGGATCCGGCGTAAACCACCCTCCCTTCTTACGTTGCTTCACTAACAACATCACAAAAAGAAGGGGGGCGGGGAGCAGGCATGTCAGGTCTACCCTTGATCGAATTATTTTGCTTCCCTGTTTTCCTAATCTATAAAAAAATCGAAGCCGCGTCGCAGTAATTTTCTTCGCAACACTCCCAAACGCCGCTAAGCACACGAACCTGGCTGGATACCACATGCCCATCAAACTTTTCTCGCGTTGAGCAAAAAAGAGAAGACTGTGGCCGTCATTCTATACCTATAACAAACCCCCTGGATGCAATTACGGGCTTCCTCCCGCCCACCTTCCCCCCCCTTCCCCCAAAACATAGACACACACACACAAGAAGATCAGCATCAAGCCCCTGAAACGAAAAGGAGAAAAGGAACGCAAACATCCAGGCATCAATTAAAGTCTAGAGTGCCCCGTGTATTACCGACACGTAGCCTCCTCCGTGAAGGGTTAGGCCCCCCCGCCCTTACGACTGGCCAGACGACGACGACGGCACCACCACTGAGGCGGCAGGGGCAGGAGCGGGGACGGGGGTGGAAGCGGCGCGGCCGGGCTCGGCCGCTTTGTCGTCGCTTGACTCCTCCCAGTCGTCATCGCTCGCCGGCCGGCTGCTGTCGCGGTTGTCTCTCCTGCTCTTGGTCATCTGGGTAGCACGGTGTTAGTTAGCAAGGTGGAGGGTAAAAAAGGGGGGGGAGGGGGAATCAGGGGGGGCGAAAACTCACCCATGACCGCACGCCGCCGATCAACCCCAGGGTATACCCCGTGATGAAATCGTTTGTATTCCCCCCGGCCCTCTCGCCAGCCACACCGACGAGGCTGAGGCCGGAGGCGCTGGGGCTCTTGGCCAGGCCCGGCGGGCCGTGGGACGCGAGCGGGCTCCCGGGGACGTCGCCGCCGTGGCCTTGGCCGTTGCCGTTGGGGGCGAAGAAGGCGGCCAGGCGGGCCGGGCTCTGGGGCCGGCTAGGCGGGCGGCTGGCGGGCCAGAACTGGCGCAGCTCGCGGCTCAGTTCCTGGCCCGTCGTCGTCCAGTTGCTGCGGATGTTGTCGCGCAGGTCCTGCACGTGCCGCTTCAGGTCCAGCTCGTTCTTCTTCAGCCAGCTGACGTTGAGCTCCTGCCGCGAGGTGCCCCGCTTCAGCTGCCGCGCGATGTATTTCTCGTAGTCGCGGACGATTCTGTTTTTTTTTTGCTAGTGTTAGTGGTGGGTGGATACAGGGACGTAGGGAGAGAGAAAAACACGTACTTTGTGATAATGCCTGTGGTGCTCACCCCCTCGGTCCGCTGGGTCACCAAGAACTTACCCGCCGCCTTGATGGGCTGGTAAATGTCGTCACCCTCGGCGGCACCATAGGGGATGTCGTCGTGGGCAACATAGTCAATCTTGTGCTGGTCGAGGAACTCAGGGGTCACGATCCACGGGCAGTTCTCAATGACCTCGTCAACCCACTTGCAGTGCCTGACCGTCTCTGCGCGCTCCGCGCCAGACAGCACGGTCAGGCCTTTGCGCAGATGTGTCTCTGTGTCCCCTGTCACGCCCACGATCAGGTACACATCGGGGAATGCCTTCTTGGCCTGCTCGAGCTGGCGCATGTGGCTAATATAGGGTCAGCGACTGGTCTCCGGTTATACATGTTTATTTCTAGGTGCGTGTCGTGAGGGTTGAAAAGCCAAGAAAAAGGGGGTACATGTTTGTGCTTGTTCGTTCAGGGGGTGGAAATTGAAGTAGAAAAGTGAAACCCACCCAAGATGGAACAGATCAAAAACCCCATCCGCATACACCCTAACCGGCCTCCCCACCGGGGGCGAGTTGGTCTGATATCCCACCGGGTGTGTGAGCTTCCCGATCGGCGGCGGAGGCATGACGATGTTCTTCTTCTCCTTGTCCTTCCTCTCCTCGCCCGCCGGCCCGGCCACCTTCCTCACCCCCTTCCGTGTAACCCGGTGGGCGATATCGACGCTGGCCTCGGTGGTGTCGCTCGGCTCGCCGGGATCCAGCGCCTGCGCGTACGCCTGCGGAGCCCCGGCCCCGGCCGCCGACGTCGCGGCCGTCTGGGCCGAGTTGGCGCGCTGGCGCTTGCTGGGCGGGTGCGAGGCGCCGTCGGCGGCCTTACGGTGGTGGTGGTGGTAGGAGGAGGAGGAGGGAGGCGGCGGCTGGTCGCGGCTCGACTCGGGCGCCGTGGTGTCGCCCTCCTCGCCGGACGCGTCGCGGGACTCGGCCTGGACGACCTGGCCCTGGTCCATCATGTCCGGGTTGTTGCCGAGCGCGTTGCCGGCGGCGAGGCCCGTGGCTGTGCGTTTGCGCTTGCCGTTGTGGGAGGAGGAGCTTGGGGATGACATTGCTTCTGAGGTTTGTAGGCGGCGAGGTTGGGCGTCACTGGTATGAAGGGAGGAGTGGAATTGGGAAGGGGGGCGTGCCGGAGTGCTAATGTCGGATGATCGGGTTCGGATTCGTGTCCGGTTCTTCCTCGTATATGAAAGCTGCTCGGCAAGGTCTGCTTTGCTGAAAGGAGGACGGATGGAAATCGGAACACAGAATGCTTCGTTCGATGTAGAGGAGACGCGCTCTATTAATCGTCCCGGTTTGACTCAGTGTTTGTCCAAGGCCCCTTGGTCTGTTCGATCATCCCTTGATCAGGAGAGATGTGGAATTTTATAATAAATGTTGAAAAGCCTTCAACAAGGTTTCACGCACACACATTCACAAGCTCCAATGGCTTCAAACTGTGGTGGCTCGTCTTCGAAAGACGAAAGAGCTTCCAAAAGTTTAGGTAATAGGGGCCGGGCCATGGAAAATTACCTGATTTCAATCGGCAAACTCAAAAGGAACGTGCCGTGGGGGTGCCAATGACGCCAGACCGTGACGATGCCACCCGTTGCAAATGCAAAGAAATCTAGCCCCACAATCAAATGTGGCAGCCCCTCGACTTCGAGTCTACATCATCAAGCAAGGTTTGCCTATATGATACTATTGGAGCCTGCATGTTTCCATTGTCGAGCAATTGACGTTGCAACATTGCCTGAGATACGTATTGTACAGTTTCTTTGATTCTAATTACTGTAAGCTACCTAGCCAGCAACTGCCGGCAGGACTTCTATCTCCAGTACGGCACTAGGGGTTCCTGTTAATATCACCCATATCACCGGTTGATCCCCTCATTGCCGATTGTCACCAGCCGGAAGAAAGGCAGAGCCCACACGAACCAAGTCTCCGGAGGACCGATTATAGATCGGGCTTCGGCCTCAGCATCCCAAACCACGAATCTGCGGAACAATGGCCTCTATTTCTATGCCAAGTAAATTCCCCTAGATGGATGGAAATCCGTGCTTTCAGCGGCGCGAACTTGTTTTTCCCACCCCAGCCCCAATATCATGTATCGGCTGAGGTGCCCATAAATCGTATCATCATTGCTCTTTCCCTGCTCACTGTAGCACGACCTTGGACTTCATCGCCCGATGCCTGCCGCACCGGTGCGGGTCCTTGGGCACGCTCATGTAGCAGAACGGCTTTGAGCCCTCGGGGGCGACGGGCCCGAACTTCTGCTTGACCGAGCAGTACTCGAGGCCCTCGCCCATCCAGTCCTGGATGTGCTTGTGCAGCTCGCACCTGCAGACGCCGCACTTGCGGCAGTAAGCCTGGCCGCGCACCCGCAGCTTGGCTAGTGCCCATGCGCCGCTGCCGTTGCCACTGCCGTTGCTGTTCTCGTCCGTCTTGTTGACAGCCGCCGCCGCCATCTTACTGGAGGCTAGCAGAGGCGACCTGGCGCCGGCCAGGTGCCACGCCCACTCCAGCTCGTTCGGCCCGCCGCGGCGCGCCGACAGCGGCACCGTGCCGTGCATGCGGCGGTGGACGGCGTAGAGGTCCTTGGCGGCCAGCGCCAGGCAGGTGCTGTCGATGGGGTCGAGGAAGTCGAAGATGGCATAGTGCAGCTCGCGCGGCAGGTCCAGCAGCGTCATCCCCCGCGCCGACGGCCGGTGGTGGTGCGGCATCGGCTCGTAGTCCATCACGCTGTAGGAGCGGCGGGGAGGGCCCAGGGGCGGGCGGCGCGCCGAAGGCGGTTGCCGCTGCGAGGCATCTGACGGGGCTGGAGGGCTAGGAGGGTTCTGCTCCGAGGAGGCGAACGACGGAGGAGGAATGGACGAGGCAGCAGGGACGGGCTCGACAGGCTGGCATTGCTGAGGCTGTTGTCGGATTGTGTGGATGGTGAGTGTGGTGGTGGAAGGCGACGGCGACGGCAATTGGTAGTCATAATGGGTTTGTGACCGGCGGGGAGCGCGCACGCCCGATCGAATACGGTTCAGCTCCTTCAGTCCATGCTCTTCACTGATCCCAGAATCTTGCCTCGATGGCCCCATGAAGCCTCTGGAAACAAACGTGGTCGAATCGGAACCGTGGCCCTGCAATGTTGCAGAGCCGCTGTAGAGCCTTCCGAGCATGACGCTCTTGTTGACGCGAAGTGAAGCCGAGAGGCTGCAATCGAGGTCGAAGTGTACGACAAGAGTATTTATGTGCTCGAAGCACCAAAGTATAAGTGCCAGTGAAGAATGGTTTCAGGTACCGGCGTCTGGATCTATGTCTGGTCTGCGGAGTGAATGCGGGAGTTCCCTCACTAGCGAGCTCATCAGGGGAGGGGGGAGGGATTATAACGGAGCGGGCAGTGAAAATGACGGAGGAGGGGAGTGGCGGCTCAGGAACGATGGCCCGGTTGGGATAGGGTGTGATGGTTCTGGGCCAAGTTTGCCTGACGCGAACGAATAAGTGGTGGTGTGACAAAGTTAAAATCCCGAGTAGTCTAGGGTTATCCGATGAGGGTCCTCTGGGGAACGTGGGAACCTTCTGATGTAGGTACACCTCCTTCGTATACGCTAGCCAAGGGGAGATAAAGATCGCCAGAAATGGTGGGGATCGTTCATTGCCTCCCAAGTTTGCCAACGTTTCCGCGCCGCAAAGACTTGGATGGCGTAGTGTATACGCAAGTAGACTGGGCGATTAGGTGGGTTACACGCATTGAGCTCTTTGTCCTCGAGGGCCAAGTACATTCCACCTCTCTCGGCGACCCTTCGATAATCTGGGCAGTGCGGGGAGGGCCTTGTCTAGACTCTGCAAGCCCAAGCTGCTTGCAGATTACGTGCCCCCCCTAAAGAGACTGCAGCCACGACTTCCCCTGTCTCCCGTCCTTGCTGCTGCTGACGCGGTGCTCTTCATGCTTGGTACTCCTGCTGCTCTCCCTACTCGCGTTTCCTACCATAGCCGAACTCATTTTACAACTTGATTATCGCTCGTTCGCCGGCCTCACCGTGGGTCCAGGTGGGGCAAAATACGAGCTGTGTCAACTGACAAAGGACATAGGACATAACCTGGCTCCTGGGTAATGTGTACTACAGTCTATTTCTTGCGAGTGCCGGTTGTCCAAAAGTTGGGTGGCAAAAGGCCCAGACATGGGTGCTGCAGGCTGCATTGGAACGACCCCGCCGTTCCGGCTTCCCCGTTTCTTGGGCCTCGCGACTGCTTCGTGAAGCGTCGCTGTACTCAAAGCCGGAGGAGGCACATCCTCTTGGGTCGACAGCGGGAGAGACAGCGCTAAACTGAGCGAGCCTCTACATATGTAGATTCCGTAAATGTCTCACACCCTCCTTGTGCTCTGTTTCTGAGCGGGACTTATCAGTGGATATTCTTCAGCTGCCCACATGGGTATCGATACTATCTAGGTAGGTAACTGGAATTTGAATTCCAGCCCGGCGTACTCCGATCCTCGGAATGGAAGAAGCGCGCTTCCTTGAACAGGACCCTCGCTCGTGTGGCAAGAAAAGCCTAATCGTTGAAGAACGGCGTGGTCCCTGACACAATGACACGGACGGCCCCACAAAATGACACCATCATTCCCCACGATTCAAAGGCAGGCTTTCCAAATCTGGGACTGATCTACACGTACGACAGCCAAGCGAGAGATCTTCTGAGATGCGGCGAACTTCACATCTCGGGCCGCCCGTAGCGATGCTCGGAGATCACGTTTGGTGGTGAACCCTCGTGATCCTTGAGGCGTTCGAAAAGCATATACCCCATCATCGCCCGTCTACAACCACCCAAAAATAATAATGGGGATAGATGACCCCGATTTGCAGATGGGCGGTCCGGGGTTTGCGCGAGTCAAATTCTGTGCATTCGACGCCACCCTCGGCAAGGGTGCAGGAACGGTGATCTACATACGTAGTACTTGCTTCTGTCTGATGGTCCGCCCCAGGTTCCCGGTCAAGTTGCCTCGCCCCTCGGAGCAAAAAGAGCAGGATATAGGGTAGTAAAGGGATGCCCACTCTGAGTAGCTCATCCGGGGAACCCTGAAGATCGTCACGAATAACTGGGATACCATCTTTCGGACAGTTCCCGAGCAAAAACGGTCGTCTTGAGGGCGTACACTAGCTTCGCTAGGATCCCTTTACTTGCCCAAGGCCTTGGCGATTTCTAGAGAGATGCTCGAATCACCATTGATAAGCCCCGTGTGGTTCTCAGGAAATCGGAAAAAGGACCATTCGATATCCTATCGAGTGCAATCTTTTAAAAACGCCCCTTATGGCAACCCCTGCCGTGTACCCGGATACCAAAAAGAACCGCGTAATTAGTTGGGAATGGCTTACCTCGTCGTCCCATGCCTTCCCAGGAGGAGGGTGACAGGTTATGCCCGCAGTCACAGCAGGACTCTGCAAAAACAGAACAAAACAGCAGCCAACCTAGGCCAACGTACCAACGAACGCACCCGACCTTCCCCCCTATCCCCCGGGGCTACAGCCGGCCCCCTCAGATGGCGATCCAGATCAGCATGATGACCACGTCCAGCCCCTTCTCCTCCCCGCTGTACTTGAAGCTCCACATGCCGTCCGTCTTCTCGTTCCAGTACCCGCCCGTCGCGCTGTGCATGCCGCGCCGCCCGGCCTGGCCCTTGTTCTTCTCCGTCGTCGTCGCCGTCGTCGCAGACTTGCCGTCCTCGGCCTCCTCGCCCGCGCCGCTAGTGGTGCCTGTTGACCGGTTCAGCTGCGAGTTGGGAACGACGTGCTGGACGATCGTGCTGTTGATGGCGAGCTTGTACGACGGCGCCGCGCCCTGCGGAGTCGCCTCCGACATGACCGCCTTGAGCATCTTCTCCTGTCATTGGGGGGGGGCGTCCGGTTAGTCCTGGAACAGACAATGCTAAGGAGGTCGCTGCTAGGGCGTCATGCTCGGGTTGGGGTGGGGGAGGAAGGGGGGAAATCGGTAGGTGGTCCTCTGCGGAGTGGAGGCACGTACGATGATGGTTTGATTCCATTGTCCCGTCTTTGCGTGATCATAGTGCTCGGAACCGGATAGGGCGCTGTTGCAAGCCTGCCAATGTGCGGTTAGCAACAAAGGGATAGCAGGAACGGAACAGCTCGAGGCCTACATCTGTTGCGATCTGCTCGAGTCTCTTGACAGGCACAGGCTGCTTGGACATTAGCCTTGTGATACTTGGGATCGCTGCCTTCCCCGGGGACGCACTGGAGGAGCTTGGGAAGCCATTTTGGTATAGAGGTCGCGTGCAAAGCACCTGCGAAGAGCTTAGGAATAGATCGCCGGCCGGATTTGGGCGGTGTTGATCGATCGAACCTTGGTTGCTCTTTGCAACTGGCAAGGCTGAGAAAGGCAGTTAAGATCCAAGGGGGTTACCCGGAAAAGCGAGGCTGATGGAAATCGGAGAGCGGCTTGAAAGTGGGCGTTTTAATGTTTTGCTCAATGTTTATTACGGAACCTTGGGGTTGCTATTGATAGGCTCCTCATCGTGACTGGCTGACAGCGGTGAAACAAGGAACAAAGGCTACGCACGGGCCGCCATCCGGAACCGGTTTCTGAAAGAGTCCCACGGGCCACATTTTGATGATTTCGGGCATATGAACGAGTTGTTATACTCGAAATCAGCGAATATGTACGAGCATCGGTACGTGATCTAGCAAGTTGACCAGGGGCATTCGATCGGTATACCCGGGCACCTACCTATTAAGCCAATCTTCACAAGAAACCTATAAGTACATAGTATCAATCAACGTTCTTCTCATCTGGTTGGATCTTTGTCCCACGTGATCGATTGCCTAATTGTATATAGTTAGCTTATCGTGCATATTCGGCATTTTTCGTCAGATATCAGATATACAATTATGCAGAATTTTGCCGCTTGGTCTGGATCTGTTGGATCTGTTGTCCAACCAGCCACTCAGCTTCAGTAGTGAGCCCACGTGGGGGCCGAAGACAAGGGTCTGGAAAGAGCTCCTGCAAGTCTTGAAGCAGCTCCAACAATAACGGCCTGCGATTGATCAATTGCAGCGAAGCATCAAGTTGACGGGCAGGGCGAGCGAGGATGCTTTTCTTCCACCGGGGATGGGTTTAACGAGAGAAGCGACCATTAAACATAGACGGTATCCTCTCGGGAGGGAATTGGGACCCTAGGCAATTCTTAATCTCCATCCTGTGACGTCGGCCACGCCATAACCTTCGCAAAGACTCAAACATCAGGAGAACATCGTCTTCAATTCAATTGAACTTGTCGACCCCTCCTTCAACTGTCTGTCTCTTGATCTCAGGAAACCAACCTTGAGATGTCGAGCCAGCCGTTATTGCAAACGGCTCCGGGTATGACCAACATTGCACTCAACCGCCGCTCCCGCCTCTCTGTCTCCCCCCTAATGGAACACAACCCAAGCTAACCCCGCCGCAACCCTTCCAGGCAAGCGGATCGCCCTCCCGACGCGAGTCGAGCCCAAGGTGTTCTTCGCCAACGAGCGGACCTTCTTGTCGTGGCTCAACTTCAGCGTGATCCTCGGGGCGCTGGCCATGGGCATGCTCAACTTCGGCGACCGCCCCGCCTTCATCAGCGCCTTCCTCTTCACCGGCGTCGCCATGGCCGCCATGGTGTATGCCCTCATCACCTACCACTGGCGCGCAAAGTCAATACGCATGCGCGGCCAGGCCGGCTTCGACGACCGCTTCGGCCCCACCTTCCTGGCCGTCATCCTGCTGCTCGCCGTGGTGGTGAACTTTGTGCTAAGGATCACGTATGATGGGGGGAACTGAAGATAGGTTAAGCTAAAGAGGGGGGAGGCTGAGGAGGGGAAGCTGAAGAGGGGGAAACTGAAGAGGGCATTGTCCCGCCAGGTTTTGATGCTGGCGGGCTGGGGGTAACCAACGGTGTTTGTTGAAATGGGTTTGCATTTTGGGTACTCTTTATCACCGATTAGACTGTCTATACTGGAAGTTGCACCTGACTTTATAGGTCGGCAACGGGGAACAGGTGGGACTTCAGGGAGCTATTTGGGACGAGCATCTCGTTGCATTGCATTGCGTTTCCATATTTGGTCAAGGCAGTTGAACATATCGTTACCTTGGTTGGGCAGAACACTGAACTTAGCCGCGACCCTGTATGGTTCGGGACGAGGAGCATACAGAGCGAGGCATGTTCAGATCTCATGCCTTATGCCCCTATGCTCATGGGCCGGTCATGTACCTAGGTTGCCAACAGCTGGTCCGGAGCTCAAACATATCCACCTCGAATCTTCGATTCATTCGATGCTAAATAATTATACAGGGTATCTTCTCTATCAAGTCGTCACGCATGTGCCAATGAATCGTCTTCTATTTTGCTTGGTCGCTTTCCTTGCACCCCTGTGCTGGAAATCTCAGCAAGCCTCCATCTTTCCCTCAGAAATGTTGAATCTAGCAGCAAATTGTCCTTTCTCTGTACTCAGCGAGTCATAGGCCCAGGTGAGAGGGTCATGGCTCAAACAAGGCCGGCCTTCTTCTTGCGGATGTAATCGATGTACTCCTCGTTCGACTGCACCGTAAAACTGTCCCGCGCTTTAAGTTCAGGTACCGGCACCCGTGAGAGGACGATGCTCATGTGTGCCATCTGCCGTGCCTTTGGCTCTCCGTGGACGGCTCGCTCGAACTGAGTGGGCGTCGCGGCGTCGCCGTTCATGGTTTCGAAGTAATCGTCACCGTCGTCGTCATCGACATCGCGATCTTCCCCACCCTCCCTACCGGCAGCTGTGCCCATGGCCGTGTCCTCGACGACCGACCCTCCGTGATCCTGACCGCGGGCTGCGCTGCTCTGCTTGGCGGCCCACTCCATCTCGTACAGCCGGTTGTACTGGTACCACTTCTGGTCACCCTCGTGGATGCGCCGGCGCACGGTCTCGGCGATGGTAATGAGCTTGTTGGTGGTATTGGACCTTGCATAGAGCAGCACGACGCCAGGGAGGACAGTGGAGTCCCAGGGGTGGAAGCGGCCGAGATGTTGGAGGATGGTGTCGACGCGTTTGGAGATGCTGGTGGAGGAGAGGACTGAGAGGGTCTTGACTTCGTACTTGGGCCGCAGATCCGTTATGAAGCTGCTAAGGGGTCGCAAGGAGGTTGAGGTGGGTGGTGATGCTGGAGTGTTATCGGATCGGAGCTTCTTGACGACGTTGGGGGTGCCAGCGGCGTCGGCGAGCTTGCGCTTGGCTGATGGAGCGGCTGCCCCGGGGGCGGCCTGAAGAGCCATGCCCATTGAATATTCGTGAGGCACGGTATGGTGGTTGAAGGATCTCAGTCTGGGGTAGTTGGTCCTCACGAACGTGGGTTGTCTTGCTGTTGATGTGTGGGTTGGCCAAAATATTTTTTGGCCCAGGAAGCGGGGCTTTTTGTGGCTATCGATTACCAGAGGCAGTAGCGAACCTCTGTAATTGCCTGATCACCTCATACTCTGAGGTAAGGGTTAACAATGGTCGAGGTCTTTCTCTGGGGAGGGTCGTCGGTATATTCTCGTCCGAACCCGAAGAAGATTTGGAGTTTTGATATCCTTGTAGAACTAAGCTACCTACCTACTTAGATAGTGCTGTCATCAAGAAGCTTCCGTCACACGGAGTTGCCTATGTAGGTAGCTTAGTTTTGGCTCCTCGCTTCAAGTCCCTACCACAGCTTCCTCGATCAAAGTGGCTCTGCTGCTGTCAACTTTCTGCGCAAAGACTTAATAACTGGAATCGAGGTGTGAAACTCTAAGCACTTTGTTTACTTCCTCTGTGATACTATCTACCCGTGCTACCGTATGTAAAACAGCGATAATTTTCAAAGATGAAGCTTTGACCAATAGGCACGGCGCCTCGAGGTGATCAAGGGTGAGTTGAATTTATGGTCCGTGTGTCAACATTCTGGGCCCTTCCTTGCTTCGATTCGCCATGGCCCCATGCAAGCCCGCTCTGTTGCCAACATGAGTTTACGCAGGTACCTAGGGAGTACCTACATCCGTGCTGCTGAAGCTTCCACCTTGGCTGATCATGGATTGGAAGTTGTCCAACTCCTCTGCGGATGTGCAGGCAGCGACTATGCATGTAGATGGGACGGAGTTTTGAGAGATATAAGTTCTGCTGGGCTTGCAGCTACTGGCCTGTTGTTTACTCCAGCCCGCATGCCATGGCGGATGGGCGCAGTTATTCATGGGCGGCCTCGATATTGGCACAGAAATAGCTGTTAGACGAGTACCCGGCACCTGCCAATAATCGTGGTGCTGTTTTGGCACTTTCCCATCCTCAAACTGAGTTTTGCGCATCGTATTTGGGTACAGCACTAACCAGCAGTTTTGAGAAGACATACCTCGTACTTTAACCTGGCCTGAAACTTACCTCAGAGTTGAGTTCTTGGGACGCGCATGCATTTATCCTTGGAATGGTCCGTGCATCCTTGGCACCCACCCATTACGTATCGCTGATATAGTCCAAGACCAGCCAAAAAAGGAAAGAAACGAACAAACAAATGCGCCAGAAAGAGAAGCAGCTGGTTATGGCCCATGGCAACGGCGCCAATGGGCGAGTTGCCTCCTGCAATCAACTATCAGCAACAAAGATTTCTAGCTGTTACCAAAGAACCTACATATACATAGTAACGATGAGCTTCCATCCTTCGTGACAGTGAAGTCACACAGTACCTTATCTGTATCCCGTACTACGTAGTAGGTAGCTAGGTCTCTACTAGCCCTGTTTAGATCGGCCGCTAGTGGGGATTATTACGGGGCTGACAGCCTGACGCAGTCTGGGCGCCCCTTTTCCCCTCCTCCCTGGCTTGCATTCTTAATTCTTGGAGTGTTTGTCGCCATTCACTGCCCTGCCGATGCTTATCACCGTCGACGTCGCACTTTCGTAGCCACCACATGGTGTGTAGCACTTGGGACAGCCCTCTCTATTTCCAGCAATAACGGGCGCAAACAACCTCCTGTCGCTTTCTCGCACGGAATAGGTACCTTGGTAGGTACCTTTGCTCCACCTCCGTTTGCCACGAGCAGGAGCCTTCGCGCAGCTTCCCTTTCCGAATCTTCTTTTCCCAGGCAGGTACCTAAATGGTACCCGCACGTTCCCTCCTTGGCTTGCAAGTTGGGCCCAACGGCAGAGTGCACTAGCCACCTCCCAATCACCCTTCTTCCCGGGCCAACCCCCTGTCATTGCTTTTGCCTGCTTGCATTTTCGCCCCCCCCAAACTCCCAAACAATTTCCCACCCTCGCACTGCGTCGTCTCCCCCCCGGCCCTTCCAAACTCGACGCTATTTCCCGTCGCCGGCGTTTCGCAATCCTCCAGAATTTCCACCAACTTACAACCAACAAACAACAGCAGGACAGCAGCGCGCTGGACCAGAAACTGCGCAGTCAACCACCACCCGGCCTTCCCACCTCTTCTCCTTTTCTTCCCTTCCCTTCGCGCACTCATTTCGCTCAACCATTTATCGCCCCATTTTCGCTCTTCGTCGAGGCTTTCATTAGCTCTCGCGCATCGCTCGTCGCCTCCTTACGCGCGCGCAACCCCGTCTTCGATCGCATGAGGCCAGAGTAGTTGACTTCTGGACCGTCTGACTCGATCCGTCCGTTCTCCGTTGGCTCTGGCGCGGCCACATCATTCATCGCAACAGCCCATCCAGGTCCGCCGCGACTAGTCGAAACTCTGACTAAACTCCGCCCGATCCGACCCACTTTTTCTGCTGCAAGGAGCAACCAGGGAGTCTTGGAACCTTCCTGTTACGTCAGCCTCCCACACCTATCCGTCATCTTCGGCCCCCCTTATCATCCGCGTCGCTGCCTTGCGCCTCGATCAATATAAGAGCTGCAGCCTGGCCACTTCGACCCGGCTTCGCCTCACTCACAGAAACAGGAATCTCTGGGACCGCCCATGTTCCGCTTTTGGAGTTCCGACGCGAGGGGATGCGAAAAGACGGTTGAATCAAGTGTTTTATCGCAAGACTCGGCTGCGCCGATAACTGCGACGCTGCCTGGCTCGAGACTGGACCGCCCTCCCAAGCGGAGGCGGCCTAGCCTCTCCGAAGAAGCTCTTCACCTCGGCGACTGCCACGGTCAGCCGCCGACAAAACGTGCGACAGTGCAAAGTGTCTCCTTGCCGTCGCCGCAGTCTCCATCGCCAGAGTACAAGCAGGAGGAGGAGCAGTATGGATCCCCACAAGACACGCTCGTGAAAGGTGATCTCGAGACTGCAAAAGAGGCTATCCAGTACCAGTTTGGTCTTGAAATCCTCTTGAAACATGACGAGTTACGGCTCATCAACCAGGAGCTGGCGAAATGCCAGGTCGCCCTCGAGCAACTTCGACGTTGCCACCTCATTCCATACCCCGTCAGCTGTCCGACCCCGGCGCAGATGCTGGATATCAGTAGTGGCAAGGGCCCCGCACTGCAAAGTCGACCCGGCGAACCTGTCCCAAGATGGGCTCCGCCTTTCGGGGTGGTTGATGGACCTTATGCCCGGCACTATGCTAAGTGGCTAATACCCGATCCCGTGTTCGATGGTATCCAGCCCGAACCCCAGGGTACCCCTTATGCAAGCCGCGCGAAGAATACCGCCGAAGGTAGGACGACGAGGAACAGCCTCGCCGACCCGACCAGTTTTTCCAAGGGACGTCCAGTGCGTGGTATTGGTGGCCAGAAGCTACAGTCGCTATCCAGTGGATACCCGCAGCAGAAGGATAAGCAAGCGCCTTGCATCCTCAAACGGTCGGACGGGCAGACTGTGAAACTCATCTGCATTGACTGTCAGAGGTGGGACTTCTCGAGCACGCAAGGCTTCATCAACCACTGCCGTATCGCGCATCGGAGAGACTTCAAGAGTCACGAGGAGGCTGCTGTACACTGCGGACACCCTATCGAGGTTGACGAGGCTGGCGGCATTGTCGGTGATGAAAAGCCGGCAGCCCCCTCTTCCTCCGCAGGCGCCTTTTCAGGCCTCGTTCACCCTTTTGCCCGCAACGAGCCGATTACAGAGCAACAGGCCTACACAGCCCTTCGCTCTCGCATCACTGCGTCGCTCAAACTCTACCATGCCGGTAAACTACCCAACGTAAAGTCTATACCGGGTGCCTCGGCGAAACCCTCTGCCCACTCAACTGCCAAGTCGTCAGCTCCTTTCGTCGGTGCAGTGGCGACTCCTTACCTGTCTCAGATGTTGCAGAAGAAGGAGTTTAAGGGGAACCTCGGTGACTACGTCAGTGATGCCAGGACCAAGTCGGGTCTGGATGAGATGTTTGCGCCTGGCGAGGATTCGGAAGATCCGGACAACTTGAGCAACTCGGACGGCGTTTCAAGCCCTGTCAAGTCGCACGCAACTGCAGCGCGGACGCCGGTAGTTATGCGCGTGCCGGCACGTACGGTGGTCTCTCCTGTCCCACTCCCAACCATTCCTCGCCCGACCAGCAGCAAAGGCCGCACTCACACTCCCCACTTGTCTTTCAACGGAGTTCCGGATAATGATGAAGAGTCGGCGTTGTATGAGGAGATGGATATCGACCTCAGCCCCAATACCATGACTAGCAACAATGCGCCGTCCCTGGTTAGTGACGACGGCGAATATGACGATTCGGACGATGGATCGTCGTCCGAGACTAGCGACGGCACGGAAGAAGAGTCGGTTTCCGACGTGGCTGAGATCAACATCGACGAGGATCAGGACCACGATACCCCTCGGCCAATCCGCCATCACCGCACCAACTCTGGCACGACGGTCAAACTTCGGAAGGATGAGGGCAAGCACGTCACGTTTGTCACCCCTATCACAGGGAACACCGGGAAGACGAAGGGACGACGGAAGCAGAAGGCTTAAACATATTCGATAACCCAATCAACCCACCTCTTCGTTCACGCCGCGTGTCAAATTATCAGTAACCAGTTTAATAATAACCTCAGGGTCGTTTTCGGCCATTGATAACTTCGCTGGACCTTGGATTCTAATGGCTGCCTTGGAGCACTGGAGCGTCCGCTTTTTTTGCCGTATCATATTTTTATTATCGCCATTAGCTTCATTTGTGCCTGACGCACCTGGCTTTGCGGTGGTTGCCCCGGTCCGGGTGCCGCCAGGGAAGATCCTTGGAGCGGAGCGCGAGATGGTTTGCCTGATGGCCGTCCAGGGTGGTGAGAGTTGCGAATTGAATTGTCCTTTGTAAGAGTTTAAACTTGTCGATTCGCCCCCAGGGGCTAACCAGGAGGTATTGTAACTCAGCTGGTGGCGCCTCCCGGCAGCCAGCTGGTAATACCACTACTCTTGTTTCAACAGCTACTGTATCATACACCAGAGCCTCTGTATTTAGAAGAGATGAACGAGCCAATGAAATGAGAACGCCGGCTTAGCCGCTGTACATTCCCAAATGTCGTAACTAGCCGACGTGGCACTGGTGAACCATGTCGGATGATAAGCTCCTCAGATCCTCGTTGGCATTGCTTCTGGGTTGAGCTTTGTATATTCCGCGGACAACATCGTAAGACTGATAAATTTCACATCAAGGCGCACACATCTGTTGGCTTGAACCCTTCTCTGTGCCTCAGCTCGCCATCCCCTGGCTGAGTCGCGAGAACACAGGGGAAAGGCGCTGCTCCTTTACGTTGCGCTCTCCCGCTTCCACGTCGCGGTGAACGTTCTTCAAGAAACCCCCTTTTCCCTTTACCTGCACTGGGAACACACGCACACATACGCACGGATCGAGAGCGGTTAGTTGGAAAGCATAATTAACTAGGTCGATTCCATGCAAGGTCTAGAAATTCCAGTCTCTCTCTAGGACGTAGTAGTAGTAGTAGTAGCCTTGCCAAGCATGATCTTGGAAGGAGAACAACTTTGGACTCCGAAAAGTGCCCTCCGCCCTTCCATCTTCACTTCCCTAGCCCATCGCTCCTCCTCGCCGATGGCCATAGCATGTGCTCTCATGCTGCTGCTGCAACCCCCCTCGGCACACACACAAAAACTCAATCGCACGCAATCGCAAACCGCACACCAGGGGTGGTATCCCCTCCCGGCCGGCCCTCAGTCAATATCGACGTCGATGTCCAAGTCCAGCGCGCCAATGATGTCGTCGTCCATGAGCGGCTTGTGGATGGTGGGGATGCCGCCCCTGTTCCCGGCGGCGTTCTTCTGCTGGAGCTGCAGCTTGGCGAGGTGCGGGAGGAGGGCCATCGGCTGCTGCTTCTGGGCGCCCAAGACGGGCGTCGACGCGGCCGAGCTCGCTGCGCCGGCGGCGGCGGGGGTGCTGGCGCCGCTGTTCTGCCTGGACGACGGCGACGCGTGCTCGTTGGCGTCGTGCAGGAACTTTGCCTTGGTCCGCAGGCGCCGCGAGTGGTCCTCCTCGACGGCCTCGCCGCGCTCGAGCTTGACCTCGGTCTCCCGGGCCCGGGCCCGCTCCTTGAGCTGCGCCTGCCGGACCGCCTCGGCGTTGCGGCGCCGGTTCTCGCGGTTCAGCGCCGCGAGCCGCTCCTGCTGGGACAGGCCCTCGCCCTGCTGCTCGGGGTTCTTCTTCGCCGGCGTGAGGCTGGTCTTGAAGGCCAGGCGCGGCGTCTCGAGCTGGTCGAGCTCCTCCTGCAGCTTGGCCGCCTTGGCCTCGTTGCCGGCCGCCTTGGAGTCGTCGAGAGACTTTTGGAGGCGTTCCCGCTCGATGCCGCTGTACTTGACGCGCAGGGTCTTCTGGCGGTCAAGCTTCTCGGCCAGCTCCAGTTCGGTCCAGGAGCGGTTGACCAGGCGGTTAATGTCATTGATCTTATCCACAAGCGCTGGCACCTTGGGCACAGAGACGTCCTCGGCGCTGCAGACAGACTTGTAGCGGTTCCACTCGGCCTAGATGGAACAGGGTCAGCGCAACCGCATCATCAGAGCTATGCGAGATGAAGGGGGGTTTGACATACCTCGGTGAAGGCTCTGTCAGAGCAGCTGATGAACGGCCACTCCCGCTGAGCCTTGCCATGTGCCGCCTTGACGTACGTCTCTACGACGAACTGGTGGCCCTTGCGATTCGGAATTGCATAAGGTCTGCCTTTAGTGAAGCCTGATCGCAAGTTAGCCAGCCGAACAGGAGCGCTGAACTTGGAGAACTGATCATTACCCTTGATGACAGCCATGCGGTAGACGTCTTCACCCGTCCTCGGATCAGGGCCGATGTTGATGCGGACGAAGCATCCGGTGAGAGTGTCATCAAAGCCCGGATAGAAGCATACTTCGGCGAATCGACTACGTCCCACCCGCACTCGCTCGATGTCTCTGAGCTCCGCGCGAGCTTCAACAACTTCAGGAGTTCGCGACTTCTGCCTCGACTTGCCAGGGCTGCCCCACTCGACATCGCTGTCGCCCTGGCCACCTCTTGAGGTACTACGCCTGTAGGACGGGGAGGATCTGGGCCTGCGACGGTCCCTCTCCTGCTCTCTCTGTTGCATGCGATTGCTCCGCTCCTCGCGGGCCTTGCGCAGGGAATCGATACCGGAGCTCGTCTCGCCGACCCTGGTGCCCCCAACCTTGGTCCGAACGCGGGATGTCTTGCGCTGGCCGTCCTCTAGCTCGGCCGCGGCGGCCTTGCGCTTCTTGCTGTCCTGGTTGACGACCATGTGGCGCAATAGCCGGTTCTGGCGCATCCGCTCAATCTCCTCTCGGCGCTCGGCGATCTTGATCTCGCGCTCCACCTCCCGCATGCTCATGATCTCCGCTTTCTCTCCATGGCTGATGAAGAGCCCGTCGACAGGGTACTTGTTTGCATCGTCATCGCTGTCGTAAGACTTGTTCGGAGGCGAATCCGAGTCGGAGTCCGATTCGTCCATGGGAGCGGATTGCTGGGAGCCAGGCGACGAGGGCGCGGAAGAACTGCGAAGACGGCTCGGCATGTTAGCTGGAGCTAAAGCTGTTGGTTGTAGGTGAAGCAGGTGCGAGAGCCTGGGCTGTCAAGAGTGGTTGATGGTGAAGCTCGTATGCCTAGCCACGGGCGAACAGAAGCTTTAAGAAGTTGATAAAACCGCGCAGATGAGATAGAATCAGGGAAAGGTTTGTTGGGTCGAAGGAAGGATTCGTATGCAGCAGTGGAGGGGATTGATGGAAGTGATAAAAAGGTGAGGTCTCCAAACATACACTGCGCCTTCGTCCTCAGAATCGCCTTGCTGCCCGCCGGTCTTTGCCTTCTTTACAGCCGCCTTTTTGTTCGCCACTCCTTTGACAGTGGCATCCTTAGCCGAAGGAGGGGGTGATTCTGACCCTCCACGGCTCCTATCCGAAGCATTCTGCTCGTCATCCGACACATCGCCGCCGGCGAGGGCGAGAAGCTCGTCCTCAACGTCAGACATGTTGGAATTCAGAGAGTATTGTAGAGTCGGCTGCGGCAATCGCTGATGAGGCTCTCGGCAAGGTCTCGCGAGTTGTTCGGCTTGCCTGAAGGCTAAACGAGGCTTGTGGAAAGAGACAAAGGGCAATGGACCAAGAACGGAGGATTGGGATCAAACGCCACGGGCGGAAACAGTCTAGACGAGATAGGGCGATAAGTGAACGAGGTGACAATGCGACGTGGTATTGTCTATGAATTATTGAAGTAAAGGCAGGCTGAAGCCCTTCGAGCGACCGTCACCCTTGGCTTGGGCTACGCTTGGAATCTACCATAGTATTGGCTGCAATTCGCCACACGCGCAGGGGTATTATTCCGGATTGGAGATGTGGGGTCCCAGTTATTCCGGCCAAGCAACCCCTAAGAGTGGGGCTCGCAGGCCTACCTTACCCCAAATGACATGATGGAGAGAGAATAAGTCAATTCGGAGCTGACCGACAATATCTAACATCCTCACGTCTCGAAGCACGTCAAATCCAACACGTCGTCGCCGACAATGGCTCCCTCCAGGGCTCTGCTGGGCTCCATCCGGCCCACCAAGACAGCCCAGACAAGCATCTACACCTTCCTAGCACCCCATCTCGCAAGCAGCAACAAGACCACCACCCCGAAGCAACGACACCTCTCCACGACCCCCCGGCAACCCGCAACGCCCAACACAACGACCCCGCAAGCCGGCGCCGCACCGCCAGGCCAGGGCCCCAAGCTCAAGCCCCTAACATCCTCCCAGCGCGCGTTCCTCTCCTCGGCGCTGCGGGTCAACCAGGCGGGCGAGCTGGCGGCGACGCTCATCTACGCGGCGCAGACGCCGCCGGTCGTGGCGCGGGAGCCGGCGCTGCGGCCGCTGATGCGGCACATGTACGACCAGGAGGCCGGGCACCTGTCGACGTTCGACGCGCTGCTGGCGCGGCACCGCGTGCGGCCCACGGCGCTGTACCCGGCGTGGTCGGCTCTCGCGACGGGCCTGGGCTGGGCGACGGGGGTGATGGGGCGGGAGGCGGCCATGGCGTGCACGGAGGCGGTGGAGACGGAGATTGGGGGCCACTACAATGGGCAGATACGGGTGCTGCTGGAGATGGTGGCCGGGTGGGAGGCTGAGGGGTATGAGGTTGGCGGGGAGCTGAGGGAGCTGATTGGCACGCTGCGGAGGATCCGGGATGAGGAGCTTGAGCATCTTGATCATGCTGTTGAGCATGATGCCAAGAAGGCGGAGCCGCATTGGTTGCTGACTGGGGTGATACGCGCGGGGTGCAGGGGGGCGATTTGGGTGAGCGAGCGGGTGTAGGAGGGACGAGGATGCCCCTAGAGAGTGGGGGATTGAGGGCTCGAAACGATATTGGGCGAGGGCGCTGTGTTGTTCGCGCGAAATAGCAAACTGGATGGAGAACCCTGTGACGTGGGTGCGAATGTAAGATACACTGGATCTGTAGTATATGTGCCATGCTCGGTGTGTAAGACGAATGAAACCCCGCCCAACTATGCATCGCGAACCTATTATTACAAGAAAATAGTATAGAAAGGAAAAGAGAAGGAAAGACGCTGCAATGCTTTTCTGGCAGAAAGCATCAATAAGGGCTTTTGGCAAATGCTCAACCATTGAATGCTTCCAGCTAGGTGTCTACGTCGTGTTGAGACCCTTACATAGAGGCGAAGGGAACGCCTCTTTCCAAGCACAACATCGTACAATCTGCCACTTCCGACCCGTCCCCACGTTCGTATTTTCTTTATGGTAACAAAACCTAGTTACTGCACAATCTGTCAGCACGGCAAGGAATTTTGTGTGTACGGGGCGAGAGAGTACTTACTAAATCTGCAGCGGCGCAACCTGGTCGACCTGGAACAGCCAGTTCCCGTTGGTCTCCTCGACGACGAGCCAGTCGTAGGGGAACTGCACGAGCGTACCCTGCGCGTGCCCGAGCAGCTCCTCCGCCTCGGCCCGCCCGAGCACCTCGTCCGTCCCACCGCCGCGCCGGCTGCTCTTGGTCGCCGCCCGCCGCCGGCCCCGCCTCTGCGAGCCCGCCGCCGCCGCCTTGGAGCCGCCGTCACCGTTCCCGTTCCCGTTACCCTGCGCGCTGCCCGGGGGGGGCGGGAGCGGGGGCGCCGGAGAGCGGGGTTTCTCGGGCGTCGAGAACGTCGTGCGTCGATCCTTGCGGCTGTTGCTGTTGTTGCTATTGGGCCTAGCTTCGCCCTTGTTAGCAGCACCGCTTGGCCGCTGCGTTCCGTCGACGCCAGGGGGGGAGGCATCTCCCTCCTCGGGCAGCACGCCTCGCTTCTCCGGATCGGCCATCGGCTTGGCGTGTTCGTCGGTGCCCCTCGCCGCCGCCACCGTGGCTTTCTCATCCAAGTCGTGTCCAACGGGCTTGTCGCCGCCATCCTTGCCGTGCGTAATCTTCTCCGTCACAACGGCCTTGGCCGCGGCCGCCGGTCCGGGAGCGCCGATGCCCGCGCCGCCCGCGGCAGCCTGTTTCGGCGGGGTGGCGGGCTTCTGGTCGTGCTCGTCGCTCGTGCGGTTGCCGTCCATGCTCTCCTTGAAGCGCCGCGCGAGGGACTTGAACTCTTTATATTCGGCCCAGTTGGTGACTTCCGAGTCGGGCATGCAGTGGAACACGCGGCGGTAGATCTTGGTGTTGTTCTCCGCGGTCTTGGACCAGATGTCGTCGTAGAACGACTGGTTTAGGGGGTCGCGCATCGAGTCTTTGTGCACTGCGACGGGTTGGACGTCCATCGTGAGCGGGTTTAGCGGCGTGTTGGTCGGCTTGTTCGCCATGTCGAGATACGCAGGCGGACCGCCGATGTCTGTATCGTCCAATACCGGTAGGGTGGGCAGCTGGTTGGCACGGGGTAGCCCAAGCTGTTCCGTTGTTCGCCTATCGAACGGCGGCATGGGCGGCGCGCCATGGTTTCCAACAGCGCGACCATCCGGAGATATAACCCTGGACGGGGAGCGAGACGTGTGCTCAAACTTGGGGTTGTCCAGGGTGCCTCTGCCCTCGGGAGAGACGCTGCGGACGAGCACCTCGCTGTCATTGATGATGACTGAGTCTCTCCCTTGGTCCAGCCCCTCGCGCTCTGCAGACTTCCAGCGATCGACGCCGTAGCCCTCGAGCTCCCGCTTGTGCTTCTCAGTGTCGGTTACTCGCATGTCCCGCTCGACAGACTTGCCTTTGACAGAAGGCGACCTCCGTCCGTCGTAGCTCTCGACCAGGTCAACGTCGTGGTTGAAGCTAGACTGCCTTCTCAGCAGGGGCGGATCTGCCAACCCCCCCGACTCGTTCCGCCTCGAGCTTTCGGCGAGCGGATCCACATCCGAGTCCTCGTCATTATATATACGATCCATCTCAGACGTGAACTCGGTCTCGCGATCCAAGCCTGCCTGCCGCTCCTCCTCGAGGATCTCGTCGACATCCAGCCCCAGATGCTCCCGCATGAGACGCAGGCGCAGGGTGTGGGCGAAGCGGCCAACGAGGTACGGCCGGCCGGCCATGGTGGACCAGATCATGTCCGTGTCGCGGACGATGGCGGCGCACTCGGAATCGCGGTTGCCGAGCATGGACCGCTCGTTGATGTTCGCCGAGCCGATCAGGGCGACGCGGTCGTCGACGATGATGACCTTGGCGTGGACGTAGAGCTGCTCGGTGGTGAGCACGTTGTGCCCGATCCTGCCCCACTGCCGCAGGCTGAAGAACTGGATGTAGTCCTCCGGGTCGATGCCCGCGGCGCGGAGACGGCCGAAGATGGAGTGCTCGCCCCTGCAGATGCTGCGGTACTGGCACTGGAGGATCAGGCGGATGCTGGTGCCGTCTTGGTCGTTGACCTCGTTCTGGAATCCCGGCATCAGCGGGATGATGATGACGGCCCGCCAGTCTTCGTCGTTCTCGTGGGCCCGCAGGATCCGGGCGACTATGGCATCGCCGATGCGGTTGACTATCTTGTTATTCAAGGTCTCGGTGCTGGAGATGAAAAACTGGTTCTCAATGTAGACGAAATGCTCCGAGTCCTCGATCATCTTGATGTACGCGGACTGGATACTGACTTCCGTGTCGTCGATGCCCAGAGACCACGTGGATGCGGAGCGCAGGATCTGCACCTCACAAGTGCCCGAGAGGCCCAGAGCGTCCAGATCTTCCCTCTTGTAGTCTGGCGGGGGGAGTAGGAAGGGGGTCGGGCGGGTCGGCTTGCGGCCGCGCCGGACGTAGTTCCACCGCTGCACGAAGTGGCGGGTTAAGTCTCGCGCCGGCTGCCCGACGACCTGCATGGAGACGTCATGCCAGGGCATACGAGGTACCCTGCTCCTGTCGTACATCTCCTCGTATGGCTCGCTGAGCCTGAAGAAGTCTTGAACCCGTGGGTTGGAGTAATCCTTCCCGGGAAAGAGCTGGCAGTGCTCTGCGTCTTTCGGGCTGTCCTGGAACTCGAATCCTGTGGGCTTGTCGTCGGCAACGGGGTGCTGGGGGCAGTCCCAGCGTCCGAAGCACAGATCGATACCGCCAACAAACGCGACGTCGTGGTCGACAATGCAGACCTTCTCGTGGTGCGCAAAGAAGAACTGGTTCTTCTTGAACTGATTCGGGGACCGCTGCACAAAGATGTTGGGATGCAGGTTGAGCAAGGAGAACTTTGTGTACTCCGAGTCGATCGGGATGGCGGCCTCGACGTTTCTGTAGACGATGACGAAGACCTTGACACCTTCCCGTGCCTTGCGCTGGAGGAGACGGTCCAGGCGCCATTTCTGGCTGATGCAGGCCGGCCGTCTCATGTAGAGCTCCGGGCTCAGCCACCAGTCGTGAATGTAGATGACGTCTCGGGCCATGTTGATCGCCCGGGAGACGTTCCACATGTAATCACGGCCGTCGACCAGCCACTGGGCATGGACGCCGGTCCTGACGGGAGCAAAGCTGCCGAACCTGTTTCTCAGGTGCCACGACGTGCCCTTGAGCATCTCGGTTATGGACTCCTCAAATTGGCGGATGATGTGCTGGTTGCGAGAGAAGAGCTTAACCTTGCGCTCCGAGGTGAGCAGCTTCAGGGTGTGGTGCTTCTCGAGTGGCGGTTCGACGGTGAGGTCGATCTCTTCTTCCTCGCTCTTCGGGGCGGTGATCTGTCGGAGCTTACTCTTCTTAGAAATAATCTTGAACTTGGAATCCACGAGGTAGACGTCGTAGATGTTCATGTTCTCGGGAGACTCGACGCAGACAATGTAGCTCTGGCGGACCAGGAACCACTTGCGCGTGTGCCTGGCGATCACCTTGCCGGGCGTCAGAACCCGGCGGAAGTCGATCCCCTTGGACGACTGGATGTGGAGGTAGCATTCCTTGCCGTGGTAGCTGCCCTCGGCGGCGAGGCGCACGCCGAGAGCGGAGAGTTCGAGGAAGCGGCATATGCGGTTGCTGTCTGCCCGGAACATGAGCCACCGGATCATCTCCCGCAGGTATTTCTCCAACATGCGTTGCTGCCGTTCGACATATCGCCTCCTCGCAACAATCGGGTCGAGCGCCGAAGAGGTCACGTCTGCAGTCGAGCCACCAAAGTCCCCGAAGACTGACGGCCTCCGCCGCCCTGCGAGGACGTTCATGCGCGACCGCTTCTTTCTCGGCGTCGGCCTCCCCTCGTTCTCGGTCATGGTGTTCTCTGCAGCCGTTCCTTCGCCGCCCGTGCCCTCGCCAGCCGTCTCATCAGCCGCTCGCACACTGGCCTGGTCAGCCTCCTCGTCCTCGTCTAGGCCACGGACGCCTCGCAGGTACGGGAAGGCCGAGAGCGGGAACCTGGGCTGCTTGGGCCGAGCGCCGAGGTCGAGGCGGCTGGGGAGGTATTTCTCGTTGCCCAGCGTGAGCTTGTATTTCCAGTGCAGGTTCAGGATTTCCTTGATGGTGCGCTTGACGGTCCACGTCATCCTGCTAGGGCCGCTTCCGTACTCCAAATCGATGGTGAAGAGCCAGTGCCTCTCGCTGTCTCCCTCCTGCACCGGGGTGCTATCCCGAATACGTACCTTCAGCTGCTCCAGGAGGACGGGTATCCGTTTGTTCCCGTGCTCGTCTCGCTGGATCATGCTGGCAAGCATGAGCACGGCGGGGGCCCCGGCTCGCAGCTCGGCCATCAGTTCGGCAGACTTGTAGTAGTCGAATCGCTCGTCCTTCTTTTGCCGTAGGAGCTTAAGGGTGTTCTTCACTTGGCGCCATTTCTGCACGCCGAACGTAGAGGCTCTCTCCCCCGTGAAGAACGGCCTTCGAGGTGTATCCCCGTCTGACCCTCCCGCCCCGCCTCCGCTCCCGAAGACGGATATTCGCCTGAGGTGGCCTATCCTCCGACCGGAGGGGCTCTCCGCCTCGTCAACATCGTCACCCCTGCTGGACATCCAAGGGAGGGATCCCCGCCCTCTAGCCAGGTGGTCGCGGCCCTCTCCTTCGGACATTCCCCCGCGCTGGTCCGTCGTACCGGGCATGGTATTCCGCCTCATAAATTTCAGACGGCTGTTTCCCGTCGGTGTATCCGTCTCTGCCGCCGTAAGCTTCGGCGTGGCGGGGGTCGACATGGCGTTCGGTCTCGGCCTCCGCATCCGGCGCTTCTTCTTCCTCGCCTTGGCGGCGTCCTCGGTAGCCGCCTCGTCGGCGGTCTCCTCGGCATCGGCGTCGTCCTCGCTGTCCTCGTCCACGTTGCCCAGGACTCGCGAGCTCTGCCGAGTCGCCGTAGGCGAGCTGGTCGTGGATCCTAGCTCCGACATGGCCGGCCCGCTCGGCAACTTGGGCCCCGGTGTCGTGCTCAGCGCCGCCAGCTCCTTCAGCTTGGACATGATCGCCGAGCCCCTGAGCTTGCCGATGGCGTCCTTTGCATCCCACGACGCGTTCCTCGAGTGGCTCGGCGTCTCCACCACCATGTCATTGCGGGCGAACTGGACGCTTCGTCGGCCTGGCGGAGGCGAGGGTATTTCGGCGGGTTCGGCTGTTAAGGGGATGGGGTCGGGGCTCAACAAGGTTCCCGGGACCATCGAGCCTGGCGGGTTGGTTTCGCCATTCTGCCAGAGGGTCGAGGCATTGTCGTGGGGAAACCCCCCATTCATATAGTCCGCCGCGTCACTATCGGGGGCTTTGTGCACGGTCGGCGAGCTGGGATTGGACCCGAAATCGAAGGTGTCTGATCCGGACGGGGTGAGCTCGCCCAGGGGTCGCCTTTGCGGGATGGATGGGAGCTCGGAGAGTATCCCGGAGGATAATGCCATCTCCTTCGTTGCCGGCAGCACGGCTTCGGACTTGGCAGCTTCTTTCATGGCCGCGGTCGTAGGGCGTCGCAGGTTATTCGTCGACAGTTCGATGTAGAAATTGTTCGAGCTAGTTGGACAGATCGTTGCTAGCAATGCATCGCACGATGTAGGAACGTAGGAAGGCGAAGCCTAGACTCGACGAAATAACAGGCACAGGCACACTGCAAGCGACAATTCCAGACGAAATTGTGGCCGTTGACCTTAACCCGTTGAGTTAGTTAGCGGCGTCGAGATTGGCGCCGAATTGCACTTCTGGCAACAGGCGAGAGCGTCAGGAACGGCCTTTCCATGTGACAAGCTGGCGTGCGGGAATTCTACTAGTAGCACGGGAGTAGTATCGTCAGGATCGAGCAGCAGTTGCCAGGTAGGATCAACCAATGGATCCAGGCCGGTCGAATTTGAGGAGGTCACTCGTGACGCGGGTTCGATTACTATGGTAACTGTAGAGAGACACATTGAGGTGTCGTCAAGTCTCTCAGGGACAAAGTATGTATCCCGTCAGCCCCATTAAAACTGACAGGGGGCCAGCGGGACGGCGGGTACAGAAATGGGGTATGAAAGTGGGGTATGATGTCAAGGGGACTTCATCCCAGCGACTCTTAACTTTGATCCAAGCCCTTATTACAGTGCGTTAAGATTCCAGGTTCCAATGCTGACAACTGGTGGGAAATGGGTAGAAGGGGGTAACACGGAGAGGGGAAAATGAGAATCAGGAGGGACAATTTCGAAAACGTTTAATAAATAGACGCTCTATCCTGCTCCAGATCTACCTATACTGCGTCTCTATTCGCACCGTAAATCAAAAACAACAAAAGTCCAACATGTTGCACCATGTCCCTCCCAACCTTCTATTCCTTCCCCCTCGGTGTTGCCGCCTTACTCGACAGTAGCTGCGACAGCATGAAGTGAACGACATCCTCGTCCTGCCAGTAGCTCATATGCGATGCGATGGTATTCATCGGGTTGAAGTCTAGCACGCTCCTATCGCAGACGTCAGTACCCAAGCTCAACTATTCTGTAATTCTGTAGGGTCGGGGGGTGACGGCATGTCGAACTTACTCCTGGACGCAGTAATCCACCCTCCCGTTCCGGTTCAGTGCCCGGACCTTCATCTCCTCCCTCCGCAGCTTCTGCGCCTTCTGTTCCTCCTCTACCCAGGAGGTCCCCGCCTCGCCGGTGCCCTTGTCCTTGACATTCTCCTTGGCGAGGTCCGCCCGCCTCTTCTGGAACCGGCTGAACAGCGTCTCCAGCTCGTCGTCGATGAGCGTCATCTCGTTGCCGCTCGAGCTCGTCCTCCCCGTCCCCTTCGCGAGTTGGCGCTTGCGCTCCGCCGCCTTCTCCGCCTTCGCAGCGTCCGACAGGTCTGTCTCGGAGATGACGCCGCCCCCGATGTTGGTCCCCGCGCCGGGGCTCGCCGGGTGCTGGTTTTGCAGTTGTTTTTGCTGCTGTTGGGACGCCGTGATGCTGTTGACTTCCTCCTGGGTGAGTCCCAGGCTGCGATTCAGCAAGCTGTTGGCTATTCCGGCGCTGAAGCTGCTCCATAGCCCGCTGACGCTCTGGCCCACCTTTGTCCCTATTCCCGTGAGGCTGTGCGGCGCCACCGTGCCGAAGATGCTCTTCTTTGTGTACGGAAGGACCTGTGGCTTGAGCGACGCCATGGCCGAGGAGATGAGCGGCTCGATGCGGTACGAGATGGGATCGGACGGGTGGAAGACATTGAAGAGCTGCTCGCATTTGGGAGATGAAATGCTATATGGTAGGCCAGTGATGGGGGATACGCGTTGCTCAGGGTGCGTACTCGCCGCGGAAGCGTTGAAGAAGGAGTCGTCGAGGTAATCGAGGTCCAGGGGGCTTACCGACGGGACGGCATTAGGAAGCTGTCGAGCCGCGACGCTGCGGCCCTTGAGCATCTGGAATAGACCAATTGGCGAGCCCAGGCAGTAGAAGTCATCCACTTCGAAATCGAACGCCAGTTCCTTCGGTTCCTTTGGCTCGTACCTGTCTTGGGAAGGCCAGATGCGAAGGGGGTTCCTGGATGGTTCGGGCCCCGCCTTCTTCTCCTTCTGCCGGCAGAGTATGTCAAACAAGATGGCAGACCCCAGAGAATGACCAACGAGGTGGACCTTGCCCTTGAAATCCGGATTCCTCAGCTTGAACAGCTTATATATCCTGTTGGACTCTTTGAGGACGATTTCAACAATCTGCTCTCGGTACGCGCTCTGATAGAGGAGAACATCGAGCGCGAGATCAGAGATGAGTGATCTAGCAAATGCCACTCCCTCGATAGTAATGTCATCTAGACTTGGATCTGTGAAGCTCGTCAGCCATGTCATTCGTGTCAAGGGTCAAGACTCGAGCAGGTGGTAACTCGTTCTTACAGTCGTCTTCCTCGTCGAACGTTTCGCTGATATCGTGTTCTCCCTTCTTCTCCCTCCGTTTCGGAAACTCGAGCAGGTGTCTCCAGCAAACCGGTAGCACCTGGACTCGGCAGTTACCGAATCCACCTTCTCCAACAAGCTCGCTATTGAGTGCCTTGAGATCAGCCGAGCTGGAATAGACCGACTTCAATGTCTTCCGCAGGACATTGACATCATGGACGAAGTTGATACTCTCCATCCTACAACAAAGCGTTAGAACTAGGGCTTATCCAAGTCTTGTCTAGAGGTATCCAGCATGGAATAGCAAACACCTACTTGAGCGATAAGAGCTGGCCGATGCCATGGGTGACAAGCACGAGATGCTCGATTTCGCGACCCTGGGTTTCGCCGACGCCCGGATTGTAGTCATCCTCGATCTCGTCCTGTTCTTGTTCGCGGATGGCCTTCTCCTTCTCCTCCGGGTCTGTTTCGAGAAGGTTGGACAATTTCCGCGTCAGGAAGTTCTGCCTGCTTTCTAGCTCCACGTCTTCGTCCTTGCTCGAAGAAGACTGCTCCGCGGCGTCCGACTTCGCACTAGGAGGCGCAGATCTCCGCTTCAGCATCTTTTGCTGCTTTTCGTCCGCTTCTGCAGTGTTGGACTTTGTCCCAGTAGGTGTCGATGGGCGTTTGTCGTCCTTGGCCTTCTTCGGCTCCGAGTACCCACGCACTACCTTCACGCCGCTCATGTACCCGCCTCCTGAGAATCTCTCGTATACTGTCGACGTTACCCATGACAAAACACCGTCCGAGGAGAGCCAGGCGGTGGTGGAATCATGATAGGTAACGATGCTGTTCATATATGTTCCGAACAGACGATACGTCTGCGGTTGATGCTGTGGTAGTGCTGGAGTGGGCTTAGAGGCACCATCGCCTTGGGCAGCTACAGAAGCAGGCACAGCAGTCGAAGGAACCTTGAGATTCTCGGAGGAGGGTTTTGGTGTTACGCGCTGCACTCCAGAGTTACTGCGGATCCTTGCGGGGTACTGCCATGGCTTGGTCTTCAGGTAGCCCTCCTCGAGTTGAGCGGCGAGGTTCTCTTCACATGGGCGCAGGTGGGAGCCCTCCTGATAGAACCAGCTTCCACGGCGCACGTCATAAACAGGGCCAAGCCAGAAAATCGGCGCCAGCTCCCGGGCGTCAATGTCGACGTCGAATAGGAAATCCTCGTTCACGGGTACTTTCGTCCGGCGCCCGTCTCCGTCATTCCCTAGGCTGGTGTTCGGGCCGCCTTCTCCAGATACGGGCCGTGGTCGTTTGAGGCCGGCTCGCACACTCGACGATGACCCTTTTGCTCTGCCGCCTCGCTCCTCCCGCTCCAGCTCTTCCAACCTCGTTTGGTATGCAGCTTCGATGGCCTTGGAGTCTGCCGGCGAAAAGCCAACAAATTTCTTCGGTCGCGGTGGCGGCTTCTTGTCGTCGTCGACAGTTTGCTTTCCCTTCAGGAACTTGGGCTTCCGCTTCGGGATCTGTGACGTCATCGTAAGCCAACGTGTTTAAGAATGGCGACCGAAAAAGGGGCAATGAGCAGGAAGCAAGACTCACATCAGCGGCGTGAAACCAGTGGACGTTTGGCTTGGGGCAGTCGGGAGGATATGTCTTGAAGCTCTTGCCGTACAGGGGATTGGTAATGTGGTCGGCGCTGGTGATGGGGCTCGGAAGTGGGCTTTGCTGGCGATCTTGGAGATCTTTGAGATCTTTAGCATCTTTGGGATCCTTGGGATCTTTGGCTGTGGTGGCTATTGAGCTCCGGCTCCCAGCCCAAGGATTGATCGAGTCCACGGCCGAGGCCAGATATGACTTCTCAGCCTTCTTGTCGCCGGTCCCAGGAGCCATTGTCCCAGTCCCTCCCCCGGGTCGACCGAAGGCGCATCCAGGAATGACACGTGTTAGAGGTATTCTGCGAATGCAATTAAAAGCGTTCCGCCCGGATCGACCAAAGAATCCGCGGTCCAGGAGCGCCAGCGTGAACAACGTTTGCTCTGGGGATGAGAGATGCTTCTGCTATGCTGTAGTCGTCGCTTCTGGCGCCTCAGGAGAAAAGTAACACGGAAAGCATGGCAAGAACAGGGGTTTGTTGCAACGTTTACTGTATCCCACTGTACACTATATTTCAGGCCGCCAGATCGCAGGATTTGAGTTTTGCGCGTCTTCATGTGACTAGGTCACCCACTATAACCACCATGCACCGAGATGCGGCATGATTCATTTCACCGCGCGATCCTTTTGAAACGTAAAATACTCAACACTACCTACCTAAGGTAATCGTGGTAACTTGGGTAAATCATGTAAATCCGCCAAGCAGACCTGTACCCGGTTTTGCGATTTGATCACAAAAAGCACAACACTTTGATTTATAGGTGCCCTGCTTCTCCAATAGTCTCGGAGTTCAATACTACATGTAGTTTGACATTCCAGGTCCTTACTGCGAAGATCTGCCGTCCTACTGTGTAGACGATTCAATTCTAGGGAATAAGTAGGAGCGTAGGTGAGGGGCTGCAGGATTGGCCGGCGGGGCAGTAGGGGCAGGTAGGTATCTTTACCCCACTTGGCGCTCCGCGCAACTTTCATGGTGGGGCACGAGTCGATTATTCTTCGTGACTCCCTCCATTGCGATAAAAAGTTAACATCCTCCAAGTCCAGCTTCGCGAGAACGAATCACCGCCACTATAATTACACGTACCTCGTCCCACGACCTTCGATAGCACCTAGCAACTGTATAGGCCTCGACCACGAATGGCCGCATAACAACGCGGCCTCGATCCGGGCGCTTCCCCCCCAAAGACTACCGTTCGGTTTCTAATGCGCACGCATCGATTGAACGAGGCCAACACACCATATATTTAGTTCAAGATGGCAGTCGAATCCGGTGCCGGCCCCTTGAAGGAGCAGCTGGTAGACCAGCTACCGAAGCGCTTCAGGGGGCTGAAGTTTGGTATACAGTAAGGACACCCACTCCTAGTTCCTGTCTCTTAGATGCTAGATATTTTTTGATCCCTTCGCGCTATGGACCATGGAGACCATGGCTAACATGTTCTTCCCTAACAGGTCAAATCAAGACATTGTAAACCAGGCCGTGTTGGAGGTTTCGGATCGCATGCTGTACGATATCGAGCACAACAGAGCCCCATTCCGACATGGTCCTCTAGACCCCCGATTGGTGAGTCAGAACATCTCGACATATATCCGGTAGCTCATCCGGTCCATACTGACCGGTTTCAAAAGGGTACTTCGAGTAAAATTGGCAAATGTAGCACCTGTTTGCAACCACTACAGACCTGTACCGGCCACTTCGGTCACGTCCGCCTACCTCTCCCGGCTTTCCACATCGGGTACTTGCGATATGTGGCTGTCACTCTGCAGAACATCTGCAAGGACTGCGGGAGGGTCTTGCTGCTTGAGGCTGAACGAAGGCAATACTTAAAGGAGCTGAGGCGACCCGGAATAGACAATCTACGGCGGACACAGATTGTGAAGAAGATCAACGAACAATGCAAAAAGGTCAGGGCATGTCCGTACTGTGCGTCGGTCAACGGAACCATTCGGAAGCAAGGTGTCCTCAAGCTTGTCCATGACAAGTTCTCGGCATTTAACAGGTCAACAGCCCTGAAGAAGTCCGCGCCAGACAGCAAGGTCAAGTTTGACGCGTCGTTCGCCGAGGCAAAGAAATACAACCCAGAGGTCGAGAAGCATGTTCGGAAGGCAATGGAGGATCTCAACCCCTTGAGAGTCCTCAATCTTTTCAAGAAAATCAGCCCCACGGACTGTGAGCTGCTGGGGCTAGATCCCTCGGAGGGCAGACCCGAGATGTTTATATGGCAGTATTTGCCCGCTCCGCCGATCTGTATTCGTCCTTCGGTCGCGCAGGACAGCTCTAGCACGGAAGACGATCTCACCACGAAACTGGCTGACATCGTCTACATCAGCGGGCTTATCCGTGCGGCCCTGCAAAAAGGAGTTGCTATCGGGACTATCATGGAGCAGTGGGAGTACCTCCAGCTGCAGATCGCCATGTACGTCAACAGCGAAGTGCCGGGCTTGTCTCAACCCGGGTTTGGCAAGACGGTGCGTGGCTTTTGCCAGCGTCTAAAGGGAAAGCAAGGCAGGTTCCGAGGCAACCTGTCCGGCAAGCGTGTGGACTTCTCAGGCCGGACTGTCATCTCGCCCGACCCGAACCTCGGAGTTGACGAAGTTGCGGTGCCCCAACTGGTGGCCAAGAACCTGACCTACCCTGAGCGAGCACAGCGCCAGAACATGGACAAGCTGCGGAAGTGCATCCTCAACGGCCCTGATGTGTGGCCTGGTGCGCAACAAATCATCAAGGATACAGACGGCGGTTATAAGATTAACCTGAAGTTTGGAAACCGCGAGCAAGCTGCCAACGACCTCAAATTCGGCGACGTTGTAGAACGCCATCTCGAGGACGGAGATATTGTGCTCTTCAACCGTCAGCCATCCCTGCATAAGCTCAGTATCATGAGCCATCTTGTCAAAGTTCGGCCATGGAGGACCTTCCGGCTCAACGAGTGCGTGTGCGGGCCGTACAACGCCGATTTTGACGGAGACGAGATGAACCTGCACGTCCCGCAGACGGAAGAGGCGCGTGCGGAAGCCATCAACCTGATGGGAATCAAGCACAACCTGGCCACCCCGAAGAACGGAGAGCCCATCATCGCCGCCACCCAAGACTTCATCACCGCCGCCTACTTACTCAGCAGCAAGGACAGGTTCTTCGATCGCAAGACCTTTTCATACCTCTGCATGCACATGCTCGGCGGCGAAGCCCACCTGGATCTTCCCCCGCCAGCGATCCTCAAGCCTCACGCGCTCTGGACTGGAAAGCAGGTCTTTAGCGTCCTCATGCGCCCCAACAAGCAGTCGCCGGTGCTGGTGAACCTCGATGCAAAATGCAGAGAGTACAAGGCCAGGCCGGGACAGTGCCCCGACATGGATCCGAATGATGGATGGCTCGTCATTCGCAACTCGGAGGTCATGTGTGGCCGGATGGACAAATCAACGGTAGGATCGGGCAAGAAGGACTCGGTCTTCTACGTCATCCTCCGAGATTTCGGCCCCGACTATGCCGTGGGTGCCATGAATCGCCTTGCCAGACTCTGCGCCCGACAACTGACTCTGCGCGGGTTCTCCATCGGCGTCGGGGATGTCTTCCCCACGCAGGCGCTGAATGAGAAGAAGTACAATCTTGTCACAGTGGCCTACAAGCAGTGCGACGAGCTCATCGAGACCTTCAAGGCAGGGAAGCTGGAGAAGGCGGCCGGCTGCAACATGGAGCAGACCTTGGAAAACGCGATATCCGGCATTCTCAGCAAGGTCCGGCAGCAAGCCGGAACCTACTGTGTTGATACCCTGAGCAAGAACAACGCGCCGCTCATCATGGCCAAGTCCGGTTCCAAGGGTTCCGACATCAACGTAGCCCAGATGGTTGCTTGTGTCGGTCAACAGATTATTGGTGGCCAGCGTGTCCCGGATGGTTTCCAGGACCGAAGTTTGCCTCACTTCCACAAGAACGCCCGCCAGCCCCCTTCGAAGGGATTCGTCCGTAATAGTTTCTACACGGGCCTGGTGCCGACCGAGTTCCTCTTCCACGCCATCTCGGGTAGAGAAGGTCTCGTCGATACTGCCGTCAAGACGGCCGAAACGGGTTATATGTCGCGACGTCTCATGAAATCACTCGAAGACCTTTCGACGCAATATGACGATACAGTTCGCACCTCGGGGGGCGGCATTGTGCAGTTCCAGTTCGGTGCGGACAAGCTGGACCCAGTCGACATGGAAGGGACAGCCGTCCCTGTGCACTTCGACCGAACCTGGACGCATGCGGAGAACCTCACTTGGAACCACGCAGACCGAGGGTTGTTGCCTCGGGAGATCATGGATCTGTGTAGTGACATGCTCGACAAGGAGAGATGCCGATTCGTGAGGAGGAAGCTAGGCACTAACGAGGAACTCGAATACTATGACCAGAGCGACATGTCGATCGACGAGCACGAGAGTGCGAGAAACTTCCTCGAGACCATCCAGAACTATGTAGCCGCTCGAGCCGCGAAGCTTTCCAATGCACGGAAGACGGCTGGCCTACCGGCCTTCGACTCGAAGGAGGACATGAAGATGGAAGTTGACAGTAGCGCCTTTGACAAGGTCCAGGAGGACCACGTGGACCGAGTGGCCAAGGTTTCCGTCCCAACGCTCACACGATTCATTCAGATGTGCCTCTCGAAATACAAGAAGGCCCACGTCGAACCCGGGCACGCTGTCGGTGCGGTTGGTGCTCATTCCATTGGCGAGCCAGGGACACAGATGACACTTAAGACGTTCCATTTCGCCGGTGTCGCCGGCATGAGTATCACGCAGGGTGTGCCGCGTATCAAGGAGATTATCAATGCTTCCAAGAACATCAGCACACCCGTCATCAGCTGTCCTCTCGAGAACAACAAGCAGATAGAAGCTGCCAGGGTTGTGAAGGGCAGGATCGAGAAGACGTACATCTCCGATGTCTTGCAGTTCATCGAGGACGAGTGGCACGCGAACGCCGCCAACATCGTCCTCCAGGTCGACATGAGCGCCCTCTCGGACATGCACCTCGGAGTCACGATGCAGGATATCGCCGATGCCATCATGGCGGCGAAGAAGCTGAAGTTGAAGGTCGAGAGCACCGACCTCAGAGTCGGACACCACCGGATCGAGGTAGTCGTGAGGAACGACTGGCACGACGCCACGATGGCGAAGAAGGCCGCCAGGGTGCGCGCCGCCGCCGCGGAGAGGGGCCACACTATCACCGGCGGCATGGACGAGGCCGCGGACCTGCTCCTACGCGTCAACTACCTGAAGCGCATGCTGCCCACGGTGCCCATCTCGGGCTACCAGGACGCGACGCGGGCCATCATCCAGACCAGCGAGCAGGGGGAGCACATGGTGGTGGTGGAGGGCTACGGGCTGCGGGCTTGCATGACGACGGAGGGGGTGATCGGCACCAAGTGTCGGTCCAACTCGATCATGGAGTGCCGCGACGTGCTGGGCATCGAGGCGGCGCGCACGACCATCGCGCACGAGATCTCCGAGGTGATGGGCGACATGGGCATCGACCCGCGGCACATGCAGCTGCTGGCCGACGTGATGACGTACAAGGGCGAGATCCTGGGCATCACGCGGTTCGGCCTGTCCAAGATGCGCGACAGCGTGCTGCAGCTGGCCAGCTTCGAGAAGACGGCCGACCACCTGTTCGACGCGGCCGCCGGCATGAAGACGGACCTCATCGAGGGCGTCAGCGAGTGCATCATCATGGGGCAGACCATGAGCATCGGCACGGGCGCCTTCCAGGTCGTGCGCCGCCTCGGCATCACGCCCTCGCAGATGAAGGCCAAGCCGACGGCGTTCGAGGACGGGTGGAAGAAGGCCGAGGAGGGGAGGAGGAAGAGGAAGGCCGAGGACCTCAGGGCGAGGCTCAACGGCGTCAATGGCGGCGCTGGGTTTCATTCGCACCAGATGGTTGCCGCGGCATGCTGAAGAAAGTTCCGTGGCTGAAGGTCGTTCGACGGGGTTTCTTGTCACGGTTTCGCAAACCAACTTGCCCTTCCACCATGTTATTTCGTGTCTTGGCTTGCTGGTTGACCTGTCGTCCCTGTATCCCGTCTGCTATCCCAGATACACGTTGTACTCTCCCAGTTACGGTGCGTCGGGCGTCTGGATGATACCAAAAGGTAGCTGTAAAATAATCATGTCACTATTTTCCCTGCACGAGTTAGGTTGTGTATGAAAAGTGATAATATTTTGACCCCTGAACGCGTCCTGTTTGTTTTCAGCCGCCGTGCCGCGTCTTGAGGTAACTCCAAGCACATGGCAGGACCAAGCTGGTACCAGAGCGCGTGTCTTCCTCCGCCCGTTTCTATGTCGACCTCGGTGGTAAATACATCATAAGAAGGAAAAATTTCTTCCCCAAGTCGCGGTGACAAGACCACGAGCCCAGTGAAAAAAAAGTGGTTTTCTCCCGAAGGAGAGGTGAGTTTCAAAGATTGGGATGAGATCCCTGGCCAAAGCCCCCCCAGTTGATCAGGCTGGCAGTAGACTAAGGCAATCAAGGATCGTGGCCGGTTTGGGACGGACCGGAGCCAGAAGCAGAGGGAGAGAGAAGAGGGAGATAGCCCGTGAGAGCTTGGGTTTGTCAAAAGATTGTCTCGATGTCGACAGCTGAGATAGCCCGTGAGAGCTTGGTTTGTTTTCAAAAGATTATCCCGATGTGGCCCCTTTGCCGTGGTCCATGGGAGCTGTGGCCGGGCACCTGGTCGTATCCAAAAACGCTCAGGAGCTTGCTCGTGCACCCTAGTACTCGCAAAACCCGGTTGCTCGTGCCCCCTGGTCTTGCAGCCCGGTTGCTTGTGCACCCTTGGTCGTGCAAGCCGGTTGCTCGTGCACCCTTGGTTTTGCGAGCCGGTTGCTCGAGGGCTGGGGGTTGAGGAAGGGAAAGGGGAAAGAAGTTGGGTGACGAGGGGAAGTGGCCTCTATATATATAGGGAATGTGATGGGTCCGTGCACAAGTGCAAGTTTTGGATTTTGTATGCTGATTTCGTGACCGCCTTCGGATGGGTGTTGTGCTGGTGAAGGCGAATGCGAGGAGGGTGTCGCGAGTGTGGGGGGAGGTGGGCAGAATTGGAGGCGGCTATTGGGTCAATACCCAGACTCCGTCATCCCCTACTATTCTGACATTCAAACAACGTTAACGAAGCTACGGGGTGCAATCACGACACTGTATAGTAGATATAAAAGCATCAACGCGGTCTCTGGCTGCCGCGGAATTACGCTCGAAACCTGAGGTACACTTGCTCTTGACCCTGAAACTTGGCGCTGACACTCGCCCCTATGACCACTCCCTGAATAACAGGCTCGCCGACGATAGGAAAATCTAGAAGGGAACATCTTTGTCATGGGGAGTAAATCACACTGATACAACTACGGTCATGAGCAGGCATCAGAATCTTCTGATGAACATACTTTTTTTTTTCCGCCCCTAAATATTCGAAGCAGGCTAACTTTCGCGACACGCCCTCGACTTCTGAAGCTTATACCTTCCAGCAAACTTCGAGACTGAAATATATTTCCTCCAAGAATATGGGCATCGAGTTTCCCCATGTCACGTTCCGCAGGCATATATCTTTGTGAGCACAGTTTACCCGAACCCGAGCGACAGTATATCTGGAATACAGTAAAACCTGCCAATATTGGTGCCGACCGCGATGTCTAGCTAACGGTTCAATCATCCCTTCATATACCGGACTACGAACCTATGCAACGGGGGCAGCACTGTGGGAAAGGCGGGGGTGCATCTCAGACTATTAACGTGTCCGAGATTCCCTAGTACATACTGTCATAACAAGGGGGAGAAGCCAATTACGAAGAGAAGACAAGCCGCTCGCTGGATCTCGTGGACATGCCTAGTAGAGCTGTTTATTCCTCACATGTATATCCCAGGTGAGATCTCTTCGTAGGCCGAGGCGGCTAGTGAGTCGGGCTTTAGGTGTGAGCTAGGAAGCACGTTTTGTAATGTCTGCGATTGGTGAGAAATGCAGCCCAGGAGATTCCCTTCTCGAAAAATTGAACATCTAGTCTCGTGGTCCTCTGTGAATCCCCAGGAGTCTCGAGCTGCTGTGGAGATGCTTACGCGGATGGTAAGTTGGCAAGCAACCTACCATGGTATGGCGGGGAGAATTATCAATTGAAGCCTAGAGAGGCGAAACTATCGTCAACTGTGGTTTTTTTATCTTTAAACCGTTGGAGAGAAACACAACGTCCAATAGCAGTGACAACTTTTGTGACTTCAAGGAGGTGTGAAGTTGCGAATGGTGGGGCTGCGGCTCAGTTGGTCCCTGTACTTCCCCGCAGCGACTGCCGCCGGACCGTTTTGGGCCGGCAGAGTGGGACTCCACTGTATTTGGAGAAGGTTCCGGAGGAGGGAATCGTATCCAAACGCAGGCCAGGATTTGTCGCTGTTTCCCCCAAAGCCAAGGTATCCATGTTTGCATGTCCAGCCAAGCTTCCATCAACGCGCGGGGTGGTCCATCGCCCAGATTGCTATTGTCCGATGTTTTGAAACGCGCCAATCAGCAGCCTTGAATGTCGATCTCCACCGCCGGCCCCGCTACTTCGGCCTCTTTCCCGCACCACACCGGCACTGGGACCGTGACATAATTGGCGGGAGCGAAGTTACGTCTGCTCGGTGTAGGGATCCCGCAGCTCGAGTGCAACGGCGTTGCATACCTTATTGGGAATGCGGTTATGGCTGCACGGAGGGAGATCCCAGGCCAGCGTCCAAGCGCCAGATCCTGGAGTTTGGCTTGGAGTCTTGAACTGTCTGCAGCTGAGGATGGGAATTGAATAAGGGATCACTCTCTGTCGACGGGCTTCCTTTGTTTTCCCGTCTCTCCCTTCTTCAGGACTGGGTGGTCCATCTCATATCATTCCGCCGTCAAAGCTGTCACGTCAGCGCTGCTGGGATATAATGGTTGCCCTACCAAAGATCTACAATGTCCATTTCGTGGCCATCATCGCCACCCTCGGTGGTGCGCTGTACGTGTTTTGTCCTGAGCGTCTTGCCTCGAGGGCGCATTGGTTAGTAGTGTTTGCTGACATGGGGGGAAAAAAACTAGTTTTGGCTTCGACATGTCGTCCATGTCCGCCATTGTCGTCACGGACCAGTACATCGAGTACTTTAACAAACCCTCCGGGTTCATCTAGGGGGCTATTGGATCCGCCGTCGCCGGCCCCATGTCTGAAAAATTCGGCCGCCGCGACTCCATCATGTTTGCCTGCGTGTTCTAGCTGATCGGGACCTCCGTCCAGGTCTCCTGCCGGAACTACGGCCAGCTCATCGCCGGGCGGGTGCTGAACGGCTTCACTGTCGGGATAACATTGAGCCAGGTTCCAGTCTACCTGGCCGAGATAGCCCGTCCCGAGAAGCGTGGATCGCTGGTCATCGTCCAGCAGCTTGCCATAGAAGCTGGCATCCTAATCATGTGAGTTGCGGAGTTGCAGGAGGTCTCACAGGCGATCGGTCCCCACTGACTAGGTATCTCCCCAGGTATTTCATCGGCCACGGCTGCTCCAAGATCGACAGCACCGCCTCGTTTTGCACGGCCTGGGGCACCCAGTTCATCCCAGCGGCGTTTTTGATCGCCGGCCTCCCGTTCCTCCCCCGCTCGCCACGGTGGCTGGCCAAGGTCGGTCGCGAGAAGGAGGCCATTGAAACCCTGGCCAACATCCAGGCTGGGGCTAGCACGGAGGACCCGCTGGTCATTGTTGAGTGGGAGGAGATTGTCACCACCATGCGTGCCGAACGCGAGGCTGGCCGCGGCTGGAGGAAATTCTTCCACGACGGCATGTGGAAACGTATACTGGCCGGCATGTCTGTCCAGGCCTGGCAGATAAGCAAGGGTGACGATAACAATAACCAAGACATCATCAAACGCTGACCGCGTCTCGTCTTCCTCCTTCAACAGCAACTCGCCGGCGCCAACGTCATCGTCTACTACCTCACCTACATCGCGCAGATGGCGGGCCTGACGGGTGACGTCGGCATGGTGACGTCAGGGATCCAGTACGCCGTCTTCATCATCTTCACGAGGGTCATGTGGGTGTTCATCGACAGGACGGGCCGGCGCACGCTGCTGGTGTGGGGCGCGCTGGGCATGGGCTTCTGCCACCTCGTCATCGGCGGGGTCATGGGCGCGCACCACACCGAAGTGCCCGGCGGCGTCGGCGACCCGCCCAACGCCAACGTCGTCATCGCCGTCAACCCGGGCGCCCCCCGGCCAACACCGTCATCGTCTTCTCGTACCTGCTTATCGTCGTCTACGCCCTCACCCTCGCGCCCGTCTGCTGGATCTACGCCGCAGAGGTGTCGTCGCTCGGCACCCGCGCCACGGGAATGTCCATGGCCGCCATGTCGAACTGGGTCTTCAACTTCGCGCTGGGGATGTTCACCCCGCCCGCCCTGCAGAACATCACCTGGCGGCTGTTCATCATCTTTGGCGTCCTCTGCATCGTGGCCGCTGCGTACTTCTTCCTCACGTACCCGGAGGCCTGCGGGAAGACGCTCGAGGAGGTCGAGGCCATGTTCGACAAGGATGGGCCGTTGCCCTGGAAGACGAAGAAGGGCGAGTCACGCCTCGAGGCAGAGATTGAGGCCGTCATGGCGAGGAAGACGCATGGCGAGCCCGAGGTCGCCGAGAGCGAGAAGGTTTAGGCTTGTTTGTTTTGTGTGATCATGGGTGGAGGCGGGCGAAGCTAGGTTCGGTTACCTCTGAATAGTTGCGGCGCTCATCTTGTGCTCCCGGGCCGAGCACTAATACTTAGGCCCCAGGCGCATAAAGGGAGTTGGAAGCCGTTTAAAATTGAACCAAATAAAGCGTGATTTTAATTGCCAATTGATAATCGAATTTCCAACTCTTTAGTCTGCTACACCTCTAGCTGCCCCATTAGTCCTCGAAGCAATGCCAAACCATGCCTCCCAGATCAGAATTCAGCATTCACGTCCCCAAACGCCTTGAGCAGGTTAAACGACGCCGCCGTGACGCCCTCCCTGGCTTGCAGCGCGCCAATATCAGGCGCAGACCCAAACTCATGCTACTCTCCCACCACCGTCAGCGATCTCGGTCATCAAGAAACAGAGTTGGGAGATTGGACAAGAACGGGATGGGGTGTTTGCTACTCACGAGAACCAGGTAGCCCGGCGGCTTGGGAATCGCTCTGTCGGCGTCGGCGTTGCGGTTCTGGCGCGAGAAGTTGAGCTTCAAGACTCGGGATCGGACTGGGGTTGATCCCTGGGGTAGGGAGGCGGCGCAGAGGCTGTCAATGTCGTCGGTTGTGGAGTCGAGGGTGACTGCCACGATGCTGTTTGCTGGGCCTGAGATTTGTTGGGGGACGGTGGATTAGAAACAGATATGAGGGGGGAGAGTGGGAGATGGACAAAGGAGATATCGTGGGATGAAGGCACCCCTTCCACCTCCGAAATATCACCGCCCCAGCCACCGAACCACGCCCTTACCTTTGACACCATCGCCCCCTTTCCTCCCTAGCGTGACGTAATACCGCGTGTCAAAGTCAGCTAGCTCGAAGATGGCGCCGCTCTCGTTGGGCAGCACGTCGCTGTGCACAGGGATCGACTTGAACTCGTCCGAGGACAGCCAGCCAACGTCCCGGACCGGGTACAGGGCCAGATACGGGCGCTCGACGGCGTCGGGCGCGGTGGATACGTACCGCAGCGCCGTCTTGATGCCCGAGGTGACGAAGATGTCCGGGATGTGCACGCCCTCGTACCAGCTGGTGAAGGTCGGGGCGCTCAGCGTGTCGGAGGTGATCTTCGAGTTGACGAAGAGGATGCCGGGTTGACCTGCCATGGTTGGTTCTGGGGGAGGGGGAGGGGCTATGAATGTGTCGGGATATGGTTATGGTTATGGGGCACAACGCGTGACTGTTCTTAAAAGAAGGCTAGAACTGAAAATGGGTGTCTGGGCAATGAGTCTTCTGTCTTAAGTACTGGAGCTCGTCGGGACGGGTTTTGCGACAGGTCCGGGGATTCGCTGGCGGTCGGAAGCTGGCCTTGTGCTCTGTAGAAGACGCGGTACTTGGAATGTGCAGGGGAATCCTACCAAAAAGGAAGTAGTTCTCGACTACCACGCTGCATGTCCAGGCAAGTCAGGTACGTAACTCCATTCTCGAAATCGGAGATCCCCATTTCCCAGCCAAGTCGGGTCCATCTCACAAAGCACAAAAGGAAAACCCGGGTCATGTTCTCCACAGTGCGGGCTCCCGCAAAACCTTTTCCTCTGGCGATGTTAGCCCCTCACTTTAAGATCGACGGCATTCGCAGTAGGACTTCGTTCTCATTGTCTGTAGACAGTTTCACGAAATAATCACATTGTGACACATGAAAAAAAACTAGGGCAAGTTGATGTTGAGACAATCTTAAATACTCAGTCGGTTACTGAAAGGGCGAACTGCTCAAATATTCATGCAGCTAATCATCCGTTTGCATAAGTTGGAGGCAGCTTTCCTATCTTACACGTCTGGTAAAAGAAAATGCAAGAGACCGGGTTGTAAATGATCACAGCCTATCAAGGTTCACTTGAGATCCAATTGATCTCATGACGGACCAGCTGATTGCATGACTACGGTTATGGTTTATAGCTTGCCGGCATATGTAATACGTTGATGTGCAGGGTATTCAGGAATGTTGAAGCGTATCTATACAAGACAGCGGACAGCGAACCCTCCCCAGGTCTTCATTAACCACAACTTTCACGACATATCAAAGTAGAAGAATCGGGGAATTTCAATCACTTCACTTAGGAACATTGATTTAGAAGGTCCATGTTCGGCAAGAAACTAGCATTTAGTACGTATGAAAACGCCAGATATCGCCCTGTCTCCGCCTCCTAATTCCCCTTGGCAAGGGTGGTGCCTCCAGGGAGGGTAATGCCAGCAGGCAGAGTCGCGCCTCGAGGAAGTTTGATCCCGGCCGGGAGGACGGTTCCGCGCGGGACGGTCGTGCCGCCGGGTAGCACGGTGCCGGTGGGGAGGCGGATGCCGGCGGACACGACTGTGTCGCTGGGGAACACGTTGCCTCCCGGGATGACGGTGCCGGCGGGCAGATGGTCGGTGGCCGGGCCGACGACGGTGCCGGCCAGGATGCGCACGCCCTTGGGGATCGAGATCTTGAAACTGAAGAATAGGGCCGCACCGAGAGTCACCTCCCTGGGGAAGGGGGTACTGCCGTTCAAGATGATGTCACTGCTGGAAGTGATGCCGCCTAGGCCCACGACGAGATTGCCGTTCTTCGGGATGGTCAGGGTGGCGTCCTGAGGGAGGATCATGTCTCCAGGAAGGGACCATTCCCGCTCCAGGTACTCAGAAACGGGGAGGGCGACAGTGCGCTTCGTGAAGACGTAGTCGCTGGGGACGGTGAGTATCGTTCCGCCTGAGAGGTTGATGGTAGCGCCGGTGCTGGTGATGCCGCCAGGGAGATTGATGGTCTGGCTAGGAGGGCTTGTCATGCTACCTCCGTTAAGGAGAACGTGAGTGCCGTTAGGGAGCGAGATGTTGCCATCACGGTGAGTCAAGCCGATGATGGCGCCGTCGCCGCCGAGGGCAAGAGTGCTCGCGAAGAGAGGAAGAGTGATTGTAGTGCATCCCGGTGGGTAGATGATGCCGCCGCCGGCCGGGATGGTGACGGCGATGCCGCCGTAAGGGAGGTTGATGGTGAGACCACTTTTGACACTCTCGCCGACACTGCCTCCAAAGCTGCTGTTGCCACCGACGCGATAGCGCTTGACTCGAGGATCAGGAAAGCGGTTTGATCGCTTAGTCTAATGATGTCAGCTTAGCACTCTGAGCAACTCAACAGTATGAAGCTGCAAGGGGAATGGAGGGTTAGGCCCATGAGACTGCGCCGCTCGGCGTTGAGGTTCCCGGGCTGGACAATTGTCCTGACCTGGCCAAGTGATCGAAGCAAGAGACCCATGCTGTAAAATAATACAATATGGGATGAGGGCCATTGCTATAGTAGAAAGGCGCCAAATAAGAAATATTAATACACTTACATCCATCGCGAGATCTTTCCTTGAGAGCAAACGGAGAGAAGGGGTACTGGGGGAGGAAAGAGAGGAAAGAAAGGAGAGGAAAGGAAGAGACGAAGAAGAAAAGATTTCATACTGATCGCCTATATGGACCTGCCTAGGTATCTAGGTACCTCATCGATGAGGTCGTCCTCGACTTCGTGGGTACCTTCCATGTACGTATCATTGGGGGAGGTAAGCACGAATTCCAAACAGGCTTTACTGGAGGCGTGAAAGCGTGAAAGCGAGCTGGAAATTTCTCTGAATACACGAACTTGGCATATCATGCAGTACTTTCTAGCCATAAAGGCAGTTCCTTCTAGATGACAAAAGGGGTAAAAGGAGGTGGCCCAAGCACGTGATTGCATGGAGTTCCTTTTCTCTCTCTTTTTCTTTTTTCGTTATCCTCAAGGTCCAGCAGGAAGTCACAGATTGGTCATGGAGGCATCATCAGCAGCATTTCTAATTATGACATAGCACCATTCCCAAGGTCGAGCCCAGTCCATTGTCCTGTTTCAACGCCAACATCGATACTTAGACCCCCCTTCTGCTAGTGGTAAGGCAAGGGAAGGGGTGTGTGGCCGGGCAACAGAAATCTGACGGAGGCAAGGGGGCAAGGGGTGCATGATGGGAGCATTCTCCAGCTTCAAATCCGCCGCAGCGCTACCATGAACCAGTGTATGAGATTCTCCGAGACACAAATCGACGGAAGGATTAGGACTTGGTGAGGCCAGGAACATCTTCTCTGTTCTTACGGTTCTGCCACTAACTAACTAACTAACAGCCCAGTCTATCTAGCAATGATAGCTGACTTGTCCCGACTCGAATCCCCCATTCCCCCAACGGAAATACCGTCTAGGTCTAGCACGTGAACTAAGTCCCGCAGTTAGCATCCCGCCTTCACCAAACCACCCACTCCACCAGGGGGTTCAGTTTGAACTTACCGGCGCTGGTCCTGGAACGGTGTAAGAGTTGAAGTTGTTGTAGATCTATTTCGTTGATTCCTGCGTCAGCATCTCGCCCTCTCTTGTCTCATTCCGCCCAAGCCTTAGGGATAGGGAGTTGCTGGGGAAGAAAGGAGGAAGGAAAAGGGGAGGGGAAATAAAGAGGAGAAACCCACGTTGGCCGTGTATCCCGGATCACTGGCCTTAAAGGCGCCGGGGATCTTGACGGTGGCCGGGTTTGCGCTGCCGCCGCCGGTGACGCTGACCTGCGCACAGCTGACGTAGAACTGCGGCGTGCTGCCGGGGTTGTGGATGGCCAGCGACTGGATGCGGAGCAGGTACTCGCCGTCCGCGACGCACTTGGGGATGTTGTACGTGTAGTCGCTCCGCATCGGCCATGACGCCTGCCCGCCCGAGAAGGTCGGGCCCCAGTCGTAGATCTTGAACCAGCCCCCGCTGCCGTCGTAATCGGCCGCTGCGGCGGGCGCCTTGGACATGTATCTGTTGTTGCGGGAGGGAGGACCTGTGAGTTCACTGCTGCTCGTCTGCCGATCGGGAGCAAATGGGAGGGAGCTTACAATGAGATGGGGCCTTGGTGATAGACGGCGACGTCGCTTGTGAAGGTGAAAGAATCGCCGGCCTTGAGCGCGACTGTGGTTGTGTTCCCGGTCTTGGATCCTCCCACGTTACATCTCAGGTCATTGGATGCCAAGTCTGTTGTTGAGGGGCGAGAAAAGTCAGCCTCGACGAGGGAAGTCCCGGAAATCCCCCAAAGGATGTCGGCATACCTGTGACAGGGGAGTTGTAGTTTGTGTTGTAGCGGATGTGCTCGTACTGCTGGAACTTCTGATTGCCGGCGGCGAGCTTGAGGAAGATGTAGTGAGCAGACACCTCGGTTGCGGCAAGCGAGAGGAGCGCCACGGCGGCGGAGAAGCCCTTCATTGTGCTGTTGAGGAGGTAGATGCTGGATGGGCAAGTTTGCTAGCTAAGGATTGAGGCTGAGACTTGACTTGATCTTGAAAGACTTGATCGATAAGATGTCTCTGAGGCGATAGATCTCAAAAATGCCAACACCGAGACCCTGTAGCTCTTTAAAAGGAGGATGGGGCCGCGTCCGCGATCGGACGGGCGGGCTCCGCAGGGTCAGTCAAGTGCCATTTGGTGGGGTTGAGGGCATGTAAATGAAACGGGCCGGCTCTCCATTTTGGTCCTTCTCCTAGGCGCTGAGAATTGCGCCAATACCGCAGGAAAATGCCTTTACGCATAGGGGGCGGAGACTGCAACGTAGGTCCTGCACCGGGCTGGGGGACGCGTCGAGCCTGGTTGTGCGGCGATAGTGAACCTGGGGAATACGGATTGGGCCGTTGGTCATGCGGTGGATCCGCCTCATAAACTGCCCGTAGAGTGGATAATATCGAGCCGCGTCCTCCCGTGGCTCCGTTTGCGGGGCCGTGTCCAATGCTGAGGCCTCGATAAAGCAAAAAAATATGACCGGGCATAGATGATTGGTCGGGGCGCAGTCCAACTCCCGACGTCATGTGTACCTCGAATGCCGAGATTGAGTCGACCAGTTCGTCTTGGCGTCCGTTGGACACGGCAGAGTTAATCAGACGTAGTAACTATGCTGTCAAATATCACATTTCTGGAGTTGCAACTGGAAAGTGTTCGTGGGATGGATCCATGCATGGAATTCCGCCTCCTTTAGACGCTCTTGAATTTCCTGGTTCTCGCTGCGCTAATGGTTCTCGTGGGATGATGGATACATCTGATTTACTCTCCTCTCCTCTCCATTCACGTGCCAGTCTCCTATACTGGTAGGGGCATACAATCTGATCAAGCTCACCGGATCCACCCCTTAATACCAACTGCTGGCCATGCTCGTCTCCCAACCGGGGCTAGAAAAGCTCGATTTACGAGCAAGTAAACAGCTCCGGGCCTGTGACTACTCTCAGCCGCGTGCTCGTGTTGAAGATGCTGTTGGGATTTCTTACCTGGAATCACGTAGTTGAACGGCTGCTTTACATTGTAGATGTCCAGCAACAATCCAGGATCGTTCGACTGCAGGTACTGTGTCAGCTTGCCGATGATCCGCAGAGACATGGGGATTACAGCTGACCTTGTAGATGCCTGGGATGCTGTGAGTCTTCGGTTTCACGGTGCCGGTTCCTCCTGAGATGTTGATTTGGGCACACTCCATCTATTTTGAGGTCAGTCTTCTGAGGCAAGATGTGAGGATGCCGAGTGTCTCACGTAGAGCTGTGCTCCGTTGACATCACGAGCACCGTGGAGGGCTATCATCTCGGCACGAAGAAGGTACTGCCCGTCTTCAATGCACTTGGGAATGTTGATGACCTGGTTTCCCTTGTTGTTGATGACCGTGTCGGTCCCCCACGTGCCCCCGTTCAAACCCTCCTGCTGAATCTTGAACCTGGCGGGGAAGGTTAGCAAGTTTCTGACGAGCGGGCGAGGAAGTCGGTGCCTTACCAACCGTCACCAACCCCACTGTCTGTCTTGGCGTTGGTGACCTTCTTCAAGTACGCCATGACGGGCCCCTGAATTCATTGCATGTTAACCATTGTGTCTGAGTTGGGCAACAGAGGGAGGTGGCAGACCTTGTGGCCAGCGTCCATAACATCGTTCGGGCCAGCTAGTTCAAGTTAGACAGTCGGGTCATTGCCACGTTGACGGCGCATCCTGGACTGACATTCAAGAGTGTGCCTCCAGACGGCAGACACACTGCTGCCGGCCTGGACCTCGATTATCTTATCGGAAGGAGTCGTGGGGTTGGGTGGCCCATTGCATGCGATATTTGCCGAGTCAGGAGTTTGAGGCTGGTGAAGCTGGTGTCAGAGAATAGCAGCCAAGAACGTTTAGAACGTAGAGTATGGACATACGCCATCGTACGATGGAGTTCTGATGGCGTAAGAGACCCCTTTTGACGAGTTAGCCTGCCGTAGCGACTTCCCAAAAGCTCTGGACAGGCGCCTGCCTACCATAAGTGGTGCCTCCTGCGGTAAGTTGCGTGAAAATAGTATGGGCAGAGGTAGAGGAGGCGCATGTTACTGCGGCAATGATCACGGAGGGCTTCATGATGGAAGATTGTGTATTATCTTTCACTTGCTTGGGGATATACGGAGCAGGAAAGAGGGCACAAGTTCGAAGTCGAAGGTTAACAGAGCCGGCTTCTAGGTAAGAATAAGAGAGACATGGTCAAAAACCTCAAGGCTTTATTGATATATCTGAACCACTAGCCATGATACCCGTGATCCGGCATCCGCGTGGTCTCCCGAGCATCACATCTATAGAGTCCTTGGTGTTTTCTGCCCGTTGAGACGTCATTGGGGCGGAAGGGAGGAGTCCGAACCGGGATAGGAAATGCTGGACAGGGTTTCCCCAGGCTTTTCCCGAGAGCCGCAGGTGGAGGGATGGGCAGATGAGCAAAAGGGGTACGGAATACATACGAGTAGCTCTGGTTTGGCGGCGGCAATGCAAGGTACGTACATACCTTCTAGGCCAGAACGACGCTGCAACGAATCGACCATGACTGTAGAAAGGGCGGCGCCGCGTTGCGGCAATCGCGTCTCTCCCCGGTTAGTCTTGGACGAGCCCCCGGATGAGAGAGAAAGAGAGAATATTCGATATTCGGTAGATCGATTCCACGACATGCCGTTCCCCGGGGCCGGCGGACCGCGCGAGTCAGAAGATAGGCAATAATAATAATCACGCCGTGCGTCAAATATAGCCTGATTCTGGCCCTGGGGGAAGAAGTGTTGCTTACGAGCAGTGCCTGCTTTGTGCTTTTTGAGGGGATGAAAGGGGGTGAAGCCAGCTGCCAGTTTATCCAAAGTGCTCTGATGATATACCGTGTTTTCGGTTAACCACCAATAATAGCAGGGCCATGATAAGCCAAATTTCCGCCAGCGCCACTGCCTCGCTTGCCAGCTGCCGCTTCTCCCCTTTTTTCCTAGCTTCTTTTCTCAGACGCCGCAGCACAATGCTGGTTCAATCAACCTCCAACAATTCAGGGACCAACATCCAGATGCGGGAAAGCAGTCGTGGCTGGCTCGCATCAACCATTCTGCGATCCATGGCACAACCTAGTCGGGAGTTGGAGAAAGGTGAAGCTTCTCAAGTTAATTATTTCCCAGACGTACTTGTCAATTCTTCAACAAATTCCTCCTCTCCTTTTGCCAGGGGCTGCTGTCCTCGGCGGCTTGGCGAACGGAGATATATGCTTCTTCTTCTCTTCTTTCTCCTTCTTCTATTGTGGCGCCTGGACAGACGACGGCAGTCGAGAGATGCCGGTCCAATTACGCAGCCCACTCCACTCCAATATGGGAGATCTCCAGGCTGCAATGCAGCCTGTCGCCCCAGCGGGTTCGTCTCCATAGCCTGTGCTCTCAACTCATGTACCCCAATCTGTGTAAATCCAAGGGAGAAAACGCTCCTCCCTGACCCGCAATCTACCCCGTCTCAATCCATCCTATCGGTGGCATCCCACATCCGCGCTCCGCTTCCGCTCCATACCATCGGAAATACGGAGACTGCCATTGGGGCTTCAGCTGCTTGTTGGGGCAGGGCGCAATGGCCTCGTCCCTGAAGCTTATTACTATTATCCCCCCTCCGCCCTGACCTCCAATCTTCTCGTGTTCAACCATCCGCCTCGACATCCCTGGTCAGTCCGTAAGGTTGACCACTCGCCTCCACAATGTCGACCCTTAGGCGCGTCGGTGCGGCCCTCGTGGCAGCTTCGCTATGTGTCGCTCAATCAACGCCGGTCATGTACAAGGATGAGAAGACGGGCATCCAGCTTGGCACCTGGGGCTACACCCCCGACGCGACCAGTGAGGACGACCCTGGTTTTGGAGCTTACACCTTCGGCATGGCTCTTCCTGAGGACGCCATGACGAAGGATGCCAATGAGTATATTGGTATCTTGGTATGGCGAACCATTCCCCCTTTGAGTCTGTATCACTGACCTTGAGCAGAGATGTTCTATTACCAGCCCGACTGAGACCGGCTGGTGCGCCGTCTCTCATGGTGGTTCCGGGCAGATGACGCAGGCGCTACTCCTCATGGCATGGCCGTACGAAAACGAGGTCCTGACATCGTTCCGCTACACCTCTGGCTACCAGCTTCCGCCCGTCTACAAGGGCAATGCGACCCTGACCCAGATCTCGTCTTTCGTCAATGCCACCACGTACGAGGTCATCTACCGGTGCCAGAACTGCTTCGAATGGGACAACGGCGGTGCCAGCGTGAAGGTGTCGACCACCGCCAAGTCCTTTGTCCTGGGGAGGGCCCAGGCTATCAAGAGCGTGACCAATCCTGGATGCCCCGACAAGATCAGCTTCGGCTTCCACGACGATGGTTATGGCCAGTACGGAGCTGCTCTCGACCAGATTGTCAACCCGTCATACAGCGCTTGGGCTGCTCTAGCTAAGACGGTTCCTAAGACCAGCTGCGACGACGCCGGGACACCGGCGGCCGGACCTAGCACAACTGCGGCGTCCCCTACCGCTACCGCTACCGCTACCGCTACCGGTAGTGCTAGCGGCAGTGCCTCCGGCTCCGCTACCGAAACTGATGCTCCTACCGCTTCCGCTTCCGCTTCCGCTACTGAGCCAGCTTCTTCTTCTGAACCCGCCTCCGCTTCCGAGCCCGCTCCCACTACCACTGGTGAAGCTCCCTCGGCCACCTCCGCGGCGCCAAGCTCGACCCAGGCTGCGTGCGCCTCAGTCCCGACCGGTTCGGCAGCCAAGACCTACGAGTACATCATTGTCGGCGGTGGTGCTGGTGGTATCCCCATGGCAGACCGGCTCAGCGCGGCTGGCCACAGCGTTCTCCTGATCGAGAAAGGCCCACCATCCACTGGTCGCTGGGGCGGCACCATGAAGCCGGATTGGCTGATCGGTACCAACCTCACTCGGTTCGACGTGCCGGGCCTCTGCAACCAGATCTGGCATGACTCGACTGGCATCGCTTGCCAGGACACCGATCAGATGGCCGGCTGCGTTCTCGGCGGCGGCACTGCTGTAAACGCCGGTCTCTGGTGGAAGGTAAGCACCCCATTCTATTTCCGCACGCGTTACAGCCGTTCTCAAGAGGGTCAGCGTGTGCTAACGAGGACCGCAGCCAAACCCCAAGGACTGGGACTACAACTTCCCCTGGGGCTGGAGGAGCGCCGACCTCAAGAAGGCCACCCAGGCAGCCTTCTCTCGCATTCCAGGCACGACAACGCCTTCGATGGACGGGAAGCTGTACCGCCAAGAAGGTTTCAACGTACTGGCCCAAGGCTTCAACGACTCCGGCTGGAGTTACGTGATCCCCAACGACGCTGAGACGCAGAAGAACCGCACCTATGGACACACCACCTACATGTTCTCCAACGGCGAGCGAGGCGGCCCGTTGGCGACCTATCTGCAGACAGCTAGCCAGCGGCCCAAGCTTTTCGATCTCTGGACCGACACTACCGTCAGGCGTGTCATTCGTACCGGTGGCCACATCACCGGAGTCGAGCTGGAGTGCAATGATGGTGGAGGGGGAAAGTCGGGTATCGTGAATGTTGCCCCTCAGCTCGGCAGGGTCATCCTCTCTGCTGGTACATTCGGAACCGCCAAGCTCCTGATGCGAAGTAAGTTTGAAGCCCACCCTCCGTCATGGGCCTCGAGAGGACAGTTTGCTAACGTGGATGCGTGACCTCAGGTGGATTTGGCCCTGCTGATCAGCTCTCGATCGTCAAGAACTCGGCCAAGGACGGCGCCACCATGATTCCCAGCAGCGACTGGGTCGATCTGCCCGTTGGTTACAACCTTGTCGACCACGTCAATACCGATACCATCATCACGCACCCCGATGTTGTGTTCTATGACTTCTACGAGGCATGGGACGCGCCGATCCCCGATGACAAGACCGACTACCTTGATAACCGGGCGGGCATCTTGGCTCAGTCTGCTCCAAATATCGGCCCCATGGTCAGTTGATGAAGAAAAGCAATTGCGACGAAATAGACCAGGTCGGGCTAACTCTTTCATTACAGTTCTGGGACGAGATCAAGGGCTCCGACGGCATCGTCCGTCAGCTCCAGTGGACTGCACGTGTTGAGGGCAACGATGCCATTACTGCCTCGAAGCGTGCGTGGCTCGCCTCCCTTTTTTATCTTTAGACGTGAATGCTGACCAGACCTGCAGACGCAATGACCATGAGCCAGTACCTGGGCAGAGGATCTCAGTCGCGTGGCCGCATGGGCATCACCGCCAACCTCGACACTGTTGTCTTGACGCCACCCTACCTTCATGACGAGTTCGACACGGAGGCTGTCATCCAGGGCATCAAGAACCTGCAGCAGGCACTGAGCGGCATCAAGGATCTCCAGTGGATCGTGCCATCCCCGAACATCACCGTCGAGGACTTTGTCAACAACGTATGAATCACGCTCCCCCATCAGTGTTAAAGCCCCCTCTTCCCAGCAGCCTACTGACCCACATCATAGATGGATAAATCCCCCGCTTCTCGCCGGTCCAACCACTGGATGGGCACGTCCAAGATGGGCTACGACGACGGGCGCCTCGGCGGCTCCGCCGTGGTCGACATCAACGCCAAGGTGTACGGCACCGACAACCTGTTCGTCGTGGACGCCTCCATCTTCCCGGGCCAGCCGACCGGCAACCCGTCGGCCATGGTGGTCGTGGCCGCAGAGCAGGCCGCGTCCCGCATCCTGGCCCTGAGGGCCACGACCGCCGGCGGCCTTGGCGCCCAGTGCGGCGGCAACAAGTGGACCGGCAGCTTCGCGTGCGCCAAGCAGTACGAGTGCAGGGTCCTAGACCCCACCTACTCGATTGTGAGTTTCCCTAGCGAGAGAGGGAGAGAGATGCTCCTCCCTATTGCTTTAGCTCGCGTTTCCGTTTTTGCTGACCGACATTGTGTGTCTGTAGTGCGCAAAGCCAGCCGGTACCACCCGCCACTGAGGGTAGCGAGACGTGTCCCTCGCGGGAAAGGAACCCCGTCGAGGCGATGGCTGGCAGATCGCCCTCCTCTTGGGTAACCGAGCTGGGTATATTAGTATGGATAATATGTTTCACATACCAGAAAAGGACCGTCTTTTAGTTTTTTATATCCCAATTGTATATATTTTTTTTGAGGAAGTCGTACATAAACGACGAATTCGATCAACTCTGACTTCTGCCATCGCTTCTCTACCTTCCGTGCTGTTAAAGATGCCCAAATCTGACTGGTTGGTTTAGCCAGCAGGAAAATGCTGGGTGGGGAAATGTTGTTTAGGCAGAAGGAGCCCCAATCTCTGCTGGCGATCATAACTGGAGACATGGCGGGATATCGGTTCGTTGGATGAAGACAATCTTGCCATTTCGCGTGTGCCAATCTGGCAGTTGTGTGTTTGTCCTGGCTGTCTTCATCCTGGCTGTATTCGAAGCCAGATCATGTGACTGGTCATGTGAGGGCGCAAGTGTTTCGCGATAAACAACACCCCCACTTTGGATAGGTGCATATCGTACGTCATGGGCGGGCGTCATGATCCCCCTCAACGTCTCTGGAGAGCGACCATCTCAGTCTTTCATTCGGCATTGAGAGACAACCGAATACAGCGTAAAGCCCCGAACTGAACCAGCGGATTCAGCCATGTGCGGCCGCTACGCCCTCGCTCTGGTAAGCTCAGCCTCGCCGGCACTCAAGCTCCACCACCACCACCACCATGCTAACCCCCCTCCCCCCCACCACAAGCGACCCTCACAGATCCGCCAGATGCTCGAGGACGACGACATGCCCGTCTACGGAGCGCCTGCAGACGAAGACGATGACGCCGACGCCGACGAAGACGAGGCGGGGCCCCGGCGGAGCTACAACTTTGCACCAGGGTACCGCGGCGTCGTCTACCGCGCCGATGCTCCCGTGAGTGGGGGAGGAGCCGCCCCCGCTGCGGGGGAGCGAGGTGGCCGCGGCGGTGGCGAGAGTACGGATGGGGATGGGGGTAGGGGTAAGGGAGGGGCCGGGGACGAGGACGAGGACGCTCCTGTCATGGACGGTGCGGACGCGGAAACGGATGCGGAAACAAACACAGCGGCGCCAGCGCCAGCGGCCAGCGACGGAGGAGGGACGGGAGAAGTATCAGGCAAGGAAGGCAAGACAGGCGGATCTGGACCAGTAGCCGGGACGCGGTACATCCTCCAGACGATGAAGTGGGGCCTGGTGCCGTCCTGGACGCGGCACAAGGCAGGCTTCTCGGCCAAGACGATCAACTGCCGCGACGACAGCCTGGCGCGGCCCGGCGGGATGTGGGCGTCGATGAAGGCGCGCAAGAGGTGCGTCGTCGTCGCGCAGGGGTTCTACGAGTGGCTCAAGCCGCACGGGCCCAGGGGGGACAAGGTGCCGCACTACGTCCGGCGCGCCGACGGGAGGCTGATGTGTCTCGCGGGCCTGTGGGATCGCGTGCGGTACGAGGGGGATGAAGCGGGGGGGAAGTACACGTACACGTACACCATCGTCACGACGGACAGCAACGAGCAGCTGCGCTTCCTGCACGACCGTATGCCCGTCATTCTGGATCAGGGGTCGGATGCGATGCGCGCTTGGCTGGACCCGGGCCGGGACAAGTGGTCGGCGGAGCTGCAGGCCCTGCTGAGGCCGTATTCGGGGGCCCTCGATGTGTACCCTGTCAGCCGAGAGGTCGGAAAGGTTGGCAACGACTCGCCCACGTTCATCATCCCCGTTGCGAAGGAGAAAAAGGGGGGCATTGCTAACTTCTTCGCCAACGCGGCGGCGTCGTCGCCGAAGAAGAGGAAGAAGGAGGACGAAGAGGAGGGCGAGGGTGTGAAGGTCGAGCCTGGGGTGGAAGTGCGACAGGCTGGTGCGGAGGGGCCGGATACGGTCATGTGCGAGACGGTTGACGAGGCGGCGGGGCCGGGTGCCAAGAGGGAGGCCTCCTCGCCACCGCCGAGGGTAGAGCTGCCCCCGGCTAAGAAGGGCCCGGCGGCGGAGGCTGTTTCGCCGGTCAAGGGTCGCACCCAAATCAGCGCGACGAGTAACGCATGGAAGAGCCCGGGTAAGGCGGGGAAGAGCCCGAGCAAGGCGAGGGGTAATGGGAAGGGGGACGGATCGCGGAAGATTACGCAGTTCTTTGCTAACAGTACCTGAGTTTGGGGTTCCAAACTGGTCTGCCTATCTGTTGAACGCAATCATGAATGTAATAGGAATGCGGTGCAGATATTGGAGTTGATGGTTGGGATTTATGACTTGGCTATGTACGGCGTTTTGGACTGGCGAATCGGTAAGTCGGGGGAACCTCTGAGGGTAGTTACACCCTCATTCTCCAGTGGAGGATTTGCTACGCTGCCTAGCTTTGATAAATGGAGCTAGCGACGACCGCAGCTGAGGCGGTGAGACATTTCTCGGAGTCGTCGATGAACATTGGTAGAGGATCAAAAGGACAGCAACGCTCCCGGTTCAGAAATTCTACCAAGGTGAATGCCAGAAATGCCGCGAAGGGCATCACACAGTGTCACATCAGAGCAAATGACCCGAGCAAAATTCAAATTGTGAGGGTGTAAAAACGGGCACTTAAAACGGGAGCCAGCGGAGGCAGCCGGGAGTGGATCTAGCATGTTCGGGAGGTTGGTCGGCACTGGTCGGTAACACTGCCATGGTGGATGCTGCGGTGGCAAAGCCGTAACCACAATCGTCATCAGCTGATCGGAGTCACCGCACTCTAGCACTCGGCCACTGTAGACCAGTGATTTCTTCTCTCTCCAAATGGCGCCAATGCAGGTGTCTCTCATGGAACAGTCGAGCAGAAAATACTGAGGACAATCCATGTCACGGCCACGGGATCCGGCTGGGCAGGCCATGGTGTGCCCACTGTCCATCAACTGCACCAACCAATCCTCCATGTGCTGGATCCACGCCACGCGGTCACCAGTGGCACAACTCATGCATGACGCCGAGGAGGGACACTCACTGGTGATCATACCCTTGTTGCGTGACACCATGCCGATGGCCTGTCGATCTTCCAGTAAGAACGTGAACTACACAAACGTATTTTATCACACTCTCAATTTTTACCAGGTTCAAATGTAGGCTCCCTCAATCGTAATCGCATACTTCTTGACCCCATTTCGCGACTTCAGCAACTCGTCAACATTTCAGGTGCCTTGTCACAAATTCAACCAAGATGCCCGCCAAATACCCACCACACAACGACAGGGCATTTCGCAACGTCCATGCATGGGACGATGGATTTGAGTATATCCGCCCAGATGCAAATGGTCCCAGCAGAGACCCTTCAACTCCCGACATCTCTCCACCACTCGCACCATCGAGGCCGTTGAATAGAACATCTCGATATGAGCCAGACCGCCTCCCCAGGCCCCCACTAGGCCGGGACGCCGACTCCTACAGGAGGTCCCGGCCCCCCTCCCCCCCACCATCCGACCACGCCCGCCCGCGGCGCAGCCGTCGGGACCGCAGCCCCCCACCCCCATACGCCACCCCGGGGCCGACGCGCTCCCCGACCCCGCCCCGCAGACGGGACCGGGACGACAGGCGGGCCCGCGAAGCAGCACGCTACCCCCCATCCGCCTCGGCGGCGCGCAGACCGCCGCCCCCGACCAGATACGACACGGCACCACTACCGGCACGCCGCGGATCCTCCCGGCGTGGGCACGGCGGCGACAGCCCTCCCCCGCGCCGCCGCAGGGCCATCTCACCATCGCCATCCCCGCCCCCACCGCGCACCCGCCCAAGGCCCCGCTCCCTCGATCGGGGCGCCCGGACCCGCGACCGCGATCGCGCCCTGACCCCGCCCCCCGACAAGAGGCGACCGCCCGTGACGCGGTCCAAGACGACGGGGGCCAAGGGCAGCAGCGGCGGCGGCAGCGGCGGCGGGGGAGGTCTCGGCCTCGGCATCGCCCTCGGGCCCCGGTGGCAGGCTGCCGCGTCGGCGGCTGTCAAGTCGGGCGCGGCGGCGGCGATGAGCATGCGGTCGCAGCCCGGGGCGTGGGCGGGCGAGAAGGGGGCCAGGGTCGCTACTGCGGCGCTGAGCGCTGCGGCGATGGATGCGCTAGCGGGGAGGAAGGCCGGCGGTGGTAGTGGTGGTGGTGGGGGGCGGGAGGAGAAGGCGAGGGGCGGGGGAGGGGAGAGGAGGAAGAGCGGGGTTGAGGGGCTGGGGGGTGCGCTGGGGGGGATTTTGTTGGATCAGATTGCGAGGAGGGGGAGTAAGAAGGAGAAGAAGCGTTGAGCTGGGGGGCGGGGGGCTTGCTTGAAGGACCTGGATATCTGCAGTTGCATAGATTGGGTAGAAGTACGGCGTTTGTTTGCAATGCTGCGCGCAGCATGGATGTGTTTCCAAGAGACGAGATTAATACCAACTCTTTTCCCCGTCATTGCCGGTTTGCATCCCTAGCTACATAGACAAAAGCAAGTTGATTTGAGCTTCTGGTTTTAGCATCACACTGTGTTGAGTGACAGGGTCGTAAAACAGCAACCAAATGGCCGAAAGGGAAGGAGACAAACGCATCCCTGAAAATAGTGCGACATTCTCAGTTGAGGGAGTCAGCCGAGCCAGGTCCTATGATTTAAGGTGGCTTAAGATATAACGACTTCTGTCGAGCTGATAGTTGGGATTTCAACTGACGTTGATATGGTCGCACTGGTCTGCTTCCGGGAACATCCTCGATATTGTGATCCGCAAGCTAACTGTCCACTGGTGCCAAGGAGCAATAGACGAATACAACAGATGTATGGGAGACGATGCGGAAGACAGAGACTATCACCTTCTATAGGGTTGCTTTGTCAAATGTTGCATCTTATGACATTGGTGGTCTCCAAGATAGCATTAACTTTGGTTGACCTTTCACTTTATTTTCAAACCCATGCCAGCTCCTCCCTCGAAACACTGGGGGATTTTCTTCCTCCTCTCGACTGCCTAGCTTCTCAACCTCACCTCCCTGGGAACCCTCATGCCCTTCCTAGTCTAGAGCTCGCACTCGGAAAGTGGTTATCCTACGCCCAACACGTCGAACTGCTTCCAGACATGCCCCTGAGAGAACCATCCTGGTCATAGATAGGATGTGACGGCCAAATTGGCCTCCGTGTTGAGGACCGATACGCTAGGGGTACGTTTGATCTTCCAGCTACCTTCATTGTGACGCGTTCTGATTACACGTCGACAGCCTCGAGCTGGAAATGCTGTGCTACGCCCTGGGGAATCAACTATCAACCGACTGCCCGAACACCCGTCCATGGTAAGCGCCTATCCTAGCTCACAAATCCCCAAAGTCTTAATATCAGTAGTCTAGATCCTGCCGCAGACATCTTAACAAGCCCGCTTCTAATGGACAAGCATCAACAATAAACTCGAACTTTTCAGGCCAATCATCCTCCCATATGAAGTCAATGAACATTCCAGCATACTGCCAATAGCTCGGATACCAACCAGCATCTTCCCAGTCTACGATGGCACTAACATATAGGCAACTCTCGTCGCCATTGCTTGATTCCGACATACCCCTGGACACAATAATGTTTTTGCGCTGCAGGTCTGTGTGTATGAAAACGCTTGGGTGACCTGTGAATGCCGTGGGGAGGTTCCGCGCGAAGAACTCCGAAGTCCAGCTCCGACGAGTACCATTGTCTGCCCAGTTTCCCTGCGACCGTAAGGCCAGGGCTCTGTGAAAGTCCTCCTCGTTTTTAAAAAGGCCGGTGATCTCGGTTTGGACCTTCCATGAGAGAAAGAACCGATGAAGCAACGGACCTCCACGGACGCTGCAAAACGTCCCAGGGGAAGGGATTTTTCGGACTTTGCTAAAGATGTCTCTCAACTGACCCGCAACAGACAGTTTCTCATCCTCTGACATGTCTTCCAGACTTCGCTGAGTTGGACCCCATGGATAAATTCCATGATCAAAAAGATCCGGTCGTCCTTGCGATACATGGCATAGAGCCGGGGGACTGGGATGCCTGAGTACCGTCGAAGAAGTAGAAGGGCGTGTCCTTCATTTTCTGATACCCAAGGCGAGATTCCGTGTTTGACGACGAATTTTTCCCTGTCGAGGACGATTCTTTTGTACATTGGCTCGATGGTACAAGGAAGATCATGCGTTGCCCCTTCAATCTCATCAGGTGTCGGCAACGGGGCAGGTAGTTTTTTGGCGTCGCAGAAATATGGGAGTTCCGGAGCAGGCAGGGTCATATTGAAGAATAATCCGTTGTTCAACAAGGTGAAGTTCAGAACGATCTTAGTGATGGTGGGGTGCCTTACTTCGTAGGCCCTGCGCCTGTATTACAGGCCTACTTCACGGTGGAGCGCACTCCTCGATCAGGTTGGATGGGATGGGGACGGTATGGTCAATAGATCGATCTCTTTGGAGGTTGGGCGTTGGCTCCACATGATATACAAGTGTAAAACACCACGCCAAGCTCTCATATGTAGAGCAGGCACCTCACGGGCGGCCCCTTACAGGTAAACGGAATCCACAAGGATATGCGCATGCATTCGAACTAAGGTCTATAGAAATGCACCCTTCGAAAGTTGGTTGCATTTTTGGGTTGTGCCGCTTTCCCGCCGCACACTCACTCCACAGGTTAAAGGGGCAGCAGCACCAGCCTTCTCACAAACATGGAAATGAGAGAGCGTAAGATTCGGGGAGCATTTTAATTTACAATAGTAAGCAAACTGTTGCACGGGGTTTTTCCAGTGTTGGGGCGGCATTACCTCTCTCTAAAGGAATAGAGAGTATCTGTCTCGCTTTCTCCTGTCAAGCAGCATGAGAGTCCATCCACCTCCTTACCTAACTACATAGGTATTATTCTAGGGGGGATATACTTTTGGCAAAGGCAAAGTGATGTCAAGATATTCAGCAAAGCACATCCCCTGCGTCAGCATCAGGTCTCCTGTACATGTACCCCTTTTCCAAGCATCCAGCCCTCGTTGGCATGCAAACCGTACCATCTCGGGCAATTTCTATCCTCTAAATGGATGTAGGTAGGCCAATGCGAAATTCCATCATTGTTTCCATGGTGTCATGATCATCAATTGGGCGTCAGGTATACGTCAGGGTGGTTCCGGGCTTCCGCCAAACCTGATGGGCGTCTGAGGTACCCCGGCACACAGAGGAATGCCTGGAGCTGCAGAAGTATCGGCTGCCTTTGTTCCTGGACCGGCGCCGGGTCGGCGTTGTTGAAGCACAGAATGCCGTAACTTTAAACTCGCCGGGATCTACCCGATCCGATCCACACTAATGCACCGGTTTACTCAAAATTGCAAAGAGACACTGCATCAAAACGAACTATTAATCACCACGCACAAATGATGTGTAAATGTCGCCCCCTCCGGCTGCGGCGGAATGTGATAAGGGGTGGTAAGCGTCACTCAACAATTCAGTCATGCATGACGTTAGGGATTATTCATGAAGGCGCCGTATCTTGGATCTAAGTTTGTATAAGTCGAGCGTTGGCACTCCTGAATGAGCGAGCGGTCGATCCAATTTCGCTCACTTCCCTGCCTCTGCACTGCGCTTCTGGACCGGGAATTTTTTTGTCCAATGCCTCGATCGACTCAGCTCGTCTGCGCGAGCCTTTTGGCTCTTGTAGTTCCTTCAATCGCCGTTCCGGGAGTTCCTCCACTTGTCGTTCCTAAGGCAAACAGCTTGTCTACCACCTCTGCCGCCTCGACACCATCCTCCTCGGCCGCCTCTAAATCATCTTCCTCGGCCGCCTCTACACCATCCACCTCGTCCATCTCTACGCCACCCACCGTGAATGCCACCAATGTGACCTCTCACGGTCCTTTCACGGGTCCACCAGCCACAACCACAGGCGCAATATCGACCAGCATACTCGCCTCGTCGATACCAGCATTGCCCCCTGCCCCAGGTGCCTTTGCTTATCCAGCGAATGGTAAACTCAACGCGACCCAGCCGGCGCCATACACGCCTGCTGGCGGCCTGGGCACGAACGGCTCCGCCCCTGTCTACCGCCCCCTGTCGGACTTCGACTTCCAGTCCGTCGCACTGGCTCTTTACCAAGAATGGATCGAGCTGGACTTGTTCCACTGGGGCCTCGCAACGTTCTCGGCCCAAGAATTCGCGGCCGCGGGCCTGACGGCTGAGGATCGCTTCCTCATCCAGTTCATGGCGGAGCAAGAACTCGGGCACGCAACAGTTCTCACCAACATGCTCGGCCCCGCGGCGCCGGTGCAGTGCACGTACAACTACCCCATATCCAACGTGCGCGAGTTCATCGACTTCTGCCAGAAGCTCACTCGCTGGGGCGAGTCGGGCGTGTACGGCTTCATCCAGCACCTGGACGCGCGCGACATGGCGCAGATCCTGCAGCAGTCCATCTCGACCGAGGCGCGCCAGCAGATGATCTTCCGCCAGTTCGAGGGCCTGTTCCCCATGCCCGTGTGGTTCGAGATTGGCACCCCGCAGTCCTGGGCCTGGACCCTCCTGTCGCCCTACATCTCATCGTGCCCCCGCAATCAGACCCGCCTGATCTGGCAGAACTTCCCGGCCCTGTACATCATCAACCAGCCCAACCCGGCCCGCATCAACGGCTCGGCCGCGGTCAACGAGACCACGGGCGGCTACGCCAACGCCCTCAACACGACCGGCGTCCCGCGGGCCGACGACTGCTTCCTGGGCGTCAACTCGTCGGCCGTGGGGCGCACCTGCGCGCCGGGCATCACGCGCAACCGGTCGGAGCCGCTGTCGCAGCCCGGCAGGCTCGTGAACCTACGGTGGGACGCGCCCGGCAAGCCCGTGGGGCCCAACAACAGCTACGTGACCGACACGACGGCGGGGAAGCCGCGGTTCGCGCTGTGGGTCACGCAGCTGAACGCCACGTACACGCCGCTGCTTAACGTCAGCGGGAACCAGGCCTCCACGGTGCAGCCAGACCTGGAGACGTTCGCGGGGGACCCGGCCGTGAACGGGACCATCTTCTTGGCGATTACGGATGATGATCTGTTTGTTACGCCGTTCAACCTGAGCATGGTTAATCCGCGTGTCAATGCGCTGGCCATCTATCAGGCTGGTTGAGGCTGGGTAAGGGGGTTTGTGTGTGTGTCTCAGAGAGGCAACAAGGGAGATCTCTGTGGGAAATGTGACTGTTGGATAGAAATATGATAATCTGGTGTAAGGGTATTGATATCGAGCAACAGCCATCCCCTCTTTTCATTGTCAGCTGCGAGGCTATTGCGAAGCCCCGTGCGACTTGTCATACTTAGATAGCCACAACACATTGTTTCCCTGGAAACGGGCCCCATACAAAGCCATTCTATCTTTAAGTTGAAACGACAGCCAGGGCTCAAACAAAGTCCCAGTAGCCACGCCGCCCGGCCTCTCAGCCTCCAGCTTTGTCGCACCCCGACTCCGACTGTATCTCTGTGCGCTAGTCAGGATGGACCTCAGGGGCTCGCCTCCTATTCCAGGGGGCATCATTGTTCAAATCAGCCTTGCCGAAGAGGCGGAAGATTTAGCCCCTGGCTTCAGGGCGTACTCGTCGACTACAGTCATTCATGGCGTTCGCCCGTGGCTGGCTTTCTTTCACCCCGACGACACCGGTATTCCTTCGGTCAGGATGTTGAGAAATGACGGTATCAACAAAGACACAGCAAGGATCTGTGCTGGTGGCTCTTGATTACGGTGTCGATGGGCAGAGGAAACTTGGATATAAATGCTACGCTTTCCCATCCCGTCTCCTGGCTTTCTCGACACAGACTTCTCCTCACCCATCGAGATCAGGCATCAGACCTACAGCAGCAAAGGCAAAGACAGCATCTGCATCTTGCCATCCTACCCCAGACACGCATCCTCACCCTCTCACTCACTCGACATGGCTTCGACGATGGGCAACAAACAGAAGAACCAGGCAGTCGCGGCGCCGCGGCAGCAGCCCAACGGCAGCAACAGCAACAGCCTCCCAGTTGCGAAGCCGGCAGCAAAGGGGCCCCCCCGCAGGTTCGTCTTCTGCGGCCACTGCAGCAAGCTGGTGACGCCGCGGTGCGTCGGGAAGGCACACATCGTCCGCTGCGGCAGCCACTGGACCTCGCGCCGACGGTAAATCGGGCATGGCATGGCGATGACGCGCATTGCGGCCCGGGGTGGGGGGAAGAAGGACACTGGTTGTGGGTGGCGACGGGAGGGTAGGGAGGGGGAGGGAAGGGGAAGGGAAGGTTCGAAAGGGTTACCCTGGCGGTTTCCACCTGTGGAGAAGGGAGGGGGGATGTTGGGGGAGACTGAAAGGGAAGGTTGTGGGATGAAGGTAGCGGTATGGTCGTACAACACTCATCCAATGCCAAACGGGCCTGTCTGAGTAATAAATGCACTTGCTGCTAGCTTTTGACGATGAGCAAATTATGATCATGATCTCCTTGGTGAACTTCCTCTTGAAGGCCTATATCTGCTCTGTTATGGACATCGCTTAGCCTCTGCTTTCCGCCGGGAACATTACGGTAGATCGGCAACTTATGATGATGCGTCTATTATACTATCTTTAGCTCTGCTTGTAGGTAATCATACACCAGTTTATGTTCAATGTGAGAGAGGATTGGCAAATCTAAACCTTGTGGAACAAATACAGAATTAGGAAGCTCTCAGGCATATTGTGGTACAGGCAATCTAAAGTTCCTAGCCTCAGTCTTTTGTCTTTTACATATTATCAAGTGAGAGCGTAGTTGTGTAATTAATTAGTGTCCTGGCCAATCGATCGCAACGCTTGGAGCTGGGGGTGCTGTCAAGTTGCAAATCATTGACCAAATGGGGGGGCGGCTCAGATGGGCCTGCTTACATCGAATGTAACTGTATGCAAATCCATTGCCCAATTACCGGGCTGTGGTATGTACTTTCGGGAGGGACCTTCCTACAAGGGACGAAATGCATTACCGGGTCACGAGAAGTTGGCATCTCCTCTTCAGTCTGCGAATGGACATTCCAGTAGGTAACTCGAGGGGGGGGGGGTCCTTTGACGTAAACTAGAGGGGGCATTGGGGAGATCATGCCTCTTCTGACGGCCATCGACTGCATGGCTTGCGCAGAATCATGACAATAAGTATTGATTAACCCCCTCTCATGCGCACACCAATACAGAAAGTTAGCTTCGCGCCGAGGTCAACAGGTCCACACCAACAAGCATGATGAACTGGACTGAGTTGCTTCCAACGGCTCTGCTCCTCTCCGGAGCTCTGGCCGCTTGCCTAGGATCTACACCGAGGAATGGCAACCTCACCATACGAACGGCAACAGGGTTTTACACGGGGCTGGTGGACAGCGAGTTCCCCAACACCCGCCAGTTTCGGAACATCCCCTATGGCCAACCACCTATCGGCAAGAACAGGTGGATGCCGCCCGTGGCGGCCGCTGCGTCGGACCGCCACTTCTACTCGTACAACTATCCGCCACCGTGCCCGCAGTACCTGCCGGCCAAGCTGTCCGTCTGGAACTCCAACATCACCGACTTCTCGATCGACGTCTCCGGCCAGAGCCACACGGCCGGAGACTACGCGCAGACGACAGCCGAAGATTGCCTCAGCCTCGCCATCTGGACGCCGCTGAACGTCAGCGCCGACGCCAAGCTCCCGGTGGCGCTCTTCATCCCCGGCGGCAGCTTCCTGCGCGGCGGCGTCAACGTGCCGTACCAGGTCCCCGCCGGGTGGGTGGAGCGCAGCCAGAAGCACATCGTGGTGACGGCCAACTACCGGCTCAACATCATGGGGTTCCCCTGGGCGGCGGGGCTGGAGGACCAGAACCTCGGGCTGCTGGACCAGCGCCTGGCGCTGGAGTGGGTGCACGCCAACGTGGCAGCCTTCGGCGGCGACCGGGACCGCATCACTATCTGGGGCCAGTCGGCCGGCGGCGTGTCGGTCGACATGCTCATGTATGCCTTCCCGGACGAACCGCTGGCTGCGGGCGTCTTCATGCAGAGCGGCACCGCCATGGTCAACATCACCTACCCGGCCTACCAGCACACCAATTTCACCTTCGTGGCCCGGAACCTCGGCTGCGACTTCCCTGATGACCCGGCCGCCGAGCTGCAGTGCATGCAGCGTGTGCCCGTGGCCCGCATCACCAACTTTGTCGGGCAGTACGCCGACAACGGGACGGGCCTGCCGCTGGGCTTTCCTCCGAGGCCCGATGAGCGGGTTGTCTTTTTCAACTACACGGCGCGGGCGGCTAAGCAGGGCGGGCTGGCACGGATCCCGGCGCTGGTCAGCACGACGTCCAACGAGATGTCGACGCTGTTCGCGTACCCGGTCGACGACGTGGCGGCGGGGCCGAACGCCACCCAGGTGGACGAGGCAACCGTGTCCGGGTTCGTGTGCCTGGCCAGCAACGCGACGGACGCGCGGGCAAAGGCGGGCCTCACGACGTACCGGTACCAGTACGCGGGCAACTTCTCCAACCTGACGCCGCTCCCGTGGATGGGCTCGTACCACGCCAGCGACATCCCTCTGCTGATGGGCACGTACGAGAGGAACAGCAGCGCGACCGACTTCCAGAGGCGCGTCGCCGAGACCATGCAGGACTACCTGTTCGCCTTCATCTCCGACCCGCTGAACGGCCTGAGGGCCAAGGGCTGGCTGCCGCACAACGACCCCGTGGCCAAGGGGGGACCCATGTTGAGGTTTGCCGCCGACGGGAAGGTGGAGCAGAATCTGAGCGCGACTGAGATAGATAATGCCTGCGTATCTGGTGCGCCGTACAATTCAAGTCCTTGAGGTTCTCTTCGGTCAGGGAAGCGGCTTTGCGCTGAGAGAGTGGGTGAGAGATTACACGTGACTTTGGATCCTCTTCATATTCCCCGTCAGTCACCGATCAAATCAACCCGCATCCTTCCTTGGCATGGTCACTTGATATAGAAGCAAAAGCTAGCAAAACCCAATTTCAAAGGAAACATTACCTTGGCAAATATGACCGAAGACTCAGGCCAGAGACCAGAAAATCCAACAGTTTCTTATGTAGCAACACTAACATGAACTAGATTCTGATGATTACATTCCTCAAATTATCTTCCACAAGCCATTCAGAAGCATCGTTACACAGATGGATCCCTACACAGTCGAAAAACGAGGGATGAACGTTAAGCGGAACGAGGAACAGGCCTTGCTCCTGGTTACACAGTGTGCTCCCGACGTTCTAGTCCCCAAGATGTACTTCTCTAGCTTCACAACTGCCGCCGATGGCCTTCCTACTAGCAGCATATATATGGATTTTATTGAGGGACAGGTCTTGACACCGGTTTGGCCATCACTCAGCAAGGAAGTTAAGGAACGAGTGTGCCGTGACATCTGGGCTCTCATTGGCAGGCTGCGCCAGATCCCCCGCCCGCACTCCCTCAACCCTTCTGCGTTTTACACCACAGTCGACGGCTCCCCGATTCACCACCCAATGCTAGGTGACTGGGATGATCCGTGTCCTGTCCTAACGGACGACAAGGCTTTCCGCGATCGGATCTTTGCCCGTTTCAAATCCCACAACGGCCTGTCGTATCCTGACGGAAAAGACCTACCAAAGATGCTCCCACATTCAGACCGCTCCGTCTTCACTCACGGCGACATCTACCCCAGGAACATCTTGATGGATAAGCAGATTCGGATTGTGGGAGTCCTTGATATGGAGGAAGCAGGGTTCTTTCCAGACTACTGGGAATATGCCAAGATGCTGAGACCCATGCCAGAATGTGATGAAGAGTGGCAGGCATACATGAGGGCGACGAAGCCGAGTAACCAGAACTGGGATATTACTGGGCTTGATAAGGCTCGGCGGGTTTTGTTCTAGCCGACGCTGACGTGAGAGCATCCTAAGACAGGTTATACCGATGCGCTTTAGTTTGAAGTCCCAAGTGAGAGTGAACTACGACTCAACCTATAATTTTCCGCGACATCAACGCCCCGTCTCCAGAACATGGTATCCTCAACCAATACATTTCCAGTGAATAAAATCTATTATCCATTCACCCAATCCAATATGGCATCACTCAAAGCTTCTCCAATATTTCAAGTTTGCTTCGCCGTTTTATCCCTTCGGTGTTCTCTCTGTTCCCTATTCTCAACCTCAGCTTCGAATCTAAACCATTTTCTCTTCTCTCCCAGCAACAGCCGCTGCTGCCGCGATCGCTGCATTCCCTCCGTCGCCATCCTTGCCTCATGAGATTCGACAGATAAATGATTAGATCAACTGTGCTAGTCACTACACCAATAGGCACAAGATGCGCGATGGTTAGGTACTGTACCTAGGCAAAGACGATGCATGCAAGAGGTAGGTATGCGACTACCCAACAAGACAGGAATGAGACGCAGTAGCTAAGTGTTTCCCATGCTGCCAGAGTCAGCGCCTTCTCTAGCATCTTGGCTGGCATTGTCATGGCCCTCATCTTCGCTAGAACGGCCTGAGGCGGCCGTGTCAGCACGTGTTCCGTCATGGTCAAACCGCAGACGCTTAGAGCCTCGGCATCGAAGAGCTCTGTCGTGTGCGAATGGGCTATCGCCGTCCAAGTCTGTGTCAGCACGGCGGTAGTCCTAATTGCCGGCTTGTCTTTGGGGGCCATAATGTCAAGGACGTTTTCTAGCTGTGACACGACAGCTTCCCAGTGAATATCATGGGGTTGTCGCCGCGCAGGCAGACGTCGTCTGGGTCGCTGATGGAAATGCGGGCTAGCTTGGGCCAGAGGAGGGGAGTAGGGGTGGTTGTCGGCAGGAAGGGCGCGGATGGGGAAAAGGGATGAAGGGGTTGTTGTTGATGTGTGGGGGGCAGGACCCTGAAAGAGAAGACCGAGCCTGCCAAGGGCAAGAAGGCAGCGGCTGCAAAGAAGGTCACCTTCGCCGCTGGACCCGAGGTTGAGGCTGGGTCTAGCACCAACGGCCCAGTCCCAAGCCCCATCGGAGATGTAATCACGGTATGCGCCAGCGGCCTGGAGACTGACAGCGGCACCCCCATCTAGGACTCGTTCACGGGGCCCGAGACGCCCACCCCCTTCGCGCAGGGGTACAACGCCTCCAGCTGCTCAACGCCGCGGGCCTGTCCACCCCAACTTAGGCATTCCGCTACTGCGAGGTTTGTTCGGCGGCATGTCGGCGTCTTCTTCTTAAAATGTCAGCTTGGTCTGCGTCTTCGCCAACCTTGTCTGGATCCTCCTTAGGAGAGGTAGCTGATGGTGGGGGGTTAAGTTCTGCAAAGACCCTCTCACTCCGTTTGATCTCCTGGGGTCCTGGGTACCGTCCAACTCAAGCAGGGGACAATGATGCGATAGTGGCAGGTGAGGTCCCTTATGGTCGAACGAGAAGCTACCGAACGCAGCTTATGATCGAGAAGATACCGGATAAAGGACGGTGGGGTAGTCTAGGCGGGTTGTATATACGTTAGTTTCGAACCATCTATACAACGGCGGGGCGCCGGGGGTTTGGGGGGTAACGTAACGAACTCTCGCGAGATTCTCCATGCCTGCCGGGAACCGGAGAGCCCCAGTTCGATTACGGCCCAATCCACATGCCAACCCTCGACCGTACCCTAATCCGACAGTCCCTAGGGTGCAATACGTGGAGTCGACGGCGGCAAGGCGGTTCTAGTCCTCTGCAAAGCTTGTCGGTATCCATCCACGAAGGCTCGGCTTTGGCGTCTCGAATGAGGTCTTTTAAATCGTCATCGTGCTCCTCGCGAAAGCCTTCCAGGTCGACTTGGGGGGAGGCCAAAGGAGTAGTTTTCTTTGAAAAAGACACGTCGGCGGAAAAGATGCAATCGGTAAACCTGGCATGGGCAATGGACCTACCCGAAACGACGTGGTGGCAGGTTACCGCCACCGTCTTCTGGCCCGTAGCCTGTGTGATCTTGGCAAAGCCGCCAAGGTACCCCAGATCTCGCCGTCCGCTAGGGCCATGGGAGCGCCGAGAAGGGAGGGATTTGTCGACTTTGTCGACTTTACGTGGAGAATTGCTGCGCGTGCATGAGCCTAGAGTTAAAGCAATTCCTGCCTTATGTGTGGTAGGGGGGCTTAAAGGTGTGTAAGGGGGTGCGTTAGGTGCGCGCCAGGTGTGCGCTAGGTGCTTAGCGCGGGTACAGGTCACGTGGCCTGAGCCGATGTGAGCCGTCTAGATTACAGCACAACCTCTACCAGGGTTTCCATCGCTAGTACGGATACATACTGCGGTTGCGAGCAAAAGTTTTAGAGCTCCACTCGGTGGACGCCCTTTTTGCACTCGGTGGACGCCCATGGTAGACCGTGCCCATAATCCGGTAGTTTGATTGGCTGAAATATTTCCAAGCCACAACCGCACCCTCCGCTAAGGTGGCAGAATCCATCCTCCGTTGCCCAACTCCTTGATATCTCTTTATCAAAATCCAGGCAGAGACATTTTATAGCAGAGACAGTATAAGCAGCAGTAACATAGGCAGACTGCATCATTATACACTTCTTCTTGCCCTAGCCCTGCCAGCTAGGCAAGTTGGAAAACCTTCTACCTTAGCCAGATCTCCTGCCTTTAGCCAGACCTCCTACTCAAGCCAAACATCCTACTCAAGCCAAACCTCCTACTTAAGCCAGACCTTCTACCCTGCCATAGATACTCAAGGCGCCTTTTTATCAGGCTAGGTCAAGTCATCAGGATGCGTATGACAGCTCTTTTTACGCACAAGTATCTATAGTGGTGATGTTTGACGAGGATTCGGCATGTAAGTCACCACCAAATTTAGCAGGCGGTAAGCATTGCGGGGCCTTATGTGGGACCTTGTGGCTGAAATTCGGAAAGGGCGTCCACCGAGTCAAAAAAGGGCGTCCACCGAGTGGAGCTCAAGTTTTATACCCCCTACCAGGTACCAGAAACTGCGCTAAACAGGGTGGCAGACATGGGTTAAATACCTGGCCCCACAATAATACTTACCCATCCTACTAAGTACGGGTAAGCCACCGCCACGCACGCATTTTGCATTTTATCCCTGCCGCACTAGTGATTGAAACGACTAGGGTATTGGTTGGCGCCAATATAACTGGGTAAGGGGACTTAAGCGGCTGAAGGGCATATCGAAACGTTCTAGCCAAGCCGCAGCACAGTAAATGATCCCTATCAACCTAGATATACAGAATAAAAAGCCAGGAATTCAGTGCCTTTTATTTGGTGGTCCTTGTTACTTGTAGCCCCGCTTGTAATTGCATGCTGCCAGCAAAGTGAGAAAAAACCGAAATCGCGGGCCAACGCGCTTCGCTTCGCCCACAGCCCTCATAAGGCCACCAATTTAACTACAGGGTGCCCTCTTATCCATTCCAACTCCACCACACCGTCTCCGACTGCTGAGGGTAGATGCTAGCAGTAGGACGTCTATTTTTCCTTTCCTCCATCGCCACCGTCTCTGACTGCCGAGGGTAAAGACTAGCAGTGGGACGTCTATTTTCACGAAGTAAGGATTCCAACTCCACCACACCGTCTCCGACTGCTGAGGGTAGAGGCTAGCAGTAGGACGTCTACTTTTCCTTTCCTCCATCGCCACCGTCTCTGACTGCTGAGGGTAAAGGCTAGCAGTGGGACGTCTATTTTCACGAAGTAAGGGACACAATACACCAGCTTTCCTAATATTTCGGCTCCATTGTACCTAGGTACTACCTGATACTGACTGTTTTCTCTAAGGCAGATCTGAATTTTCATTCGTCAGGTACACAAGAGCACCACAACAACAGAACACCCCGCCAAAATAATCCAACCCTCTTCTCCCGCAGCATCGCAAACCACACGCGAGCAGGTATGTTGATGTTTTCCCCCCTCCACTCTACATACGCGTACTGATCTTGTATCTTTTCTTGCGCAGAAGAAAGTTGGATTGCCCACAAGGTATGTCACCCGCCAGGGTCAGCACGCGGCATTCAGCTCACATTCATGCCAGACAAACCATGGAGGACTCGTCGCCCTCTACCAAGGGCAATCCCGAGCCTCAGTGGGATATCGAGGAGCAAGTATGTCACTGTCTCTGTCGCGAGATTATTTTCGCCCTTCAGAGGGTCAATCAATATCAGTTGCTCACATTTCCGCAGCCAATATGACCGACGAGCCGGTTGCCACCGAAGCAAAGACCGTCGAGTCGAAAATCACCGATGATAGTATGTCCCTGTCCCGAATAATTTTCCTCTTTCCACATTGTCACTATTTCTCGCGTCCTCCTAGCCAACATGACCAACCAGCCGGTTACCACTGAAGCGGAGTCTGGCGAATCGGAGCTTGCCGAGCCAGCGTTCGACTACAACGCACTTCTGCGGGAGAAAGAGGAGCGACAAAAGAAGCTGCAAGCTATGAATCCGGAAACGGAGATGGTAAGTCATAGCTGTGTCAATCACATAACCGTTCGTCTCTGACCTCGAACAGGAAACCACTCTTCAGAACATGGAGGCGACCCTTTTCACGGACAGTGCTGGGCGCAACATGCCAACATTTCACGCCTACCTCAGCATCAACGATGAAGCTCTGAGTTCACCATCCAAAGAGCAAGCCGAATTGTTGAAGCGACCGTTGAGAAATTCCATTGAGCACAAGGTCTCTGGCACGGCTCCCAACTTTGACTACAGCTTCATCACAATCACGCACCTCGCTACAGGTTTCGGCTTGTACAACACCGCTGTCGGAGAGACTCGGGTAACCATCAAGGACATCATCTCATTTGACGGCCTCGTCAATCTCGATACGTCTGACAAGGTTCTGGCGGAACTGAAGAAGTATCAGCCAGAGGTTGAAAAGGTGCCCTCCGCCGCATCTCTCATCAAGTTCACGGCTCGAGTCGCCGATATCGATGTTTCGTGGCTAGCCCTCAGGGAATTGAAGATGAATAAGGACGGAAAGCGAATCGCCTGCCCTCAGCTCGAGAAGACCCGGTCCCTCGTTTCGAATGGAGATCGGAAGGATCCCCTGTCATTCGAGCTTCTCATCATCTGCTCCGATGACGCGACGAATGCCAAGGTAGCGCAGTTTTGCCAGCTCGTCTCGCTCCTGAAGGACTACAACACATTGTCCGACCCGCTCGCCCCCTTCTTCGAGAAGGTAGGCAGCGACAGGTACAATCTTCCCCTTGGCCAAGCGCCGACAGTAGCGGACGACACATACCCAGATATCGGTACAGTGGCGAAGACGACGCGCTATGTAAACAAACGTCAGCAGCTCGTCCACCAGGTGGTCGGATCGGCGAACGAATACAGGCTCCAGGAGTTCGCCTCAAACAACCTCCAGGCAACAGAGTTTCAAGTCCATTTGCTCCCTTGCCCTCACGTCGAAGGCGAAGAGCGAGCCATCATGGTCGTGCGCACCGAGGGGAAAGGATCACTCCTGCCACAGAATGGAGAGAGCTGCAAGGTGTCGTTCGACAATGCAGTGCTCGAGCAAGATGGGGAGCCGGAGGGCAATAATGAGATCAGCGAACAGCATGCGGAAATCGTGATCGCGAACCTCCTACGTATCTTCCGCGATTTTGAAGACTCCGCCGCCGACATTGCCACCAACTCCGCTCCATGGCTCAGAGAGGCACTCACAGAAGCCGAAGTCGAGCCCATTTTGCGCACCGAGAATGAGGATGCAGTACAATACAAGGAACGCTTCGATGCATTCTGGGAGGCCCAGAAGAGTAAGTTGGACGCTACTGCTCTGGCCAAGGAGGAGCCCAAGGAAGAGAGCGAGAACAATACCCTCTGGTGCTCGGCCACTCGTCTTGATATTCCGCTGCTGCATATGCGCCAGGGCTGGCAAACCTATCTCGTCCAATCGCCCATCGCGAAAGACGGCTCGGTTGAGACAAAGTTCGCTACACTGGCTCAACATGACAACGAGCCGTGGGAAGAATACTTTAGTCGCGCGATATCCGATGACAACAGCTGCCAGGCCTTCTTCAAGCGAATTCTTTCAGATAAGGCAGTCAAAGCTGAAGTCCACGCGATAAACAGTCTCATCCACCCCGCCAGCGCTTACCCGTCACGCATCCACCCGCGGTCGCTGGCGACTTACAACTACTTGGTCCGTTTCGAGTCGGGCGAGGAGGACAACGTCAACCTTCTTCACGAGATCCCCGAGCTTGGCAATGTTGTCAGTGAGCAGTCGAAAGTTCCCGGATGGCTCCACAGGAGTACTCGAGCATGGACGACGCCAAACTGGAGGCCTTCAAGAATCTGTCCAAGACACCCGCTGGCATCAAGTTTATTCCGGGAGTGGCTGCATGCGGTAAGAGCACACTGTTGCAGACCATCATCATGTCCTTGTTCTACGGCGGGTGTGACCAAGCCACATCGGCTGCGGAGTGCGAACCTGGCAAAAAGAGGGTCATCTACTCAGCCAACAATAATGCGGCCGTCGACACTTTCGCAAAGAACCTAGAAAAGCATATGAACAAGCTGGGACTCAAGAAGACTCCTGACATCGTCCGCCTATACAGCATGGATAGTGAGGTCGCCAGCCTGACGAAGCCCAAGCAGCGTCAGCCGGACCCCTTTGACCGAGAGGGCGCCCAGGACACTGCCAAGCAGTTCAGTGAGACGGACTTGTTTTTAGCGCAGTATGTCATCACCAGGGCGGAGATGAAGATACACGAGGCCAAGCAAGCCCAGTCTAAGAAGAAGTCGGACTGCCGAAACATGTCGCTGCAGGAGGCCGCCGTCAAGTATCATCTCGAGAACCCCACAAATCACGCAGAGTTGGAGGCACTATTGCAGCGAGTTTCCGCAGACGAGACCCTGCCCAGCGAAGACATGCAGAGAGTCTCAAGGCTTACGTGAAGCTGCTCTTCGGCGACTATCTCGCGCACTTTAGTGGCGTTGTCTGTTGCACCCCAGTCGCAGCCAGCAACTACCTGTTTCGCTCGCACTTCACCGATGTCGATCTCGTACTAGTCGACGAGGCGGGACGTATGCGAGAACTCGAGCTCCTCATCCTCGTCGCTTGGTTTGGTAGCCGTTTGATCGTGGTTGGAGACATGCACCAGCTAGGCCCATTTGTACAGACCGACCCTAAGATTGACAACGAAGTGCAGTCCCACAACGCGTTCGTCACGCAGCTCGCCTACGCTACTATTGGTCGCGCTGTAGATGCCGGCGTCACAGACAGCTATCTATGCGTTAACCACCGCCAGCATGGTCGACTCTCGGCTCTCCCATCCGCTCTTATCTACCGCAATCAGATGATTAGCTCGAAAGCCAAGCGCCCAGAGGGTCTCAAGTCCTTCCATACATTCCTGAAAGGCATCAAGTTCGATATGCCAGCCAACGGGTACCGTCTTATCGTCGAGTTTCCTGGGTCAGCGTGCTATACAGTTGGAACATCGTCGGCCAACTATGCTCACGTCAAATGGGTCATCGCCCAAGTCGTCCGCGCCCTTAAGGATGAGACACTGACAAGTACCAAGAAAGACGGACCCGCCACGATCCTGGTGATGCCATACTATCGTGCGCAGCTCCAGGCTTACCAGCAGGCGTTTGACCAGCAGGTCACTGGCGGACAGGTCACAGCGGAAGAGGCGCAGCGAGTCAAGTTTGCCACACTCGACTCGTCTCAAGGTGATGAAGCGGATCTCTGCATTATCGACTACACCAAGACGCAGTCCCCTGGCTTCTGCGGAGACCTGCGCAGGCAGTGCCTCACTCTTACACGGTCGCGGCAATGCGAGATCATCATCCTGAACCGGGGCATGTTTGCTAGCTGGGAGGCAGACCCGAAGGTGAAGCCGCGTGCTAAAGTGTTGCGCCGGCTGTACGACGACGTGGACCAGAAGGGTGCCGTCATTCGCATCCCTACCTGTCTTGATTGCCAGACTCCGAACGCTGGACACGATAGCTGCGAAAATGGCAAGTTCGAGGGCAAATGCGGCCACTGCAAGGATGATCATGAGATGAGGAACTGCCCTCGTGCCTTCTGCTTCAACTGTCGCCATTTCGGTCACCGTTCAAACGAGTGCGAGGAGCCCATGAAGTGCTCTCGATGCGGAGGCAAGGACCACATTGTTGACGACTGCGACAAGAATCAGCGCTGCCTTCGTTGCCGCACGCCAGGCCACTACGAGCGCGATTGCACTTTGTGCGAACATTGCCTCAGCGACCTCCATTCGAGCGACGACTGTGAAGCTAAACCGTGCGGGTTCTGCAAAGAGATCGGACACGATATAGACAACTGTCCTACGCGACCCCGCAAGACCTGCCGACGATGCCAGCAACCCGGCCACATCGCCAAAGACTGTCGTCAATCGAACGAGAAGACCTGCAGTAACTGCGGCGAAGTTGGCCATATCTCCAGGTTCTGTCCCACTAAGCGGATCACCTGCTTCCGGTGCAACGAAGAGGGCCACACAAAGAGCGAGTGTCCCAAGACAGCCGAGGAGTGTGCCACATGCAGGGAGTGTCTGGAGATGGGACACTTTGCCAGGAATTGTCCCAACCGCAAGCTCTGCGACAAATGCGGTTCAACGAAACACGATGCTGACCACTGCGTTACCGGAGTGCATTGCAGCCTTTGCTCATCGGAAGAGCATATATCTGCCGATTGCCGAACTCCCAAGATCCTCTGCGTGAACTGCAACCGTTTTGGACATGTCGAGGCCGACTGCAAGGTCAACCCCGAGCAGAGGGCTCCGCGTGCTGATGGCAACGGACCGCGAACGGGAACCAACTCGCTGCCAGTGTCGGAAAAGAAGCAGGAGAACTACCAGAGCGTGACGAACGAGTACACGATCAAGATACGGCAGCTGCTCTCGACTGATGACAATGCTGGAAGTTTGGGAAATGAGCCCGTCGCCGATACTGCACCCTGGGGAGCTGAGCCCGGAGCCCGCGCAGACACTGCATCTTGGGGAGCTGAGCCCCCCGCCGAGGCAGATGAGGCCTGGTAGATTAGGGGCGATATCGAGCTATCTTGTAGTTCTTCAGACGGTCACAGGCTTGCCGTATATTGCCATTCAACATCGTGGTTACCGCGGCCTTTAGTTACACACAAAAATGCACATTGCCATTAACATCGTTGTCTCACTAAGTCCCGTGATATATGTTCGAAGCTTCCTAACGATAAGTCTTTGGTACTAGGGTGAGGGTCGTCCCGGAGTGACGTAAACGGTCCAACTGTCTCTGTCTCTGACTGCTGAGGGTAAAGGCTAGCAGTGAGACGCTTATTTCACAATACCACCGGTCGCGCAACTTTCCGAAGCTTAGTAATGGCAGCCACATATTCACGACTTTCGGCAGGAGACACTTCTTCAACACGTTCAAGATTAGGAGCCAGTCCAAATTAAACTTCCACCAGTGTACTCCACCCTTCGGTTGGAGGAGGAAGGAACCTAGGCAGGTTTCCCACCGCTTAAGTTTTCAGTTTCCATTGGCAGAGAGTTTCTCCGAGGTAGAACCTACCTACTTGGTAAGTACAAAATGAACCACGGAACCCTCTCTGCTGGCTTTCTAACCTTCTCCTTGATTCTCCCTCAGTCCAACCCAACGTATGCACTGCTTTCGTTTGCCTACCAAGATTTTGCCTACCACATCACATCATTCGCACACAGACAATATGTCGTCTGCACAAGGGGTATGAAAATCTGTTCATCTTCTCCAATCCTACCTTTTCAATGCTTTGCTAATATTTCCGCCTAGGCTGGTTTCCATCAGTATGGACAAGGAACATTTGTTCCAGCAGCTCCTGGTCCAGCAGCTCCTGGGCCAACAGCTCCGGGCCTGGGCTGGCAAGGACACCGACCACCTCCCCCGCCGGTACGCACGCGTAAGGCACCTGGCATAAGGTTTTGTCATCCCGGCTACAACATACCAAACCAGTTGTTTCGTCTTCCACGGGTCGATACGGAGGATAATCAGGAATTTGGCGTACACCATAAGACAGCACTTGTTGCATGCCAGATCATTGCTGGTAATCGGTTCAACAAAAGCTACCTTTCCCTACATCAGACAGGCCAGCCAGTTCAGACGCCGATGGATGGTGTCTTGACCCAGGATCGGTATTATTTTATCATTGACGGCTGCGAAGGTATAGTTTGCTTCTATTTTGCCCAAGCTTGAACCTAACCATTGTTAACGATTCTTCAGAACCCTACCCCATCGTTCCTAGCTTTCGCGACTGGCAATTTCCCCACGACTGTATCCCTGAGTACTGGCTCCCTGAGTACTGGCCAGCACAACCTTCTCCTACTAAGGATTCGCCAGCCTGTGCTGTTACTGGCGTTTCCTGGGCTACTAAGAGTGCCCATCTGGTCCCAAGAGAAGAACATGTTTGGTATATTGAGAACTCTATGAGTGAGTATGCAGCCGGAATGGGAGGTACAGGCGCTATAGATCCTAACCCGGCAAACATTATACCTCTCCGAAGAGATATCCATCGTTGTTTCGACAAGCGATGGTTTGCTATCGTTCCCAAGCCATACCCTTCACACGATCCTTCTCTTCCAGGCTTTACAACCCAATATGTCACGCATCTTCTCACGGCTGAGGCTGCCGAAATCTGGCCCGAGCAGCACTACGTCAGCCCCAACAACCTCCACGAAGAGTGTACCCCATATCTTTTTGCTCGTTTCGCCTGGGCTATCCTTCTCCAGGTCAAGCCCTTTATCACTTCAGGTAAAGACCGGGTCGTCATCTACGTGGATGATCCAAAGGCTGAAGACCGGGTATTCAAAACTGGGTGGCTTAAGGGAGCAGAGCTTAACCGGAGATATGGGGGCGGCGGGGAACAAGGTGCCAAGGAAAAGGCAACGACGCCTAGCAAGAGAAAGAAGGGGTCAGAGAAGAGCAATGCCGACAACAGCAGCAGCATCGACGATGGGGATCTGAACCACGGATGGGTATACAGGACTGGGTGGCTTAGCGGAGCGGAACTCTATCGGAGATATGCAGGCGGTGACGATGCTGACAAGAGAAGCAACGGCGACGACCAAGGCAGTAATGGGGACGACGAAGGTTTCGAGACGACGTCCCAGGATGATTAGCAGCCATCCTCGCCTGATGTCGCCGAAGACGAGGTCGTGGCTGTGACCACGCCACGGGACGGTATCATCCGCAAAAATGACCGACTCAGTTCTTCTATTCGGGCCGCCATCAAGAAACTTCTGTCTACCAAGATCAGGCCCGCCGTCTTCGATCATTCACACGACAAAAATGCCGCCAACCCGTCTGCTATGGATCTGGCTGGCAAGAAAGGCAGAGGCGTGCTGGGACGGCTACAGAGCTAGAAGTTGGCATAGTTCATAGTACATCACCTGGAGCTTACTCTGAGGACGGCTCGAGCTTACTCTAAGCTTGCTCAGCCCTATGGGACTCTTCTTTATGATAATCATGTCCTACGACTGAATCCAGTATATTACATAGAACATTCCAGCTGCCAGTAAGAGCCTGTCTTCGCGTGCAAGGGCAAAAATCTCCGTGTGCAGGGGGTCTGTGCGCTCCAGGTGGTACCGGGCCGGTGATTAATTGGCAGGTGTTAGAATATTTTGGCAGGCCTGCCAGCGCCTTCCGCTGTCGCCGTCGCTGTCGCCGTCGCTGTCGCCGTCGCCGTCGTTGCTATTGCTGTCGCTGTCGCCGTCGCTGTCGCCGTCGCCGTCGCCGTCGTTGCTATTGCTGTCGCTGTCGCCGTCGCCGTCGCCGTCGCTGTCGCCGTGCAGGTTTCTAGCAAATAGAATTCCAATATTGGAGGAATGAGGCTTGGGCTGCAAGCAGGTCACGGCGTTTTGCTGCACGACGTGTACCTGCGGTAAAGAGTACAGCGTACCCGGCTTTCAGCTTCTGCAGCGCTGTTCCAATGAAATTCCCAGTCTCCCACACCCGACGAGGTACCCGCATCATGGCCCAAGCCGCGCCACATGCAGCATGCGAGGACAGGAGAGAAAGGAGCGGCGTGTAGTTACCGTCCACAGCCCCTGCCTCTTCGGTGCGGGCCTTGGCTTATCGATACTTGGCATCATGAACCGTGAAGAGACAACATTGACCCGTATTTAATGCAACAGGCCAGCCTCTTTCTCAAGCTCATGTTATTTCTGAGTACTAACCTATGTGCCTACTGCCTGGCTACTGTTTCTATACTGCTGTGTGTAGTTGGGCCATTCGATCAAACCTTCAACTGCCTCAGAGAAGCCTCGCCGAGCCTCTCCGAGTCCTCGCTCAGCATGGCGGACGGTCCTTCGCCCGAGAAGGCTGCCATTCCTTCGCCAGTCTCCCTACCTGTGCCCGTGAGCCCGTCGGCGGAAGACCCTGTCGACGCAGAGCACCAAACGGACTCCCCAGACGGGCTGAGTACAAGCTCGAAAGCAAACGCCGGCGATGATGATGACGGCAGCGACAGTAGTAGTGTTGCATGGGACGGGAAGCGGCGCGAGAATCTAGTCGCCGACTGGAAGTTCCTGGATTTCGAACACTTTAAGAACCGATACGGCCCAGACGAAGGCCTGGAGATCATCGAAGTCCTCAAGGGTCACCCGCATCTTGAGCAGGAGATCTGGAGAGAGGCACAAGATCGGCTCCCGCAAGGGAAGTCAACCCGAATTGACAGGAGGTGGAAGCAGAAGCAGAAGTCCTATTCCAAAGATATCGAGACCGAATACATTCAACGCATCAGAATCCAGTCGCCAGCCCTTATCCTCCTGCTCTCCCACCTCTCCGGCAGCCACGACTCCTGGGCCACCAACAAACCGAGGGTCTTCTTCCGACCATTCCGAACCCAGTACTACTACCAACCCCATATGAAGGAAATTCTCGCCTTCCTGGAGAAGAGATTCGGCAATTCCCAGACAGATATCGCCACTGCGGACGCGAAAGTTGCTCCAACCGAGGACATCGACGAGACGCCCGGCCAGGAAGACGACAGCAAAAGCGATGCTTTCAGTTTTGGCTCAGAGGAGCCGAAGAAATCGACTTGGAGGATATCATCAGTGGCGATGTCGCAAACACCGCCACAGCATTGCAGCACGTCAGGAAGTACGTGGAGTTTGTGGACCAGCACATCCTCCCTCTGTGGGACAGAGCCCAGGGAACCACCAAGCGAAAAGTCGCCTTCCTCGAACTTTGGATGTCTTTCAAACTTGGAGAAATACTGTACCGACCACTCAATACCGACTCTCCCAAGGGTCGAGACAAATCGTCCCAGCCGGTCAACAAAGCGCATCAAAGTGCCTGGCGATTCTATAGCATCGTGATGGAGTCGTATGCAGACGACAAGCCGGACGACTTCAAAGCCAAGAAGGGCCGAGAACTTAGCATCTACTGCTACTACATCGACTACGATGGTATATCGTACCTGCCGGTCCAGAATAAATTAACCATCAATGACTATGACGGCGAGAAGGACATTACGGAGCTCCCCATCTATCCACTCCGGTTCGCAAAGGACACGGAAAAGTTGATGGAGACATTCCGGAAGCAGGGCGAACGCTTCCAATTCGTCAAGACGGAGAAGTACCTCTTCTACGACGGATGGACCCTCACTCAAGGTCCGACCGGGAGCTCCGACGAGAGCAAAGAGTTGACCTCGGAGCACATCGACAGCAACGTCGTCCTCGACTTCCTCGAGGGCTACAAAGCCGAGCCATCCCTCGGCCAGCCATCCTTCGATGGCCTTCAATCCTTCGGCGACAGCGACTGGCCGGAAGGCGAGGACGAATTGGAAATCCGGCACTGGACCAGCGTCCTCCGCGTGTCCGGCCAGGTTGACGTCGAGGAGGTGGCGCAGAGGAACGAGTGGTTTGGGAGATACCTCTTCACCCGCCATAGGAATTATAATCAGTTCATGCGCGACTGGAAGTCGGATACGCCACCGAGCTCCACGGAGAGGGCTTGGCTTTGCTGCCGCGCCGCGCCATCGCCTTCGCCTTCCGCGAGCGCAAGTTCATCTTGGCCGACATCAACTCGCTCCGGGAGGTCCGGAAGCAGGAAGACGTGTTCCAGGACCTGAAGATTGATCCCAAACACAAGCAGATGATCGAGTCGCTGATCAAGACCCACTTCCAGAAGCAGGCCATGCAGAAGGAGTTCGGCGTCGTCAACCTCAACCAGGACCTGATCCTCGGCAAGGGCGCGGGCTTGTTCTTGCTACTTCACGGCGTCCCGGGCGTCGGCAAGACGGCCACGGCTGAGGCCATTGCCCAAATCAACTCAAAGCCGCTGTTCACCATCACCTGCGGCGACCTAGGTTTCGAGCCCAGTAAAGTCGACGAATCTCTCCGGAACATCTTCCGCTTGGCCCATCTCTGGGACTGCGTGCTTCTGCTGGACGAAGCCGACGTGTTTCTGTCTCGCAGAGAGGTATATGACTTGAAAAGGAATGCGCTGGTTTCTGGTAAGCACCTGCAACTGGACCGAGACTGGTAAAGCAGATGACTGATTTCGCTCACAGTCTTCCTGCGTGTACTCGAGAACTACTCTGGGATACTGTTCCTGACGACAAACCGAGTGGGCCATCTCGACGAAGCCTTCAAGTCTCGCATTCACATCAGCTTGTACTACCCCCCGCTGACCGAGAGTCAGACGGTCGCCATCTTCGACGTCAACATCAGGCAGCTATCCAGGATCGAAGACGAGAAGCAGAAGCTGATGGAAAAGGAGGGCTCCACCATCCCCAAGCGGCCGAAGATGATCATCGACAAAAAGAGCCTCGTCACATACGGAAAGTGGCACTGGAGCGCCCACCGGCCCTCGGAGCGCTGGAACGGCCGGCAGATCCGCAACGCCTTCCAGATCGCCTACTCGCTCGCCCACTGGCCCAACAAGAGGCCCACCGTTGACAAGCAGGGGAGGGTAATCTCCCAGAACCAACTGCCGTCTGCCCCGGCGCGGCGGGCAGCCACACCCAACGCGAGCACCCCGAAGCCCGCCCCCAGCGCCGACACCGTCGGCCAGGTCTCACAGCAGACCCTCAAGCTGGACTACAGGCACTTCGAAGAGGTCGCTAGGGTCATCGAAAAGTTCGACGCCTACCTCTACGACACCCTCGCCGGCACGTCGGCCGAGTCCGCCCGCGACGCCGGCACCCGCGCCGACGCCCACGACTCCACCGCCGCGCAGTACAGCCGCTACCCAGGGCCCCCGCCCCCTTCGGCATACGCGCCCTCGCCACCGCAGCAGCAGCAGCAGCAGCAACCCGGCCCAGTCGCCTTCCGCCGGCGCCAGGGGCCAACCCCGCGATTCACGACCGGCCACGCCGGCGGCGGAAGCGGTTTAGGCCCAGACGTGGGGCGTCCGTCCGTGAGTCAGCTGCCCCAGCGGCCGCGCTTCCGGCCCAGCGCCCCGGCGCCGGCGCGTGGCGGCGCGTCTCGGCAGCAGCAGCAGCGAGCTTCCCCGCAGAAGAGGAGGGAGGGCGGCCTGGGCGGCGGGAGTCGCGCGCGGGAGGAGGTGGAAGCCGCGAACTGGGAGAACGATAGCGGCTTCTACGAGCACGGAGTGTGGGACCTGGAGCCGCAGGCCGGCGTGGCTAACGGCGGCGAGGAGGCGTATGGGCACGCACGCGACGGCGGAGGGGGCGGCGATTTGGGTGTGCATGGCGGATACGGATTCGAGGAGCACGAGGAGGGGATGGAGGACTCGGAGCAGCCGTACGATGACCAGGGACACTATGCGGAGGATTATCCAGTTGTGCTGGTTCAGCGGACCGATTTAGCTGGGGCTGATCCAGCCGTACTGCCCACACCGCACTCTCTCGACTGTCTCTTCCGCACGGCCAGAACTGCCAGCTCAGAGTACGCTTATAGAGCTGGTCCGAGACCAAGGCTCGTCGGATGTCAATGGCACCGCGTCCGGGATTGGCCGCGCGGCAGGCTGGGCCCGCACTCGTTCGGCAACAGCGTCCATTTTGGGTTTGGCTGGTTGCACCGTTTAGAACGCTGTATCATCCATCAGTACTCTATAGCCATACTCAGCTCGATCGAAGTAGCTTACCAAAAACCTGTAACTGACTGTTTGTGGAACAATTGTCGAAATATTATTGAACGGCCGTTTTAAGCCAGGCTTGTGGCCCAAGTGGACTTGATCGCCGCAAGACCGCCATAGGTACGGCTTCCTGCTAACCGGCTGCAGAGTTGTGCAGCGCTTGCGTGCGTGCCGGGGGTTAGTACTTTGTGGGTACTGTTTACACTGAGAGGACATGTGCCCGGCCCGAAATGTCGGCCGAGACTGTTGAAACTCGAGGCCACACCCGACGCCCGTTGAAAACATGCAGTCTGGGTGGAATTGAGAGCTATAATCCGTACAACGTACCTACATAATAAGAAACCGTGGCTAATTGGGATCCGTGCGTCTTCTCAGCCACACCCCGGCCGGGGTAGGTACCTAGGTACCTACGCATTAGACGACGGGGTACGGAACCAGTTTATCCGGGTCCAGATCCGTGGAATAGAATCCATGCTCGTGTCAACTCCAAATTTGAGGACACCTAGCTTCGACCCCTAGGTTCACATTCGCATTCGCACTCGACACCAATCCTCCACCATCTTCTGTCAAAACGCGTCCATTCCTTCTCCCGATACTTCCAATTCTCCCACGTCAAACTCCATCGCCATGTCAGACCAAGTCCAAGACCTCCTCGACGCGCCTCGCGAGTTCCTGAAAGACGGCATGCAGTTCGTCAACAGGTGCCAAAAACGTAAGACTCTCTGCCACGGACGGTACTACTTCGAACTCGAATACTAATGGGCATCTTGCAAACAGCCGACAGGACCGAGTTCATCAAGATTTGCAGGGCGGTCGGCACTGGTTTTATTGTCATGGGATTCGTCGGGTACATCGTCAAACTTGTAAGGCTCCCCTTTTTGCTCCTGCTTCTGCTCAATTTGTCTAACTTGGGCGATAGTTCCACATTCCTCTTAATCATACGCTCGTCGGTGGCGCATAAACGATCGAGTCGGTCTGGTTCCCTTCGAAGAATCCGCGCCCGAAAGGAAAGGGCGAGAGACGGGATCAAGTGCGGATGGGCAAGCTCTAATAGTTGTGAAGATGGGGGGGTTATACCGTGCGAGGCTCGTCACGACGCAAGACGAGCTGAACTGTGGGACTTCAGGGCCCAGCAGTCCTGTAAGATGTGCAGAATAGAACATGGAATGGAAGAATGGCTCAAGGACGACTGTGGTTCGCGCGCTCGTCATCCTGCTCGAGGGTCCCCGAGGAGTCCAGGACCTCGGCCTTCTGGGTCTGGAAGCTGACCCCAGGCGGTGACGGAGTTGCTGCACGGCACCGCCATTCGGGCTATACGTGCATCGCAATGGTTCGATATGAAACGGCGCATTGAGGTGTTTTGTTGTCCATCCGGACTACCAATCTTCTGGTCACACTGTTCCTGGGGTCTATTAGCATGTAGCGGAAAACGTTGCTGAGTTCCTTATGACATTACATTACGCTTCGTGACCGAGACTTGGAAGTGATGACATATGTCCATCTCCAAAGGGTTGGGCTGGCGAGCCTCCAGTGGCCTCCTGGAGAAGGAGGTCCGGGAGGGAAGCAACGGACCTGGAACATCGTCAAGATTACTCACTGGACCTAGATCCAAGCTGGTATTCGCTCCAGCCAATGTTTCCGCCACGAGTGAGAATGGTTCGCCACGTCGCAAGTCATTGCGTTTCAAAAGTATCAGCCTGGCTTATGCGCAAGGAACACAGCTACAGCATCACAACAGAAGGGAACAGGGAGTGCCGATTCAAGAAAGGGATCCGGGTTTGAATCCGCCGACAAGTGTGCATCTTGTCACTTTGGGACGTTGTATTGAGTCTTCTACCTGCTGCCGACTTTTCAAACCAAGGTCCTCCATGATGGCACTTCGTGGGGAGTACTCAAAGCTCTCCCAGAGGCCTACTGGAACTCCCTTCACATTCTCTGAACTACTGGAGCTCAATCGTGGAAGCTGGCTTGCTCGTTATTGTACGTAACCAAGCTAACATCCTCAACCTCGTTTACGATTCTGCGAGATACCTCCCTCGGCAGTAATAAAATGGGTCGCTACCGCAGCGCGGAGGATAGTAATGTACCTTCCTGATGTTTATCGGCCTGTTTTTATCTATTATATGAATAAGTCCTGTGATGATACCAACGGCTTTGTTCTTGTCAAGCGGCGTAAACTTGACTGATATTCTTGTACACACCGTCTTCCTTGATCAAGCTAATAAACATCTTCTAAATCAGTAAAATTGCTTCCCTGGGCCTGGGAAGAATGCCTAGAAAAGGTTTGCTATTAATTACAAGAACCGGCCCTCTGCCCACTGTTCCAAGATCATCAAACTTCTTACTGAATGGGGAACGTGGCAGAAGGGGATGTCTCAGGTAATAAAACATGCCGCCTGACGAGATCTTCTTGAATACCAAGCTGTCGGCTGAGGTCTCTGACCTCGTCCTTGAACAACTCGCGCAAGCAGGGGTTCGATGAGCTAGGTTCAGGGCCTTACCGTCCATCATCCGCTGGGGCAGCCCTTCCACATTGTGATGAGTGTCGCCCGGAGTTAATAGAGTACATGACTCCTAGTTTGGGCCTGAGCCAGAAGTCCTCAGCATCCTCTGAAGAAAGACAGTTCAGAATGCTCATGAAGCTGCTGACTTTGATGGATGCCGAGGGCCCCTTGAAGGAGGTGCTCTCGATACTGATCAAGCTAGGTTCTCGGCAAGGCAAGTATGAGGCCCTCGCCTTTATTGTTTTTAGCATCAATTAGTCACAGTACCTTTACAAGCATCGGGCGCCTCTCAAATAGGTAGCTTTCGCGGAAAGAACAAACCCCCGGCGTACATGGCACCGAATTCACTAAAATAGCACGTTTATATATCTACGACGTTTAGAAGGATTCGTACAACTGCTGGTATTATGCAGCCATGGGATTTTAGTGTAAGGACAATACTAGCGGCCGAAGTGGCGGAGTTGGTTAGATTCGGTGACGGCATTGGATGTTAGTTGTGCTTGGCCGGAGATGCTTTCGCGGCCGAAATATCATCACCTACCGAGGTTGGTAGCTAGGGAAGGTACTCTGTGGTCGTCACCGGAGAGAGGAAGGGGGCTGTTCCCACGCCTCTCTGCTCCCATGTTCCGGCCACCTCAAACATGGACAACGCCCACGCCCCTGGCCATCTCCTTTCCGAGCATTCTGGATGCAATTCTGGATATGGTGGCTCGGAAATTGATACAACTTCTAATTAGATGCGGAGCTTCAAGATACGAGGGGCTCGGCTCATGATTCTAGAACGGGGGCCATCGGGATGGGTGTGGGTGTTGGTATGCTCAGCTCGCTTCTAGTCACAACTCAATCGAACTTCAGCTGGAGGGTGGCCGGCCACTTGGGGATCGAAGAAGGCATGTTGGCTGTTTTCGTGTGGGCATGATGATATCTGACGACAACATATGTCGTTTGCTTGAAGCGTCTGGTGGGGTTTGTTCGTGTAAATAACTCCTCCGGGGCCGTCTCATTTGGAACTCCGGTCTGTCTTGGCGAGGTAACATGGTAGAGGATGGATGCTGGATGCTGGATGATTACGATATCTACCTACCTAGAATATGATATTCAAGGATGCCACATCTCAAGCATGTGCTTGAGTTCTCGCAATGCCGACATGTCACCTGGGAGGCGCGGGTGGGCGCCTAAAAATGGGGGGTGCATTCCGGTTCCGTGGAGAGAACAATACTAAGGGTTCCAAGGGCGAAAGTTTGAGAACAATACTAAGCGCCAGCCAACACCACCACTTGATTTCATTGTCTCACGCCCCTTGCCTCGGCCAGAACTTCTCTTTTGTTCTGCTTAATACTATCCCACTTCGTCGTCACTCCCACCGAACCTCTCACTTGTGACAATACTTACCACTGATGATATTCGACGAGCCATGACCATTCTTGTCAGGGGAAGAATGGGGCTGACAGCAGTATTAATCAGAACTTCACTTGGGCAAGATGGACAGAATTTAAGAAGGTCAAATCCACCGCTTCCCTCTTCAGGTCCTCCTCCAACCCGGGTATCATCTCATCACATACCACCAAGCTTGATATTCCTCAATTCTGCCCAGAGGTCAAGGACCCCAAGTTAACCACACGGGCCCCAGTGTATCAAGACATCGGCAGCCAAGCTGGCTCTCTCTTGTCTGCACCCTTCGCGAGTCCGTCCTTGATACACTCTTTCGAAGCAGGCCATCCATCCATCCATCGAACCATTCCAACCATCCCTTGAGGACTGAGGCCCTCAAGCTGATACCTCAACCTCAGCTAAAACACACTACTCCGGTAACACTCTCACCAGGAAGATTCGGGGCCACAGTATCCTCCCCCCTCTCCAACGTTGACCATGGCCGACAACACGTCCACGGGTCCCTTCGACCCCTACACTCAGGTCTTCTCCCTCCTCGGCCCCGACGGCGTGACCGAGATCCCCGTCAGCGTGGCCCAGGTCGATGCACTGTTCCTGGGAGGGACTTCGACCCAGGTCAACTACGGTAGCCAGATCGGCGCCACCTTCATCATGCTGCTGGTCGTCCTGACCATGACGCCGCGGCGCCGCTTCACCCGGGTCCCCACCATCATCAACATTGCCAGCCTGGTCGTCAACCTGATCCGCTGCGTGCTGCTATCCCTGTTCTTCACGTCGTCCTGGATCGAGTTCTACGCCCTCATGTCAGGCGACACCAGCCGCGTGGCCCAGCAGGACTACAACATCAGCGTCGTCGCCACCGTGTTCAACATCCCCGTCGTCATCCTGATCCAGTTAGCCCTGGCCGTCCAGGCGTGGTCCATGATCCAGCTGTGGCCGGCCATGTACAAATGGGGCTCCGTCATCATCTCGGCCGCCATTGTCGTCGCCACCATCGGGTTCAAGTTCGCCAGCGCCATCCTGCAGAGCCGCGGGATCGTCGGCAACGTTGATCTACCCAGCGTCCTGTGGGTCCGGAAGACTGACCTCGTGCTGAGCATGACTTCCATCTCGTGGTTCTGCTTCCTGTTCGTCGTCCGCCTTATCATCCACATGTGGATCCACCGCACCATCCTCCCTCCGGTCAGGGGCCTGTCGGCCATGGAGGTCCTCGTCATGACCAACGGCATCCTGATGTTCGTTCCAGGTTGGTAAACTCATTTCTGTTGTCCAGTTTAGACCAACATGCTGACCAAGACATCCAGTCATCTTTGCCGGCCTCGAGTTCGGCAACTTCATCCAGTTTGAGTCCGGCTCCCTGACCTACACGTCGGTGGTCATCGTCCTGCCCCTCGGCACCCTTGTCGCCCAGCGGCTCGGAAACCCGGCCGCCTTCGCGACACCGAGCAATAGCAATGCCTCAAACGCGGCGGGAGGCGGCGGCGGCAGTAGAGTGCCGTTCCTCAACAACTGGCACACCAACGCCCGGACCGGCACTGTCCTGAGCAGCGGCGTCACGTCCCACATCGTCAGCAACGGCAGCCGCGAGAAGGCCCACCACGGCAACGACGCCGATGTGGAGAGGGGTGTCCGTGTGGACCGCGAGATCGAGCATCGGGAGGAGCGTATTTCTGGCGGCTCTTGAGGAGGGTTTGGTTTTCCAAGGGATGCCCCCTCCCCCTTTTCTCATATGGGGCAGCAGGTTCCTGTTGCCACCCCAAGTTCCTACTTGTCTCGTACTTCAAGCCCTGAGCATTCGACAGTTGGGGCTCATTAGCATCGTTTTCTTTTCTCACTCACAACAGATTGGACCGGAGAATGGCCACTGTGTCAGCGTGTTTTTCTTTTTACGACAACCCCTTTGGGAGGGTATATGGACGTCGTCTTGCATTCTTCCCAACCGCATCACTGCGCCTTGGTGTAATCTACCTAGTTAATGCCCCAATTAATGCCTGCCCTGTTTCCCAGGCAGTTTCTCTCAGAAATTAAGACGCAAGTTTAGGTGGGTAGGTAGGTAGATAGGTAGGTACCTACCTACCTAGGTAAATGCCCGCGTATCTGAGCTCACGCGAGTCTGGCCGCGGCTTCCTCGGATGGCTTCCATCAATGGGTGCCTTCCTTTTACTTTCCCACTTTGACCAACTTCGGCTGGACTGAATACGGCCTCTTTTTGTGAATCTTACTCCCTCCCACTCTCATTACTGGCCCGACGTCGCATCCAGAGACAGTAATTACAACCGTGACTCCCAGTAAAGTTGCAACCCTACCAAATCGTCAACGACATGTTCCTTTCATTGCATCGAAGTTATCTATAACACGCAACCCTACATATCCAGCATACCACTGTCATTGTGGCCCCCTCCCCAGAGACTAGGTCATCCCCAAGTTTCTGCTCCAGACCGCTCGGCTCCTCCTGGAACTCATTCGGCCTGTTCAATGGAGCCCCTTCCCCCCGGGGCAAGCATGGATACTCCCACTCTCGAGACCGCGGCCGTCGCGCAAGATAATGCCCAATCGCAGGGCAAGGGGCCTTCATTGCAACCATTCCCGACAGATCAGCCACAAGGGAGTCAACATTCTTCCGATGCTAGCCAGCCCCTTCAAGCGCCCACCCAAAGTCGAGAGATCCAGTCGTCCATAATTAGCCCGCATGATGCACCAGGTCAGCATCGACCCCGTGTTTTCCCTCTTCTTCCCCGCTCCGTTGGTTTGAGGGTTCCTGGCCGTGTGACTTTCGGATCGAAGCTTGAGATCCCCAAAGCTGTGAACAAGGACGACGAAAACCAATTCGTGCGCGACAGCGCCGCTGTCACGGCTACCGGGCTCCGTCGCGAGGAGTCACACCCACCAGTGCCTGCGAAGGATTAGGCTCTAACGCAGAAGCGATATCGCCGCGACAAACTGGGTGAAGAAGAGAGCCAGTCTGTTGGCAGCTCAGACGACAAAATACAAGGATTAGATGCTGGACAGAGGACTGTCGCTGAGCGACGAAAGACATTCGAAACCAGTAGTTGTACGCCGCCCCGTTCATAGCTGCCGTACCTCATATCCTTGGCTGGATTGCTGACTCCGAGCAGCACTTTCAGCCTTCACTAACCCGGGGGCAACGCCATTAGCTGCCAGTCCCGGGCCTCCGAGCCCCCCGGGTCTGACAATACGGCGCACCAGATCGCAAGACTTTCAAAATACTGTTACAGACCCTAAATCGTTGACAGGGCACGTAACTCCAAGGAACATCAGCGATCCGAGCCCTCCTGCGACGCTTGCTGCCTCTCGTCAGGCGATCAGGCCATCACTCCCAACCACACTACGCCAGGAACTGACCACGAATACAGTGGCTGAGCTCCGAAAGACCTTCGAGTGGGAAGCTAGAGATAGTCCTATTCCAAAGGAAAGGGGATTTCCGGGGTCAAGGGACGCCAAAGCTTCGGTCGACAGTACTGTCTTGAGTGAGAAATACGAAGGCTCGAATTTAGTTCCCGCACGAGGAAGTTCCCTTAAATTTGCACAGAACGCGCCTAGCTTCTTTCCTGCCGCACAGCGCTCGACACCTGAAGAGACGGTGTCAGCTGGCATTAACTCCTCTTCACAAAAGGGGAAGTCAGTTCCAAGGCCAGTGCTTACTAGTCAGGGGGATAAATCAGACGATATCGCTAGTAAGGAGGCTCAAGAGGAGGCCGCTGCGTTAGGGCCCGAGCCACAAACTCGATTGGCAAAAACATCTCTTGCTTCTCACAAAGACCGCGTACATCAATCCATAGATGAATCCAAGGTGGAGGGTTGTGCGGGGATCACCGTGACCACCACTGTCAGCACGACGGCAACCGAGGGTCCTCTCAAAATCGCTACACCCCTACCCTCAGTGGGTGTTGTCGCTAGCAGCCCGGATGGAACCACAACCGGCCTCGAAAGGGCACTGGTGGAGAACCCGCCGCGCAGGCCTAGAAATAGGCTTAAGAAGAAAAATCCGTACGAAAGGGCGCTCACATCTCAAGCAACGGGGGGGCCCGGCGGCGATTCCCCCCCAGCGCCCGGCGCAAAGTTCTCGGGAATGCTCTCTGGCTCGCGGGGCCGGGGCATGGATGTTCTGCGCGGGGGTAGTCGCATCAAGGACGCAGCAAGGCGCCTGTTCAGTTCATCCCCTAGGAATAACGAGGACGGGAATTCTCTTGTCGCCGCTGCCGCCTCCCCCGAGGAGCACGAATCTGCCTCAGATGATGGCTCGATCGGAAGGGCACCGAACCCCTTCCTCCAGAGCCGTGCCAACCCTTCACCCGATCAAGGAGATACACTCGGTGGGGACAGGAGAGAGTCGAACATCATCAGCCAGCAACCCAGCCGCGAACCGAACCCAACCGAAGCGCTCCCTTCCACTGGGGCCGTTCGAGTGGATAATTTTACGCACAGCGAGCGGGACGACGTGGGACAGACGACCGGTTTTGCCGGGTGGACCCCCACGGAAGCCGGCGCGTCCGGGCAAGGAGAGACGGGGGTTCGTCGTAGATGGTGCCGGGGGCGGACTGGTCCATCTTAGGCCGTCGAGGGCGCACGATCTCGGGAGGTTACCCGGAGACCCTCTTGGTGCGGAGAAGCTGTGATAGCCAGGCGTGGTAGCGTTGTGTCGCGTTGCATCATTCATAATCGGATGGGAATACATATCATGCCTAGGTTATTATCAAGACTAGCGTTGTTAAGCGTAACATGGAATATATATACTCTCTCTTCCGTTCGCTGGCTTTATATCTTGCCTTCCTTCTTCTGCGTTGTGTGTCTCCCCCTTAACTACCCCTGTGCCTCCCATCTCTCCAACCCCGGCCGCGCCCACTTCTACCCAGGCCAACCCCGCACCTTTTCTCCCAAAGCTTCTTACACAAGCTCAACGCACCATTGCAAAGACTCCATACGAAGCGGGCCCGAACCAGGGTTTCCCTCCTTCCTCATAACGTTGTAGCCGCGACTTCTCGAGCAACGCGAGTGTCCGAGACGCGGAACGCGGCGCCCTGGAACCGGGGATAGCGCCAGGACTGTGACAATTCGGGAGGGGAGGATGGAACAGGTGCGCGTCGATGCGTAATGGTATCCGGGGAAGAGAGAAATAAGCAATGTGGGGGGGTAGAAGCTTGATTGTGCTGAAACTGGGGGGACGGTAGGTTTGCGAGGGAAGTCTCGTTGGTCGAACTAGGGCGGATGAGATGGATTCCCGAGTATTGAGGGCAGGTCAAAGCCTCGGGGAGAAGGGTGCATTTGTGTCTGTTGCACTCGAAAGCGGATGCGTCCGCCTCGACCATCGTACCGTTCGGGCCGAAGGTCTAGAAAGAGAACACGCCGACAATAGTGCCCCTCCCCCGGTACAGATGTGGCACTCACGCAGCCAGGCCCATTCCCCTAGCAATCTTCCTCGCCAGCGCCTTCTTCAGGTACCACTCGCGCGCCAGGCTCCTGGTGGTGCGGGCGAAGGTGGCGGGGGCGACGCGGCCGCGCTCGACGGCGCGGCCGAGGACGAAGATGGCGTCGCCGAGGGCGCGCTCCTCGGCGACGAGGTCGTAGAGCTGGTTGGCGACGACGGTGGGCGCGACAAGGAGCTCGTCGAGCTCGGGGGCCGCCTGGCGCGCCGAGCCCTCGACGACCGAGTCGGCCTGGCGGAGCGACGACTGCAGGATCGTCGTGTTGGAGGCGAGGAGGGACGAGAGGCCCGACACGGCCGAGAGGTCCGACTGCAGGGCCGAGAGCGCGGCGAGCATGGCTTTGCGCTGCGCCTGGAGGCCCTGCAGGGAGGCCTCGTTTTGGGCGCGCGACCGCTGCCGGACCGAGTGAAGGGTCGAGGCGAGTTGGTGGAGGAGTGCGTCCTTTTCGGGGTTCGGCGGGATGGGTGGGGCCGGTACTGAGGAAGAGGGGATGGCCAGGGTCAGGGGTTCGTCCATCAGGTCAGGGGGCGGTGGAGGTTTCGGCTTCGGTTGCGCCTGGGTAGGGGGCGGCGGTTGGGGCTGCCAGTTTGGTGGGGGGCCGCCATACGGCTGGGGTTGCGTAAAGGTGGTCGGCGCTCTTGGGTCATCTGGTGAGAAGGGCACCTGTACGAGGCCCTGCTGGTGGACAGAATAGGGTCGGGCTTGATACTGTGGGCCGGCCGGTGGAGATGGATGTTGGCCAGCAGGGAAGGCCGTGGCCGGGGCCTGGGGTTGGGGAGGTAGCGGCGGAGCGGACTCATATCGCGACTGGCTAGGGCTCTGCTGTTGGTGGTGCTGCAGTTGAGGAGGATGTTGATGGGGAGGTGCACTGTACTGGCTTGCTGGCCTAGCCATCTGGGGTGGAAGGGGAGGTAATGGAGGGCCACCCGGCCCTTGCGACTGCACTTGAGGAGGCACGTGCTGTTGGGTTTGAACTCCCGGCTTCGGTGGCGGTGGCGGCGGTTGGGGGAATTCATTTGCACGAGGGAACGATGAAGTGCTTGTCGGCCGCGGGGCCAGATCCGGAGGAAGGGGGGGGACAGGGGGGGGTGTGGCAATCAGTTCCTGAGGGGGAGATGGCCTGGGTTGTTGTCTTGATATGACAGGTGGCTCCTTTGCAAATATGTCCCTCAAGATAGCAAGGAAGTCAAGGATACTCGATTTCTGGGGCCGGGTTAACATCCGCTCTTGTACGAAGAAACACTAAGACACAACTCACATCCCAATATGTAGGCCACCCCGCGAGGTAGGGGTGGTACACCTGCCCCTGGGGGTCGACATGTTGGCCAGGCCGGACAACCATGTTCTCAGTCGGGGTCACGTAGACCAAAGGGGCCTCCCTTGGGTATGAATGTGGCACCCATAGAGATATCGGAAACCGGTACGTTGTTCCTCTAAATAGTACGGGTATCGTGCCGGATAGGTGGAGGAGGAGGGCGGAGGTGCCGTTCGGGAAAGCTGAGGTGGAAGAGGGATTAGCCCGGCTGTATTTCGGAGAGGATTAAGGAGGGCGACGGCATACTGTGAACGTCTGTCCTCGGGGAGAGTGACGGATATTGAGAGAGCGCCTGGGCTACATCGTTATATGTTCGGTTCACATCGTGATACTCCTGGAAAGCAGGTCAGCCATCAGGGTCTTTTGGAGGGTGGTGAGGGCCGTACGCTAGTCAGAACGCTGTAAAGCCAGTTCAGGATGTGCTGCTGAACGACCATGGCAAATTGATGCTGCTGGGCAGTCGCCTTTATCGAATCATAGCAGTAATCGCAGGTCTCCAGGAAATTTGGGGTTTGGAATTCCTCGTTGCGTCTTGCGTCGCTGAAGCCTTGGCGGGATGACGACGGGAGGCTGAACCTTGGGATTGGCTAGAGCTGAGCTCTCCGCCAAGCCTTGACCAGGGTCCGCTGCCCACCCCCCGCCTCAGTTGGATCATCGGAAATTCTATTCCCCATATTCCGCAGGTACCCGCCTAGGAACCTTGATGACCAATCCAATTGCCAGAAAGGACAACGAAAAATCCAGCATCAATTGCCCCAATTGCTACACCTTGCTTGCATCTTAAGATGCGGCAAGTGGCGGCACAAGAGCTCCTGATGATGCATGTAAAGACAGTGACAAGGAAACATATGTGATTCAATATACTCTCTGTTTCAAGGGAACCATTCGACCCTCAGACCACCACCAGCCAGTGAAGTCCGAGAAGCCACCGAGCTTGGCCGGAGTCGGAGTGTGTGGCCAAATTTGCGAGAGCTAAAAGTTGAAAGCAAATCCCCATTTTTTTTCTTGGGAGTATCCCGTCGGCTTGAAGTCGCCTGATTATTAAACTCCCGCATCTCCCAGCCCGTTCTTCCCGAAGAACTCCGTCTCCTCTTCCTAACTCATGCGCTCTGCCTCTCGAGACAACTGCTACTGTTTTCGCATTGCGTATTTGTCATTCTCCCACTTGATGCTCACGACCAAACAGAGTGCCCGCACGGCTGAGGAGTATTACAGAGTTTATTCTGTATACTCCTTGCGTCAGGACTATTTCGTTTGATTTAACTCCTTTTTATTCAACTTTACTTCGACCAAGGAGTCTTGGTTGCGGCCGTGTAAACCCGCTGCCTCCGAAAATAGGACATCCAGCTCATAAACCCAACCCGGCCAGAGTCATGTTGCCACCCATCCCAGTACTGGCTGACTATGGAATCTCTCCAACGCATGGCTTCCTACCGGAAGTGCTACCGTTGACGAGGCTCCCGGATCCGTACTACAACAAGTGGGAGGCCATTGCTGCCAACCTCCAGGCTCTGATTCTCAGCAAGCGACTGAGAGGCGTCGTCGACCGTCTCCCTGTGCTCTCCACCATCGGTCTGGAACACGACGCAGAATGGCGCAGAGCCTACTCGCTGCTGTCCTTCATGGCCCACGGCTATATCTGGGCCGGTGACAGTCCCAGTGATCGCCTGCCACCTCCCATAGCGGTCCCGCTGCTGAAGGTGTCCCAACGCCTTGAGGTGCCGCCCGTCGCCACCTACGCAGCCGTCTGTCTGTGGAACTTCAAGCCTCTGTTCGTGGACGAGGATATCGACAACCTCGAGAACCTCGCCACTCTGAACACGTTCACCGGCTCCATTGACGAGTCCTGGTTCTACCTGGTCTCGGTCGCCATGGAGGCCCGCGGAGCTCCCATAATCCCGCTGATGCTCACTGCCATCGCCGCAGCGAGAGACAATGATGCTCACACCGTCACCCGGTGCCTTCGCACTTTTGCTGAACGCCTGGACGACCTTGGCTCCTTGCTGCAACGCATGCACGAGAGTTGCGACCCCGTCATCTTCTATAACCGCATCCGGCCCTTCTTGGCCGGGAGCAAGAACATGGCCGACGCTGGGCTGCCACTCGGCGTCATCTACGAGGATGGTTCCGGCACCGAGACCTACCGTCAGTATTCTGGCGGCAGCAATGCCCAGAGCAGCATCTTCCAGTTCTTCGACATCGCTCTAGGCATCGAGCACCGGCCCACTGGCGAGAAGCGTGGTCGTGCGGATGAGTCGGAGCGGGAGGGCCATGCTGCGCCACCCAAGCACAACTTCATCATGGACATGCGCCGGTACATGCCCGGCCCGCACGCTCGTTTCCTTGGCGACATCCAAACCGTATCGAACATCCGTGGGTTTGTCGAGAGCCGCCACAAGGATACCCAGCTCCACATTGCCTACGATGCCTGCCTTTCCATGCTGCGTGTCCTCCGTGACAAGCACATCGCCATCGTGACGCGCTACATCGTCGTCCCGAGCCGCGAGGTTCGTGCTCGCAGCCGCAGCCCGGAAGCCACCCGCCGCAAGCTCAACCTTGCGACGGCGTCCCGCCAAACTCGGCCAAAGCCGTCCACGGTGGGCATTGCTTTCTCGCCCGAAGAAGGGGCCCGGGGCGACGGGAAGGGCGAGAGCCTCAAGGGCACGGGTGGCACTGCCCTCATCTCGTTCCTCAAGCAGGCACGCGACGAGACGGGAGAGCCGGCCGTCGAGGAGTGGGCGCAGCGTTTCATGAGCAGGCAAGGTCGGCCCGAGGGGAGGAATGACTTCTTCCTAGGCAAGCCGGAGCAGCCTGTTGCTCCGGAGGTCGGGATCGAGACCGAGGAGGTCGAGGTTGCTGGCTTGGCTGGCACGTGGACGATGGATGATGATGTCGGTGGCATCTGCAACTACTAGCTGCGGGGTGGGAGCGTGTTTGCTTTCTTGCCCCTCCCGTCTGGTCCTGCCCAGTCCCCCACGCTCATTGTTCAGTTTGGAAACCATTTATTGCAGTTAAGCTCGTAATAGCATCATGCTATCCCGATTCGTGGCATAGCTGAGAGGGTCATCGCATCCTCAAGCCTAAAACGAATCAACTTCGTTCCTAGGCGCTCGACCACATCAATCAAAATCCAGTTAGCAAGAAAGCGGCCGCAAGCGTTAAGATACTAATCAGGTCATCGGCGAACTTCAGGAAGGAGATCTTTCAGACTCCAGCTAAATAAATCCTGCAACAGCGCCGTAAGCTGCCTCTCCGGGGACAAGTAAAGCAAAAATGGGAAAGCCATAATGTGTCGAAGTCAAATACACGGCTGCTATAAACTCGGGGGTTCGTGATATGTTTGAGAAGGTGGCTGGGTGGTTATTAGGTAGATAGCAGCATCGACTCGAGAAAACATGTAGTAAAATAGCGAAAGCTTTGTTATCGCCGATATACATATACATACGTTAACAATGATCAAAACCATAAATCCACAAGTCCTCATAGGCCAGTTTATCAGGCGCGTTCATTAACACATCTTGTTGATGAGCAGGTCTCTTAGTTTCAAGCCACCGATGCTCCTGGTGCTTCAGTATTTACTCCTCAGCCCAAGCTCAGCAGCAACTATTTTCCCGGTCGATGTCATGTACTAAAAAGCTACTCTTCCAGGCCTGCTAGCAAACCTTGTCACGGCAAACACCCAGAACCCAAGTTCTCATTCCACAAAGAACGAGGCTACATTTACTAGAATTCAGATAGACCCCGGCATTAATTCAGATCGCCGCTGTATAATCCGCATCTGTCACAGAACCAAGAAAATCCACGTGGGTGATGGACATTAGCCGATTACCCAGGTTTCGCAATTCCCCGTCACGACGACGGGAGCAACGTGGCAGCTACTAATTAATTATACACTCGCCTCTCAGTCAACCGTGTCAACTAAAGGCTGTAACCTGGAGAGACTCTATGAGATATGAGAATTATATGAAGGGAGACAGTGACCGAGTTAAACCAAGCTACACGACGGTTCTCATGTGCCGCCAAGGTTCGATGCAGCAGCCATGCTCTACAGGAATCGAAGAGTCGTGCTCTACAGGAATCGGAGAATCGTGATCGTCCTCTGTCTCTTTGCAACCGGTATTTGGCTCTTCAACTTGATAAAACAGCGAGATGCGTCCACATCGGAAAAGCCAACATGGCGTCGGGATGATCCAGCATATATCCTGAACGAGACTCTCGGGGTGAGTGCTTTCAACTCGGAAGCTGTCAATAACACTTGCTCACGATTTCGCAGTTCCAAAAGGTCTATGTGATAAATCTTCCCTCCAGGTCAGACCGTCGCGACACAATGGCTCTTGCGGGTGCGCTTACGGGAGTCAAGTTTGACTGGATTGATGGCGTTTATGGCGACGATGTTCCGGATACAGTGCTTCCCGCCGATAGCTTAGACAAGCGTCTCAGCAAGGGCAACAAGGGTTCTTGGAGGGCCCATATGAATGCCTTGCGAACGTGAGCAGCCCCTTAATTTTTCAAACGCAACAGCGGACCTCTTGTCTGACGGAGATGGCCCAAACAGAATCATCGAGCTCAACCTCACCAGCGCTCTCATCCTCGAGGACGACGCCGACTGGGACATCCGCCTCAAGACCCAGCTCCAGGCCTTCGCCGTCGCCAGCCGCGGCTTCCTCCAACCCCTTCAATCCGACCCCTCCAACAGCCTATCCAGCCTCTCCCTGTCCGCCGGCGTCCACCGCACCGCCGACGACGACGACGACGTCGTCCTCCTGCCAGACCTCCCGCCCACCACGGCCCCAACCACCAGCGCCTACGGCGACGACTGGGACGTCCTCTGGCTGGGGCACTGCGGCTCCGACTTCCCCACCACCACCTCCTCCTCCCCCTCCTCCTCCCAGAACCGCGACCCCCCACTCTCCAAGCTCGCCTCCACGACCCCGGGCCGCCTCCCGCGCCTCCGCGTCGCCATCCCGGACGACGAGACGGTCCCGGGGCGCGCGCACATGCGGCCGCACCCGTTCGCGCTCCCGGACGCGCTGGGTGCGCTGCACGCGGCGCACACGCGGGTGGTGCACGCGGCGACGGGCACGGTGTGCACGCAGGCGTACGCGGTGAGCGCGCGCGGGGCGCGGCGCCTGCTGTGGCTGTTCGGGTCAGGGACGCTGACCGTCGGGTGGGACCTCGCGCTGCGGGACTGGTGCGATGGGTTCTATCGGGGGGCGGAGGCGGGGGATGGGGACGAGGAGGCGGGCGTGCCGGCGTGTCTTACTGTGCAGCCGCCGCTGTTTAATCAGCATTATGGGAAGGGGGGGAAGTCGGATATTACGGCTCCTGGAGGGGGGTATTTGAATTCGAGGAAGGAGATGACGCCGTATGTGAGGCTGAGTGTGAGGATGAATATGGGGAGGTTGGTTCGCGGGGATGGAGTCGAGATGCTGGTGGATCAGTGGCCTGACAGGGATGGTGGTTAGTAAGAGATTCTGAATATGAAAAGCAGAGGAAATAGTAGGGACGAGGAAGAAAAAGGACTAGTTGGAAGGGGGAGGCCGGGGGAGGGGGCAAGGAGGTCATTGTTTAGGGGACATATAATTCTTCTACATAGGTAGTAGCTATGTAAGAAAAAGGCAAGAATACAGGGAAAAAGGAACACAGCAAGCAGTACGAGACAATGACCAGATGAATGATGCCCAGAAAATGAAGGGAGAAAAAAAAAGGAAAAAATAAAAAAGAATTGCCCGATCTCAGAATCGAACTGAGCCCTGAGGTATAACTTGGACGACTTACTGCTTCATGCGACCTACTGCGACTACTCCCTCCGTGCGTTACCACTACACCAATCAGGCGGTTGTTGTTGAAAACTGTTACCATTAATTTGTTTATCAACCTTACCCCTGACCTCGGTGACAGACATGGCCCTCAAGCTCGAGCTCGGAGTGAATATATAGTGGCAGGTACTTCCACATGAGAAGCGAATATTCCCAAGCAGGGGTGGGTATGGGCTAGGCATCTGGACCTTCCTGAGGCTCCTCTTCCTTCAGTGACCTTCTCTTCACCCCTCTTCCTCGGATCACCACTCCTTGGATCACTCGCTCGGTGCTCATCCCTCGGACTTGCTATCGATCTCGCACTTCGTCCACGACCTGTAATCCGAGTCTCACTTCAAGATCCTGCTATTGATAACTATCAACATGTTCGCTGTTAACCAAGAGACACGAGGTATTGCTCCCAACTATCACTATAACCCCGGCCATCAGATGGATAGACATGATCTCGGCGGTCAACCCGTCGGTCCCACGGTGACGACGGCAAGCGGGCAGCTCAGACAGGTAAGTCGAGCAGCTTTAACTTCTTCACCAATATCTATCTAACAATTGCATTTGTGTAGCATGTCCTATCGCGCAGAGGTCAGCAGACAGGGATGTATTCCTCCCCAACAGCTAGATATCCCCTTCGAGGTTCGCCCGCAGCCACTCGGCCGTCACCAAACATGCACGTCGATTACAGGGCAGGCATGATAAATAGGAGCCCGACATTTCACGATTCTCGCAGACGACTGTTTGTCCGGAGTCCCAGCCCTTGCGGCCCGCCTCATCTCGGCCGGATATACCGGCCGTCGCACCGCGGCATCGCCGTGCCTGGCCGCTGGATCTTCTGGCCAATCCATCCTCGCGATTATCCGGTGAGTTCCCCCCTAACGCACAGAATACATCCACAACAATCACAGCTGCATTCCTTTCCCCCCTGCCCAATTTCCCTTGAGCCTGAGGTGCCCATGCTCGGACCACCGTTGTCAACTGTCTGCGATGTGGCCGTGGCCCATAGCAAACTCTGTGGGCTTGCCCCTGCCCCCCTGGCCCTTCCTTCGGCTTTCAACTCACCTTGCCCTCACTTTCATTCATCTACCACCTACCGAGGACCCACCTTGAAGTAGCTACTGATTATTTATCTCTCAGCGCCTTCCTGGTATCGGATGTGTCCAACCGCGCGACATCCACCCAGGCGACCCGGCCCTGCCCAAATTCGTGCGCGAACATATCTCCAGCCTCGCCCGGAGTGGAAAGCTATTCGAGAACACCATTAGCAACCTCAATACTACGATAGAGGAGATCGAACAGAGTGAGAGGGTCTTTGCAGAACTTAACCCCCCACCGCCATCTACCCCTTCTGAGGAGGAGGATCCAGACGAGATTGACGAAGAAGACTCGGACCAAGCTGACGAAGAAGAAGACCTCAACATGCCTCCGAAGAAAGCCCCCGGCGGCGGAACGCGCGAGGGCAGCGCCCTGGAAAAGAAGACTGAGCCCGTCAAGGGCAAGAAGTCAGCGGCCACGAAGAAGGTCACCTTCGCCGTCGGACCCGAGGCCGAGGCCGGGCCCAGCACTAACGGCCCAATCTCGAGCCCCATCGGAGATGTAATCACGGCACGCGCCAGCCCGTACAGCAGCCTGGAGACTGACAGCGGCACCCCCAACCAGTACTCATTCACCGGACCCGAGACGCCCTCCCGCTTCCCACAGGGCCACAACGTCTCCCGCCGCCCCAACGCCGCCAGCCCCTCGACCCCCAACCAGCAATTCAACAACCCCTTCTACCCCTTCTCTCCCCTCCCTATCTCATCCCCGACCCCCGCCCTCCCCACCGACGACGACCACTCCCACCACCTCTCCCTCTGGCCCGAGCTAGCCCGCATCCCCGTCAGCGACCCGGATGACGTCCGCCTGCGCGGCGACAACCCCGCGCCGGTGTTTGGGTACCCGCCCTTCTTCGCCGACGCCGTCTCCGCCGACCCGCGCTTCTGCACCGAGGACGAGCGCCTTGGCCGCGCCGTCGAGAACACCGGATACAACCCGGAGCGGCCCTTCGCCGTCGCTGCACCCGCTGCCAGTCAGCAGCAGCGGCAGCAGCGGCAGCAGCGGCAGCAGCGGCAGCTCACTGCTGCCCAAGCCGCCGTCGCGGCGTACCAGCCCGATCCCACCATCGTCGGCCAGTATCAGCAGCAGCAGCAGGAGCTCGCCCGGCCCGAGGTAGAGGTGGCGGCCCCGGCGCGTGGCGGTGGGCGCGGTCGGGCCCGCGGCTCGAGAGGACAGGGAGGCCGTGCCTCTCGGGGCGGACGGGGCGGCACGAAGAAGGGTAAGGGAGTCCTGAAGGGAGACGATGCCGGTGGCGCCATGCAGGGCGTCGAGGTCCAGGGAGCCGCCCAGCAGGGGCCGTCGCAGGAAGTACCCGTCACGCCGCAGCGCGGGCAGGCCTCTGGCCAGACCAGGGGTGATGCTAAGGTGGGCAAGCATTCGGCGCGGATGGATATGGACGACGATGTCGATGCCTGAGGTTGGGGTGCGAAGGTCTCACCCGAGGGGATTTGAACTGGCTGGTATGACAATGGTTGCCGACACGCATTGATAATACCCTGTACAAACAGATATCTGGAACAAGGGGCGTAAGGTCGATACTGGAATGGTTCGGATACCAGGTTCTATCATGGTCATGGCATGGAGTGAGGAGCAGGCCTGTATCTGTATCCTTTAAGGATGACATCGACCTAGAAGTAGGTACATTATGCGAATGAATCATCATCGTATCCCTCTACCACCCCCCGCGAGGCAAGCTGCAACCCAGCACTGGCTGGGACTGCCTCGTGGGCTGAGAAACGAATGCATTAGGAGGAACAACGATTCTCTCATGTTGTAGATTGCTGACCGCCACTTGGGAGCAGTTCAATGAAGCAGAATCCGCGATCATAGACAACCCATCCTCGAGACGCGAACAAGACTGGAAGCAGCGAATGAGCGAGGCTCACCGATATTATCACCACCCTGACAGGGGGCCCTTGTCCAGGTCATGAATCCAGGGACCTGCCTTCGAATAAGGGGTTCTCCGAGGAGCCCCCACACATTATCGGACAATTTAGTGATAATTATAGCTGTTCTCGGTCTCATGAACCAGATTATCGCTAACTCTCTACTCAACTCGACTTGTTCTCTATAGCCCGCTTCTCGGGTTGCACAAGGATGGGAGACATGGCCTAGGGGTCTCTTCGCTTGGTAAAGGCTCATATATGGTAAATGGCCTTACCGGGACAGTTGGGTGGGAAGCCGCCGGCTAATGTGGTCGGACCAAGGACTAGGGGGATGTCTGGGGGATAGGAATGCCGCAAGGTAAAGCAGTTTTGCTCGCTGCCTTCTAGTGTAGGTGTTGGGAGGTTCCAGACTCGCTCGCAATTGATTGATTAAAGACAGCGGCGAATAACGGGAGGACACGGTACGGGACGAGCGACGTTGTGAGCGGCAGTAGGCAGAGCGGGGAGTCGGGGTTTCCACCGGGGCCAGGAAGCGGTTCTATCCGGGTCCCGGCAGCAGCGTCGTCCACTGACAAGGAATTCGGCGCAAGCTAATCCGCCCAGCCAGCCAGCCAGCCAGCCAGCCAGGCAGTCACCCGACTCCATTAGCTGGGTGGCAAGAGTCTAGACCATAGCTCTCCTCCCGCGGTCAAGTCGCTGGAAGACAACGATGGAAGTGTGCGCCAGCTTTGCTGTTGGAGGTGGCGAAGGCTTTCCATTTCAAACTGGAGAGATGGTTGGGTGTTTATATTGGGCATGAAAGATAGCCGCACGGGTGTTATGCCGAAGGGACGATCGTCGGGGCGAGAAGAGGCACGGAAAATCCTGCCTTGGAAGAGGAAATAAGCCGCGATGGAAGCTTAAGATCTTCGCCAACGCCTTCCTGATCTACATGACAGGTCGTCGAGTCTCGGCGGTGCGCCTGAAATGGACTAACGCACCCGATTTGTCCGTGTTTCATGTTTCATCGCGCCTAGCTCCAGGAACCCCGGCGCTTGGAATTGCGAGATGGTCCGTGCAAGGTGGCGGCTTTGGCATGCTGCAGAGCAACGAGGCACTCTATCGAACGATCCCATCCTCATCGATCCTCACATGGGAAGCCCATTTCTTGCCGTGCTTTGCCAACTATCGCCACCCAATAGCGGCTGGCTTTACGGTGCCTCTTTTTAGGGTCATGCCACCTTGTGCATCAACTTTCGCCCTCCTCAATCGTGCGACGAAACAACGCAGGGAAAAAAAAATGCATGAGGGTGTGGGAGAGTGCGAAGCACCCCTGGGGCTTCCCCTCGTTCGGACCGTCAATCTACTAGACAGTACGAACCCATTTTTACCCACCATTTCAAGGCTCTCTGTCCTCTGATATGGAAGGTGGAGAAGTGCGGGACGAGCCTTCATCTCATGGCGTACTATTTGTGCTATTTCGAGTGCGCTTCTCGCTGACAATCCCCTTATTATTTCTCTATCAACTCCAGCACGAACTGCCATGCGTTTGAATATGGCGAGCAAGGAAGGACATCCGGGTCAGTTGCTGGTTGGTATGAAACTTCGCTCTCCTAATATATTTCTATATTTCACGTGCGTACGCAGGAACAGATGTTGGCGCATTGTTCCTGCAGGATTGACAGTGGACCTCCTTTGCGTACCCCCCTTCTTTTTTTATTTTCCGTCTTTTGGTACCCCACTCTCTGTTTCCCCTTTTCCAAGGTTTGGCAAGACGACAGCATCTGCAAAAATGCTGTGCGACAAGGTGCAGTAGCTGCAGCAGATATTGTCCGAGACAGCTGCATACTGCAAGACAAGAAAGCATCACCTTCGTCGTTGATGGCTGTTAACAGCATTGGGCTCGCCCGACCCCATGACATGGCTTCTTATGATGGGAACCTGTCGCTCCGAGTGGTGGCGATTCGCCGGGACACTGGCAGGGATCCATTTTCAATGGAGCATCTGGACATCTGGACGCGGGGGAACTCGATTCTCGATTCGTTCTTTGTTGGCAGTCTCGACCGCCTCGCCCCCACCAAGACGTTGTTTCTCTCAGGAACAATAGTGACAAGGTTGCCCGTCGTGCCTGCAGCCTACTCTCTTCTGCAGCACCGAGGCACGTCAGCACTCCCATTGGACCGTGGAAGAAACATCGGAAACATCGCCCATCTCTACTGCGGAGTACTGTGTAGCAATGTTTCATCCCTACCCTCCACACCTCGCTCGTTTCCCAATCAGGATGAGCCACAACGACCCTTGACGCCTTATCTTGGCTCCCGTCTCTTCCACCATCCCTTCTTTTCTTTTCTCGGAACCCTGTCCCGCCATGTTGGTGGTGCCGTGGTGGGTAGCAACTATCAGATGCTTCTTGGCAGGGTCCTTCCATCCTCGCCTGGACTCCTTCTGCCCAGCCAAAGAGCCCGGGCTACCTATGCCATTGTATTTGTATATATCAGTGTAAGCCTCGCGAGCTTCGCTGTTGGCCTGCCCTTCTCCTTTACCCTTCATCCTGTAGCCCAAGCCTCGTTTCCCTTCTGTTCTCTTCGCACTACATTCCTTTGATTATTATTATCCTGCCCGGTTTTGAACAGCCGCTTGACATTCCTTTTCTGGATATAACCCTTTTTAACCCATCCTCGACTCGACCTTGCTGGTTAAGGAGATAGCTAGTCTATCAAGTTTCCCCCGCCGACCTGCCAGACAGTTGCAAGCGGCTTGTTGGCCCTCTTACGTCTTTTCGATCCTTATCAACATACTTGTAGAGTATATTATCACACGCGATCATCATGCGCTCTGCTGCAGCTGTTCTTCTCCTCGTTCCCAGCCTCGTCTCAGCTGGCCCGGTCCCGGCCTACCCGGGCCTGAGTTGCATCTGGCAAGACACCTTCAGCGGCTCAGCTGGTGCACCACCTTCCGACCTGTGGAACATAGCCGTCGAGTGAGCTCCCCACATCACTCCCGCATGCCTTTTGCCCCATGGCACTGACGTCGCGCCCCTTCCCACAGCGTCCATGCCAACAATGAGGCCCAGCTCTATACCACCTCGAACAACAACATCCAAATCTCGGGCGGCGGCACCATCCAGTTCGTGCCGCGCAAATCATCCAGCGGCCAGTGGACGTCGGGGCGCATCGAGAGCCGCGGCACCTTCATGCCGCAGCCGGGCAAGGTGACGCAGGTGGAGGCGGCGCTCCGGGTGGGCAACAACCCGCAGGCCAACAAGCAGGGCATGTGGCCGGCCTTCTGGCTCCTCGGCGACAGCTTCCGCCACGGCACGTCGTGGCCGCAGTGCGGCGAGCTCGACATCTTCGAGCAGGTCAACGGCGCCCTGACCGGCTACGGCACCACCCACTGCGGCAGCTACCCCGGCGGCGTGTGCAACGAGCCCACCGGCAAGGGCGCGTCCGTCTCGATCCCCGACGACGACTTCCACGTCTGGACCCTCAAGATCGACCGCACGGCCCGCGACTGGACGGGCGAGACCATCACGTGGCTCCGCGATGGGGCCGCCTACCACTCCCTGACTGGCGCGCAGCTGGGCGACCAGGCCGTTTGGAGCACGCTGGCGCACTCGCCGCAGTACATCATCCTGAACCTCGCGGTTGGAGGTGACTGGTATGTACTTTTCCGTTACTTGTAAATCACCGGGATGGAGTTGAAGATCGTGCTAACAACGTCTCGGCAGGCCCGGTGCACCGAATGGAGCCACTCTGGATGGTTACGGCAGCATGTTTGAGGTCGAGTACGTTGCCGTCTACTCGTCGTAGGGCATGGCGGACTGACCGAGGGTGGGCGTTGCGTTGGGAGATAGGGGCGAATGGGGAGGGAGTTTTGTGGGGGGTTGGGACGGGGGGTTGAGGCGACATTGAGCCGCTCAAACATTCACGACATATCCGGTACGGCGTTTCTGGATATGATTTGGCACTTGCCTTTTTTCGATTCAAGTGGACCGGCGACTTTACACTTCACTTCTTATGTGGCGAATACGACTTGTGGAAATGTTTCCACACCTTGACAAAATTTAGAGACTTTAGATACGCTTAAGAAGAGATATCCAAGAATATCTTGGCAACCTATTGTTTGGACGGTTCTTATATTCTTGCTGTTGCCCAGCGAGCTGCCCGGCTCCGGGTATGGTCCGGCTAGGGGGCCGGGTGCATGCACGACCTTGCCTCTCCACCTATCCCCACGGCAGGCGACGACGACCCGCCCCCTCCCGTCCCCTATGATCATCAACTGGCACGACATATCTTAACCAGTCCTTACCCGCCTCGAGTATCCCGTCCGGCCTAGGTTCAACGGCCAGAGCAGAGAAACAAGATCTTCGGCCAGGGACCACGGTCGCACCGGGCGGGCTTTCGGGCTGCCGTGTGCCGTTGCCCCTCTGCATGGATGGAGGGATCCTGATAACGCCTGATGTGCATATCCGTGCGCCGCGCTGTGGAACAGTTGGAAAGGCTTCTTTCTAAGGTAACACGAGCCGGGGGCAATACGGAATAAACGAGGTATTGTTTGGTTTTGTTTCGGGACTGCTTGGTTTCGAGTCATGTTTACCGGCTGCGGTACAGGGTACCGTGGGAGCACTGCGGATTGGAATGGAGACGGGGGAATGGCAGGGGGTGGAGGATGGGGTTCGTCTGTGGCATGCTGTAAGCTCTTGACGACTTGGGCAAGGAGAAGGCCGTAAAAATACAGACTGGGATCTCCTCTCGGCTGCGTTGACGGACTGATTGTGCAAGGTCTAGCTTGACTTCTATGATGGTATTCCCCCCCTTTCCCGCTCCTATGCCCGGTCTTAAGGTGTCAAAGAAGAATGACACATAAATGGGAAGACATGCCCCCTCAACTCCTCGTAAACCGTGGGATGCCACATGAAAGACCTCCCAGAAGGCCAATCGTGGAGAAACGGCAAAAGCACACCCCTCTCAAAGATCGCCAACAGCGCCTCCCTCGCCCAGCGTCTCTCCAAGCTGCACAAGCGTATTCTCGTAAACCCTCGCCACGTCCATATGCAACCGCTCATCGTCCTCATCCCAGATCCCAACGCGACCCCCGCCGTCCGTCTCATCGCCCGTCAGCGTGCCACCCGGCCCCCACTCGTCCTCGTCCTCGTCCTCGTCCTCGTCCTCCCCGGGCTCCCTCCTCATCGCCTCCACGACCAGGACGCGCGTCTGCTCGACCAGGCTCTTGCACCGGACCATGTCGGTGCGGCTCATGCCGCCGCGCAGCCCGTTCTCGAAGCCCGGCAGCGGCTCCCGCGTCTCGACGTCCGCGCCCGTGAGCAGGCTGGCGAAGCAGTGGTCAAGCTTGCGCAGGACGGCGAAGGTGCCGGGCGGGGAGGGCGGGAAGGACGTTAGCCAGGTCGTGAACTCGCCGGCGATGTTGAGGAGGTAGGGGATCTGGAGGCTGGCTGTGTGGCGTTTTCGGCGCGTTAGCTGCTGCTGCTCCGTAAAAGGACGGGCGCGGGGGTTTTAGGGAGAGGGAGAAGACCTACGCGTTCCAGACAGCCAGATGATGTCGATCAGGCCCTCCACGTCCCGGCAGAGCTCGCCCATCGACCGGTAGCCGACGACCTGGTCGTCGGGCTCCTGGAGGCTGTACTTCTTGACGTAGCGGCGGCTGATGTGGAGGAGGCGCTCCTCGACGTACCTCCTCACCTTGTCCTCCTTTGCGGAGCCTGGCCGGAGCGCGTGGCCGCGGGGATGGGGGAGGCCGACTGTGGATCGGTTTGTGGTGGTGGTGCTTGGCGCGGGGGAGGGAAGCGTCGGTTGTACGAAGCCCCCCGGGCCGGGAGTTGAAGGATTCTCAGCCATTTTCGATTATGTATTCGTACTTCAAATGCTGTAGTTGTTTAGAATTGCATCGCATCTTTCAGGTTCTCATGAAGAGTTTATGTAGGGCTTGGGGGAAATAGGAAATGACACGAGAGCTTCAAATGGTACGATCCAAATGATGTCACGAGAGCACCTTGAACTGCGCCACGCCGATGTGGCTCATGCAATGAAGACCCCAAAATGTGGTCTGTGCTCCTAACCTCGATAGACAGGGGACACCTTGGGGGAATCTTCCGAAAATTTACATGACTGCGTCTGGACATTCTGCACTTCAACCTCATTCCAGCATCAAACGCATCGCAATCCACGACAACACACAATGCCACCCAAGCGTATCCTCGTCGAGAAGGCCGGCGGCTCGCGCCGAGGAGCCCCGAAGGGCATCGTCAGAACCACATACGATACCCTGACATCACCCGAGAACCGCCCGGTTGTCACCAGTATTGCTGCGTTCGGCGTAAGGGTCCCATTGTCTCCTTTTTGCGACGGCAAATGATGGGTTGCTAACCCGATGAAACAGACCGCCGTCACATTCCTCTCCAGCGCTTGGGCAGAATTCCTTCTCGTTCCGTGAGTTCGCACCTCGCCCTTGTCGAGTCAACAACCACGACTGACCATGCATCGTTCCTAGGCAATAAACACCCTCGAACCTCTCCCCGCATGCGGAACCATACCGTCACGATGTAGGATTGTATCATAGGAAAGGAGAAATGTACAGTAATAGATTCGGGGGTGGATGGGGTGGCTGGAAAAACGGCACTGGCCGTGCTCAGTCCCCCATACGGAGTTCTAGGGATGGATCCTGGTTCTAATCGATATACGTCCCTCATGTACTCGGTCTCAAGTACTCGTGGGACAAGATGACGGGTAGTGGGTATCGGTGCAACAACGCAGCTTCCAGCTTGTATATACGGATGGCTAGCAGGATATGACATCCCCGGCAGCCCGGACCACTGTTGGGTCCTGTTCCATTTACGCGCGCACGTTAGAAATTCCCTGCTATACCTTTGGTTTTCCTCGCAGAAGTGTGTCTCCCCTTATTGTGAAATGGCCCGGACGAAGTGCAACACCAAAGGGATATGGGCCCTAGTCTAAAAGTCGCTAGAGTGATATCCCTACAGGCAAGCCTATCCATTGGCCCCGTGTCGGCAAGCGGCGAAGAGCTCCCCGTGTATTTGCACGCGACCTCCTTCCTATTTTACTTGATACTCTTAGATGCCTCTATGCCATGTGAAAACATGGAACTGGATTGGGTTGTTCATAACTTTTCAGCCACGCGGTGGTTCCCCATCTCAGAGTCTAGCTTCTTAATTTTAGACGGCTATAAATATGTCCATGAATGCGAATGCGAAGATATGTACAGTAATAGGAGCCTGGTAGGGATGATTGAGGGGCAGTGTATCCATTCGCACTTGGCTTGACAAGTGAAGCCAAAATGGACTGAGCTGTGAGCCGTCTCATTGGCCGCTCACAGACACTGCGAGTACCACTCATTCGAGAACTTGCAGGTAAAAGGCGCGGCACAGGTGGTGCAACCGGTCCAGCCATTGCCACCACACTGAGCCCACTGAGCAGCCTGGCAGCCACCGCTGCCCCCGCCGCCCGGCGTCGAGGTCGGGGCTTTGGATGTCGTCGACGTCGTCGTCGAAGGCTTGGTCGTCGTCGTCGAAGGCTTGGTGGTCGTTGTCGAAGGCTTGGATGTGGTAGATGGGCCCGTGCTGGTGGTTGGCGCAGTGCCCTGGGCGCATTGCCAGTAATCTATAACTGCGGTTAGATTTGGGGACAGCACCGAGTAGGTAGACTTGGCCACTTACAGTCATTGACGTAGTTGCAGAAGAATCCGGCGGGGCACTGTGGTGTTTTGTCAGCGAGGCAAGGCCTAAAGTAGACCTGGGAATTGGGCATATCCATCATACCGCCTTGGCCACATCCCAAGTCAAGCTGTCACACTGGTCGTAGGCGGCGGCAGTTACGGTTGGGGCCGGCGCCGACCAAGTGGGATTCGCAGGCATTTTGAACTCTGGGAAGCTGGAATCATCCGATCTGACGCAGCCGGTCTTGCTCGTGAGCTCCGCCGGGCACTTGATCTGGGTAAAGGTGAAGGCAGGATTGTCCGAGTTTCTGAACCAGTCGAACCGCCATTGGCATCCCGGCCGGAGCTTCGCCGGCATTGTGTCGCATTCCGACCGGGCCGAGATCCCTCCATACTGGTTGCCAGCAATGCCGCCGAACTGCGAGCTGCAGCCGTCAAAGATGCCGGTTCCGCCGCCCGGGATTTGGAGATCGAACTGGTTGCCTGCAAGATCTCCGCCGGTGTTCACAGACTGCACCAACATTATCTTACCCTTGGCCTTGCCGGAAGTGAAGGTGAGCCTGGAAGGTGGATTAGATATACGAAGCAACTTTCGAGAAGGACTTGGATAGTGAACTCACGCATAGCACGCGCAGCACCAACTACTCTCAGTACCTCCACTGATGGCCGTGGCTGCAAAGCCGTAGGAAACCAAGTCGTTGGCGGCCCATGGCTCCTGGCTGGTGCAAGTGTAGGCCGACCCTCCGCTTTCGCAGCCGGACTTGGCGGTGAAGTTAGACAGGGGGTTGTCATTCTTGTCGCATGTGAAGACAGGCTGGTTGACAGCTGCTTTGCCAGTCCACGCGCACGACGGCTTACAGCAGTCCCAATATCTACCGATCATTAGCCTTGGGTTCAGCCTTCTGATTTGTCTGGGTTGAAGCACAGTACCTTGTGGACTTGCCTGACCCAGAAGCTGCTAGGGTTCCGAGGGGCAGGACAGCCGCGAGGCCGAGGCCGAGTAGAGTATCTGTACGCATGGCGACGATGTGCTTCTTGACTACTTAGTAAGGATAGCAGATCTGGGACTAGAAGTTGCGAGGCAGGGAGCCATTGAGGACCTCAGCAGCGAGACTACTAATTATATGGGAACGAACCCTGTCATCGCAGAGCTTCCAACCAGGAAAACTAGCTCATCATGCTTGTCACCTTGTTCCTTGTAACCCAGGTACCGGGTTGGGGCCCTTGGCGGAGGTCTTGGAGGCGGGTGTCTTAATGAGGCAATATCGGCGGAAGACCGCCGTTTGGGGAGCCATGCTACTGTAAGTGGGGTGGCAGCCACCACCTCGAATCTGGGCCACAGGGGTCCATGAGCCGCCCTAGGCAAGCTTCCGCCCCGCTGTGGACGAGATAATGACTCCAAGCACCCGGAACCTGGGCCGAAATACACGAGGACCAGGAGAAAGCTTGTTGATGAAGGGAGGGGTTCTGAGGGTCCCGGAATAGCGGGTGGACGTAGCCTCTGTTCCAGGGAAACCGGCCCACGTTTCACTTGAAAGCAGGACCAACAAGTCAGATTGGCATCTCAGCTCCCCAGAGTCAAAAGAACATAAGGAGAGGAACGATGCCGGGTTGCTGGTAGTGCTAGGTCAAAACTATGTGAGCAAGTAAAAGGGCAGCGATCTGGCCATGTACAGAAACGGTATGGGCATTAATTAGAGATTGCATCGGAGGCGATGACAGTCAGTCTATGCACAGTAGGTAGGTACCTAGGGTTAACTGTGGTGGGCCAAGTTAAATCGAGAAAGCTCGAGGGTCTGATTGCAAGACAAGTCCAATTGGATTTGAATTTAACGGGTGTAATTCGCGAAGGCGAGGCATGAGAGGAGGTATTGAATTAGCAAGCACATAATTACATAAGCATAGCATACCTATCTGTGCCCACTTCTCGTGACTTCCCGTTTACACTAGGCCACATATGGACTAGCGCAGATTGCCACCGCGATCGCTGAAAAAGCACGGGGGAACACAATGCCATCGTAAATCCAAAGCAAACCTTCTCTGCTTCAACACCTCCATCCTTTTACTCGGCCTCGAGGTGTTCTTGCGCCGCTTTCCCATCTCGCGCGTCTCGCCTTGACCGTTTGGACCTTGCACGTTGCTATACCCCGCCTTCTTCGATGTGCTGAGGTCGAAAACCCTGGTCAGTGAAGGCGCGCATCTCACTTCACCCCTTCACCTCGATCTCGACCTCAAGCAGGCCACTCTCATATCGCAGCCCGCCGCTCTCTTTCCCTGCGCAGAATCAGAATACGAGCCTCGGTTCGCGTAGAACACCATCGAATTTGGCGCGTTCGCCCTCCTGCCACCATGGCCGACTACGATCCGAGTTATGGCGCTTCATATGAGGATGACGAGTACGAGAATGTGGACGGGCAAAACGGACTGGGCGGCGGAGACAAAGACGAAGACGATTTGATCGGCGCCAGCATCACCCCCGAGGAATGTTGGTATGTCATATCGTCATTCTTTGAAACCAAGGGTCTCGTGTCGCAGCAGATAGATTCTTTCGACGAGTTCACCACCACCACCGTCCAGTCGTTGATTGACGAGTTTTCGCACCTGACACTTGACCACCCGAATCCTACCGACAATGAGGATGTCGCCTTGCGGAGATACGAAATCAAGTTCGGGAACATCATGGTGTCGAAACCAACCATCACCGAGGCGGATGGCAAAACCACCAGCTTGCTTCCGTACGAGTGTCGCGACCGGAACCTGACCTACTCGAGCCCTCTGTACGTGAAGATCTCCAAGCGGGTCCGTCTTGCCATCAACGAGCCGATCCCCTTGAACGATCTCGACAGAGAGCAACAGGAACTCATGGCGCGGACCGGCGAACACCCCACGACAATCCGCTGGGAAGATGAAAAGGCCGAGGACGAGTTGCATGACAAGGACAAGGCCGAAGAGTTGAAGGATATGATCTTCCTGGGGAAACTCCCCATCATGGTCAAGAGCAAGATCTGCCACTTGAGGGACGAGGACGACGACGGACTCTTCCTCCTGAACGAGTGTCCCTACGACCAGGGAGGCTACTTCATCATCAACGGAAGCGAGAAGGTTCTCATTGCTCAGGAACGCTCGGCAGCCAATATCGTCCAAGTATTCAAGAAGCCGCCAAACGGCCCCATCTCTTACATGGCTGAAATCCGCAGTGCTCTTGAAAAGGGCTCGCGTCTCATCTCTTCCGTGGCGATGAAGCTTCTGACCAAGGGCGATCCTGGGACAGGAAAGATTGCCAACACGATCCGTTCAAGCTTGCCTTACGTGAAAGACGACGTTCCGATCGTCATCATTTTCCGGGCCCTAGGCGTGGTGTCGGACGAAGATATTCTCAACCACATCTGCTACGACCGAAAGGATAGCCAGATGTTGGAGATGCTACGGCCGTGTATCGAGGAAGCCTTTTGCATCCAGGATCGAGAGGTGGCTCTGGATTATATTGGCAAGCGAGGAAGTGGCATAGCTGGTGCGAACCGTGCAAACCGCATAAGGGCGGCCCGGGACGTCCTGCAGAAGGAGCTGCTGCCTCACATCTCGCAAAGCGAAGGCTGCGAGACGAGGAAGGCCTTCTTCTTGGGCTACATGGTGCACAAACTCCTTCAGTGCGCACTCGGCCGACGAGACGTCGATGATCGCGATCATTTTGGCAAGAAACGACTCGACCTTGCCGGTCCTCTCCTTGCTAAGCTCTTCCGCAACATTATTCGCAGAATGACGCAAGATCTCACAAGCTATCTCAAGCGCTGCGTCGAGCTGAACAAGAATTTCTCCCTCACCTTGGGCATGAAGCCTACCAATCTTACCAACGCACTCAAATACTCCCTTGCCACAGGAAACTGGGGAGACCAGAAGAAGGCCATGTCCTCGACGGCCGGCGTCTCTCAAGTGCTCAACCGATACACCTTTGCCTCTACTTTGTCTCATTTGAGACGCACGAATACCCCGATCGGCAGAGACGGCAAGATTGCGAAGCCGCGCCAGTTGCACAACACCCACTGGGGACTCGTCTGTCCGGCAGAAACTCCCGAGGGCCAGGCCTGTGGACTGGTCAAGAACCTGGCACTCATGTGCTACGTCAGCGTCGGTACGCCAGCTGAGCCGATCATCGAGTTCATGATTGCCAGGAATATGGAGGTTCTGGAGGAGTACGAGCCGCTGAGATACCCCAACGCGACAAAGATCTTCGTCAACGGAACTTGGGTGGGCGTTCACCAAGATCCCAAGCACTTGGTCAGCCTTGTCGCCGGCCTTCGCCGGAAGAATGTGATTTCGTTCGAAGTGTCGTTGATTCGGGATATTCGCGACCGAGAGTTCAAGATCTTCTCGGATGCCGGCAGGGTAATGCGGCCTTTGTTTGTTGTCGAACAAGATGAGGAGAACGGGTCGGGAGCAAGGAAGGGCGAGCTTGTGCTCAATTCCGAGCATATCATGAGGCTCAGGCAAGACGAAGATCTCGGGAGATACCACGAAGATTACTTTGGCTGGAAGGGTCTCCAGGAATCGGGCTGCATCGAGTACCTCGATGCCGAGGAGGAAGAGACGGCCATGATCTGCATGTCGCCAGAAGATCTGGAGACTTACCGGGCGCAGAAGGCAGGCTTGGGGGACATCGGCGATGAGCGAGATCCGGACAACCCTAATAAGCGCATCAGGACGAAGATGAACCCGACCACACATCTGTATACCCATTGCGAAATCCACCCCAGCATGCTTCTGGGAATCTGCGCCAGCATCATCCCCTTCCCGGATCATAACCAGGTTCGTCGTCTCCCTTCCGTCTTACCCCTTTCCACCCCCCACCCCCTGGATCATTGCTAACCCCGCATTTCAGTCCCCTCGTAACACCTACCAGTCTGCCATGGGCAAGCAGGCTATGGGCTTCTTCCTTACCAACTACTCTCGTCGCATGGACACAATGGCGAATATTCTGTACTACCCGCAGAAGCCGTTGGCGACAACTCGATCCATGGAGTTTTTGAAGTTCCGAGAATTGCCCGCCGGGCAGAATGCCATCGTGGCTATCGCATGTTACTCCGGATACAATCAAGAAGATTCAGTGATTATGAATCAGAGCAGCATCGATCGTGGGCTCTTCCGAAGTCTCTTCTTCAGATCGTATACGGATTGCGAAAAGCGCGTGGGCATCAACGTGGTGGAGCAGTTCGAGAAACCGTTCCGGAGCGACACTCTCCGGCTCAAGCACGGCACTTATGACAAACTTGATGACGACGGCATCATCGCACCGGGCGTCCGTGTTTCGGGCGAGGATATCATCATCGGAAAGACGTCGCCAATCAACCCCGACAACCAAGAGCTTGGCCAGCGAACTCAGGCCCACGTCAAGCGGGATGCTTCTACCCCTCTCCGTAGTACCGAGAGCGGTATCATCGACTCGGTTGTCTTGACCACGAACCAGGACGGCCTCCGGTACGTCAAGGTCCGCGTCCGTACCACCAAGATCCCCCAAATCGGCGACAAGTTCGCGTCCCGACACGGTCAGAAGGGTACTATCGGCGTAACCTTCCGGCAGGAAGACATGCCCTTCACAAGCGAAGGCATCGTGCCTGATATCATCATCAACCCACATGCCATCCCGTCTCGTATGACTATTGCTCACTTGATCGAGTGTCTGCTTTCGAAGGTCGCAACTCTCAAGGGCATGGAGGGCGATGCCACGCCCTTTACCGATGTCACCGTCGACTCCGTTTCCGGCTTACTTGCCAACCATGGTTACCACTCCCGCGGCTTCGAGATCATGTACAACGCCCATACCGGGCGCAAGCTCCGGGCACAGGTCTTCTTTGGCCCGACGTATTACCAGCGTCTTCGCCACATGGTGGACGACAAGATCCATGCGCGTGCCCGTGGTCCGGTCCAGATCATGACACGCCAGCCAGTCGAGGGTCGTGCCAGGGACGGTGGTCTGCGTTTCGGAGAAATGGAGCGCGATTGCATGATCGCCCACGGTGCGGCAGCCTTCCTGAAGGAGCGTCTGTTTGAGGTGTCGGACGCCTTCAGGGTCCACGTCTGCGAGATCTGTGGACTTATGACCCCTATTGCGTAAGTTGACAGCCCACTCTTGAGTGCCCGCCCAGCTAACATTTTATCTCTCAGAAACCTCACGAAGCAGTCCTTCGAGTGCAGGCCATGCAAGAACAAGACCAAGATTGCGCAGGTGCACATTCCGTATGCTGCCAAACTCCTGTTCCAGGAACTGGCTGCTATGAATATCGCCGCCCGCATGTTCACCGACCGCTCGGGCGTCTCTATCCGTTGATGCTGCGTTTTACACGATATACCTGGGAAGGAATGGAGTCGGGGAGGACTCGGCAAAAACCGAAAAAGAGTGGATTTGGCATGTTTTCGAAGGCAAGGGGTTTCTCATTGCATATTCCGAGGCGTTCAGAGTCTTTAGGGTGCTCGTTCGGAAGCGGTCCTTGTTGTTGACAGGGGCTGGTCGGGTCACGGGCTGCTCCTCCTCACCAGGGATCACCCGTTTTGTGTGTTCGGCGATGATATCCTCTATGGTCCTACTTCATGGGACTAGAGATAAAAAGGCAGGCTGCCGAACGTCTTTCGATATCTAAGGCGGAGTGAAGAGTCTTCATATTGTATGTACTATAGATAATAAATAGATTGACGACAGCCAGAATGGACGCCTTTTTTACATGGTGGTTACACGTATCTTACTCGGACGACCAGCAAGACTAGCAAGGTCGTATATGATCCGTGAGATCAGACTCTTCGGCCTCTCGGCAGGTAAAGCTGATGCCGTTTCTGCCGCGCACCAGGGCAAGACATGCGGCGGCTTGTTGAAGGGGTGCGTGCCATGGGGGCCATATCCATCCCCATCATACCATCGACTCCAATTGTTTGGATGGATGAGACGATCCTCGCCCTCCCCAAATGGCCCCTCGCGCTGCCGCCCACCTCCAGAAGAGAGCTGCATGCTACCTCACTCCTCCTCCACCACCGCCACTACCTCCTCCTCCTACTCCACCTCGCGCGGCTCCGGCGTCGTCCATATCCGTCGTCGAGTCTCTCACCGTTTGAACCTTCTTGTACTCCTCCTCTAGCTCGCGCTGCATGTCAAAGTCGAGCTGCCGCTCCTGCTTGATCCGGCGCTGCTCCATGTCGCGGATCACGCCCTGGTGCATCGCCTGTTTTGTCCTCGGTGTTTAGTTTCGGAGGGTCGGGTGAAGAGGGGTGAGGGGAGTGGGCAGGGAGTACATACGGCTTTCTCGGCCTTCTGCTGGAAGTGCACGATGACGATGGTGCTGAAGGCGAACAGCGATGTGCCCATGAGGGTGAGCTTGGAGGTGCGGGACATGGTGGGAGGCGGGAAACGAGGATGGAGGGAAAGAAAATGAGGCTGGCGTGCTACCTTGTTAGCATCGCGAGTCGTCGGCAGACAATTGCAGGACCAGATAAATGGGCGAGTCGTATGGTCGAGGTTGATGGCTCCCAAAACTTCAATGCCCGCCAAGGTTCCCTGGTACTTGGCCGGGTGGAGCTCTCATGTCATTCCCGCAGTTTCTGCCGGGCTTGACCGCCTGGCAGGGAGGCGGTCGCCATGCATGCGGAGAGAGCTATCTGACTTCAAGCATCGGGAACAGGGGACGAAGCTTGAACAATCCGCATCTCGAGACAATCATTTCGATTCTGACCCATCCCAGCCTACACGCCGGTATATCAGAAAAGACCTCCCGGATTCACGAACATGGTGCGCCCTTCTGCGAAAAGATGGGAAACCAAGCATCGAAACTAACGCGGGATACAACAGTCGGCCCAGAACTCGGCGGGCATCCAGACCCTGCTCGATGTACGCATCTTTCCCGCCGCCATAGAAACGGCCGTCGAAACTACGGAGAACTAATACGGCGCTTTTGTCTAGGCCGAGAGGGAAGCTTCCAAGATTGTCCAGAAAGGTGCGCATGGAATAGCAACGCCGATGAGCATTGAGGACGACTGACTGACTGACGCTCCAATCCGACAACAGCTCGAGAGTGTAGGACCATTTGATCGTATCCCGTCTTCCAACTGTCCATACTAACGCAGCCCTCGGATAGTCCGCACAAAACGAGTCAGGGAGGCCCGAGATGAGGCCAAGAAGCAGATAGAGGAGTACAGGACACAGAAGGAGCAGGAATTCAAGAAGTTCGAGGCCGAGGTACGGACAACCCCCCCCTTGACCGCGCCCTATTTCTGGTTGTTCCAGTTTCCAGGCGATGACTGACGGAGGGGCAAACCCCTGCAGCACACCCAAGGGAACAAGCAGGCCGAGGAGGAGGCGGACAAGGACGCCGACGTGCAGATCCGCGAGATCAAGGCGGCGGGCAAGAAGGGCCAAGACAAGGTCATCAAGGACCTGCTGGGGGCGGTGTTCGACGTCAAGCCCGTGGCCCCGTCCGAGGCATGAGGCCGAGAATGAAGGGACTTGACCTTTTTCCTCTCCCGGGTGGTCGAGGGGCGAAGAGTCGGGAGGAGGGGTTGGATGGCGATCCGCAGGGGAATTTCCGTCGACACTTCTACTTACCTATGTTACATATTGGCATTTGGGGAGTGGAGTGGTTCTTGCACAGAGCGGCAAATGCATGGAATCGGACGGCTGTTTTTTATACTCTCCTCCGTAACAGATTAGAAGCCTCGGAACCTGCATCACAGGGCCAGATCCGATGACTGGCCCTAGAATCTCATTATTGAATCTTCTACACGATTATACAATGGCCGAGCAGGCTATTGGAGGAACTCTATCAGAGTGCTGAGCATGTCTCGAGTGTCCTTGCCATTATCGGTCTCGACATCTAGCCCGTCGAGCTGCTCCTGAATCGTACCCCTGAGGAGAGCCAGGGTCTCGTCACGGTCGGCAAGCAATGCCTCGATCTTCTTCCTCGCCCCGTCGTCCTCAGCCACCAGCCACGCCAGGATGACGTCGATGGTCTGCAGGCGGAACAGGCCGGCGTCGAGCCTCCTGGAGAACCACTCGTCGGCCATGTCGGCCCTGTCCTCGTCGCCCATGCCCCACCGCTCGGCGTCGATCTGCGCCTGCACGGCATCCACCCTGGCGGCGCACTCCCGCCGGAGCTGGACGAGCTTCGCCGTCTTCTCGTAGTCCTTCTCCACGAACTTGGCCAGCGTGCGTATCCTCTCGGCCGAGTTCGCCGGCAGCAGCCGCAGCATCCACGAGAAGATTCCGACGAGGTGCTCGGCGGTCTGGTTGTCGTGCTTCTTCATGAACATGGTGAAGGTGGTCTTCAGCCCGCCAGCCTCGACAAGCTTCTCGCAGACCTCTGCCCCGCTGGACCAGGCGACGGCGTGATGCAGCAGCCGTAGCGACGGGGCCTTGCTCGCCTTCCCCTCCTTCAGCATGATGAGGCAGAGGTCGACGCCCTCGGCCTCGACGAACCGGGCCTTGCCCTCGGGCTCGTCGACGAGGCACGCCAGGGCCTCGAACAGGTTCTCCATGTACTCGGCCTCCTCGCCGCCGCCGGCCTTGTCCGGGTCCCGTTTCCGGTACGCGGCGGCGAGCTGCAGCAGCGCGTCGACGGCGTCCAGGCCCGCCAGCCGCCGCCGGTTCGCCGGCGACGACTGCACAAGGATGGCCAGGATCTCGGCCGCGTACTGCTTGTTCTGCGAGACGGGCCTCTCGGCGCGGCCGGCGCGTGCGAGCAGCCAGCGGAGCAGGGGCTCGTCGGCCCCGATGGTCTCGGCGGTCTCGCGGCGCGAGCAAAGGTTCTCGACGACGGCGAGGGCGTGGTAGACGCCCGCGCGGTCTGCCTCTTGGGCCTCGTCGAGGCGGGCGAGGTTGCCGAGCAGCAGGCCGAGGAGGTCGGCTTCGAGCAGGGCGTCGACAAGGGCGCCCCACTGGTCGTCGGTGGCGGCGACGTCCTCGTCAGTCAGCTCGCCGACGATCTCGACGGCGTCGATGGCGATGTCGGTGTTCTCGTGGGCCAGCAGGCCGGCGAGGCTGGCGGGGCAGCCGAGGCGCGCGAACTCGGCGTACAGCTCCGGGTGCTCGGCCAGCGACGACAGCGCCTTGACCTCGGCGTCCAGGTCCGCCTCGCTGCCGATGAAGCGCGCCGGCTCGTCGGCGAACCGCGCCCGCTGCTCCGCGTTGCGGCTGATCCGCCGCTCCAGCGACAGCGCCGTCCGCCGCAGCCACGCCGCGTCGATCTTGTCCGCCGCCGCGGGCCCCGCGCCCTCGGCCCCCTCGACGTAGTCTAGTATCTCCGACTCCTGCGCCGTGATGCCCCCGCCAAAGAACCGCCCTTCCTCGTCCTCGTCCTCGTCGTCCGCGGGCGGCGCCGCCGGCCCGTAGTCGCCGCCGTCGGGGTCGTCATCCTCGCCGTCGGGTGGGGGCGACGGTCCGGCTTCCCTGGCTGTGTCGGGGTCTTCTTCGACGTGCGCCTGTCGGCTTCGGCGGCCGCTCGGGCTGTGCTTGGCGGATTTGTAGATCTCGGCTGGGAGAGAGACGGGCGGGTTAGTCGGGCTCCGACAGGTTTCTGCTGTCTTCCTTTCGAGGCAGGGAACAGGGCAAGGCAATGGGGAGGGATGGGCTCTTACTCGGGTCACGAACTGGGTCCAGTTTTCGTTTGCTGGGAAGCCCAGACTTCTGGTCTGCTGTTAGCTCACCGAAGAGTTGAATATGGCAGAAACGGGATGCTCGCAGACCTTGAATAAGTCGTCAATACTTGACATGGCTATCGGCACCTGTCTGAGGAGGTATGCTGTCTAAGGGTGACTTTCAAATCCGCCAATAGAAGAGACATGCAAGTGTTTGCCGCGATCGTGTTCGAAGCTTGGATTGAATTCCGCCAAGCCTCGAAGCTTGAGTGGCACAGTGTTTGGCTCTTCAATTCACACGGACCAACGACTCAGCTCCCATGTGCGACTTCGCAAGTCCTCCCTGCCATGTAACGGTTCAATTAAGAGCATATACCAATTTACCTAGTTGTGAAAGTCAAAACTCGGCTCCTCTCTCCTCGTTCGAATGCCGCCGACACTCATCCTCATCCGGCATGCCCAAGCGCTGCACAATGTAGACAATAAGTCACCCATACCATAGTTGCCTGCACTGCGGTTCCTAACACACCCATTACAAGACTACAGTATTCATGACCCAGACCTCTCCGAGCTGGGCTATGAGCAGTGCACGGAGCTACGCCAGAATCTGCAGACCAAGCTCCCCAGCGAGCTTGAAATAGGCCTCATCGTCGTCAGCCCCATGAGGCGGACGCTACAGACGGCGCTACGATCGCTGGACTGGCTCGTGGAGAAAGGCGTGCCGATACAGGCCCACGCCGGCTGGCAGGGTGAGTTCGAACTGGCAGACGTCTCTACTCCCTATTCCCATGCTTGTCTGGCTTCGCAACCGGACAAGGGGACAGAGCTCCCCTTCCCCGCCCTCCCCTTGTTTCTAACAAACCCCCCCACCAGAAACGTCCGCCAAGCCCTGCGACACAGGCTCCCCCATCGCCGCCCTAGCAGCCGAGTTCCCGTCGGTGGACTTCTCAACCGTGGACCCGGTGTACCCGGACAAGACCAGCCCGGCCGGCGCCAAGTACCGGTACACGCGGGACGCTATCGTGGGGCGCGCGCAGTCGGCGCTGGCGGACCTGCACGGGCAGGACGAGCGGGCCGTCATCGTGGTGTCGCACTCTGGGTTCCTGCGGCAGGGGGTGACGGGGTGCTGGTTCTTCAATGCGGACTATCGGATCTTTGATTTTGAGGAGGGGAGTGGGCGGGCTGGCGAGGGGGGGTATCGGCTTAGGCAGTGGGACCTGACTAGGTCTGGCGGGATGGGCTGGAGCTGGGACCATCAGATTGAGATTGGGGAGGGAGTTCCGGAGGAGGATGTCGTGGAACCTCCGGTATAGGGGGGTTTGATTGTGGGTGGATGGACTTGGCGGCCCAGCTGTGGAGTTGGTTTCTACGAGGAAGGGATAGATAGGAGACTGGGATGCAAGGACCTCAATTTGGGTATTAAAACTGGTCATTTAGCAGCATTTGAGATGGCCTCCCCTGACAACGCCCGCACTGAGATATGGTTATTGTGCCTTTTCAAAGAGTGGAAATGCCAATAATGGCCCTGAGTCTCCAGCCCTCCTGCCTCTCTACGCTCTCACCCCGATTATGTGCCCAGGGTAGAAACCTATCAAGATGGCAACCCTTTGCTCAGCTCACGCCGGATGAGGCCTACTTGATACCGTTGACGATCTTCGCCTTATTGACCGTCGGTTTCCCGACTACAGAGCTGAACAGGTCGAGTATGGTGGCATAGACAAAGACGGCCAAGCTGATCGGACCGAAGATGATCATTGGCAGTGCAGACAGGGTAATGTGTCCTATACAAATCAGCACAATCAGCACAACGGTCCGGCAAGTATGTCTCTCAACCAAAACTCACCAAAGAACACCCCCCGCCTCGCCACAGTCAACCACAGCTCATCAACCAGCACATCCACAGCACCATCCCACCTCCACGGCCCGCGCAGCCTAAATTTTGCGTTGAAGTTCGCCCCCAGCGCCCACACGACCGGCAGCCTCCACGCGCCGTGGCCCGACCGCAACCCCCCGGCCGCCGCCCAGCCGAGACGGACGACCTCGGCGAACCCGGCCGCTGAGTCCATGTCCAGCGCGAGCTGGTACGCGTAGCTCTCGTGGTCGACGCCGTAGCCGACGCGCGACCCGGGCGCGTGCAGGAGCCGGTAGTGCGGCTCGTCGCGGGGGAGGAGCGGCCGGGGCGGGCGCAGCGACGGGTCGATCGTCGGGTCCAGGGTCGCCACGAGGTGCAGCACCCAGAGCTGCGCCTGCATCTCCGACAGGGGTGGGATGGCGCCTAGGGACGGCCGCACGAAGCCCATGAAGGCGACGGTCGGGTCGTCGCGGCGCCAGATGTTGCGGACGTCGGCGTCGGAGGCGGTCGGGTAGGGGCGGGGCGGGGGGGAGGGTGCTGATTTGGTGCCGTTGCGGGTGGCGTTCTTGTTGTCGTTGTTGTTGCTGTCATGGTCGAAGAACGGGAACACCTGCTTGTACCCCGTGCAGAGGACGACGACATCCGGACGGACCGTCTCGCGCCTCATGCGCTCGTACTCGGGCCGGCCGTTGTCGCGAAAGTGGACCACACCGTCAGCGTCGATGCGCTCGGGCCAGGGGGCTAGGTCGATCTTGCGGCCGTGGGTGTCCACGACAGGGATGGTGATGAGAGCCGACCGGATTGTCTCGAGGAGGGACTTCTTCTCGGGTCGATAAGGGTAGCTGACGTAGGGGCCTATGTTGCCGGACTTGTTGAAGAAGACTGCGGTTGCAGGGGGCAAACTAATATTAGTATCGGTGGCGCCTCGTCTTACAGACTCGTGTAGTTTATACGGAGGGGTTTGTGAGACTTACTTTTGGACGCGTGCTCCCGCCCGGGCGTGATGCCGCCCACCCACTGGTCCAACCCGTGGGTCGTCCCGGTCGTCGTCCACAAGATGGCCTTGACATAGAAGTCGTAGTAGGTCCAGAGGGCTGAGTGGTTCCGCAGCCAGGGATGGACATATGCCGTGTCAAACAGGCTCGCCCGGCTGCAGTCGACGGGGACTGGCAGAGTGCGACGGGGCTTTGGCTTTCGGCCAAGAATCGGGAGGATGGTCGGCGTTGGATTTCTCTTCAACACCCGACCTTGTTAGCCATTGGTGGGATAGGGCGGGCAAGGGTGCGGCAGGCGCTAGACGGAGGACAAGCCGTAGATGAACTTGAACACGCGCATACCTTGGGGGCGATGTGGAAGCCGTTTCGATGGCACCAAACCACCCTCTTCGTCGGTGAAGTAACGGCAAGATAGCCTAGATCGGCCCCAGTCTCTCCGCTGCCAAGTACGAGGACCGTCTTGTTAATGCCAAACTGCGCTCGCTCCTTGAAGGCCGACGAGTGGAAAACGACAGGGACCCTCTCGATCCCCTCAATCTTGGGGATGTTGGGCACCACATGGAGGCCGGAGCAAACGGCAATGGCGTCGCACTCCCATGTCAGCGGCTCAGGGGCGCCCCTAGCCTGGTACGCGACCAAGTGGCCACCCCCTGGGCGCCGTGACACAGACCGAACTGTGGTCAAGAGGTGAATGCGTGGCCACAGGTTAAAGCGTGTGCAATAGTCATTCAGGTACTCGATATAGCGCGAGGCGCTCAGGAAGTCGGGGTCATCCTTCCTCGGCCTGAAGTCGGAGAAGGTGGTGAGCTGGGTGGAAGAGACGAGCTGCAAGTGTTTCCCACAACGTCAGACGTCGGCTCATCCGGTAGGTGCGAGCGAGGCCGTTTTCATCTTTACCTCTGCGTCCTCATACGTCCTGGCAAGGAACGTGCCACCAACCCCGGCCTCGGTCTCGAAGAGGCGAGCTTCGATCGGCTTTGTCCCGAGGAATTGGTGTGCCGTGATGAGGTATTTCAGTGTCACTAGTCCCGAAGGACCGGCCCCAATGACGGCGACGCGCATCTTGGCTTCAAGACGAAAGGAAGAGTGCACGCCAGTCTAAGTGGCGGTGTTGTAGAGAACTGAAAGAGGCCCATTCGGCCCATTCGGGTGACAGGATATCAGCCCCCTGGGGAAACAACACGGGTACATGATTGCGTGGTCCGGTATCCATGTGAGGGAAGTACAGCTTGTGCAGCTACTTGGCATCTGTCGACCTCTGCACCCGAGGTGATGTGATGGAGTGCCCACCGCGTATCCTCAAGCTCTGTATGGCAGGAACATGCACGCTGCAGCCGCATAGCGCTTTTCCATGCAACCCCAGCGGGGGCTTTCCTGCAACGTCCTTGCAGAGACTTGGTATGGCCATGGTATGGCAGCCAAACAAGTATCGCCACGAGGATGTCATCGTCCATCCTTTGCATGGCAATGCGGGGTTGGACAGCTGATTTGGCAATTGGCACATGTTCAGGATGCTGTCTCGAGGTAAGCAGATGGAATTGGGCCAATCGTGGGGGCTGCTTTCTTGTTTTTAGAGACAGGACTGCGATTCATGAGAATCGCTGGCTAGGTGGATTGGTAGTTAAACTCGTGGTCGCACAGCAGCGGGAGCGGCGGCTGCAGTCAGTCACTGGATTGTCCCAACCCGCCCCGTCCATTTTCGGATGGAAAGCATGAAAGGTTTCATGCAATCCGGACATGAGCCCTTCGCCTCGGCCCGCGCCGTGGAATATGGAAACGATGGTGAGGATGATTCGCTGAGCTTGCGCCACGACAAATGTCCGTTGCGGACCTGTTAGTCCCTCCCAGCGCTAAGAGCGGGGCTGCACCGGCCACTGCAAGACACCATCGCCTACTCGGTGTTCCAGCCAGCTCCACCTGACCTCTCCAATAAGGGTGATAGATATGGTTATATATCTCGGGCCTACAGTTAGACCCAAGCTAGTCGTTGCCTCACAGCTTTGGTTGCATTGTCGTCGAGCGAAGAAGTAAGGTGGAAGGCGACGCTGGTGACTAGATGCGTAGGAAACAGGGCCATATGCTGTCAGACCATATGGATTACCAAGACGGTTCTTATCTATACATCAGCATATGTCGCATGCCTCAATAACCGAAGAGAGTAAGGGGCCGGCATGTCTCGCAAGTCGAACATTACCAGATGCTCCTAAAAACAACACTCCCGATATAACGCTCCCGAACTGTTAGTTGCATTTCCAGATTGAAAGCAAATCGCCCCTCTAACCCGGTCCTTTGCATCCGTCATGACCTCGACCTGCCAAGAACATCCGACGGGTTCGTTTTGGACCGCCATATGGACACTACCTCGTCCCGTCTAACTCGGCCGGCGGAGTATTCATCATCTCGGCCGGTGTGTACCCATATCCGGGAGGTACTTGCTCATACACCGCCTGGCCGCCCCCGGTGTAATACGCAGAGGGAGGCTTTGGGGACTGGACATCGTTCGGATATGGCGAGCCTTGGGCGCCAACACCGTTCTTCCTCCGTCTCTGGTACAACTTGTACCCACCGAATAGCGCAGCCACGAACGCCAGCGTTGCGCCCACAGATATACCTCCAATAGCACCCCCAGACAACGTCGAACCAGAGTGCTCAGGTGCAGGTACGGAAGTTGGCGTTTGTGTGGCAGAGGATGACTGTGAGGTCTGTGACTGTGATGTTGGTGATGTCGTCGGCGAGGATGAGGTGGCGGAAGTCGTGGATGTCGTGGGTGTCGGCGACGACGAGGCTCCCGCGGCGGCGGCGATAAGGTCCCGGTACAGGATATTGCACCTCACCAGCGATTCCGACGCTTCAAAGCCATGTTGACAGCTTGTAAGTCTTGGGCAACAGGCCTGTGTGGTGTTCTCTTCCAAGTCGTTACAAGGGACCGAGTTGGGTTCATCACATGTTGAAGCTTGGTCGACATAACAATTATCCGTGGCGCCTCTATTGTTCAAACGAACCGTTGCGTCTCAAGACGTGGCTAGGAGGAGAAAAGAGTCACACATACGAGCCAACACACCAAAATCCCTTGTCCAGATGCTGATGGCAGGAGGGAAACTGTTCACCACGCCGTACGCCTGTGACCCGAGATCAGTATTTCTCAATATTGTGACGATTGCCTGGTGGCCCATACAACACAGCGTATTGCTAGGCGCGCAAATAGAATTAGACGCGTCGTCGCCGAAAGCATCCGAACATGCGTCCCTCGGAGACAGAAGACCGTTGATGTTCAAACTCGCGAAAGCCGGTGCTGCACGGAAACCGGAACATGGCAAGGCTGTGAGCAATGCCCAGAAAATTATATTGTTGAGTAACATCCCGAACTATGCATAGGGCTGAAAAGGCAAGTCCCGGCAGACAGCCCCGTTGGTCGTCGTACTTTACAACTCTTCGAAGGAGCCAGGACCGTCACCTTGAGCTTGCTAAAGACATGAAAGATGCGAAACATCCACGGACTCCCCAGGAGTCCATGGGGCGTGGGACTGCGACCCTAGAAATACGGAAATTGCGTTCTCTCTTGTCCCACGCGCTCCCCTTCAAGCTCAAACAGGAGTTGCTAGCAGTGATTGGCCCGCCACGATCCTTCCGAACCATTCACCAATCACACGCCCGCCTCCTTGCCAGGGCTGCGCCACATCTCGGGATTCGTCGATTAAGCTCCTACCCTGGCAAGCTTCTCCTGGTAAGCTCGAGTGCCACCAAACCATGTCCGTAATTCTCGTCAGCAACCGACAAGTCTAATCCGAGAGCATCGATCACCATGACCCGGACTTTTCATCCCCCTTCAGCTCCGTGCTATGTCGAATCCCCGTTGCTTGCCCCGTGAATGCATTCGAATTTGAGCATGGCTTTCGGCTTCAGGCGGGGGCCCAAGCTCTCGGCCATTCCGGTCATACTACTTTTATTTCTCGGCGGCGTCTGGTGGCTCACGTCTCATCCCTTTCCCTCCTTCCAGCTTTCCACCCCTAGGAGCAAAGGTCCACCTGCCGTCGAAATCGTTGTCGCGAGTATGAAACACGAGGACACCCGCTGGATCCCCCGTTACATCGCCGAGTGGCCCCGCCAAGTCTACGTCGTCGACGACCCCCACAGCCCGCTCACAGTCCCCGTGAACAAAGGCCGCGAGGCAATGGTGTATCTAACCCACCTAATCGACAACTACGACCACCTCGCCGACACCACCATCTTCATCCACGCCTCCCGCTTCCAGTGGCACAACGACGACCCAGACTACGACGCCCTCCCGACACTCCGCCACCTCAACATGTCGTTCGTGCAGGAGGCTGGCTACACGAATCTACGCTGCGTATGGGTCCTGGGTTGCCCTGTCGAGATCAGGCCGTTTGACGACGAGCTACGCGTGGACCAGCTTCCCGACGGCACGAAGTTGGCAACAAAACACATCTTCAAACAGGCCTTCCACGAGCTACTACCCGACATTGACGTCCCAGTCGCGGTCGGCGTGACCTGCTGCTCGCAGTTTGCCGTGACGAAGGAGACTGTCCAGCGGCGCCCACGGGCAGATTACGTCCGCTTCCGGCAGTGGCTCATAGAAACGTCTCTCGTGGATGACCTGAGTGGGAGGGTGTTGGAATATTCGTGGCACAGTGAGCTGCAACCACCCCCCCCTTTTTTTATCCTTCCTTGCATCGCCTTGATGGCATTCTTATTTTTCTTCTCGTACCCCGCTGACACCAACAATCTTGAAGTTATCTTCGGTAAGCCGGCCGTGCACTGCCCTCGCGCTCAGGACTGCTACTGTAATATGTGGGGCCTCTGCGACTTGACCTGCGTGGACCGCGAATGTACCGGTCGATATACCCTCCCCTCGTCGGCGACACTTCCCAATGGGTGGCCACGCATCGGCTGGGAGGGGGAACAAAGGGAATACTCAAGTCCCATTCCTTAGGTCCTGTTGGCTGTCTTAACCATAACGGGGCCATGGCGGGGTCATGGGAGGACCCATGACTGCCCATATCCGTCACATCTGCCCTTGCAGATTGCGCCCTCTATAGGAGGTAATGATCCTTCCTCTTTGCAATTGGAGCGAGCTGTAAGGACCCCCTTCAACGTCGACGGTTCTTTTGAGGTGGAGCAGCTTCTTAGCAGGGCTCCAGGTAGGACTAACGACCATGTACACTGGAATTGTCTAGATCACGGGTAGTTGGACTCGAGGTTCAGCGTGGCGGACTCGTCGTTTTACAAAAGCGCTCAACTGGTGCTCGGACGCCGGCTTCTTGCTTACCGCGATTCAAAACCTAGCTGTTCTACTATGGTATAATGTTTAAGTTTGCCCAGTGGGTCAGGTATCCCTGGTCGATTTAGTGCACTTTTCGATACCTGACAGGGGGTAAAACTTTTGCACGCAACCACAGTACATGCTAGCGATGCGATAGATTCCAATGCCGAGCGAAACTCAAGCACACTGAAGTCTTCAAGTCTTCTGATCCTCAAATGTTTACTAGTGGATTGTTATTGTTATCCGTACCTAACATAGGCCGGTCTCAATACCGATTGCCCCAGGCGAATGCGGTCTGTTCTGGGGATATACCCAGGGCAATTCCTCCATGAAGTAGATAGGTAGGACCGTCGAGGTGTAGGGCACAGGCCGAATGTACTTAAACCGCTCAGGCCCTCGACGTCGGCCGCCTGGCCACGAAGACCCAGCAAATCGGGGCCCTGGATTCCATTCCTGTTTCAGCCACGGCGGGTCGGCGGAAGCGGGCTTGACTCCGGGTAAAAGAATATTCCGTACGAATATCTGCCCCAGCAGTCCCAACTCTCCGAGGACCTGCTCCGGGGAACCCGTCTCCGGCGGCACGTGACATGCTCGGCCGTCGCTAACGGACTCCAGCACGCCGGTCCGGTATAGCCAAAAGACGGGAATCATCATGCGACCACGAGGCCCCAATCCTGCGCGTCTCAAACTGGGACGTGAGGTTTCGCTCCAACGCTGACTGGAGCCTCTTCAGAATTTCCTCCTCATTCACATCATTGCCGTAGCCCAGGCTATGCTCTTTGCTTTCCATTGGATTAGGTAGGTTGAAGTGGGATAGATGGTGGGGCTGATGAGGCTACTGAGGGCTGATGCAAGGCTGAGCCGAAATTAAGCCGACAGCCAATCACAAATTTATTTCTTAGGGCTTTCACCCCCGATTCTGCAGATTCTTACCGCCTCGAAAGTTCCACTCACCAGAATTTCCTCGACTTCGACTTCCCACAACCGCGCTGCTACATTCCCCCACGACCAACTTGCGGAGATTGTCTACCCACACAAGAAGGCGCAATCATTCAAGATGCCTCCCAAGAAGACCACCCGTCCCGTCCAGGAGAATATCTCCCTCGGCCCCCAGGTTAGAGATGGTACGGTTCCCCCGCGCGTGCGAATCCAAGTATCTGGGCCCCCCCCACCTAACAGATTGCAGGTGAGCTCGTCTTCGGCGTCGCTCGCATCTTCGCCAGCTTCAACGACACCTTCGTCCACGTTACCGATCTCAGTGGCCGCGAGACCATCTGCCGTGTTACCGGTGGCATGAAGGTCAAGGCCGACCGTGACGAGTCCTCCCCATACGCCGCTATGTTGGCAGCTCAGGACGTCGCCGTCCGCTGCAAGGAGCTCGGCATCAACAGCCTGCACATCAAGATCCGCGCCACGGTAAATACACACAAAATTGGCCCCAATATTATGCTGGAGAGCTTTTTGCTGACGGTGTTTGCATTAGGGTGGTAACGGCACCAAGACCCCCGGCCCCGGTGCCCAGTCTGCCCTCCGCGCCCTCGCCCGTTCCGGCATGAAGATCGGTCGTATCGAGGACGTCACCCCTACTCCTTCCGATAGCACCCGCAGGAAGGGTGGTCGCCGCGGTCGTCGTCTCTGAGCAACATATTGCGTTTACCTGGTACATCCGTGTGGTGGCTGTGGGCATTGGGCGTTGAAAAAAGGACGTGGAGAAACGTGGAGAACGGCTCTTATATTTTGCCTGGTCTCCGTAGCACAGTCAATATGAGGAGAATTGCCGTGATGATTTGCTAGATCCCTGATAGCAGTCAGTTACGAATCAAGATTCTCGACTGTCGATATAACGATTTCTTTCCGCATGCAGGGGAATGATGAATGACAGACTCGTGAATCCTTATTTGGTTCTTCAGTTACATAACTGCAGATATGAGAAGATGCAGTTCTCGGCATTGCAACCGTCACCAGAGCACCAATCCACACTGCGAGCCCCTGGATTCGTCATAGTACACGGAGACAAACAGACTACCCGATCCATTTATGTTGGATGTCGATACTGGGATGAGGGAAGTTTGCCTTGGAGCAGTTGATATCTTTGGCGCCCACACACGCTTTCATCCTCGTCCCACTCCTCGGCGAATCGGACAACACTCAATCCACCGACGAGTGTACCGATGGCTACATCTTCACTGCCTCCGACCTTGGCAGGGTTTTTTTTTAAAAAAATTACCAAAAAAAGTAGATCTTCCCCCTTTCTATCTAAGACAAGCATTCATAGCCCACAAATGTCTTGAGAGGTATAGGCCTGAGGCTAATCTTATGCTCTCTGAAAGTCGTCAAGCGACGTAAAAGGTCTCTGCTTCGTTCTGCTTCTGGCCCTCGTTCCAGGCGTCTAAAGTAGCATACGCGGTATCGCTGGCCGCCGGAGATCTGTCAGTCCGGAGGAATACAGATATGCTATAGATAGATGTAAGCATCTGAAGCATGAGATTACCACCTTAGTGTAGAGTACGTCGTTACTAACAGAGCTAGATGGCAGATAATAGCTTGATTCTTGCTCCTTTCAGGAGGGAGCATGAGCTACCTTATTTGTAGGCCAACTTGCTAAGCTAGCTGTTAAGTAGACAAAGATATCCGTCCCATTAGCCTGTGGCTCGACTCGCCCAGGGCATGTAACATGTGGCCCCCTTCAAAAACGGAGATGGCAACGCCCCGGTGTCAAAGAGAAAGGAAAGGACAAGGGGGTTAGCGCTTCACGCCGTGGACGGGGCGGCCTGTCGGGATGGCCGCTGGCGGGGCTGGGGCTCGCTGGATCGCTGGCATGACCGGGACTCGCTGGAACAATGGAGACGGCACAGGTGGTGCGGCGGCCTGCGCGACGGCCTTGGCGGCCTTGATACGGTTGCACATCTCCCGGTGGGCATGTTGTAAGGCTCCCGGGTCTCCCGTGCGGGCCTTTTTGCTGTTGTTGGCCTCTAATTTTGCCGCTTTGGCAGCGTCGGCTACGACGTTGGTAAGGTTAGGCACTCGATTGTCAACCATAGCGATGAGGTCCATCGCGTCGTCAAAGCGCTTTGCGGCATCCACGACGTTCTGAATGAGAGCCTGCATCGCGAGGTCCTGGGCTGCAAACCGTGCTTCGATCGCTGCGTTTCCCGGGCCAGATTGTCTGGTTCCGACGGGAGGAGCATCGCGGGCTACGTAGAGTAGGTCGCCACGTCCGATGGAAGCAAGTTTGCCTCCAACAACTTCGCTGAGTCCGCCGCGTCCATTGCAATACCGAATGGCAAGCACCGCAGCGTGCTCGGGGAGTTTGGCCATGTAGGGCTCATTGGTCCAGTACGCGTCGTATGCGGCCTCGACATGGCTCCTGACTGAGCGGACCAGGCCGTTGTTGGCTTATCTCGATTTAGAACCGGCAACCTCGCCGGTGAAAAAGACGTTGATGTAGACTACGACTTCCTTAAGAAGCTCAGCGTCTTCAATCTCCCGTACAGCTCGCGCAATAGCGCGGTCTTTATTTGTGTTCGTCCTGTCTTCAGCAAGGGGGTCTTTGCCGGCGCGGCCCTGGCGGCCTCTCGCAGGGTGGCTGCCGTCGTCCTCGGACCCTTCGGGCGCATCGCCGTACTCATCGACGTGGTCATCGACAGGGTTGCCATTGTCATTCAGGTTGCCGAAATCAGAACTCCCACGGAGAAGGCCGTCGTCGTTAGCAGCGGCGAAACCGGGCTTCTTGACTGCGGCGCTGCGGTTTTCGGACGAAAGGGAGGGATTCGCGAGGTGCTTATTGGTTCTATTGTTGGTGTTGATGAATCCGCTGTTGGTGCTGATGAATCCGCGTGGTGTGATGAATTCGCCGTTGGCGCCGATGAATCCGCCAGGTCCAATGAACCCGATGACCATAGTCGTAGTTGTGATGGAAAGGAAAGCGAGATTGTCAGTTGTTGTGGAAGGAAAGAGGATATTTGGCAGAGGGAAGGAGGTGATCCTTATTAGTGATAGGCAGACTTCTCACTTTTTACTCAGATGAGACTCAGGAGTCGTCGTTGAGTATCACAGCCGCGCAAAGGAACTGGCTTTATGACAACGAGATTGTAGGGAAAGAGAGTTGGTTGTTTCTGTAAGTAGAACGTGCGCGAGATATCTTGAAGAAAGTGCCTTTGTTGGCGGTTGTAGCGCAGCCGTGGGATTCGTTGCGCTTCAACAAATGCCAATGTGCGTTCGCTAGTCTGCTTCCAGTATTGTCGCAGAACGTGAGTGCTCTTTGCATGTCAGGTCTTGAAACATCTTGGATGGGATTGCGTAAAAGGGTCGTGGTACCCACCAGTTACATAGGTATAAATGAGCGTAGCCTGTTCCCAGTAATGCCTCTCGCAAACCTCATCCCAGTTGTGATTCCATCACGAATAATTATATTTCCAATCCTTTCGATCTTATCAACTTACCCTCAGCAGTGCAGCGCACAGGAACGGAAGGGAGGGTGCCTCAATGCAGTAGAACATTCTGGTTGATAGTATTAGGAAGAATTCTATGAAGGCAGATGCCATGCGATACCCATGGGTCAAGTCTTTGAGCCGCATCACTAGGTATCTTGCTATGGGCGATAAGAATCTGTCTTTCCACCAGCTCCCACACATCAATCACCAATCCAGATCCTCAGGGGCCTGCTCGTCTGCATCGCCCTAACCAACCAGAGCGGCTCCAGTGATCTAGGAGCTTGGCATCAGGAGAGTGTGCGAAGTACGTTTGCAGTGGAGATTGCCGCGTATCGGAGATTCCCCGGTGCATGAATATATTGCAGAGCTTCGTGATGTAGAGCTCGTCGGAACCGGTATGGGCGGGAAGGAGAAGGTCAAAGGTGATAGATGATCCGTCCGGCTTGATACGATTGATGCACTCTCTCGCCATCTTGTCCATCCTCGGCAGGACAGGGACAACGATGGCTTCGACGGCATTGAGTGGGTCGCTGTGTCGCCAGGTGGATGCCTTCCTAGATCGTCTTGAGTTGGTTGTCGACGCATGCCAAGCTTGGGTTTTGTCTCATCCTTTCTCGTGCAGATGGTGCAGCTGAACTCGAATGACTGTCGTACAGTAACCTTGCACTTGGCACCTGGCCTTCAGAAGCAATGGCAACTGCTATCGACAGCAATGGCAACTCTTACTGATAACTGTGGCAACAGCCACCGACAGCAATGGCAGGAACTATCGATAGTAACGGCAAGGGCTATTGACAGCAACGACAAGGGCCATCGACATCGATGGCAAGAGCTTCTGATAGTGATGGCAGCAGCTATCGGCAGTTGTAGCAGGAGTTATTGGCAGGAATGGCAGGCATTTACTATGATGGAACCCGTATTCAGGGTGTGGGTTCAGCGCATTGTTGTTGGTTAACCCACCCAAGTGCCTGCGCAGCGGCGGCGGACATCTCTGGAACCGCCATAGTGGCAAACGCGTGAAAACAAACAGGCTATTACACAGGAGATAGCGCAGTGAAGAAGCAACCCATCAATTCGTACAAAGCTGTGATCGATTTCTCCGTCGTCCTTACCATGTTCTAATCCATGTCCTAACTCCGGCATATCTTCTACATGACAGGAAGTTTGCTCACGATACGAGTCCTGCAAGTTGAAAACCCAAGCCCTAGAAATAAAGTAAGCAAAGTAATTAAAATGAATTCTGATCGGAAGAAGACGAACCTCTTCTGCCCACGCTGCCGATGTCACGGGCCAAGGTGGTGTTGGCGGTTGATCGACGACCTTGCCATCGAAGATCCACATCGTCTTGCCGGGAGGAGGAACTTCGCCGCCGTTCTCATAGTAGTCTATGAGAAACAGGATGTTCTTCCGGTGACGCTGCCATACCATCACGTTGTCCTCCAACGCCTCTCGCATCAGCTTGAGCTTGAAGGCGACGAGATCGAAATGCCCCTGGATGGCGGGGGAGAAACAGAGTGGTTGGGCATCTCCTTCGGCTTTTGGTCGGGTCATGTTTGCTGGGGTATTCGATGATATGTGCATTTGTATCTCGACGATTAACTTATGGTATCAAGAAGAAGGGTAAGGTAGCGAGCAATGTGATGTCGTGGAAGATTGCGGTCGAAGAATGCAAGCTTCTGGTATCAGGAAGAAGGGTAAGGTAGCGAGGAATATGATGTTGTGGAAGATTGTGGTCAAAGAATGCAATCTTCTGGTAGAAGAAAATGGAAGAAGAGCTAGGAATCTAAGAGGGAAGGAAGAGGGAAGGAAGAGGAAAGGGAGAGGGAAGGAATAGGGAAGGGAGAGACGGGCGTTTTGGATTAAGGTTCGAGAGCAAGCGCCGCCGAAACCCGGGCCAGATTTGCCTCCAAGAGCTTAGGTAATTACCTGTCAGCTGGAATATGAAGCGGCAAAGCAGAGGCTATTGCATAAGCCATTCGCATAGGGGTGAAATGGAACATCTGTACCCTCCGTGATCGACTTTCTGAAGTTCCGGCGCCTAGAATATCGAGATCTTGAACCGTTGCTCATCCACGGCACCTAACAGCTGCCCGTTACGATTGCCCTACCTCCCCCCTGCAATTTACTGTGTCCCATTGGAGTAAACGTGAGAGTGTGTGGCTCAATTCTGCAGGATGGCGTTTTCGTTGTCCTTATATTCCCTTCCCAACCCGTCGTTTTTTTTGCAATGAGTCTTTTTGCCACCTTAGCACCAGTTACGTACGGCCACTACATAAAACCCATGATGCTAGAATCACCGAGGGTCTTTGTGTAGATTCTTTGTACCCTTATTCCTCTAGTGGCCGTGTCCTAGAACACAAAGGCATGGTAGGCAGCAGGTTTAGAGGAACATTCCAGCAGGTATTCTCCAGGGATAAATAGGTTCTGGTCGACCTACCAAGGAGGAATAGATTAGGAACGACAGATATCAGGGATCTCACCTGCTCGTCAACACTCGGTTATTCGTCTGGATCCGACGTCACTCCTTGCACCCACGAAAGTCAGAAGGTACAGGTACGATCCTAATATCCCACCAACACATTGACTCGGTTAGGTAAACAAAGCAATTACATTTAACCACTGACGCGGCACAGGGTACGAAAGTCGGGATCTAACCAGCCGTGACCGGGTAACAATCCCCTATCATCATCCACTGACCAACCCTCCAGACCACACCGAGAGATAGTCGATATGGACGAAATACGCCTCGAACTCCCCAAGATGCCGCTTCTGAGAGGAGAGGAGAATTATTAACGATGGAACCATGTCCTGAGGCAGACCCTGCGAGCCCACGGCCTACTGAGACACCTCACCGGTGATATTCAACGTGGCCCGGAGACGGACTCGCAGAAGGCACAGGTGGTGCTCCTGATCGAGCGGAAGCCTGGATCGCCACGTCTGGCAAAATCTGGTCAACTCCGGATGGAATCCTAACGAGGACGATCAAGACCGGCAGGATTATACGGCCTTATCCGCAGGGAGACGCTGCGTAGTGTCCTACGAAAAGCGAGCAGGCCAATGTACGAATTCAGTACACTCCACAGGGATGACTTCAAGTCCATGCACAAATTCCAGTTCTGGGTCCAGTATCTCCGTCGGAGACACAGGCAATCGGGCCATATACTAGGAGATAAAGTGGAAATCAAATCCGTGCTCGACGCCCTGGAACGATATGATCTTCAGACGATCCTGATCGGGAACATTCTCGATGGCTCGTTGACGTGGGACGATGTGATAAAGAAGCTGTCGGCTGAGGTGGCCATGGAATCTAGGAAGGCTCAAGATGGACTTCTCCAATAAACCTAACGGGAAGGGGGCGTCAAGAGGTCAGGAGAACAAAAATTTGAGGAATCAGAGGATAGAGATAAGGCGACCCACGAGGCCTATACAGACTCCTACTTTTGTGGAGTCTCTTCGACAAGTGTTGTTTGGGAAGGCGAGGCAAATGGTTTGGGAGGGAGGGTGAATCTAGTGTATTTACAACTTCCAAACCTCGTGTCCCAGAGTCGTCCAATGCGCCACCCAAGTGCAACCAGCGATATCCGTCACTTCACACCCACGAATCTGGCCCGAGCTCCCACCAATCTATTCTCGCTGCATGACCACCATCAGACCCATCAATCCCAGCATGACCGTCTTCATCCAGGGATGCTCCGAGAGCATGATGGTGACATATCCGACGAGGGGGATGTACGCCCCGACCCGCCCTATTATGTCCGTCCGGGCCAAGTAGTCCTGTCCTCTCGCGTACAGAGCCGCGTCGTCGGCGCCGTTGTTATCACCCTTGGTCAAGAACTTCGCCTTGGGTCTAACACAGCCGGGATTTAGTTTGTGAGGGGGGATGGGAGAAAAGGAGAGATGTGAGGAAAGGTCCTTGACGACCGGGGGAGACATACCCCTTGCCGAACTTCTGAACGATGCGATGGACAATGGGGATATCTTTGTCCTGCACGTTGTACACCACGATGTCGCCCACGCCAGGCTCCTTCAGGATGTCCCGGTTGTGGAGGAAGAGCAGATCGCCCCGCTGGAACGCCGGCTCCATGGAGCCGCTCAGCACCACAACAATGGGGCTTGGCGAGTCTGTTATCACAGATAACCCCTTCCACATCTGGCGAGGTATAGGTTAGCAGTCCATATATGTATATATTAAGGGTCCGTCCGTCCCCGAGGAGACTGTGGAGGGCTGAATACCATAAATGCAGTGCTCAGAATGAGCCCGAAGCTCAAGAGCTGGCTGGCAGCTTGCCGCGGGTTTTGCAAGCTGGAGAGCATTTTGTTACGTCCGGTCACGTTGGGGGAAAGCCGTTCGAATGTTTAGGTAATTCTGAAGTTTCCAGGAGGTTGTTCGATGCGGCTGACGTGGCAAAATCTGTCCTGGTCCCCAAAGTCGCGCTAGTCGTCAAAACATGAGGTTTAATTGGCTTCCGAGTTTAGGCGCTAATCAGCCAATCTGCAGGCGTTGGAAACCTTAAAATAACGGTTCTTGACAGTGATTGGACCAGGTTTCCTAGCATGTGCCCCACTCTTTATTAGTGGATACCTCTCTAGTGCCGCCGCCCCTTTATGCGAAGGAGAGCAACGTGCAACACGCATGTGAGAATGGATGTAATTACTTTTTAGCAGCAGACTTCGCCTTGTATCACCAAAATGCCACCATTCTCCTCCCAAATTATGCTTGGATTGTCTATTTATTGTCCCCTCTCCAGCCTTCCAAATTGGCGTCGTCACATTGCCGAAAGTCCATATGAATAGCAAGCCGGTTATGCAACTCAGACCCCATCTTTTCAGCAGCCTTGGTCCATTCCTAATGTTGCTCACAATATCTGAGCCCGGAGGGAAATCGTGCCCAAAGGAAGGCTCTTCCTACTCCTGCCCGATCTCTTCCGAAACTACGCCCAACTCTGTGAAAACAGAGCCGACTTGAGGACGCCATCGCGCTCATTTATTAAATTACGACATACTTTGGCTGGCTTAGGGGATTGCACAGGGAGAGCACATGCCCGCCTCATAAGAAACCCAACGATGGTAGTGCCGGGCGCTATGCTGACTGGTCTCGGATCACCAAGTTCGCCCAACCAATCATGCATCGGATTTCGTGGCCGGTCCGGATCGCAGTATATCTCCGGCATGCCCATTTCGTTGTTTCATCCTACGGGGACTTGTCGGAGCCAAAAATACGAGATCTCCTTCGATTTGTAGACATCTGCTAAGTGTAAGAATAATGTGTTCCGTCCTGCAAACAATTTCAAGAAAGGTAGAGAAATCTGGACGATAATGATGGGGATTACTTGTCCCAGATACCACAAATTGCCCCTCTTTGGGCAGCAGAGAATGGTGGATGCGAAACGCAATAGCACCTATGAGCATAAATCGATGTCGAAGTCAATGACCGCTGCTTCGAAGTCCATTATCCGTCATATCGCCCTAAAGTTCGATACTCGGTGGGGACCTCAGTGTTGTGAATGAGTAGTTCCTGCGCGCGTCGCAATCGCAGTCGACGGATACTCTGGTTAGATATCGAAGGTAAATATCGCCTAGGCCCTGGAAAGAGCTCTCCAGTCACTTCTCCCCACCGGGATAGCCTCTGGTCGCAAACATGGGTGTGAGGATGCCCAGGTAGCTCCTTTCAACGGAGGCTGAAAGTATCCCGGATCTTTTGTATCAGGAACCAGATTCGTTTCCAATTTCGAAGTGCATCGCGGCGATCGTTCGAACATACAGTGGTCATCAGTCTCGAGGGATTATACTGTCCTGCATTTCAAAAGGCCAGGGGTGGTCCGAGTAGGAGCGTTTTGGGCTGGCCCTAAATTTGGAACGTCAGAATTTTTGGCTTTGGAATATCGACTGGAGAGGCTTCGAGGCTCGACCAGCCCCCAGGAGACCATGTCTCGGTAGATAGATGGCTATGGCTGAGTCCTGCTATTAAGAAAGCGCGGCAAAGCGGTTCCTGCTGTTTGATGTCGTAATGGAACCTGGAGATGTGACATTGGCGGTGTTGGTGTGGCATCGGTAAGTACTCCTCCGAACCCCAGAGCTAAATGCCTAACAAGACCAAGAGCAAGAGCAATAGCGATAGTGGAAGCAACGTTGAGAGCGACGGTGACGGCGACGACAACAGCAACGGCAATAGTGACGGCAACTGTGATAGCAATAGCAATATCAATATCAATATCAATAGTATTTTAGCGACAGCGATGGCGATGGCAATAGTGGTGGGGCAATGGTGATGGAACATACTGCCGCCTGCTAGAAATCCTACGCACAGACCCTACTCTGCAGGCTCGCGCAGCAACCATAACCGGAAATACCGCTTGGGCTGATAGTGGGCTCTCTGCAACTGTACAGCCGCATCGCAGCATCACTCATCATCCGGCAAAGGGCTCTCGCATTCCGTGGCGAAAAGCGTCCGCCGCGCTGCTTTGCCACTACAAATCTCATCTCCGCCCGTCCAGAAGTTTGAAGTGCGAACGAAACACCGTGACTGTATCGACGGTCCCCAAGTTACTGACGAGGACGAGGGTTTTGTGACGAAATATCCTGACACCCTGCTTGCTTCTCGGCGAGCAACCGACCTAAACGACGACTTGACGATCGGCAGGCTTAAAATTTCTCTTGGGCCCTGACGAGACCGCTTCAGCACTCTACCTCCAAGTATCTACATTCCCGACCTCACTGCACCGCCGTTCTGACGTCCGTCTCAAGTTGAGCTGCTGTAGCTCGGTCGATTACTGGGACAAAATCTCGCATTGGTCTCTTCCCAATAACCTATCACCTTCTCTTCTACCCTTCATCATGTACATAGGTCAAGCTCAGCAGGCGGTAATTATCCTAGGTAGAAATCTATGAGTACCCCCAAATCTATCGTCACTTGTTGCAGATCGCGTTGGTCCTGGGCAAGACCTAAAACTGTCCGGTCCTGGGCAAGACCTAAAAATGCCCGGTCTACGGCAGAGACCTAGAGTTGCTGGACCCAGCTGGAGGCTGGTATCGTTAAATAAATCACCAAATCAACCAAACTACAAGACCTACAACAGCCAGATACGAAGCACTTCGGTATGTCAGAATTCCTATGCCCTTTGAGCAGCCCTGAACTGACGGTTTGGTGACGGGGGGGACCCCGTGACCTCCAGCAGCATTCGTGGTTCTGGATTTTCAACACCGCCTGTCACTCTCAAAAATCCGCACCCTCACTCCCCGAACCACCTTTCCCTCCCCCCCCCAAACCCAACCAAACACAATTGTGTCCGTCCCCTTCAACGCGCGCGCACAGTTGTGAGCATCAATTCCAAATCGCAGCAATGTGAGTACAGCCCTTCGAGTACTTCAGTTTCTTTTCTTCTTCTTCGCGTCTCACGTCTCGTATCTCGCGTCTTGCGTCTTGCGTCTCGTGTCCCGACTCGAGTGCTTCAACCCTCAAGTCCAATCCGAGCACGCTTCACTGACTTCCCTTCCCAATCTAGGCAGTTCGATCCCTCGCGTTGTCAACCATATCTTTTTCACCTCGCAATCCATGCAGGGCCCAGAATTCCCCAACCAGCAGAGCGAACAGAGTAAGTCATCTCAAAAACACGATCTCTCCAGCCACCACGAACCTATTCTGTCCTTGCCTTTCAGACCCGCCTCACTTCTTTTGCTTCTATCCTCACACTTCTCGACTCACGCCTTGCAGGATATCAACATGGCAGACATTGAGCATGTTGACGTGACCGACACGAAACGCGTTGACGTGGCCGATATTGAGCATGTTGACGTGACTGACAAGTCTAACGTAAGTTTTCCACTCCTAGCCACGCCAACACAGCGTGCTGACCCAAAAAGATGGAAGAGCCCGAGAAGAGCACAGCCGTGCCTCATTACCAGGAGGGTTTGGAAGACTCCGTGAAAGTAGTCGTAAGTATACCCGTCTTCCAACCCCCTCGCAATCGCACCAGTCTGACATGCGTTGCAGCCTCCCGAGGATTTCGATGACAAAGTTGAGCACTTGGACGGCGTACAAGACATTTATAACAAGGATGGTGGCAAGGATGAGGACTGGACACGTCCCATCCATGGATATCTCAGCATCAATGGCGAGCCCATCAGCACCCCGAGTGCCAAAGTTGCGCAGTTCATCGGTCGCCCCTCCAAGGAGTCTCTGGACGTCGCTATCACGATGCACGATAGCGCTGACGACTTTGCCTCGCTGCACTTCAAGCTGCTCGCTCACGGTCTGGGCCTTGACGATGAGTACGCCGGCCACATCCTCATCTGGGCAATCGACCTCCTAGATATCCAGGCATTCGAGCAGCCCGACCCCCTCGCGGCCTTGCGTCATTACCGGGCGAATGCCAAGGCGGTGTACGGTAAAGTGTTTGCCATGACGGTCAAAGTGCGCTCCGTTCAATTTGCCGTTCCTTACGGCATCGAGAGCCAACTTCAGACTATCTACGAAGGCATTCACCAGGCCAAACAGCTTAAGATGGTGAGAGAGTGTATCAATCGTGCCAAGCCGGACGGATCCATTACCTTTGACCTTCTCCTTCCCGCCTGTACCGGTTCCGTCGAGCTCTACATCACGAAGCTCTGCAATATGTTCATGCACCGGAGAATCTCCGATACGCAGCAATCTCCTCTGCAAATGTACTTCGCACGCTCTCCCGATTCCAAGCTCCTCACCCTCGGCGACTGCCCGGCGCCGGGAGAGCCCGGATTCCCGACCAACGCGCGCGGGATGAGAATCTTGCACTTCGCCAAGGCACACCAGCACCTCCTCTACAACGTTGCAGGCACCCATTTTGACGAGAACCTGCAGCGGGAGGCTATTGAGGCCCTGCCCTCCCATCAGTTCAATGCATTTGTCTTCCCCCTCGCGCAAGTCGAGGGTGGTCGCCGCTTTCTCTGCATCCTCGATCCAGAAGGACAAGAGGTCCTGCTCCCAAGAAACGGCGAGGCCTGCAATATGTTCTTTGCGAAGGCAATGTTTCTCTCAGAGGATAAGATAACCTCGATTGCTCTCGAAGTCTTCAAGGTCCTACTTTTTGCCATAGTTAAAGCAGACTTCTACAAGTCCGTTGTCAAAAAGGCGGGCATGCACTTCAGCCGTGACCTGACAGAGGCAGAGGTCTATGAGCTGCGCCAAACTGAGGTGGAGAAAGATGACAGCAATAACGAAGCATGGCGAGCCCGCGTGTACAAGTGGATACGCGAACATTGCGACATCCTCCGCGATATGGCCCTTGCCGAAGACGACAACGACCCTGCGCGCTGGTGGGCGGCGTGCCGCGTCGACTTACCGTCACCTCTCTTCAAGGCACAGTATCAGACGTACATGGTTTGGAAGCCGACAAATAAGGACGCCGAGGCCGAGGATAGCCTGCTGTTGGGGGTTGACTTGCCGTCCGTCGGAAACCCGCAAGCTGGGGAGAGCGCAGTCAGTTACTTGGCTCGCGTCATGGATCCTAACAACGCGCAACCCGTCAAGGTCAAGCGCGTCAGTTCCAACAAGACCATCTGTGCCGAAGTTGATGCTGTCAATGCACTCAACTGTCCGCCTTCGGCCGACCCCCGACCCTCAGACGAGTCCGTCGCGGCATTTCGATACCTGTTACGATTCAACGCAGACACCGCTCCCATCGTTAACCTTCTAGAGGCGATCCCGGCCCTTGGAAATGTTGTCAACGACAACTCATCTCCTCCTTTCGTCAAGAACCTCTTTGAGGGGATGAATAAGCCTATGAAGGAGGCATTTCGCGCCATGGATAGCCTTCCGGCCGGAATCTGCTTCGTCCCTGGCGTTGCTGGCTGTGGAAAGTCATACATGATGGAGATGGCTATCGTCTTCTCCCAGTTTGGGTCTTGCGCTGCCGATGCTGAGCCCCACAATGCGATGCCGAACAAGCTGAAGGTGTTGTACCTGATCAACAACAACGCGGGCGTGGAGGCCTTTACTAGCCGCCTCATCGAGACGTACGATGGTCTTGGGATCGCAAACCACCCCGCCGTGTTGCGCCTCTATCCGATGGGGAGCGAGGTGAGGTCGGGCATGAGCCAGGGACCTAAGCAGCAGCGCCCAGATGTGTTTGCCGAGGGCGCGGCAGAGGCCGAGCGTGCCGCGATGGACATTGAGAATCACTTCTTAGCGACTTATGTCATGAACGAAATCTCCATCAATGTACACAATGCCCATGCCGCCGCCCGCAAGGCCAGGCGCCATAACGTGGAGAATTCTCTGCACTGCGCGGCACTCCGTTACTTTGAGGGGCACCGCACCGAGGAGCGCTTCGGGAAGCTCGCACGACTCCTCGACAGACTCCGGGCCGGCGAGAAGCTCGATGGCAAATCCAGGGCCTATTTCGAAACCAGCATCAAGATGTTGTACACAGACTTCCTCCAGGACTTCCACGGGACCATCGTCACCACGCCAATGGGGGCTTCCGTTTCGGCCTTCCGCAACGCATTCCGACCGGACATTGTCATCATGGACGACGCAGGACTCATGCGCGAGCTCACTACACTTGTCCCCATCGTTTACTTCAGCCCCAAGGTCTGGATCATTATCGGTGATGTGGTCCAGGCTGTCCCGCACATCACGATGCAGCACGACCTCGGTCCCGGCACGACAACATCTAACCCGTTCGCTGAGCAGCTGACCTTGTCCACCCTCGCCCGTGCTGTCGACGCTGGTGCGACCCGATCGTACCTACTCATCAACCAGCGCGCGTTTGGCAACTCTATCTCCGTGTCCAACCACATCTCCTACCACGGACTCATGAAACCCAGCCGTCGCGGGATCGACAATTGGCCAGAGCCTCTCCGTGAGATGGTCGCGCACTCTCGGAGCACCATCCACAACACTCTTCCGCCGCATCAGTGTAACGTGCTCGTCGAGTTCGCCGGGTCCCAGGCGACAGGGCTCACCACATCGCTAACAAACACCGTTCATCTAGCTTGGACACTCCGTCAGGTTAGAGCAATCATCGAATCGGAACTTACCGGCCTCGGGAGGAACAACGGGAAACCTGTCGACGTGCTGGTCGTGGCTTTCTATAAGGCACAGGCCCTAGAGTACCAGAAGGCGATCAAGGCGATGGTGGACCACGGCCAGCTACCAAAGGACGTCTACGGGCGCGTCAAGGTCAAGACTCTGGACGTCGCGCAGGGTGACGAGGCAGACTTCGTCTTTGTCGACTTCGTCACCGTATCGCACCCGGGCTTTACCGGCGAGAATTTCCGGATTGCCCTCGCAACTACTCGCGCCCGGGGGATGTCGATCCTACTCCTGAACCGCGGTACCTTTGTCGGTTACGACAAGCCCGAGACTCGCAAGCGGGCGAACGTACTCTTCCGTCTTTACAACTACCATGCGACCCGTCAGCTTACCGTCCGCATTTGGTGCTGCCTTAATAGCCAGACGGACGATCACACTACGAGCAATTGCACTGCGATCCCGCCTGACATGTCCAACATTACGTGCGAGCGACAGAGCTGCGGCGTCGGGGGTCACAACGCGGCGACGTGTCCCACCCGTATCTGCCGAAACTGCAACATCGAGGGCCACAGCGCCAACGAGTGTGTCGAACAGCTCATCTGTTCTCGCTGCGGTCGCGACGGCCACGTCTCCCTTACCTGCACCGCTACAACAGCCCACTTCCAATGCCTCTCATGCAACATGGTTGGTCACGCTACTAAGGACTGCCCCAACAAGACCTGCAACCGATGCGGCGAGATTGGGCACATGGCCGTGGGCTGCGACAAGCCCAGCGAGGAGATCAAGCGCGATGTCATCTGCCGTCAGTGCGGCAAGGGGGGCCATATGGCCAAAGACTGCACGCAGCCTCTCATCATGACCTGCCGCGACTGTGGGGAACCGGGCCACCTTGCCAGGGTGTGTCCAACGCGCGAGTGCAGAAGGTGCAAGGGCAAAGGCCACACTGGAGCTGACTGCCCAACGCCGTGGTGCAGCCGCTGCCACGACTCTGGTCATCTTCGGGGTGGTTGTCGCAAGCCCCCTCCTCTGTGTGGTCAATGCAAAGGTCCCCACAAGACCGAAAACTGCCGGGTCGGCACCGAGCGAGCTCCGCGCGTGCAGCCGCAGAGCTTCGTTAAGGTTAACAAGAATTGGCGGCTGGCGGAGGCTGACCTGACCCCAAGGCAGCAAGCAATTGCCAATGAGTTCCAGGAACTCCGAAACATTCAGACTGGAAATCGTCGAAACCACTGACGATGTCAACGAGCATACTGCAGATGTTTCCTCTGGCTGGGGCAATGCGGATGAGCACACTGGAGCTGCTCAGGTTGGTTGGGGCGATGCGAACGACCAGGCCCCTGAGGATCATGATTGGTGATTGATGTGTGAGACCTGAGAATAGGGGGTAGCAACGGCAAGGGCTATTGATATTGATGGCAGGAGTTATCGACAGTGGTAGCAGGAGTTATCGATAGTAATGGCAAGAGTCATCAACAATAGTAGGGCCATCGTTCGCTGTGCGCCATCACATCTTCGTCAGTCCTCCTTATATCAGCCACCTGCATATGCATTTCGTATTACAGAGTACGTCGCGGTGCGATTTAACTACAAGGGGCATATCTTGCGACAAGACGAGATTAAGACGGTGGCGGTGGGCTCCATGCTCCCACTGGCAATTGGAGACCTGCCAAGATTCCAGCTGCTTCGTTTTCTGGTGGGAGGGAAGGATTAACCTCTCCTCTACAAGCGCCCAGGACGAGTTGTCGCAATGTTGAAGCAAGCTGTACCCAATTAGCTGGTTGGAACGACCCTCAGCCACCCGGTCAAACATAGGGACAGGGACATCGTCTAGCTGCGCTCCTGGCAGCAAAGCCTCGCACCAGCTTATCCTCCAGAGCAGCCACCGACTCCGATATCATCTTGGACACCGACGAGACTGTCAGCGAGACCCCGGCGCTCATCAGCACCTCTGTCGACCACTCCACGGACGGTGGCGCCGATGTGTCACGGCGGATTTTGCTCGATTGCGTCTCTGCCCAGATAACCCACGACAGCGGGATTTCATACCCAACAGCAGGGTGGATATACACTATGCCTATCATGACACCCCTAATGATATCAATCAAGCCTAGAGCTCGATTAGTACCGATCGGCGCAGCAGCCCGCACCGAGGAAATGGGGAAATGCTTGATGTAGATACACCTTCGTACCCCGTCATAGAGGTTATATGATTCGTTCTGCTGCTTCACTGCAGTATCTCCCGCTCTATTTCGGTGTAGAAACAAAAGTTAAGCCTGAGCCTGGGTTGCTATATCGGCCGCCTCCTTAGGGACCCTCCTCCAAGTCTTGGAATATCCCCTCTCGATCCTCCATGCCTCAGCCTCCTTTTGGACCGCTTCCGCCAGCCCATCCCTCCATCCTCCAACAACATCCCTGAACTCCCCCGTGGTCCGCGGTAAGGGGCCCCGGAGAGTAGCTGGCGATGAGTCGCCCCAGCCCCCGAAATCGAGGTGTCTCAGTAGGGCAAAAGTCTAGTTGACGACGTCGACGCCGAACATAGACCGGCGTCAAAGCTGGCTTATGGACTTGTGCGTCGCCGGGTTGATGAACCAGGGCAGGTCGTCGCCGGCCCTGGAGTCGGCGTCGCCGCGGCGCAGGACAAGGTCCACGCCACCATAGTGGCACCGGAGGAGGATCTCGTCGGGACCCGTCTTATCACCGGCGGCGGCAAGCCCGGGTCCAGCTCCTCACTCGTGCCCCGGTCCCTAGTCCAGCGGTGCGCGGGGCTGCCGTCCGCGTTCGGACACCGCAGCTATATGGAGGCGCCACCGTCGATGGTGTCGGCCTGGGCAGAGCTGCAATGCTTCCCTACGAGGCTATGACGTCGCAGTAGGACTTGGCCCCCCGTTAGTCTACGTGAAATCACCTCTACTCTAATCCTCTCCACCTCTTCGTATCTCCCCAGTTCATGATATGTCACCGCCAGTGAAGCCATTCTCCTGATCGTGTCAGGATTCCTGTCATCTAACGCCTTCCTTCGGAGCTCGTACGCCCACGGTCAAACAGATAATCGGATACTCGGGTCAAGAGCGCCGATACCGCCCTCCCTTCTTGCATTCTCCATTAAAATCGATGTTCACTGTCCCCCCGGAGACGTGCGGCGACGATGTTACGACCATCGATGCGTTTGAACCTAGGCCCTACCATTAGCTGGACTCTGGAGACCCACGAAGGGGCGAGACATTGCTGGGTTTTGAGTTACAGATATCCCCTTTCTTCTAGCACAAAAATGCCGATGTTTGTGTAGAGATATGAGCCAGTTGCGTCGAAGGATCTCCTAGAGATGAGCTAAACCGCTATAAGCGGCGTAATACCGTCGACTGTTGCTGTATCTCAGACATTGACAGTTCGATCATGTAACCCTGAGGCGAGCCGGCTGCCGTCTGGCGAGAATGGGACCGAGTTGACCGAGCTGCCATGACCTTTAAGCGTCGTGTGATACAGTGGCCCATCGCTGCGTTCCAGACCTCCAGGACCATGGAGCTGCTCCTGTCCCCAATTCCGTGACACCTGTACATTCCTTCTCTCGGGTATTGACTAATCGGCGGGTAGACTAATCATGAAAGGACGTCAATGCCCGAATATATATGTTTGTGTATATACATCATCGCCATATGCAAAGACGAAGCATCTCCAAGGTGCTGGCATGCCGTGGAGCGGCTCCTTTGTAAATGGGGCTATATCTATACTGAGAAGACCTCCCGGGCCCTTCACCTTCGCTCTCTGTAAACAAAAACCCGAAGGGCTACCAGAAGGATGCTACCACACCCCCCGAGCCCGTATTAATTACATATCGGAATAGGCCGCTTTCCAACGCTAATGATACAGCGCCCATCCAGAGCCGCCCGCCGCCATCTACAGCTGGTAGCGACAAACCCCATCTGGCCGCAGTCACGAACAACGAACCCATTTATTTACCTCCACATGTTGGTCTCGCAAGGCGGAAACATGGTCTGTTGGCGGGGTGTGGGAACCGAATTTCATCTCTCTTCTCCTCAACCAATACCCTTCGCTGGACTGCCAGGATCCAGCTCCTCGCCAACGACACCGCAGGGCTTTGACGCGTCATGGAGCCTTGGCAAACAAACGCAAGGAACCAAGACACGTACTTCTACAGTGGGGTAATTGCATCTTGTAGTCAAGCAGCAATCTGCTATTCGCTGGGGTATCTGTTAGAAACTTCACCGAGATCTGGTTACTGATGGCGAGTCCAAGGTTGGCAGCGAAAACGTCACATACATCCACTCCTACATTCAATATTATACCTAGAGCACCAACCCAGTTCTTCAAACTAAGCCTAGGTTATAATAAAATGAGAATTAAACCCTTAGACAAAGATAACCTTATGCAGTAACCTATCTGCAAACTACATCTTAGCTCCTTCCTGTATCAAGAACTTGACAGTCGCAGTCTCTCCTGCTTGTGCTACTGCTACTGCAAGGGCACTGCCATAATCTCCACTCTGAAGCACCATGTTCACTTCTGCTCCTTCCTGTACCAAGAACTTGACAGTCTCAGTCTTTCCAGAACATGCTGCGGCTGCAAGGGCACTGCCATACCCTCCACTCTGAAGCACCATGTTTACTGGTATGCCTTGTTTAACAAGGTTCTTGCAAATTGGTTTGCAGCTTGCAATAGCAGCAAGGACAAGGAGATTTTTACCGTTGTCATTTATCTGCAAGACTTCGATTTCTGCACTATCCCACCAGTCGCGCAAGAGGGTATAAAATGAGAAGCGGCATATTGCAAAGATAGGAACGTCCTTGGGAGAGATTTCTTCCTTGCGAACCTCAGAAAGGGCAGAAGACCATGGAGGGCGCTCAGAGGCAACTTGATCATACCATCCTTGGTATTGCGCACTGCTCTCCCTAGGAGATCCAAGAAAGGTTCTTAAAAGGCGCGCCAATATTAGGTCAGCCTCTTGTTCATCGTCTGTCACCTGCACATCATACGATCTAACGTGAATCATCCAATGGTGCCGTAAATACTTTTGAAATGGATGTGCCAGATCAAAGATGTCCTGTGGCTCCAAGTCGTATTCGTCATACAAGTCGTATTTGTCATCCGAGTCGTGTTTGTCATCCGAGTCGTGTTCGCAATCCGAGTCGTGTTCGCCATCCGAGTCCTGCTCGCCATCCGAGCCCTGCTTGCCATCCAAGCTCTCAACCTTGCCCTTGCTGGTTGGATTCTTGTGCGTCTCAATCAGAAGCCCCAGACAAACTTTGGCAGCGTGACAGTGAGCCTGCCAAAGACCCCAGTGGTTCTCTTCGAAATACTCCCTCACTGAGAGGTGTGAGAACCTCCAGACCTCTCGCTGAGAGTCAAGGACAAGCAGATTATTGCATAGCTCCAATAAAAGACCCTCATCAACTCTTTCATCCAAATGCGAATTGTCAGTATCGGGATCCAGACGAACTGCGGAGAGAAGCTCTTCGCTACCGAGTGGCTTACAGGCACACATCACCCACTTGAATGCGCGGTCTGCAAAGGCCTTCTCGTACTTGTGCCGACTTTGTATCTTGCCGTAAATTTCGTCGTATGCGCCCTCAAGGTCCTCTGGGAGCTTTCCAAGTCGATCTCTGATAGTTTGCTCAGTTTGGAGTTCGAGGAGCTCCTTGATCTGTAGATATGCCCACTGGAACCTGATATTGTGTAAGTACGGAACGTACGCTTTGCCGATGGGAAGACTTACATTCCGCCGCTACGGCCAAGGAGGGTTGTGACAACTTCTTCTCGCAGCGATGGAGAAATTCTATGCCAGCGGCGGTGTTTTACAATCTCTTCGTTGACGAATTTTTCGATGTCGTCTTGATTGTCGGTGGCTTGAATTTCGATGTTTGGCAGAGACGCGAAGCGGTCTCGGATATCGCCGTCTGGCCGACTTGAAATGAATACCTTAAGCGGCCTTTCGGATTTAGACAATAGGTCTTCTATCATATTGACAAGCTGCCCACGCAACTCCGGTTCGCATTCGTCGAGGGCGTCCAGCACAAGGGTAGTCTTCAAATAGAGGTTCACCGACTCTAGCAGCTGCTGTTTGCAGGCGTCAAGACCGAGGTCGGATCCATTCCTTATCGTTTCACGGTAGAGGTCTCGAAGCTGTTTCCGCATGTGCCCAGGACTCCTTACAGCAGTCGACAGTTGGCGAACATAGCTGCGGAGGACAGAGAGGGGTTTTCGGCGCTCCTCTTCGTTCCGGTTGCAGTAGAAGAACGCAAAGCCTTCGTTGTTGCAAGTTTCGGGTAGGCTGTCAATTTGGTCGATGACTTTGGACGTGAGGTAGGTCTTGCCCGCGCCAGCTAAGGCGGTCAGCATCGCAGATACACAGATATATGATCAGACCTCGAAGGGGACTTGGGGAAATACTAACGGGAACCCTGCAGCCACAGAATGACCGACAAGCTGGTCTTCTCCCATTCACGAAATTTATCGTCGCCCAACAACCATTCGCACGTGTTACGCGTTCGAAGCATTTTGACCTCGTCGTGGTGCTTTCTGTATGGTACAAGTGAGATCCATTCTAGAATATCCTTCTGCTCGTTCCAGTCGACAATTTCGAGAAGCGTGCCGACCCCGTCGTCGATGCGAGTTATCGGAGCATCAAGGCCATGTAGCAAACCCGTCAGCCGCTTATCAGCAGCAGCACTCCATGCGCTCTGGCATGCCTGGACATCGCGGCCAAGTTGGGTTTCCAAGTCGTCTAATTTTTTAAAAAGAGACTCGGTCCCTCCTGGATGTAAAATTGCATGTATAGTCTGTGCGGCCGTATTCTGCGACAGCAGCTTCGACGAGTTCGCAAGCAGCTCCAAGGACGCGGCGTATAGGCCCACTAAGGCATCTCGGAGATGTTGCAAGGCGAGTTCCAGCGTGTTCTCCGGCTTGTATACCAGTTCGTACACCTGCCCGCGATTGACGGCTCGGACAATCTTCTCGGTGCTCAGGAGCAACGCACACATTTGTGCAGATGTCATGACGGGGATCTAGGGGAATGCTCAGGGACTGCTATAGACAAGTTCTGTCGGGGGGACGACGCACCTTCATGATGGCTTTGATGGTGGACCAGGGTATGCTAGCCTGGGGCGGCGCAAATTGCATCGCAATGTCTCCGATCTGCTCCAGGCAGGCGACAATGTTCGCTGCCTGGTCACGAAGGATAATCTCATGGTTATCGACGGTAAATTTCCAAGATTTACTCTCGCACTCCTCTTTGTTTTTTTTTTGGCAGTGTTCACTAGCTCGTTGACCTGCTGTAATAAGGTCATCTGTTCGGAATCCCCGATGTTGAGCTGCTGGCGCGTATGCGTGTCCAGTTTGTCGAGCGCCTCATGCCATAGATCCCGCGCAGTCGACGTGACTGTAGCTCCCAAAGGAGAGGGCTGACGCTGAGGCTCGTCGCATGCTTCTTCGTCTCGTTGTTCCGGTGCTGGGTCGTGCGGAAGGGCTTCAAGGACTGGCTGGGTGGTGGATGTCGGTGCAGGAGGGGTCTCAGCTCGAGATTCGAGGGCCGACGGCGTGGACTGAGCCTGGATCTGGTCGTTGGCTAGAGTTTATCAGTCTGAGAAAATTGGAGAGTTGGGCTATCCATAGAGTCGCACCGATAGAAGAACTCGCAGTCAATGTCGGCAAGGACGAGGGGCCCTGGTCCGAGCTGTCCTTGGACTGCCCGGAGCCTTTCTTAGCACGGCTCCGGTGAAAAATGGCGCTGAATGATATCCGAGGCATCGTCTGGCAAGTGCAATCAAATCAGTAGTAGAGCGCCAGGCGGCAGAAGGAGTTGTCATGGAACGGATGTGTTGATGCTCGACGCCGGTGGAGGGAGGGCGATGTTCGGCTGGCGCGCTTGAGCGCCAATGAATACGGTGCTTGGGCCAATGGTGGGCGATAGCTGACGGGCTGGCCCTGCGACGTTAGGCATGGTGGCTATGCCCAACAGCAGGCTTCTCTCCTGGTTCTGCACCTTGTAGACCTGCTCGACTAGGAAGCATGCATGGTTTCTGGCTGTATGCCATCTGCATGGACCAGCCGCCAGCCCCGTTCTCGACTTCGCTGGTGTTGCAACTCAAGATTGGAAAAACGAGGCGAAGTGGCTTGGTCCACGTGAGCCAATAGCAGCCTGTGGGCGGTGATACGGACAATTCGTTTGCTGAATGATAGGTCGCGCGAAGCTGCAGGCTGCAGATGGTGCAGGATGCAGCAAGCACCACACTCGATTTGCTCATCATTTTGCTGGATCATACTGGATCATTTGCTTGACCCCCCGTACGCACCCCGGCCGCACCGTCCTACCGCTCAGAGGGAGCGTCCAAGGGGCTCGACGAAGCGCAAAGTCTGAGAGACGAAATGCTGGAGGAGCAGGCGCGGGCCATAGAGGCTGTGGTGGAGAATGTATCCGTAGAACGATATACGTTTCCTGCCATTTGATAGAGTATCCAACATCCTTTCCGAAGCCTAGCGCCCCGTCCCTGTCCCTCCAACCGCCCGAGACTCCCAATCTCCATTCTTCAAGCAGACCCCTTCCGCAACGCCTCGGCAACCGGCTGATACGACCCCTTGCTGATATCCTCCAAGATCCCCACCCCCTCCGGCCGCCACCCCAGCTCCCTCCTCGCCTTCTCGCCCGACGCCCTATTCTCAGCGGCCAAGAAGGCCGCGACCATCTCGCCCATTTGCGCGGCCGCGTCCTCCCTCGCCACGTCCCGCACCGGCACGCCCAGCGCGTCGGCGATGGCCCCGAACATCTGCCGCGCCGTCACGTCGGTTGCGGCGCTGGCGTTGTACACCTCGCCGGCCCGGCCGCCGCCGCGGAGCGCCGCGAGCAGGTACAGGCGCGCCGCGTCGTCGACGTGCACGACGGTCGTGCGGTTCGCCCCGCCGCCGACGCACGCCACCGAGCCGGCCCGCGCGGACATGTCCAGGAAGAGCTTCACGCCGCTGCCGCCGCGGCCGTAGACGTAGGGGGCCAGGCGCACGGCCATGACGCGGACGCCGCGCCGGCCGGCGAGGGAGAGGGCGTGCCGCTCGGCGTCGATGCGCGTGTTTATGGGGTTGGGGTCCGGCGGCGATGACTCGGTCGTCTCGGCGCCCGAAGGGTCCGCGGCCACGGCGAGGGTGCCCGAGGTGACGACCAGCGGCTTGTCGGTGCCGGCCAGGCCGTCGGCGAGGGCGTCGGCGGCGGCGTTGTCGATGGGCAGGGCAGCGGCGTAGCCGTCGGGGTCGCCGAAGACGTACGCCGTCGCGAGGTGGATCACCACGTCGGCGGCGGCGCTCTCGCGGCGGAGCACGTCTAGGCTGGTCAGGTCGCCGCGCACCGGGACGGCGCCGAGGGCGCGCAACTTGGCGTCGCTGGCTTCGGTGCGCGAGAGGCCGTGAACAGCGTAGCCGTCTGCAATGGCGAGCTCGGTGACCACGGAGCCGATGTAGCCGCTTGCGCCGGTTATGAAGATGCGCTGTTGCTGGGTCTCAATCGCCATTTCTGCGCTGTTTGGGATCCAAAGGGGGCAAGAGGTGGTGAGTTGGACTGAAGGAAGAATTGGCAGGATGGTGTGTGAAATGAAAAATGTGAAATTTGAAGTATGTCGATAGACCATCGAGACATAAATAGTTATATCAAACGTAGGGGCTGTTCCGGTGAAACTAAGAGTCCGACCCTCGCGGACTTAGCAATGATACCATGCCAAACCCCGCGTGATTGCCGTCTATCATCCTTCCGGCTGCGTTTCCTTCCTGACGTCATCCTAAACAGTCCATAAGTGTGCGATCGCCGGTGGAAATAGAACTAATTTCTTTTATATTAATTTTTTTTGTTTTATTGTCGATACGAGTTGGAGCCCGATGCCCCCGAACCGCGAGGCCTCTCTCGAGATCCTCTCCTTTCACCGCAGCCATGTGAGGATTCCCAAGCTGGGTAAGATGACCGATATCGTCGTGTCCATTGCATCGAGATACATAACAGAAGGTAGCTGGTTAGTGGCGGAGGCATGTTGATAAGTGAGATGGTTTTACGGTGGGCGAGGGCCGACACTGGGTCATAACCTCTTTTTCAAAAAAGAAATCGCGTTAGACTTATCCTACCTTGCTTGAGGGGTATTCGCCTTAGTTTAATGACCTACATCATATTCAATAATTGCTAGTATGACATTTAGAGTCGAAGAGTAGCAGAGATGCAGACGATTCGCCCCACAAGGGAAAGGATACAAAAAGAGGATGGAGATGAGGGTGGAAAGGAAAACAAGAAGTGGAAGGGTGAAGAGCAAGGCAGGCAACGGGCCTACATTTATGGTAGACCAGGCAACGCAAGTGGGTCACTGATCGTTTACTTTCTTTGTTGTCTTTATTGTCGTTTACATCGCGCTGCAAACCCCCTTTTATTTGTCGGCCGGACAGCGGGCCCGGAAACCGACACCTGCACGGAGCTAAGGGTCGGGGACCCACACAAAGCGGCGACAACGGAGGAGTGGGTCGCGGGGGAGAAGCGACCAAAACCTACGCACTTCTTCCGAAAGAAACAACTGCATCATCACACGTTTGACGGGAACCCTTCTCTTGCTAGCCGGCGCTGGAAGTTCCACGTCTCACATCATGCACCGACGGCGGCTTGCACGAGGTCAGGCCTCGCTTCAAACAGTACATGCATCAAGTACAGACTGATGTTCGAGACCAGGGGACCAAACGTCACCAGGCCGTCGGCAGAGGACGAGCTCTGGCCCCCCAGGTAACCGTAGAGGTGGGCAGCGAGCAGAAAGGTCACGCACACGAACACCCTCCGGCGCCCCGAAGTGGAGCGTTGCAGCAGCGCCATGACGAGGGCGATGGTGAATCCCATGCCCCAAAGGGAGTAGGCCAGGATCCACCACGCCGGGTCGATGTCTTCGTTCGTCGTCCGGAGAACGACGACGCCGACGGACGACCCTCCGGCCACCGTCCCGCTCAGGGCGCTGAGGGCAAGCTTCGTTTGCTGCGCGGTCCAGGCCGCAACGAGCGGGAGGTTGGCCGTCATCGCTGCCGCAAACGTCAAGGCCAATCGTCTAGGGTTCCGCAGAGGACTCTGCACCAGCCTCGCGGTGGCATGATACAGGGCAGTTTCGGCGGAGCGGATGGTCGAGCCACGAGGCAGTACAGGGTTCACGTCGAGGACGCCGTCGCCGGTAGGATCCGGGTCGTCGACGAATGGCTGGCTCGAGGGGTCGCCCGCAAACCAGTCGGACGGGAAATACTTCTCCCTGAAAATGAGCCCATGCATGGCCCAGTCCTCGGGCAGAGGACGAACTGGCGACTCCGTGGCCGGCTCAGACACAAGAGTCGGAGCGGGAGGCGTAAGAGTTGGCGAGCAGTTGGCCAGAATGTTCTTCAGCATGAGGCTGACCGCCTTCCAGGGGACTTGGCCTTTCAGATGAGCTGCCCTGTCTCGGATGGGAGACATCATGAAGGTCAAAGTAACGTGCAGGTAGGGCAATATGTTGAGGTCGCCGCCGAACCGACGCAGTATGATGTCGTGCGTGCGAGAAGCGAGGTTGAGAGCGTCGCGGAGGCAGTCAGGAGGGTGTGAAGACGCAGCGACTGACTCGTCGAAACGGTCACGGTCATGACCGGAAAATAAGATCTTATGGGCGCGCACATATGTAGCATCAGTAGCCGGCCGGTGCATCGCCTGAGTGGCGAGCAGGGGATCGAAGAGCGTCATGATGCTCTCCCTGGCACTGAGGTCCACGTAGGGAACCGAAAGGCACAAATTCTTGACATAGTAGAATAGTTGATGAAGCGCCTTGGACCGTGCTAGGATCGCAAGGTGGTGGAACAGGCGACCGGTAGCTGGCACTTGGTCGCTGCTTTTCGTGCACCGGTGTCGCGCCACTACCGTCCAGCTCTCTCCGTTGGGCATGTCGTCATCCTCGACGGCCATGCTGGTGGTAGACCCATATCAATATTTGAAAGCGGTAAAATGGGGCGAAGAACGGCAAGGCGACCAACATGCCGGTAACGACCGAAGTCCCCGAGGCATTCCATCCATTTGTCCTCAAAAGCAGGCACCGATTCATTCAAAAGTTTGAGAGACGACGGCAAGCGATGCCTGAGCAGTTTCAGGAAGGAGTGGGTGCGGTGCCTCCTCACCTTTGCCAGCATCGCGTACTTGCTAGCAAGCCTCCTCATGGTCGGGCTAGCTGAGGGGTGTTGCGACGGAAGGAAGAAGTCTGCCGGAGTTAGTGGACTGCAGGGTAGAACCAGACGCATGGAGAGAGACGAACCGTGATTTTCGTGGAGTAGTGTTCTGTGCAGCGCTATGAGCGCCTGCCATTGTTCGTTGTTCAGCTTGCTCGAGCTCTGTGCATTGTCAACTTCAGTGCACTTGCTCTCGACCATCACCAGCATAGCGTAGATGCCTTTGACTTCGGCAACAAGTTGTTCATTAGATATCGGTTGGGGTTTCGGTTGACGTATCAACACTTTGGCCTTGTCTAGAGCATCAGATGTGAGTAACGATGTGCTCTCGAGCCACGTCGAGAATAGGGGGATGCATGGCAAGGCAAAGCAAACCATACCTTCGAACACGACGGGAAGTCCCCTAGCATCGTCGCGACACACCATCCCCGCGGTCGTCTCTATCTCGAGGGCAACGACGATGTTCCGCCGGCAGCCAAAATGGCGTCCCGGATATCGCAGAGACGAAGCGAAAGATTGGCGAGAAGGCAAATTAAGAGAGTAGTCGAGGGAAGACGGCAGCCCACGAGGGATGAATCGAGAGGGTTGTGAAGCTTGCTGGGAGGGATATTTCCCAACTCTGCCGCCGCGGGGAAAGGGGAGCAGACAGCAGTCAGCCAATCGACTTTCGACAGCCTCACTTTTGCTACCCCGCAGAGCCCCCGGAAGCTTGGATCTTTCGGCTGGGTAGGGTTGGGTGAGCCTTGCTCCAGGACTGCGCACATTCCCAACAACTCCAACGAGCAATGCCGGGGAATCTGCTTCTCGAACGACGTTGACGAGCACGAATGCCTCCGGGGAACCATCACCTAGAGTCGGCGACACATCACCACCCAGAGTCGGCGACAAAGCACTACTAAGAGTTGACGACACATCATCAATGGACCCTGTCTCGAGGGCAGCAGCGGCGTCAGGCGGCGTCGAAGATTCCCGTGCCGGAATGCCGACCGAATCCTCCGCATGGCGAAGGCCAACTGAAGACCCTTACGAGGGGAAGGGTCTCTTTTATCGGGACGACGACGACGGCAACGACAAGGACGAGCACTACAGCAAGCCACTCGATGACGCGCCCGACGAGAAAGCAACAAGGCGGCCCGTCAAGGGCTCATTTAAACAAATATCGGGCTGGGAGATGGGAACCACGGTGCATTCAGAACGCGCATCGTTGGATCCGAGGCTCGAGAAACCAGAGAATCTAGAGGCCCCCGCCAACGAGTCACCTCTGCGGACACGCGCAAAGTCCCTGGACAAGGGGGAAGCAATCATGCCAGCCGGTCGGTGGTCAAGAACTTCCGGGCCTGAGTTGGACTACGACGCCGTCTGCCGGCCCTCCAAGAGACTAGAAATGGCGCTGATGGCTATGTCGACCACCGGGGGCATGCTGATGACGCAGTGGCGCTGGCCCCGATACGAGAATCTGGCCATGGGCAACGGCGGGGATCTCCTGCGAAGTGGTGTCCACGACATTCAGGTAAGTTTCTTCTCTCGGTGTCTGGGTAATCGCTCACACGACGTGCCACCTCAGCCCCTCCATCATCCATGGCAAAGCCACCCTCAATTCGCCGACCTTCTCGACCACCCCAGCGTCCTGCTTCTGGGTATCCTGACCAACTTCGCCGCCCTCACGCTCTACTACTACCTCCATCGCGGCGAGAAGTACCAGGACGTCCTCCTGATTGCCGTCGTCGGTTCCAGCGCAGGGCTAGGGTTACTCCTAGGTCTCGACGCCTCAGCCGTACTGCTCCGGGTCACGCCCTGGGCCGGAATACTCGCCCTATTGACGAGCACGTACGGAGTGGGAGTGAATTAAACGAGACACACGGCGGTCTATTTATTGGGGACCGCGTGCTGGACAGTGAAATTGCATGCGGTCGACCTCCCGGATGCCTCTGCCGCTGACAGGGAGGTACGAAGTACGGATACGGTATAAGAGATCGATCCTAGGGAAACCACGGCAACGTCTATAGTCCCAGCAGATTCAGACTTGTCAATTTACAACCATGCATTCGCACACAGACTTGAAACCGGATGTACTTCGTCAACATGAAAGGGGGAGAAGCTGGACCCAAGAAGCGACCACCCGCGCTGACCAAATGGTCGCCAGATTTTCGTCTGGCGATTCCACAGTATGAGGTGAGAGACGGCAGAGACGACCAGATTCGGGTCATATTACATGCATTTCTCCCCCCAAGAAATTCACACACAAATGTTTGAGATGAAATCCAACCTTGTTCTCCTGTAAAACTCAAATCCCATAGCCAATGTAAAGCTCAGAAGTTACTCGTCACACCCGGCTGGATCGCCTCCAGCTTCTTCACCAGCTCGGCCCACACGCGATCCTGCACCTCCTTGCCCTCCTTGCTCGTAACAAACGGAGCCGGCGACTCAATCCCGCAATCGGACAGATACTGGCCGTGCGACTCGGCGCCCTGGGCCCCGGCGTGGACCAGCGTCCTGCTGCCGTACTCGGTCGACCGGGCCAGGATCAGCTTCATGAGCCAGAAGGCCCACGTGTCGAGCTCGCGCGCCAGCTCCGAGTGGCACAGGCCCGGGTTGACGTAGTTGATGGTGACGGGCAGCTTGTCGGCGGGGTGCCTCTCGGCGATGGCGCGCACGGCCAGCACCTCGAGCAGCTTCGACACCGGGTACTGCTGGTCCCAGATCTTCTTGGGCGCGTCCGGGTCGCTCACGGTGGAGAAGATTTCGCCGTCGGGCGCCGTCCTCTGCGGGAACTTGGTGAAGCCGTGGACCTCGGAGGACGTGATGACGAGCGTGGGCCGCGTCCCGAACGCCGCCGCCGTGGCCTTGAGCTTCGGCATGACGAGAGCGGCCAGCAGGAAGGTCGACACGACGTTGACGGTGATGGTCTCCTCGTCCTGCTCGGCCCTGACGTACCGCGTCTTGGCGACGCCCGCGTTGGCGAGGAAGATGTCGACGCGGTCCAGCTCGGCGGCCACGCGGGCCGCGAAGGCCTTGACGCTGGCGTAGCTGGCCATGTCCAGCGGCCACACGCGGATCACGTCGCTGGCGCAGCCCGTGGTCGCCTCGATGTCGCGCTTCGCGGCGTCGCCCTTGTCGGTGCTGCGCACCCCAAGGACCAGCGTGCCGGCGCCTAGGCGGGCATAATGGCGCGCCGCCTCCTTGCCCAGGCCGACGTTGCTGCCGGTAATGACGATGGTCTTGCCGGCGTAGGACCCCGTGGGGTAGGGCAGAGATCCGAATAATTGACTGTAGATGAAGCCCATGGTGAGGTGTGGCGGTGAAGTGAAGAGGGTATACAGAGGCAGGGAGGAGTTGTAGAGTCTGAGAGGACGTGATTTCATTTTCATGTCGTATTTAGCTGACTACGACCTTGTATGACCTGAGCCGGAGTTAACGGAGGCAGGACCAAAGTCCGTGTGCAGAGCCAGCGCCAAAGTCCATAGGCGACAACAAAGAATACGAGTCGAGGTAAGGGTAAAAATGCAAAAGGGCAAGAGCTGAACAGAGTCCAATCGCTTGTGCATTGTGGATGATATCATGATATCATGTCTACGCCTAGCCGCATTTTGGTCTCTCTGCGCGGGGAACAAGGGCTCCCCAGCTGGCTTAATAAGTTCAACTACGCCATAAATCTGAGCACCACAGTTCGTGTCGTCATTTTCCAGAGCCCCTATAATTATGCTAGGGGAAGGCCCTTGTTTATATCCAGGATCTAGCCGAATAGAGAGAAGTGAAAGTGCCAGTCGTACAATCCAAGGGTAGTGGCATCATCTCGAAGAAACGCATGGGTGACCCGGCTCTCAACATCTTCAGCAGTATAGGAAAAGCCACCATCCATCTCTTGGATTGCGCTCAGCACTGGAAGCAATGATTAGCAGAATCCATTTCGGATAGTAAAAGCAATCTTACAGGCTATTTCACGCTTTCCTTCCTCACCAAATATTTCCTTGGCGCTCAACGGGATTGACTGCGTCATGTTAGCAAGTGCAGCATGGCGACATGAGGTATTCAATGTACCTTGGAGTCCGGAGCAATCATGGTTGCGATGGGCACGATGCCTGTTTCTCCTGCTGCTTTCAATAGCTTCTCGATAACAGCATCAACATCGGCGATGCTAGCTTTGCCGGAACCCTCACGACAGTCAGTGGAACTGTCCGTTTGGAGGGCAGCTTCGTGACAAAGATTGACGTCAAGGTCCTGGTAACGCAAAAGCCTAGCGAGCAGCCCAAGGACATTGAAGGCTCTCCAGAGGAGCTTGTCGGTTTCACTCCATATGCGGGGCAGGATGTGGGAGACGTCAAGAAGGGCCAGGATGCCGCCCAGGTATATTGTGATGCGATGATGGGTAGAGTAAGCTGAGCCCCAACCGCTTGCCCTTATGTACTCGGCTAACCACCGTATAGATCTCAATGCATGCTCTGGACCCAGAGACCAAGAAGACCCTCCTGCCTCAACTCGATGAGTTGAGCGAAGAGATGAAGCAGCTTCTCAAAGACAACCCGGATTTCTTCCGTCGTTGGGCAATTCATGATCTTGCCGAACGGCTGAAAAGGAGAAAGTGCTAAGTGACGAATTGTGAAAGGACAACTTGTTCAAGAAACACTGGTTTTTGAAGATGATGACTGAAGCTGAAAAGCCAGCAATAGGTGACGATGCTTTGGCAAAGTACTGGGGTGTCCGGAACTCGGCAAACGAGAAGGAGACTGACAAGCTCCGTGGACAGTATCTCGACGCCACCACGAGGTGCTACAATGCAGGATTCCTTCACAAATGCGAGCGATTGAAGATATACTGCAAAGATGGCAGGACGGCGACCTATTGGTTCAAACTTCCTGAAGCCTATCTCATGTCGGATGAGAAAGTTGACGAGATGAGATATAACTCCATCCACCAACGTGTCAGCAAGGATGCTATCACAATTCAATCGGAGATTCTCCATTGGGGTCAAAAGATGACCTTGCTGAGAAACTCAGTGGAGGATGTTGTGAGCGGAAGAAGCTGGACATTGGCACTATCATGACCACGCTTAACGGATACGTAACTGACCACGCCGTGCAATATCAACAAATCATCGACTCTGAGTTGGCAGCCCATCTTGATGCGGTAAGCAGCCCACACACATGCTGCTGTTGACTTGACTGACAATCTACCCTCTAGTTCATCAGAGACATGGAAGACAGTCCGGAAGCAAAGAAGTGGAAGGAGATGCTCGACAAGCGGATGAACCAGCCATCAGCGCGCCCTCGCCGCGGCTTTCGCTTCCAGAATTAGCTCCGACTCCAGCGAGATTGGAGATTGGTACAACCGCCGACAAGCATTGACGGGACCGCCTGGCATTAACCAGACCGGCGCCTTCCGCCCGACCTTCGCCCACATCATCCAAGAGATGCAGGACGAGGAATTCAACTTGCTTCTCGAGAAAGATGCCGATAGGATCCTCGCCATGGGTCCGCAGGAAATCGCAGACCGTTGGGGATTTCAGGCAATGATGGCGGCGGAACTGGAGACCGAATATCTTCTGATGAGTGGCGGTCAAAATCCCCTGCCCGCTCCCAAACCTCCGTTCAAAGAGCGTATGAAGACCGGAGCGCAGTGGGTGTGGCAAAAAGCCAAGGACAAGGGAAAGAATCCCAAGTTCTGGGCCAACATGGTCAAATCTCTGCTTCACTATGCTTCTGCCATCTTCATGGTCTATCAGCTGAAGACGAACTGGGGAAATATGAAGGCTGCCGAGATTGGGATGATCATCTCATACTTTACTGCGTTTGGGCTTGCTATGCTGGGTGACGCTGCCAAGTCCACTTTTCGGTTCATTTGGGTGAGGATAAATCCTGGCTGGTGGAAGTCGAAGATAGGGAGCGTCGTTGGATGGCTATCGAATGCAGCTATTGAGGGAGGGGCTTCTGGATGGGCTCGGTACAGCCTCCGTCCTTTACGCTTCTCGGCTTATCGCTAACGAACATTTCAGTTTCGGTTACGCTCTCGTGGGAAACTTGAAGAACACTCTGCGTATAGTCGGTAAGGGAAAAGATTTCCATACTTCATATGAGTCTAGCTGACCACATGTACACGCAGGGTTGGTTGGTCTCTGCTTCTCACTCGTAACGTGCTACGATGAGATGAACAAGACCCGCGACGGACTGGAAACGAACGACGAACAGAAGCGTCTGATCTTCGCAACTATTCAATTCGTGCTGACTCTCATCGAAGCAGTCATAGTCACTTTCGAAATCGTTTTCGAAATGCTGGGAATGGTGACTGCTGGCGTGTTCTGTGGAGCGCTAGGCGCAAGTATGTGTTGTCTTTGTCTCAATACCTCAACCAGCAAGTGATTGACGCATTGCAGTTCTCGGGACGCTAGGCTTCTTCGTTGCCGTGATGTACATCCTTCTTGCGATGCCGAATCCGGATGACGAAGCAAAGAAATTCCTAAGGGCGTTTGCTAAACCGATTGGGAGTTATGATGAGAATCAATCAGCCGACCCGGCGGACGAGCCTGGAGTGCAGTTGACGCCACCGGAAAAGAAAAATCAGTGAAATAGACGTATTCACTTCAATGGCAATCATTTACTTGCCTTCAAGAGCTGGTCCTCATGATGATTCTGTTGAAGCGCATGTTCATGAGCGAGGCATGGTGGTTGCTTTGGTGGCCATGGTCTATGATTAGCTCCTCGCCTCGGGGCCATGCCAGAAACGTGCCAATTCTTTTCTGACAGCGCTCTTAGCGGGCGGTGGCCGCCGACGTTCCCCCATATCACGACCGCCTTCGCAAGCTGGTGCCTCATCTTGGCGAGCACGTTCAGATTCGCACGTGACGAAGCCATCTTTGGTCCCTCTCCCGGCGGCAGGCAGAAGTACTCCAACTCATGATTGTAGGCAATTAATTGTAATTGGAGATATAGAACATTCCAACTCGCCGCAAGGTAATTAATTACCTAATTGATTACCGGCATTGGTCGTTTGCCTGCAGGTGCTAACCTGATACTCATTCCGGCCCTCCACCACAATCCCGTCCATGAATCAAATCCCCCAAAAAACAACAAAAGTCCTGGAACCATGGAGTCTCTCCCCGTCGAAGTCGTCGAGCGCATTTGCTCCTACCTGTGCTTTCACTGCCTGAATCCCGGCGTGTTTCCCAACGCAGACACGGAGGACACTCGCTCAGGCAAGGCAGCGCTGGCCCGGCTCTCCAGGATGTCCGTCCGCATCTGCGCCATCGCACAGCCCTTTGTCTACCACTACTTCGCAACGGGAAACATGCCCCGGATGGACTATACGAAGTTTTCAGACGACCGCTTCATCCTCCCCGCCGAAGACGACAAGCTGCCCGCCTTCCTGCGCACCGTCATCGAGCGGCCCGACCTGGCCGCCCGAGTCAGGACCCTCCAGCTCGTCCGGTCGACCAAGGTTATCGACTGCAGCTCAGACCTGCTCGCCACCCTCATCGTGGCGAGCAAGGCAGCCGGCATGCGCCACAACCCCCTGCCGCACGTCGAGGGCGGCACGCACGACTGGCTCGAGGAGCTCGCCCTCGTGCTCCTCCCGGGCATCGAGACCCTCCTCCTGGCGCGCGACCACCCATGCCGGTTCCGCCACCTGGACGACTGCGGCGCGTCGCTCCCCTCTCTCCGGACCGTTGCCCTTCGGGGAGTGCGCCGCCGCTACTACATGAACGAGGTGGCGGCACTATTCGGCGCCGCCCCAGGCCTGGAGACGCTGTACGCCATGGATTGCGACTTTCACGAGGATACCTTATCGGATCCCGACATCAAGCACAAGGACCTACAACTCGCGCGTGTGGCGAGGCTGGTGGTGAGCGGCCTCGCGCCCGATGACCTGTGGCTGCTGGTGGGCAGATTCCCGGGGCTGTGCGAGCTGCAGTACTGGTTCTCGTCCCACTACCTCGATATGCTGCAGTTCGGGGAGCTGGTGAGGGCGTTGGACCCAGTCCGGTCCACGCTACGGCGGCTGACGTTGTCGTACTCGTCGAACTCGATCATGTCGGCCATGTACGAGGACATGATCGAGTTCGACGAGTACGACGCGATGCCCTTGTCCCGCGAATTTGCACAACTCGAGTTCCTCGCCGTCGACCAGGCCGCCATCTTCTGCCCGGGGCGATGGGCAGAGGACACTGACGACGACGGCACCGACGACGGCGGCACACACGACACGCCCGGCCTGCGCCTGGTCGAGTACCTGCCCCCGTCGATCCGCGAGGTGCATTTCCTGTCCCTCTACAGGTCCTTCCCCGAGCTGGAGCGCCTGGCCCGCGAGGCCCCAGCCGAGCTGCCAAACCTACGCGTCGTCGTGATCAGCCTGGCGGAGAGGATCAAGGACAACAGGAAGGCCGGGATAGCGCAGATGCTGCGCACCGTCCGGCCGCTGTTCGAGGCGGCGGGGATCGAGTTCTCCGCCAGCATGAGCTGTTTCGGGGGGGATCCCCTGTCTTTGGTGCCCGGCGCGGCGCCGGGTTCGACGCTAACTCCTTTGTCTAGAAAGTTATCATTCGGTAATTTATAACCGCCCTCCCAACATAAATACCACCTTAGCAGTTGACCTTTGTCGAGTACTCGGTGTCGCCCTTGACGTCGATGTCCGCGGCGGTCACAATCCTCCCGTCCAGGCAGGAGATTCTAACCCAGACCGAGTCTACTCCAAAGCCGATCCCCTCCTCCCCTCCCCCCGGGGCTACGGGCCTTCTGGAAGTAGTTGTAGTCCTTCCGCACCGTGCCCTGCTAGGGTTTGCCACTGTCTGAACGGACGTCGAGTGAGGTGACCGGTTGGTTGCTGTTAAGCAGCTGCATCTCGAACGTAGGGGAGGGAACAAGACCCGATGGCGAGATCCCGACTGATCTGTATCTATGGGCATGACATTTCAACCCCCAGAATAATTTTGCCAGCATTTCGACGAACCCGTCTTGTTCCTGAGGACATTGGAGTTTCTGAAGAAGGACTAATTACATCACCTCCGAGCCGCATACGGGAAGCTCGCCTCTCAAAATAGCAGGTTTATATTCTGCACTATGGTGTTGATTAATTTGGGCATTTCATTCTCCCAGCAACCGGGCCAAGGTCAACGCGGGCTGTAATTGTCGGCGGTTTCTCTGTGCCTCGGACCCAGTTCATCGGTGGGGGAGACTGGCCAGACTATGAGTAGGTAATTAGAGGAAATAATTACCTTGCCCTAGGTATGTGAATAAATCCCGGGTGTCTAAAGTCGCCTCTATTTCCACTCCCCGAAACCGGGTTCGTCATTCAGCACAGGTTCCATGGTAATGGTGCGGTGTCCAGGGAGGCCCCGTTAATAAATTAGGTATGTGCAGTACCAACCACATGGACTCGGGGAAGGATGCACCAGAAATGATACCCTGGATCCCCTATTACCATTCTCGGGTCCATCCCAGCGGGACGGCGGGTGGATGGTTCATCTCATGGGATGAATTAGGAGTAACCTGTCTTGCCCAACTTTGGCTCGATACGTAGACTGTTATGAACGACAGCAGCGGTTCCAGTGTTGAAACCACGGCATAGAAAAGTTTGCCACGAGGGACTTAGGAAGCTAGAGGCCGACGGGATGAAAAGTGCACGGTTCCCGTCACCTTCCCGCATTGGGCGACCCCGGCGCTGTAGCACGCTTTCCGGGCAGCGTGTGCACGGCGCAGAAGCCGAACCCCACAAGACGGGCTTTGCGGTGTATTACGGCATCAACACGCCTCCAGCAACCGCCGGTCTATCTAGAGCTGACGTCGGCACATCGGCACATCATCTTTGATGACATGACCTGCCAGTATGAGGATCGCATGGTAATATCCCTGCTCCTACGATTTGAGTCCGGATGAACATTTTTTTCTGCCCAATTTGGTGCTGAAACACGTTGGGGACGCACCCGTCTTTGGGATTTGTGTCAGGATGTCAGGATAAATCAGCAAGTGTAAGCGATGAAGAACAGGCCCATATTTACGGAAAGTTGTCTTGAAAAGCCATTAAATATAGACATCTCTGCAGAGCAGACGGGAAGGCTAACACTGGCAATACAGAGTACAAGCTGTGGAGAGAGAGGCGTCGTCGTTTGGGGAATTGATACTAGCAGACGGATGAATGAGATGAGGTAGCGGTATAATTAGGAATCAATTACACACGAGCTATCTTCCCTCTAAAGTCGCGATCTAAATTCAGCCTCTGAAGCCACGAAAGGGCCGAAAGGGAGACTTGATTACAACAGAGAGAGTCGGAAGACGGCAGGCGGTCGGTCGAGTGCAGGAAGTTGGTGCGATGGGCTCGAGTCTCGCGGGTGTCGCCCGAGTGTGAAAGTTAACGGGCGGCTGTTCCATAACTGTCTCACCTTGGTGTGCGTGCACTGACCATGGTCGGAGATCACTGATGGTCGGATGCACGTTCACTCCCAGCAGCGCAACCAGCAGAAATTTCCAATAAAAAACCTGGATCGAATCTTGGATCATCGTGGCAGACCCAAGGATGCCAAAATCAAGCCATAGCGGCCCAGAATCAGATTGAACTCGGGCGTGGGACAAGATGCATCCTTGTGTGTGTGCATGCAGGGCAACACCGATGCGCGGGTCGGCGACGCTATGACCGTTTGAAAACACGGCACTTGGTGATTGGCAGCATCCAACTTCAGTACAGATTATTGTGAGCTTGTGAGCTTAGGTATCTCTACACCACCTAGTGTATGTACCTACAGCAGTTGCAGTCGGGAGTGTCCTGGGTTGGCGGACGCTAGGGCACAAGGGGGAACAGAAGAGGTTTTTACGGCCATCTCAGCCATCTCCCCCGCATATTCCCGTTGATCACTTTAGGACCTCAGCCCTGCAGTCATTGGACAATCGTGCAAGGTCCTACTTCCCCAGCCGATCCGTCCCTGGGACCCCTGGGATAGGTCGGAAGCTGCCGTGCACGGACACGACATGAGCCGAGCCTCGACAGTCAGAGTGTCAAGGAGGCAGGGGGAGTGTCTTGTCTTGTCGTCTCGTGTGTGTCCGGTAGTTGTTGGCTTGTCGTTGCATAAGATCATCTCCCGCTCCCAGACGACGCGAGAGGATACTTAACCATGGCCGCTATCGTTCTTCTCGACGGCCCCCATCTCCTCGTTGGACGACCAACTCCTCCGCCAAATCGAGTTCTCCGATCAGATCAATCATGGATCGAATGCCATTCAAGGGCGAATTCCCAGAGCTGGACGCCGAGACGAGGGTGCCACTCCTCGTGGGCATATCCATCGGCTTCCTCTGCGTTTCCACAGTCGCCGTCCTATTGCGCCTCTACACTCGCTACATCGTCGTCAAGTCCCCCGGATCCGACGACGCAACGATTGCCATTGCACAAGTCTTGGCGATTGGGGTTTCAATCACTACAATACTTCGTAAGTGTGCCTCGATTGTCAGAGTATCCATCTTCAGACATTCTGACATTCCCAAAGAGGCCAAATATGGACTGGGCCATCATGTATGGCTGGTCAGCGACGATGACAATACCAAGCAGCTGAAGGTTAGAACCTCATCAAATCCGAGCGCCAATGTGCGAATGATGAGGTGTCAAGAAGCTTACACAAGGACCGCAACAGTCATTCTTTTCAGCCATAGTCATATACAACCTGGCCCAGATCATCACCAAGACGTCCTTCCTGCTTCAATATCGCCGCATTTTCGAAGACAAGCTCACCAAACAGGCCTGTCTTGTGCTTATCATAGTTCTGGGTATCTGGGGTGTCGTCCAGGAAGTACTGGTCGGTTTCGCCTGCTTCCCCGTCTCGGTATTCATCCCCCGCCAGCAGGGCATCTGCATCGAGAGCCTTACCGTCTGGTATCTCACCTCCATCATGAACATCGTCACCGACTTTATCGTCTTCACGGTTCCCATGCCAGCCATTGCCGCCCTGAATCTGCAACGCAAGCAGAAACTATTGGTAGCCTCAGTGCTCTGTCTGGGTTTCTTGTAAGTAACCTTCCTCCACGTCAATTTCCCTCCCATGACCCAAGAGAGCACCCACACTAACCTCCCAACAGCACATGCGCCATCTCCATCGTCCGCATCTTCACCCTCCGCAGCGCCAACGACTCACCCGACCCGACCTGGGACAACGTCCCGTCGGCCTATTGGTCCATCGTCGAGCTCAACACCGGCATCCTGTGCGCGAGCCTGCCGCCCCTGCGGCCGCTGATCCGCCACCTGTTCCCGGGCCTGTCCTCCTCTTCCTCATCCTCCCAGAACCCCAACAGCCGCAACCGCCACGCCCACAGCAACAGCAAGGCCGGCGGCGGCGGATACACCCCGCGGCGATCCGCCGGCAGCGCCACGCTCGTCGACGGCAGCGAGAAGGGCGTCGAGGCCTACGGCCTGTCCGACGTCGAGTCCGGCGCGGAGGAGGGGTGGTCAGGCTCCGCCGGGAGGGAGGGGTACCGGGTCCGGACCGAGATCCGGGGCGGGAGAGACGTCATCAGGAAGACGGCGGACGACGACGGCGACGGCGACGGCGACGATACTACGAGTTCCGGGTCGTCGTCGTCGGTGGTCGGCGCCGGGGGGAGGAAGATTATGGTCACGAGGGAGATTGGGTTCGAGGAAGGGAGGGGGAGGGAAGTTGGGCGGGGCAGGGGCGAGTTTTGATTCTTGGTTATTCGGGTCGCGGGTTTCTTGTAATGATTGAGCGTCTGCTGCTTCTGGTTGAATTGGCCATTGATTTCAACACACGCGTCGTGCTGTTCCTCTTTGTTGTTGTTAAGATATGGCAAGCTAGGATAAAATTTCATGTAGGATCAACACTATAGAAAGATGCACCTTTAGCTCATCTTGCTGCCGATTAGATGTACCTACTGTATCATATGCCTACCAGGGTAGTTGGGTGGATACCGAGTAATAGCCAGTAGTGCCTTTCATCAGTCACGATGTTGACCGCGTCCGCCTTGGCGCTCGCGAACTGCATCACCCACGTCGTCTCCGTCGGGTCGCGTCCCGCCCCCGGAGGGCCACGCCTCCATCCCCTATCACCGCCTGGCCCTGGCGGACGCGCCCGCCGCCGACCAATCTTGAGTCGGCCAACCCGGTTCAAGGAGTGGAAGGCTCAACACGTCGTCCGACGTGCGCTATTTCGTCTTGGATCCTTCTATCGGTCCTCCGGGTTTTGTAGCGGTGACTGCCAAGCACCTCCAGAATTGCTGACCACGATACCCTTGATAACCGGCCACCGTGTTGACGAAATACCTTTCCAGGTGGAAGAGCTTGATGAAGAAGAAGGGGGTCAGAGCAAGAAGCCAGAAAAGCGTCAGCATCGGCCGAATGTTTTCCGAGTAGTCCCTGACAACAATGTCTTGGAAGCCGGCATCCTCCAGCCACTGCTTGTACCGACCTGGGGTTGACCGCGTGTTGGTGGGCATGGCAGCGTACGTGTTGATTTGCTTCATGCCTTCGACCAGATCCTGGGGCGTCGACGCGTCGTCGAGACTGGTCATATTCGAACAGGGCGAGCCGGCCTCCCGGGCGAAGAATCCGGTGGAAGCCGGCAAGGACCCCTTCGGGATCTGTTGCATGGACGAACGTCTCCATGGTATAGATGCCGTCGTGCGACGCATCTGATATGGACTCGAGGTGGTGGTAATCCATCTTCTGCGCCGTCACCTAGCCAAGCGGCAGTCCGGAGCACGCGATATTCCGCCTTGCCTTCTGAATGCGCCGGTCCACAACATCGATGCCTGTGATGCGCATGCCGTGCCGCGCCATGTATATCGCGACATGTGCGACTCCACAGCCGGCATCGAGAATCTGAGATCCCGATGGTAGATTTAGAAGCTCCAGAAGCTTCGCCTCCATGCGACGCAGCGGGCGGCCGACGGGAAGGGGAAAGACGTCGGGTTCTCATAGTATTCAAAATGTCGAGTTAGTTGATGCTCAAAGACAGATTGACGGAGGGTAGATGTGGTAGTGGCCTTTTCTTTTTGTGTTGGCTGGTAGAGCTCTGGCGCATGAATGCAGAACGGGTGACGTCAAAAGTCCATATTAAAGGCCTGTCACAACCCACAAGTGACATGCTGGGGATCCCTGGTCAGCTTGCAACCCCTGTCCTGGCCCCCAGCACGCTGTCCTCGAGCACTCGCGGACCGCCCCATGCATAAATATTTTTCTCTAGCACTTCTATTCCCACGCACCTGTATATTTCCCCTCCCCACATGCTAACCAGCAGCCGCAGTCACAGTAGCAGTAGCAGCACCGGCAGCACAATCATCCACCACCGTCTGCGTAGCCAACGCAGCCCACTCCTCATACTCCTCCCTCGCCACCCCCTCCAGCGACGCCATCCACTGGCCATACCCATTATCATGGAACCCAACCACCATCTCGGCGGGACACCCCGCATTTCCCGGCGCGTCAAACGACTGCGCATGTCCGAGGAACAGCCGTCCCGCCGTCGTATTCGCCGCCCCTTCCTCCCCGTCCTGCTCCCACGACAGACACCCCCTGCACCGGTAGATGAGCTCGTAGCCCGTGTCGTTGACCCACGAGCTGATCTGGTCCACCACCGTCGAGCCCGCGCCGGCGCCGGCATACGGGTCTGGAGGGAAGTAGTCTGTCGCCCAGCGGAAGGAGGTGAGTACCGAGTCGTTGTTGTACGGCCACGCCATCAGCAGAAGGTCCTGCACCATGCTGCCTCCGTGCGCGATGCCGCACCACCCGGTGTGGTCGGGAGACTTGATCTGGCACCTCTGTTACCGCAGGAGGAACCGAGTCAGTTCTATTGTGGACGATGGTTTCGCCCTGTTGGGACGGGGGAGGATGACGGGGGCGGGTAGATGAGGAATCTCACCAGCAGCCCTATATACTCGGTCGCGTCCCTGGTCGCCGCATCCTCGGGCAGCGCGAGGCCGAAGGTGAAGGCGCCGTCGCCATCCGAGTCCGGGTTCGCCGACCACGTCGTGAAGTCGATGCCCGTCGCGGGATCCGTGTACGCGCCCTGGGTCATTTCCGGGTCCTGGCCCGCGCAGTGGCGGGTAACTTTTGGATCTCTGGTCAGCTCGAGCTGCACGGTGGTGACTTTTTTTTTTTTCAAAAACTTTTAACTCACAGAACATGGCCACCACTGTCGCGGCGACGGCCGAGCCACGTGGGAGGTGCATCGTGGGTGGCTGCGTCGTGGGAACGGGGAAAGGGGCAGGAGGGCGAGTTGGGACCAATGTGGTGCGAGGTGAATGGGATGACCTCTTGGCATTGACTCGGGGGGGGCGTCGTGATATGTAGGTAGGCGCGCGGTGCGGTGCCTTGCATGTCATGACGATCGCCGCGGAACGATTTGGGGAGGGAGTTCATTTACCGTGCTTAGGATAAATGAACGGAGAGTTCATCCAGATTGGCTGTCCCCACTCCCCAACTCGAAATATTCCTCTTATTGACGGATATGGCAAATTCTAAACAGAAAGTCTTGTGCATGATCCCCTTAAAGGTCAAGCAAGGCATCTTGCCCCTACGTCTCCCTCCTGGGATTCCGGGTTCCCGATACATCACCACGCAGAACCGATCTCGCCCTCAATGGCCGCCACCTCCCCCTTTCCGGGGCATATCTCTATAACATGCACGCGACTGAGAAGGTTAAGATCCTGCCCCGCCGGACAGTCCCAGGGATGAAGAAGTGGCGCTTGGCGCCGTCGCCGGTTTAGTTCAAGCACAGTTTTGGAACATTCGAATGAAATAGAAATGTCGTGTAATCATAGCTATTGTGAGATAATTAGCTAAGGTAATTATCGGAAAGATCGACGCCAGCCAGTGCTTGAGAACCTACACGTGATACACGCCCGCATCCACGATACGATCGCTGCCTGATCTCTTGGCAATATTCAAGTTTATCGCAACTGGCGAGTCGGCGGACGGAATTTACAAGACATCAAGGCCCCGGAACTGGTCTACTGAGATGAGGTCTATCGAGGAGACCCGTGGGCTTTCCACGTTGGAAGCCGAATTCGAAAATGTTTTATTTCCCCTTCATCAATCTGTCAGCCTGCTTTTAGATCCTCTAAATTGACGCCCCGTCTAGACGTTCTGCAAGAATCGCCCGGAGTTTTCCGGCATGTTCAAGGCCTGGGACATGGCGAGTGACATCCAGATGGCCCGGCACGCCCTGGCGATGATCTATAGCATCAAAAGAGGCAACAAGCCCAAGGCCTCGGCCCTGCCCTACAAGACGCACGACGTCCGGGTCCCCGTCCGGGACGGCACCACGATCCCAGCCCGCATATACACGCCGAAGAATAAGCGGTCACCGCCACGCGGGCGGCCCTGCATGTACATCTGCCACGCCGGGGACTACGTGGTCGGCGAGTTCGACACCGAGGAGTGGCTGTGCGAGGCGTTTGTGGCCATGGGAGGGGTCGCCGTGGATGTCCTCTATCGCCATGCACCCGAGCACGTGTTCCCGATACAGGTCCACGACAGCTATGATGGCCTCAGGTGGGTGAGTACGCGACTGTTCTCGAGAGGTCGAAGGGCCAGAGACTGACCGGGATGTGCAGCTTGCGCAGAACTACGCCAGTTTGGACATAGATCCAACCAGGGGTTTTCTAATCGCCGGCGAGGGCAACGGGGCAGATATAGCCCTCGCTATTGCCCACCTGTACGCCGATGAGGCGTTGTCACCACCCCTGACCGGGCTATATATCGCTGCCCCCCAGGCGATGATCCCGGAAATTGTCCCCAAGCAATATCGCGACCACTTCTTCAGCATCGAGCAGAACGCAAACGTGCCATTATTATCGGCCGAGAGCCTGAAGTTCATTCGTTGTAGGTCTCCTCCGGACAGGTGAAGAAGAAGGGGGTCCCATGTGCTGATATGTTGAGCATAGCTGTGTACAAGCCAGATCCCACGAGCCCTCTGGCGTACCCCATTGCGTTCCCAGACCACTCTAAAATGCCAAAGACCTACTTCCAGGTCTGCGGTTTCGACCCCACGCGAGACTGCGGCCTGATACTGGAGCAAGTATGGAAGGATTGCGGCATCGAAACCAAAACAGACGTTTTTGCGGGTCTCCCTCATCGCTTCTGGGCGTCGCTAATCCACGCCAGATTCACCAAGAAGCACGCTGAAATGTCTAGGGACGGCCTCTCTTGGCTTCTGGGGGTGGAGCGTAAGAATGGTTGAAGATGGTGGGACTTACTCAATATGGCGTTGGGACTATGGTATTTTCCCTGACAGCTTCGGTCGTTTGACTGGGTTAATCCAGTTCTTAATGAGCAAGAAAAAGTCGGGAATTATCAGAGCCCAGGAGATGCAGGATAAAGCAGGAAGATTGGAGGGGAAACCGGACGATGGCTTCCAGCGTTTAGCACAAGTAATCGGAAATCAAGTTCAAGTAAGGCAAGCAAGTCAAATCAAGTTAGACTACTTGTAAGTTGAGCAAAAGTCGTTACGTACTTGCCTAACTTGGTAAGTAATATAGGATTTATTGATGAGCTTGTCTTTGCGGGTAGGGGCATTCAGCTATTCAGGAAGGGGCATTTAACTGTCACGGCAGGGGCAATTAGGTATTTGGGCAGGGGCATTCAGCTATTTAGGCAGGGGCATTTAACTGTTAAGGCAAGGGTATTTGGTGTCGCTATTTCTAAAGCACTCTTGCTGTCGCTGTCTCTGTTGCCATTGCCATTGCCATTGCCATTGCCGTCGTAGTCGCTTGTTCCGTGGTTAGCAGCTAGTCTTTTTCATGCTCAAACTCTCTAAAGATTTTTGGCAGCCCAAACCCCTACCTGAATAGCCAACTACACCTGCCTGCAGAGACAAGCTCTACTTGCAAGCAACTAAGCCAAGTTAAGAAATAGCCAAGTAAGGCAAGTTAGATAAAGGCTAAAAATCAAGTGAGAGGGCTGACTTGGTTGAACTTGACTTATGCTGAACGCTGTCTACATTAGCTTCCTATTTTGGAATAAGGGAGAGAGTTTTTTTCCGACAGGAGTGACAGGCTCGACAAGTCACCGCGGGTCAAGCTGGATAAAAATATATTGGTGAAGCAGGTTGATATTCTAGCGAGGTGTCTACATACCTAGCACAGTTTTTCTCCTCTACCACCCAGCCCCAAACCAGAATCTTGTCACCGCAGGCAAGGGCATTTAGCTATTTAGATTTCAGGCAGGGGCCAGCCACGGAACAAGAGACGGCGACGGCAATGGCAACAGCAAGAGCGCTTTAGCAATAGCGACAGCGACGGCTAGCCAAATGCCCCTGCGTGCCCGCGGAGATAACCTCCAAAACAAAGGAAAAGAACAAAAAACCTTTCGTATTTCTCCATTCATCGGCTCCCCAAGAATCCGCTAAATCCCTGGATAAAGTCCAGCTGCCTCTGTATCTCCGCCTGCTCAGCTTCCGTGGCTGGTCTAGGTGAGAATGATGGGCAACCCTCGTCCCAGAAACGATTCATCATTTGGCTCGGGGATCCTTCCTGAACAGTGGGAGTCATGAGTACCTCTTTGCGGGTTTCGGCATGGATGTCCGGGACGCTGTCGACGCCGAAGAAGATACGGAAGTTCTCGGGAGTATCTTTGCCAGTCATGACAAGCCGGCGAATCGGGTACCTGGCGACAAGTCGTTTAGGATCAGCAGCGACATAAGGATAGTAAGTAGAACTTACTTGAGGCCAGCCTTGAGTCCCTGGAAGTTGCCTGCTGGAAGCTCTAGGCCCTGATCATTCGCTAACGCACGAGCATCTGGTTGCTTGTGGGCTTCGTTGACCCAAAACTGCTGGGCTTGCATGGTAGCGCTGGTGTCTTTGCCACGGGGGATGTTTGATGAATCTTTTGATTGACTACTGGCCTGTCGTAGATGATACAATCAATCTCGGTGGGGATGGAAAGGAGGAGTTGAGAAGCGATTCGGTGGTTGGGTTGTTCTTACGATCTGCATAAATGTGACTAATTCGGTAATTACAGTACATTTACAGTGCATACCTACCGTGCAAGATACCTTGGTACTGTTCAAGGAGACACCTACCTGGAAGTCAGGGCAGCTCTGACATTTCGATAGTGACAAGGTACCAGGAGCGTGGGCGTTAAAACTTGACCTCTACCTCACTGCAGAGTCGCGGCGGCCTAGGCCAAGCGACAAAGGCTCTATGCTAGGGCCGAGCCTCGTCATTAGCGACTTTGAGATCACATGGTGTATGGCATTCTGGTTGAGCGCTGCGCTACTAGGTAGGCAAGATATGGGAGGAACGGATATCTGGGAGCTGTGGAGGCCACTGCATTCTCCCCTGTCGACTGCCCTAAGCGATGACACTAGCCTGCATGGTTATCTCCCCGCCAACAACTTTGAGTCCCTTCGGGCCTCCCCAACACATCCAGCCGAGGTTAGCGAAGAGGTCCATGATGCACTCCCTGTGTTGTCGAGTACTCTTTCAATATCCTTCGCACCGAATCCCTCGACGAATGGTGGGAGCAGGTCCTACTGGCTTTGACTGACTCACAGCGTTATCCTTGGATGGCAGAATCAGACAAGTTAGCACACCGGACCTGTATAACAAGATATGCCGGGGTCTGAAACGGAGCAAGCTCACTTGTGTACAGTATTCTACTTTCAACACGAATGTCAGCTATCTGTGCCAACTCTAAATATGAATGGGTAACGTACGTGTGGGAATCACTAAGTCTCAAGTCAGCGAAAGGTCCCCCATCAGTGACGCTGCAGGGGGACGGGGGAAGCCAGAGGTCTCATAAGGGGAAAAAGGTCAATTTAGAATGTAATTAAACTACACAAAACACATGGATTAGCATCAATCGTTGACATACTACAGGAAGCTCACAAGGAGGGCTCTCATAGGTTACATACGAAGGCGTCGGCGTCGGCGATGGTGTGGTTGAAGAAGCAACGTCCAGGTTGCCTCGGCGAGCGTCGCCATTTTGGTATCCGGTCTATCTGCATTGCTCCTGCCTATCTTCAATGCTACCGTCTGGTGTGATAGTCCACATCCAATACAGCTCTTCGTCATCGTCATCATCATTCTCCGGGTCGTACATCCGAATACCAGAGCTCTGGAACATGTGCCGTATGTATCGGTGGATGGCAGATCGACGAAATCGATGTTTCGACTCCCCATCGAGGAGGGCCTCTACTGGCGCATTGTCGAAGTAGGGTTCTAGATCGGTGATGGTCGCTTGCTTTGGTCGCACGACCATCTCGAATTCGACACCAAAGCAGATTGCAGCCGACATTTTGCCTGGTCTGAAAACGTGAGATACTTGGGAATACTTCAAAGTGTTAGTGGTACACTCACTTAATGGTCTTGTGTTGCTGGTCTTTGTCAACGCTCAATGTTCCGGCTGTTTCTTCGATCATGGTTTGACATCTTCGGACAAGCCTTGATTTTGAGCAAGGGAATTTCTCCAGGGGCATGCGCTATTTGCTCCGCGGGCAGGCGGTTAGTGCATCACAGGTGGCAGTTGCTTTTGCTGTTGCCTATTGCTGTCGCTGACTACTACTATTGCTGTTGCTGTCTATCGCTCTTGCCGTCGCTCCCTATCACTCTTGCCGCCGCTCCCTATCGCTCTTGCCATCGCTCCCTATCGCTCTTGCCGTTACTATCTAGCTATAATCTGGTCGATGGGACCTCCAAAACTGCCAAATCCGAGTCTACCGACAAATGGCTTGTCTAGGTTCTCCTCCCTGAATGACATATTCTGCGGACTTGGGTCCTTGAGAGCCCTCAACTCGGCTGTCCCAGTGTATGGGTATGTTACAAGCTCGCTTCAGCGCTTGGCATGGTATTCGAGCGGAATCCCTGTCCTGCCCATCCAGGAGGAGTCCCACTGGTCGTGCTAGGTGCTGAACGAGAATTTCTGCATGTCCCAAAGCCAGTGAATGTCGCTCTAGCCGTTACTATCTATCCCTTTTGCCGCTACTACAGGCATAAGCTTCTTCTGGTCCAGGAGCTCGCGGCTAAAAACGACCTTTCGGTCTTGGTATGGGTTGCCGTGGAGGTATACGTTGTGGGCCGTGATAAGTTTCTCAGGATACTGTAGGGATATATGTTAGTGTAATTTTTATAGCTGGAGATGTGGTTTGGAGGAGTCCTGGCCTACCGTTGCTGAGAGCCAAACCTGTGAAGCGCCGAGGCTTTGGTATATCTATCGCTCTTGCCGTTACTGTCTATTGCTCTTGTTGTCGCTGTCTATCGCTACTGCTATTGCTGTCTATCGCTCTTGTTGCCACTCCTGTCACTCTTGCTGTTGCTGTCCATCGATATTGCTGTTGCCAGAAATAGCAGTGTTGACAGCGATGCAGCTGTTCCCAACTTGCAACTTGCCTGCAGAGCGAATGACGCATGCCCGTAGAGAAATTCCCTTGAGCAATGGCGTCTCGTTCCCCAGCACATTCGGACATGCTGCACAGGGAAGGCGCAGAGAAAGTGCTTCGATCGGGAAGGAGTAGGCCAGCATGTGGATCGCAAGCACATGGTGAACATGGACATGTACCTACTAGCCATGAAAAGCGACTTGAGCGTTGTTCCCGAAGATTCAAGTTTCAGAGGACCTCTGGCGAACTCCTATATTAGGTACAGTACATGTAACCGAAAAGCAGAAGCTGAATCTTCCAGAGCTCCTCATCAAGGAGAGAAGGCTGCCCCAGAAACTACGGATAACTTCCACTGTGCTGGAAAATCCGTCCAAATGTGGAAATAGGGTGATAGTCCTTCGAGGAACTCGCGAGGAAGGTGTTAACGTCGTTTATGATCCATAGCTTACAATGCTCTAGGAAGCTAGGGAAGTTCTACCCTCAACCATATAGTAGCTTGAGTAGCTCAATGAAAGTTGGGTTGGATGGCCATCGTGATGTCATGATTCCTATTGACATCACTGCGCCAGAGGTAGAGAGCTGCAATTGCAACTGACGTCACCATAGCATACCCACTAGAATTTCCAGTCTCGAGACTCGCCCATATTTAAAAGGCCTTGGGGCAAGTAAAGGAGTAGTAAACTATGCGAAGATCAACTTCACTTTTAGCTTTTCGTGCCCTGACTCGAAATACCAGACGTTCTATATCAGTTATGACTTCGACACAGAGCGGCCAATTCAGGCCTGTCGGCGAGAAGCAGGCGCAGGACCAGCCTGGGTAAGCACCTCGGGCTTTGCTGCATCAATGATCGGACGAAGGAGAACTAACTGGTCGTCTCAAGGCTGGAGAAATCCATGAAGCCCTCAAGCGAGACGACGAAGCTGGAAGGAAAGGGAGGCTTCCAGGAGTACAAACCAGCTGGCAAGCTGAATGACAATAAGGCCCTCATAACGGGCGGCGAGTAAGCTCACCCTTGAATGTCGGGGACGGCCGAGTTCCTATTTTGAAGGGGGAAAAGGGAAGGGGGAGGAAATATATCTAACACCCAACACAGCTCAGGCATCGGGCGAGCAATAGCCGTCCTCTTCGCACGCGAGGGCTCGGACGTCAGTATCGTGTACCTACCCGAGGAGAAGGACGACGCGGCGGACACGAAGAAGATGGTCGAGCGTGAGGGCCGCGAGTGCCTGCTGATACCGGGCAACCTGATGGACAACGAGACGTGCCGGAAGGCCGTGGACGAGCACGTCCGCAAGTTCGGCATCATCCATGTGCTCGTCAACAACGCGTCCAAGCAGATCATGTGCAAGGACATTGCGGAGATCGACCTCGACGACGTAGAGAGCACCTTCCGCAGCAACATCTTGCAAATGTTCGCCCTAACCAAGTACGCTTTGCCGCATATGGAGAAGGGCGGTTCGTGAGTTTTGGCCCCGTCCCCCATGCCCGGGGAATCGTTCCTAACACGTGTGCCCCAAAGGATAATCAACACAACCTCAACGGTCGCCTTCCGCGGCACGGCCCACATGGTAGACTACGCGGCGACCAAGGGCGCCATCGTGTCGTTCACGCGCTCGCTCGCAAAGCAGCTGGCGCCGCGCGGCATCCGCGTCAACGCCGTTGCGCCCGGGCCCGTGCACACGCCCATCCAGCCGGCCTCGAGGCCGGCAGAGCAGATGGAAGGGTTCGGAGAGGGGTCGCAGATCGGGAGGCCGGGGCAGCCCAGCGAGATCGCGCCTAGCTTCGTGTTCCTCGCATCGAAGGACGCGGAGCTGTATTATGGGCAGGTGTTGCATGCTTATCCGCTGGGGGACTGATTGGGTGGTGAGTGAGGGTTGAGAGTCTGTGATGTGGTGTTATGTCGGCTGGAATGGTTTGATTTCACTTCGTGTTCCTTCATAAATTGATGATATGTGATGAACTGAGTGCAAGGTGACTTGCGATATTCATATGTTTGAGCACGAGCATAGGACAGAGGGGGGCGAGAAGTGAGCCGGAAAGTAAGCCCTTGTTAGTAGAGCAACGGGTAGGAAAACAGAGGGGAGAGAAAATGCAGTATGGACAGACGAACCTGCCTGATCCTTTTGTCCTCAGTTCGTGGGATCCATCTTGCGCTGCTTTCGATGCGATGAGAGTGCTTGTAAAAACTTCTTTTTTTCTCTTTTTTTTCTGGCTGCGTCTCAAGAAATCGTTCTGTGCCTTGCAGTTCACCCCCTCCCCCCCCCCCCCCCAACTGGTCGATAAGATGGATACTTCGTTATCATCATCATTGCTCATAAAAATATGAAAGTAAAATAGATACAGCTTGCAGAAGATTACTGAAGGAAAACCAGCGCCTTGAACCGTCCCGAGGCCATTAACCTGCACATGCGCAACCTAACCATACCGTTGTGTTCCCGATCCCTTTGTTTTCCTTCCTTCTCATGCATCTACCCCCATGTGAATGTCCAGGTCATTAAACTCATCCACAAGATACAACTCCCGCTGCAGTTCCCCGCGGACAGCCAGATCGGAGAGGTAGTTGTACTCGCCGTCAAATATGGACGTGGACATTGGCGGCTCGATCATGAGCCGGTCATCCTCCGTCTCGTACGATTCGTACGCCGAGTCCTTCGTCCCCTTGTCGGTGTAGACCTCCGGCAACGCGATCCGGCCGAGTTGATGGAGTTCGTCCTGCGTCGAGTCGGCATATGTCCACTGAGACTGGTCTGAGAAATCAGGTACGAACATCCCGTTGTTGCTATTATGCGTGCCGCCGTTGAACATCATCAACTGGGCTGTCTAGGTTGTCCTGTCAGCCCCCACGCCAACGACGAAACGAGAGAGTGGTGGTTTTACTGACCTCGGTAGAGTAAAAGTCCGACATCTGGTCATGTCGACCGTCTAATAGCTGAATGCCGGTCCCAGCCCCGGCCCCATGCCTGCTCGCCGCTATCTCAGCCAGGGGGCCGAGGAATTGCGCGAGGAGGTCCGGGTCCTGCAAGACCTCGGCAAGATGGCACTTGGCCACAGTATCGCCCGGTTTGCTCCCTGGAGAAAAAGGTTAGCAGAAGAAGCATAGTTCAGGGGGGGAGGAGAGGGATAGAGAGAAAGAAAGAAAGAAAGAAAAGAAAAGAGTCGGCGTCCTCACAGATATTAAGCCCGCGGCTACTGAATCCGGGCCAGATGGCCTCGCATATCTTGAAGTACTGCTCCTCGGCGTTCAGGCCCGACATCCTCCTGAAGTCGAGCTTGAAGTAGCGCCTGTCCTCCTCAGGCGTCATCCACTCGGGCTTGAAGTGGCTAACGTCCAGCAGGCCCTTGGCGCCCTGTTTACACTCGTCCTTGTGCTTCTTCTCGGTCGCAGCGAAGCTGTTGTCCCTGCACTGGTACCGCTCCTTACACTCGGAGCAGCCGTACTTGTCGCTGTGTACCCGCTTGATGTGATCCCTTGAAACGTGTTTTGTTAGAACGGTCAATTGTCCACACAGCTTGTCACCGTCCAGCGGTTCTCCTTCTGGGGACGGGACGAACGAACCTCAGATCGGCAATATTCTTGAAACCATGGCCGGTGCAGGCGTAGTCGAGGACGTGGGCATATCTGTCCGGGTTGCGTCTCCGGAAGGGACATGCGAGATACTGGTCGTACTCCTTGGGCCACTTCTCGGCGTACTTGATGTCCAGCCGCTGGATAACGACGTCGGAAATTTGCTTCATGAGGGCCTGGACGTTCGGCTCGACTTGCTGCTGAGCCTGAGCCGGGCTCCTGCCCCGGTCGCTCTCGGCGCGGCGAACTCGCCTGGAAGACATGGTGCCGGCAGTTGCTGCGTCTTCAGGACTCCTCGGAACTGGACGTGCAGTTGGCGAACGACCTCTCGATAATGTCAATGGTCGCCTTGGCCTTGGCCACTAATCCGCTCTTCCTCGACTCCGGGCTGTCACAGGACGATTGGACTAGTCTCTCCGAGACTGGTGTGGGCTCCCTGGTCAGCAGCCAGCTCTCTAGCATGAAAGAGTGCGGCTCCGAGGAGAATCTGGCCGTTTTCTCGACGGAATTCCCGGCGTTGTTTGTGCTCGCAAGCCTGGGGCGTCCATGTCAGCCTTCAACACTCCATGACGGCGATGGGGACGAGGTGGTGGATAGGGGGGATAAGGGGGGAAGACACCCCCATACCCTACGAGAGAGCCCATACCTGTTTGTCAGGTCCTTGTCTGACTGTTCTCGCATTCGGCAGGCTACCACCGTCTACTGAGGCCTCGATGAATGGTTTCAAGGACATTTTGGACGAAGGGGGCCGATCAGTCCTCTCGTCTTAAGTATATCGCAACTTGGAAATCGCGTCTGCGATTTCCAACTGCCCCTGCCGGCGCAATCGCCCAATATGACTCGCCATCATCTCTTCTTGGTGTCGCCGAAATGCACTTTGTCCGACTGCATCGATGGGGGGTTCAATTGGGCGTTGCATCTCTTGTGTGGTCTGCTGTTCGTGGGAAAGTGAGCAATCCGCTGGGCGGATTTGCCGGGCTCGTTTTTTGGGTGTCAAGCGTGAATTTCGTGGTTTCCTCTAAATCACTAGCTCGCCGCTTACACCTCCTAACATATAGTCACCTCACAATTCCCTCACACGATTTGATTCTCTGGCAAAATCCCGACTCTATTTTCTAAATCACATTATGCAAATTGGCATACGGTCTGCGCATTTTCTCCTGAAATCGACTTTCTCAGCGAGTCCGATCGGCGCTGGCTGGTCGATCTGCATCGCAAGACTCGCCGGGGCCGGAAGTAACAATAGTGGGCCCTCGCCAATCCACGATGTACCGATTTTAGGGGCGACACTGGCCGGGGAGAAGACGTGGCCGCGGTTGGCTGGAGGATGCGAGTGGAGTTGCACATCTCGGCCAGTAACAGTTGATTACAGTTGCCGTGGCCATCACATTAGGGCGAGCTCTTTCTTACCTTTGCCAAACTTCATGAAGCCTCTGACGAAGGCGGCGTTCGCGTCTTCGGCATCGTTGCTCTCAAGCCATAGGGCTCAATATACGCATCTACCAAAGGTATTCCCGACACATAGCCCGCGTGACGGCCGGATAAGCAGCCGGGCAGGACCAAAACCGACGAAGTCGTCTCGCCCGGAGGTCGTCAGGTCTCGGCTGGTGGCAGGCAGCACGTCGCTCCGGCACTGCGGCCTCCCGGCAGCTGTCTGTGTGCTTGTGGATCTGGGGGGATTCGCAAAGCTCCCGATTGGCAGCTGCAACTTTCCAATACACACTCCCGCATGATCGTGCGCCAGCATGACTGGGGACTGTGCCTCACCAGATTTAATGGTGGTACAAACCTGTGACTGGTTGGGCACCATCGTCCTCGATCTTTGGGCAACAAGATTCGTGGGGACCCGACTTTCTCCGAAAGAGATGGTGCGATTGAAGCTCTGCCTTACCCCTTCCAGTTAAATCCTTTTTAGCTATGTAATATACGTGCCGGGTTGATGTCGGGTTGATGGAGTGAGAGTATCGAGTATTAGGCTCAGTCTCTCCAAAGTCGAAGGTTAATTAACTGCTGCCTCTCTCCCAGGCAAGACTTCGTTCGTTCTCGAAGCCCAACAATGGTACCTAGAATACATAGCGAAACCAATGGGGATCCATTATTCGCTCCGCTACCAGAACCTGTCAAGTTGGATATTACCATAACGACACGCTGAAGTTGGTTGGTCAGACAGCGAGTCACCTGTGATCCGATGTCGTCTTTCACTCTTCATGTCAGTCACCCTCATGGCCCTTCCAATGACTGTCCGTCAATCCAAAATGTCCCTCAAGATTGAAAGTACAATCCGCTACGTACTCCTTTGTGATACTGTACTGAGGCAACCCGGTCTATGGTGTTAATTATCCGATTTGGAGGCGAGGAGACAAGCTGCGTCGTATGGATTGGATGGTCGGCATGTTTAGCTCAGCATGATATTTACTCTTGGCTTCAGCATCGCATGTGTTTATGATTCCTGTCCAAAAGCAGCCTCGAGCTCCGCGGTTAGGCTCTTCAGAAAGCCCTCGAGGGACGTGGAGAAGTACAGATCAGCGAGATATTCGCCGCGACCCACGCCGGCTAGCTCATTCTGCGGTGGCTGAGCCATTCCACTCCGGAGGAATCCCCGACCTTCAAGGCGTGAAAAGCACACGAGGGGGCCAGAATCGACGCCCAGCGCGAACGGGGTCTGGCCTCAGCTTATGATGGCTGGCTTGCTGCTGTACACTGCAATATTACTGTTCTTGATCTCATAGCGATAGTACGATAGCCATGACGGGGGGTGCCCGGCTACCCGACGTCCGGCCAAGTTTGAAGACAACATCGTCCTGTACGGTAATTTTCTGGTTGTAATGGCTGTTGCAGAGGTAGTCCACGAGCGGTTGGGGGTGGATGTTGTTTAATTATTTTCTTTTTATGTTCAAGGAGGCATTTGGGGGCCTGTTGTGGAGTTAGGCTACCTCTGTTGTCTAGAGTGGCGCTGTTGCTCCTTGCTGAATCCCTAGGGGGATGGACTTCTTTCCTCGTAGATCTGCCGCTGAATACAGAGATAATTTCAGCATCATTATTTTTATCTAGACTTTGCTTTTTGGGACAATCATGCCTATATACGATATGACGTAGCCCCTCGAGATTGTGATCCCATTTGCGACGGGAATTTCTCTGCGGGCATGCGCCATTTGCTCTGTGGGCAGGTGGCCAGGCAACAGCTGCATCGCTGTCACTATTGCCATCGCTGTCATTATTGCTATTCCTAGCAACGGCAATAGCGATGGACAGCAACGGCAGAAGTGATAGGAGTGACAGCAAGAGCGAGAGATGGCAATAGCAATAGCGATAGACAGCAAGTGCCGCCCGTGATGCTCTAACCGCCTGCCCGTGGAGCAAATAGCGCATGCCCCTGGAGAAATTCCCTTTGTGACGACCGTGGAGGCCAAGGACATGTCAAAACTATCTGTACGACGACGCCGGTATCGAGAGCCACCTAGGAAGTTAACAGCGGCAAGCGTATGGCCAGGCAGGACGCTTGGGACGACGAACAGGGTCGAGACAATCTGTATCTACGAATAACGGACCTGCCAGATGCCCCTGGAGGAAATGTCACAGAAGGCAGGGCCGTTTTGGCCGGCCCCTGGCACCATAGACGGAACCATCGGATAAAGACAATGCTCACCGAAATGAGTGGTTGGGAGCTTAGGCCAGTGGGATGTCGAGAGGGCTAGAGCCCGGTGTGATATGACACTCTGGCAGTGTGGTAAGTATGTAGGTAGGTGTCCAAACATGGAGTTCTTGCATGTATCAAGCACGTCGTTCTGCCATCGCTCGCCTTCCAATCGCTGATAGCACGCCGTCCGTCGGTGTGCAGCTGAAGACAGAACTTCTAATCTCCCGAACTTCTCAGCCATTAGCCTTTGCAATGGTGCTTGCGTTGATGATGTTGATATAATGTCTCGGCCCATCCCATCGCGGCCCATTCGTGTGCAGAGGACAGTCCAGCCCGACAACCACGCCGGTCCTGGTCTCCCAGGCTGCTTCCCACTTGCGCTCAGGGGTAACAAGCTAAATGTCCCCAGCTCTTTGTCTACGCCGTACAGGACTTGTGCTGAGCATGGTGAGTCGCGGGGATCAGGGGTACGTGTGCGAAGCGAAGGTGGGTTTCTGGGGGGACGGGACATTGTGTCCATGTAGACACCCCGCAATGGCCATTCTCCAGTCTCCATCCTCAGGTATAACACCTGCCCAGAGAGCCTTCCAGATTGTAGTAGGGAGCGACTGGTTCGTGGGCTGAGAATAGGGGTGAGGAGGCGACCAGAGAACTGTTAGATGTCCAGGCATGTAGCCAATAGTAAACCAACCAGATCCCAACACTCAGGTCATGAATGGTAAAGGACCGGACTTACTCCGACGTGTCCTTAGTACGGATATCCCTTGACTCCTCCCCTTTTGGGAACGAGACCTCAGCTGCCTGCATCTCACCATTCTCTCTGCTGACGGTCTGATGCCTCGACGACGTTATAATGCCCATACTGAAAACTCGCTGTTCCTCGCGGCAGCCCCTGAACGGACGCGGTGGCTGGATCTGGCGTCACAGTTCACGCACTCCGAGATCGACACTGGCCAGCCTGAGCACGGCGGCGTACGATATTGCCATCAGCCGGCAAGTGGGGTGAGGTGTGCACCAAGGGGAACATGCGAGTTGGCAAAGAATAGGTTCGTAAACAACAGTTAAGTGTTGGGGCTTTCCTACGAGAGGGCGCAGTAGGAGGGAAACGGCCGGTGAAGGCAGGATTGCCTGCAAAATGCAATAGAATGTGTCTTACCGGTAGCACATGAAAGCGTCCGCCCCGGTGTTCCTGGCACCAGAGAGGTCGGGCGGTGGTGAGAAAAAGGGGCGGAGACGCTGACAAAAGTAACTTGCAAGGTCCATTTCGGATATTTCCTTGTGTTTTGCACTAACCCGGCCTTGATACACACCGCACTTCTCGGTTAGTAAATAATAATTACGGCAAGTAATTCTTCCCGCGGCACCAATACTACCATGTACATAGTATATCCAGACCCTTGGAGAGACCCCGAGGAGCAAGGGTGGTTATCAGATCCTCCAATATTCTCCCGACCGACCAAACACGAACAAGGACAATACCGGTACCTTGGTGGGAAAGGGGCTTCGACATCGACAAAGTCCCCGCTTGACAACCTGGGAACCTCCTTGGGGGCCAACGGCAAGAAGTAGAACTTCGGCGCCATATGCAATAGACCGTGCTCGAGCTCATGGCAGCATCTGGACTGCGCAAATCGCCAAGTGAGGCTTGAACCTCTATCGAAGGATCCCCCGTTGGAAGATTAGAGTACCTACATACATGTACGCTAGCCAAGACGACCCGCCCGGCGGATATGCGTAGACACTCGCGGGTACGGGAACGACGAGCCGCCCGAGGGACAATTTGGCATTGTCCCGACTTTAGGACTGGTTAAGGAACGCCACTCTGCAGGGTGGGCTAGTTGGTTACCTGCATTGCATGAGTGCTATCGTAATGCAATTATACCTCGCTAGCTATGGCGAATGGGGAAACTGGGAGGCGGAGGCGGGGCCTCCTTGTGGTTGGTACGCTCTTCTGGACTTCATGACAATAATTTCAACCTCAACCTCAGCTTCAGCTGTGGCTTGGTTTCCGCTGGGTCCCCTAGAAATGTGTCAATATCTTCCTTTCCGTGCCGAACCGTGGTTGGGTCTCGGGGTGCAGAGCAACGACTGCGCAATTGCTTGTTTCAAATCTCTCAGCTCAATCCATCAAGTTCATTAAGCGACAAATAATCCAAAAATAAAACAACAGGATTTCCCAGGTTTGTGCAACGAGTGATAATTACGCGCATATAAGCCCCATTTGCACAAAATGAATTCAACCCAGGCATCATCACGTGACCATTCTTGGACCTTGTTCTTGGGTAGAGCACAGACCAGCATATCTTCGAAGGCAGGTATTTGACGTAATGCGATCGAGGATCACTGTTAGCGAGATGAACTGGTCCTCCTTAAGTCCAGACCGCTAGAGGATCTGATCTGCGAATGCTCCAGAGCAAATGTCGCGTAAACCAGACCAGTGGTAGCGCGCCGCCGAACCCCACGTAGCGTATTTCTCTTTCAGAGGTGATCTCCGTACCGGCGACTTGGAATGCTGGGATCATCTCGTGATGTGCGGGACGGAGTCTGGAGTCTCTTCCGCAGGAACGCCCGCAGGCAGCCCGGCCAATAGAACCCGCAGGACGGGCCTTTGGCGTATCCTTACCTTGGAGCGCATCGTTGCATCAGTCGATTTTGATTTTTTTGGCCGTCCGCCGCTAGGACCGCATTCAGCTTTAGCGGCTGAACTGCCTGTCCGTGCTCCTAGCTACAGGAGACCGCCAAGGCGATAATTCCTTCGTATAAACCGGGGTTGGGATGTTAGTGGGAACACATCGGTGGTGCACAGTACCGCCACTTTCCCCCCATGTATCCCTCCCCTGTCGTACTAACGGTTCATTTTTTGGCTGGATGCCGGCGGCAAAGGAAAATGATCAACGAACAGCAGTCCATCCCCATTAATAGGGCTGGTAAATCCACTGGAACCAGGTTAGTCGGTTTTTGTTGTCGCCACGGTCCTTGCTGGGGACGCCAGCACCTCGACAGCAGCCCATCCGAACACCACACTCCACACCTACCTCTCCATCCTCATGTCACAGAGGCATCATGTCGTCGTCGGCCTCCCTCCCGTCGGCCTCATCGACTCCGCCGCCAGAGGTAACCATGCTTCCTTCGGACGGTGATCGGACCGGAACAGTGATTGCTGCTTCCGTTGTCTTCTGGTTTCTCGGAGCGGTCGCCGTCAGTCTCCGGTTCTATGCCCGGGCAAAGATTGTCCGCGTCCTGGGAGCGGAGGACTGGACCATGCTTGGCTCGCTGGTTAGTTTTGGCCCTTTGGGAAAGCTGCTGGTCGGCAGATCTTGGTAGTTTCCGTGCTGATTCCGATGGTACAGTTCTTCGCCACGGGCGTGAGCGTTGTCCAGATAATAAGTTCGTCCCCTCGGCACCTACCGCCTTTCCAAACTCGGGACGAAGCTAACCAATCGCAGTGACCACAGTTGGATGGGGAACACACGTCTGGACCATCCCCTCGGACAACTTCATCGCGATTCAGAAGGTCAGTCTCGCCTTGGGCCCACGAATTTCGCCCTCCCAGCACACCAATATTCACCTATACTGACTCGAGTCCAGTTGACACTGAGCCTGATCCTCGTCTATCAGATCAGCCTCGTCTTCACCAAGATGTCCATCCTATTCCTGTACCTCCGGATCCTTACATACCACCACGCGAGATGGGCCGTCTACGCGTTGATGGCCGTCGTCATCATCTACAACCTCTGGGGCATCATCAGCGAGCTGACGGTCTGCACCCCGCTCGAGAAGCTGTTCCAGATGGAGGAGTATGACGCCTGCCATCCCGTCAGCTTCACCTGGGCGAGTGTGGCCCTCCACATCGCCACCGACTTCCTGATCTTCTTCCTCCCGATCCCGGTCTTCTTCAGGCTAAAGATGCCGGCGCGGGAGAAGATCACCGTCGTCATCCTGTTTAGCTTGGGTTTCTTGTGAGTAGTAGCCGCCTCTCTCTCCACACATACACACACACACACACACACACACACACCATCTGCATGTTTTGGTGGCGCCCGCAGGCTCCCGCCCCCCGTTCTCGACCAATTAGCCCGCTAACACCCCACCCCTCTTACAGTGCCTGCGTCATCTCCATCCTGCGGGCAGTCTGGGTCACCCAACAGGCAAGATCCCAAGATGTCACGTGGGATTTCGTCCCCATCTCGGTGTGGAATGTCGTCGAGGTGAACATGGTGATATTCTGCGCCTGCGGGATGACCTACAAGCCGCTGATCGCCAAGTTTTGGCCTCGGTGGTTCACCCCGCCAGAGAAGTCGGGAGACGTGAGCCCTTCCGACAACGGGCAGTAGCAGGGTCTGGGGCCGGCGTTGCTTTGGGCGTTTGCTTTGGGAGGACTGGCTGGATATTTACGGGATATTAAAGCGACATTAAAGGGATACCCGGCGGTGGGATATTAGGGGCGCATCTGATTGATCATCATCGTCGCAATACTAATCGTGGACCATCCAATTATCAAGGGGAACAACATGCATACCAGACACACCAACTCCTCCGCAACAATCCTCAACCCATTCTCAGACTCATCCACGCTTCCCACGGTATACCCCCGACCATGGAAATATACCACCCCCACAGCCTTTCCCCTCTTCCTCTCCCTCTCCGCCGATGAAGGGCAAAGGATCCTCACGGGGATGGATCCGTGGGGTCCGCGGACGACGGCGAACTCCACGCCACCTCCGATGGGGTTGACGCCCCCGGGGGGCCACGGCGTGGATGCCCAGCACCTCGAGGTGGTGCCGCCGCTCGACGGTGAACTTGACGCCGCCCAGCTGAAGCTGTGGGCGTTGACCGCAGGAAGGAGGTTATCTCGGCGCCGAGGACAGTGCGGGTGCCCTCTTTGGGGAACTTGGGCTTGGATTCTGGCATGGGATGATGGGTTTTCCGTCAATGGTAGCAAGAACACTGCTGGGAGTTCACGAGTCTGTTCTGGGTGATTCGATGTCTGTTTTTACAGGTACAGTACCTAGGGAGCATCCCCTTCGGTGGTGACCAGGTCGTACGATAATAAATACGTCATCGTACTCTGTATATGCCTGTGAATGTTGTCCTGCACAACCCCCTCTCGGGTGAGTTTCAAGACCCTCGGCCAATTTTCTGCCGCATCCTCTCCATACATGGATCGCGCCGTTGCGGACGGATCGTGCCGTCGCTCTAGGGGGTGGATTGGGTGGTCACGATAATGTGGAGAACCCGCCTGCTGGAAAAAGTTCACATGGCTAAGGCAACCGGGGCTATCCCTGGAGCACATTGAGGTAAACTGGGGGGGGAAGCAACACTACCAGATAAGCTTGCTTGGGAAAACTGACACGAAACAGATCATCGGGATAGACGGGGTTGCCTTGCCTTGTGATTCCCTTTTTTTTATCGGGAAGAACCAACTTTAAACGCCACTTTCCATGCAAGTCGCTTTACATGATTATGATACACAAGACGGGCAGACAAGGATACATGGATATATATACACACGCTTCCGAGGCAACCAACCCCTTACTTGGACAAGAACTTCTGGAAGACGGATTGGTCGATGATCACGTTCCCGACGGCGCGGAGCCTCTTCCTCCCCTCCTTCTGCTTCTCCAGCAGCTTCCTCCGCCGCGAGATGTCGCTAGCGTGCAGCTTGGCGAGGACGTCCTTGCGGAACGGCTTGATTGTCTCGCGCGCGACGACGCGCTTGCCCACCGCGGCCTGGATAATGATTTCTTGCGTAGGGAGAGAAGTGTTAGCACGTGGTTGACGGTTTAATAATAAAAAAAGGGGGGGGGGACAATAAATCGAGGGAGACATACCAAACATCTGCCGGTCGACGTGCTCCTTGAACTTGCCGACCCAGTGCCTCCCCAGCCTCTCGACCTGGGTCGAGTGCACGACGCGCGTGACGGCGTCGACGGGGTGCTTGTTGACGAGCAGGCTGAGCTTGACGAGGTGGCTCTCCCGCCAGCCGGCGTCCTCGTAGTCGAGGGTGGCATACCCCTTCGTGGCGCCCTTGAGCTTGCCAAACAGGTCGTCGACGAGGCTAGCCGTCGGCAGCTCGTACCGCAGGATCACCTGCGTCGCGTGGAAGAAGTCGATGCCCTGCTGCGCGCCGCGCGCCGACTCGCACAGCTCAATGACCCGCCCCAGGTACTCCTCGGGCAGCGTCATGGTGGCCCGCACGACGGGCTCGTACACGGTCGCGGACCGGATGCGCGACTCCTCGGGCTCGGGGAACTCGGCCGGGTTGGTGATGACCGTCTCGGTGCCGTCGCGCCACACGACGCGGCTCGGCACCGCCGGCTCCGTGATGATCAGGTCGGCGCCGTGCTCCTGGCGCAGGCGGTCCTGGAAGACGGAGCAGTGCAGGCTGCCCAGGAAGCCGAGCCGCCAGCCCGCGCCCAGCGCCTCCGAGTGGTCCTTGTGCAGTGTCACGCTGCGATCATTGAGCACCAGCTGGTTGATGCTGTCAGCCAGCTTGCCGTAGTTGCCCTGGTCCGTCGGGAACGCCGCCACGAACACCATGGGCTTCGGCTCCTCGAACCCGGGGTACGCCTCCACCCTCGCCTCGCTGCCCACCGTCGTGAACGTGTCGCCCGTCTTGGCGTCCTGTATCCGCCTCATGCCCGGGTTGAAGTACACGTACCCGACCTGCCCCGCCCGCAGCATCGTCTGCGGCACCTGGTTGGGGTACTGCACCCCCACCTCCCCGACAGTGTACTTGTTCCGCGTCGCGAAGCTGACCAGCTGGTCCCCCGGCTTGACCGTGCCGTCAAACACCCTCACCAGCAGCACCACCCCCTTGAACGTGTCATACCAGCTATCCACCAGCAGCATCCTCAGCGGCGCATCCACATTCCCGACGGGCGCAGGCACCCTCTCCACAACCGCAGCAAGCACCTCACCGACCCCCATCCCCGTCTTGGCACTGACCCGCACGGCCCTCTCGCCGCGCTCGCCGACGTCGATGTCGAACCCCACCCGCAGCTGGTCGACCGCCCTCTCGACATCGGCGGTCGGCAGGTCGACCTTGTTGACGACGGGCACGACGGCCAGGCCTTGGGCCGAGGCGAGGTAGAAGTTGGCCACCGTCTGCGCCTGCACGCCCTGCGACGCGTCGACCAGCAGCACGGCCCCGCCGCACGACGCGTACGACCGCGTCACCTCGGCGCGGAAGTCGACGTGGCCCGGCGTGTCCACCAGGTGCAGCAGGTAGTCGAGCCCGTCGGCCGGGTGCCGGTACAGCATCGTGCACGTCTGCGCCTTGACCGTGATGCCGCGCTCGCGCTCCACGTCGAGCTTGTCCTGTTTTTGGGGGGCCGGCCGTGGTTAGCTGGGGGGCTGTCTTGGGGGGGGGGGAGGGGGATCTGCCGGAACGGGGGGCTGCGTGCGGGGGAGACGGGGGCGGGTTGGAGGAAGGGACATGAAAGCTGGACGGCTGGAGAGGAGCGGTGTCAACGCACAAGGATCTGTTTGTTCCCATCACTCGCACTGATAGTGCCCGTCAGCTCCAGCAGGCGGTCGCTCAGCGTGCTCTTGCCGTGGTCGATGTGTGCGACGATGCAGAAGTTGCGATAGCGATCGAGCGGGATGGCCGCGATGCGCTCCTCGAGCTCCGAGGGCGTGGGCCTGCCCTTTTCCCTGCTCGTTGTGCTGTAGCTCCTCGGTGCCACAACTGGCGAATGACTCCTGGAGGGCTTCGGGCTCGGGATCAGGCCATTCGCGAGGTGTTGGAGGCTCCGATGGGCGGCCTGCGGGTAGGCTGGGGCGAGGAGGCGGCTACCGAGGACCGGCGAGGCGGCGAGGCGGCGTCGGCATTGCAGGTGCAGACATGGTCGCACGAAGGCGTCGAGACCCGTAACGCCACGCATCCAATTGGCGATTTTGGGGTCATAGATCGCGGGCGTTTTTGGGCGTAACTGGTCGCAGAATCGGGCTTCGGATTTGCACATATCCTTTCGATCAAGCTCAATTTTGAGCTTGTCAAAAATTGTCCGTGCTTATCTTATCGGCGTATCTTATCAAAGTCTCGGTTCTCATTGCTGCGTGCACTTCGTCTCTACCTCCTCTGCCAACCAACCTACCTATAAATCTTCGAAAATGGTACATATATACCCTTCTGTATGACAGTATATAAACAATCCAGATCCATCAAATCGTGTGAAAAGCTCTGGCACGATACTTCCACTTTCCCGTGGTGTTCGCCGCTGGCCATGCCAACAGCCGCCTGTACCTGTGTGTGCCTGTGTTTGTGTGTGTATGTGCTCGATCCTCCGCAGACCAACATATCCAGTCGTCAATGGGGTATCAAAATATTAGGGTATTGAGCCCTTGAAAACCAGTCTCCCCTGATTTCTCTCTCTCTCTCTCTCTCTCTCTCTCTTCATCCTTGACCCTCTTCACCCCCCTCTAGACGAGCACCCACTCGCTCCCCCTCTTGATGAACTTGTCCAGCAGCATCATGAGATCCGTCAGCACGAAGCGACAGATGTAGAACCCAAAGAACTCGGCCGCGTGTCTGGTGCACAGTTCGAGGCCCACCTGCGTCTTGTCCGCGTGTCGGAGGCCGGGATCTTCAACCTGCCTAGCGATTTGATCTGCGAGCTTCTGTTAGCATCCATTTTTTGGTCACACACCCACCCCATCATCCCAAGGAGATGCTCGTAAATGGGAGAGGGCAAAAAGTGAAATGACTCACCGACTGTCTGCGCGGCGTCGAACAACTTCGCCAGCGACGCCATATACTGTGCATTCGGGCCCCCAAACTGCGCACTGCCAACATCCCTTTTGGGGACCCGGCGCGCCGGATGGTTCGTCATTGGCAGACTAGGGAGGAGCGTGTCCTTGCCGCCCGTCCCGTCTATGGGAGTGGTCGAGTTCGAGTTGGAGCTCCCGCCGCTGCCGCCCTTGCCCGAGTACGCCGCGCCGCTGGCCAGGGCCGCCGAGCTGTTCTTGCTCCGCAGCCGCCGCCACGAGAAGCTGCTGCCCTTGCCGCCGACGCTCGCCGACCGGGGCACCGCCGCCGCCGACTCGCTGCTGTCCACCCCGCTCGCCTCCTTAAACAGGGAGCTCGCGCCCTGGACGCCGACGTCGCTCCCCAGCTTGCGCGTCAGCGCGGCCTGCACCTGTTCCAGGAGGCCCTCGAGGGACTGCATCTCCTCGAGCACCGCGTCGGCGTCGCACGTGTCGACGCGGGAGAGGTTCTGCAGCGCCGCCGTGAGCAAGTCGCAGTTCGAGATCTTATCCTCCACGTTCTTTAGCTTCACGCCCTTGACCCGCCACACGTCTCGCGGGACAAAAAGCTTGCTGCTCAGATACCCGCCGCGGGGGTGGCACAGGGTCTGGTATAGACACCGCATGAGCCAGAATGGCCGGAGCATGACCTCCGTCGGACAGGGCTCGAGCGGAGCAGGCGAGTCTGTGAGCAGCGGATCAGGCGATCCGGGGCTCTGGGGCGAGTGGAAGTCGCTCTCGAACAAGTACAGTCCCCCTGTAGAGGTACTGTTGACCCGATCCTTGAATGCAGCAGCGAGTGGGGGAGGGAGATTCGGCAGCGCCGGGAGGCGGGTGCTCAATGGCGTCCCTGGAGAGAGATCAGACGCATCGTCGATGTTCGACATTGACAGGTTTCGCGACCTTAGACTCTTTAAGCTCGAAGACGAGAAGTTCTTCCTCAAGAGCGGCCGCGATACCGATGGCGATCCGGACCGTCCTTCCGCATCATTCGTCAGACTCGTTGGAAACGGGGGGGTGGCTAGTGCGGCACCGGGATCTCCCAAGTTCGCCCCCGGAACCGGGGAAGGCGCCGGCCTCGCTGACTGGGGCCCGCCAGTTCTGTTCGGCCCCGCAGAGAGGGCTTGTCTCTGCTGGACAATGTATCCCGCAGTCTTCGGCTGCGTAGAGGTGGGTCCGCCCGTTGCAGATGTGGGCGGCTGGAGTTTAGTCGTCTCGATCTTGAGCTGCTTTGCATTCTGGCCTGACAGTCGCCGACTCCGCACGCCCTGGCCGTTCGAGCTGAACGAGCTTTGGGAGGCGGCTGAAAGTGGCGTCCCGGGGGTTCCGGGCAGGAGTGGTAAGGCCTGGGTCGGGGGCGGTGGTGGCCGTTGGGTCGGAGGCTTGGAATGACTCGACATGATCGCATCCTCACTCACAGTGGTGAGAATCGTCGTGGCGGTTGGGGGATTGGAGCCCATGGAACTGTGGAACGTGCGGCTTGTCGCCCAGCTCGAGTCCGACTCCCGCGGGACGGCCGCCTTGGACTGCGGGCCAAAGGCAAAGTGCTCGATGGCATAGCCTTGGGTCATCTCCTCCAATAGCCTTTCCTCCTCTTCGGAATCGTTGCCGTCGTAGAAGTCCTCCATCACTGTCGACTGGTCCTGTTGTTGCCGTAGTTCCTCGTCCTCGAGCTGCTGCTGAAGCCGTAAGCGTTTCTCGCGTTCGTTTGCCAGCTCCAACGCCTCGCGTTCAGACTCTCGAACCCGCTCCCGCGCAAGCTGCACGCGTCTCAGCGCCTTTGCTACGGCATCCTCGGGTTGTTCCTCGTAAGTCTCCTTGCCGTGATCCGCGAGATTATCCGGTTCGTATCCCTCGTCGTAGGCAGCCTCGATAGCATCGTCCAACGCAGCATCGAATTCGGCCTCCGTATTGCCACTTACCGGGCGGATATGCTTCCTCCTGATCCGCAGAGACGAGGAGCGGGAATGGACGGACGAAGCCGACGAGCCCCCGGACTCATCGATGGGGTCTAGCCACGATACCGACTCGTGGCTGAGGCCGCGCTGGTGCATCATTGCACCAGGAGCCGGAGCTAATCTGTTTGTCGAGGAGATCTCGCCGCGGAAGGGGGGATCGTCGGGCACCTGCTCAGCGGGTTTGGCGGGAGAGTATGGCCTTCGTGGTGATAAGGGTGGGGGCAGGTAGGTATTGCGAGTCGGTTGTAGGGCCAGTCCATTATCAATGCCGCGCGGAGGCCGGGACAAGTTCGTTGGGGGGGATTGTTGTTGTTGGTCTGAGAGGTAGGACGAGGGGCCGTCCCACATCTCGTCGACGCCCGGATAGGCCGCCGCGTCTGTGCTTGGCTTTCGTCTCGGCGCGGGTGCTGCAACCGAGTAACTGGGTATTGTTTGAGCGTCTCTGCCATTGTATCGGTCTCGGCCAACTCTCGTGGCAGTGGCGGTCTCGATAACTGCTTCTTCGTCGTCGTCGATCGCTATTCCGACGTCCAAGTTCGGCTGCGCATTGCCTGGGGGCCGTCGCGGGAGGGCTTTCTCGTCCTGAGGGGGTCCTGGAATTTGTTGATCAAGCTCTTCTATCCTACTAGTGTATGTCTTGTACTGTTTGCAAGAGACCTGAGGTTAGAATGGTGTGATGAGGAAACGTTACGCGAAAGCTTGTCCGGAGTTGACTCACAATGGCCTCGAGCTTCTTTCGATCCTCCTCTCCAGCCGTCCTCGCAAGGACCTGCTGGAGCAGTTCGCAAGCTTCTGAATAAGCCCTTCTTGCGCCTTCTGTGTTCTGAGCGTTGTCGAGCTGTACGGCCATGTTCGCCTTTTGCAATGCCTTGGAGAGCATGGCTTTCTGAGACGGATGCTTGCCGGAGCGGTCCCGACTCTTGGATTGCGATGTCGTATCACTGTTGCTTCTCGTTCCCCCCGATCGACTGCGCGAGTGACCCCCATTCTCGCCGTTTGGGTTATACAGCATCTTGGTGCTCTGTGGGACGCTCCCTGGGAGAGCAAATCCTGTGCTACTACTTATGCGGTCTGAGAGAACCGATGTGTCCCCTGGGTTTGAACCTGAACCATTCCCCCGGTGGAATCCCGCGTCGTCGCTGGCGCTGCGAGTGGGAGCTTCTCGTTGAGGTCTGGGCGGAGGTAATGATGCGGGAGAATTACCACCTTGGAAATCGCGTTCCAGCGAAGGTAGGCTGGCGATTTGAGGGAGTGCCTGGAACGGTGGGACGGTCACGGGCGATTCCTGGCGGACTCGGCTCGAGGCAGGCGGTCGAACAGTTGCACCCGATGCCGCGGGCGGGCTCTTGTGCAGCTTCCTCGGCGAACTTTGTACCCCTCCGACGATATCCACGCTCGTATTCCGGGAGCGGCCGAAGCTCGAGGACTTTTGATGGCCGGTAGGGGAGGCTCGGCTCGATGTCGTCGAGGCGGACCAGCGATTGAGGTTGCGGATGCCGTCGGTCGGGCCGCCGACGCTACTCGCGCGCGAGGAAAGCCTCGGCGGCGGGGGATCGAGATCGTTCAGCAAGACAATGGGCTGTGCAGCATTGAACGGGTTCTGGAATGTCGGCTTCTGGTGCGGGTGGGGGTGCGGCTGCGGCTGCTCAGACGACTCGGGGGCTATTCTCGGCGGGGGAAGCAGCGACGAGGTTCGCGGGAGGGAGGCGGCGGAAAAGGTCTGGGCGGGGAGGGCAATGGTGGAAGCTATGTGTTGACTATTAGGATGTGCTGTATTGGCGGCAGATCTGTTATTAGAAGCCGAGCTGTAATAATGGTTCCTGCTGGCGGTGGCCGTGGAGTTGGCGGCGGGTCTCGGGGCGACAGACTTGGGCGACAGAGAGTTGTAGCGATGGTCCGATAGTGTTGTCGTCGCGGGCGGTGTGCTCGACAGTGCTGGAGCGGTCCGGGCTGGGTTCGAGATCGCGGCGACAACTGTTGGGGGCGAGGGCATAGCTAGCAGCGTGATATCCTCCTGCCTCGGCAGTTCCCTTCCCTTCCCAGCGGCGGTCCCTACGGAGTAGGAGACCAAGGCAGCGAGTGCAAGAATGAACAATTCAGCCGGAGGGACGGCTCGGAGGATTGTTTCTCGTCAGCGTCAGTGTCAGGGGCAGGCGGAGACTAGGCCGCTCTAGGCCGCTCTCTCGGGTTTCCGGGGGCGTCGCAGCCTGGCTTTGGCTCAATTCGGTCTGTCGGTTCTGTCGGCGGCCAAGGAGATCGCGAGATTCAAGTTGTGTGATGGGGTTTTTAGCCAAAGAAACCGAACCCTTGGCCAAAGGGGGTAATTGCTTGGGTTGCTGCTGCTGGGTAGTTGTGGTGGTAGTGGTGGAGGTATGAAGTATTCCCGTACCAGTGCTGGTAGTGCGAGGTACTACCGCAGTACTAGTAGTCCGCTGCTAGTTGTGGGGCTTGGCTGCTCTGGCGCCTGTCTTCCAGGAACAAAATGGTCTCACATAATGTTTTTCTCAGACCCACAAGTTGGAATTTTCTGACGAGAAAAAGGAATATTCGCACCAGAGACAATAGTAGGTAATTTAGTAGGCAGTCTGGATTCAATGCGATTCAATAAGTCAGATTCGTTGAGATACTTCGCCAGTGCCTCCCCTTTAAATTGGCGGCTTCCGAGGCTCCATGGCCAATACTGTTGTGCTGCTGGCATTGGCTCTCTGAAAATGGCCCAAGGTGATAATGTGGACAGTGGCGTTGGAATCGTGGGATTCCTCTGCAGGGGTGCATCGTGTCCTTGGGCAATCGTCAAGGGACGAGTGGGCCTCTGATTGGATAGCTTCGAGAGAAGAAATGTCCGACTTGTCCCCACCATTTTGGCACTACCAGAGCCCCCACAAAACGGTAATGATTCTTGTTAGATCTGCATCTAATCTACCTACTGGTTACAGTAGGTACAGTACATACATACCTACATACTGCACCTGCGCTCTATAACGTACCGCCTGTCGTCAGTGGGTGGCATCAAAAAGGGGTTCCAACCATGCAATTGCGATATGAACATGCCTCTTTCCGAGGATCAACATCTCCCTTCCCCCCCTCCAATACAGAGTCATATGATATGTCTTGCATTTGATTGTACTCGAAGAGGCTCCGCAAACCGCCCACATTCCATTCCATTCCCCATCATCCCTGGCACAAACGGCGGCGGCCTTCTCCGGCAGCAGGCTTCTTCCATTTCTGACAGCCCAAACGCGTGCCGTTTCAAGCCTCTCTTCCACGATACATTCCGCACGAGGCTTAAATTGTCTGTAGGGCAGACAAAGTCGGGGTATCCCTGGCAGGCTGGCATGGCTGGCATATCTTCATACAAACTGCAATACTCCATTGTCTTCTTTACAATTGCGTCACAGGCAGGAGCCAGTCCCACATTCCCCATTCCCAAACTTTTGACCGTGACAAACAGCCAGCCCATCCATCCATCTCCAAACGTGTTTCCAAAACGACTGTCATTACCCAGCACATGGACCAGCAGCTTCTCAGACGGCGGCTACCCACATGGCGAGGTAGATCGGTCGTTGAGCCAGCTTTACCCCTCGTGCTAGATTAGGCAGATGAGGCAATCAGGTCAGATCATGGCCCATCATCCGCGGCTGGAGGAACAGCATCGCATCGATCGCCGCCTCTCCCGCTGGCTCTCGCGCAATACCTCACCTTCGGTTCGGGATCGAATCATCCTTGGGGTCTGGTGACAGCTCTGGCATTGACGGATTGCCCATCAGCAGAGACGGTTGCAGCTCCACGTATCTCTGTTCTGCCAGATCCTGCAATCGTCATGCTATTTTTTAAGGTGACGTGACCAGGAGGAGAAACAGACTGTCCATCATCACCCGCCAGGATGGATGTGTGCCACCAGCTCTCCTTGTTTCAACCTCCAGGTGGGCCCCCGTCCTGACGTCGTGCTCGGGCCCGTACCGCTAATCGTGCTTGGATTCTTCGCAAGTCATCGACAATTCGCTTAGGTAGTTTCTGTCAAACAAAGCCTTTGCTCTAACTGTTTCCCCGAGCGTTCACCGTGCGTCGAGAGAAGCACAGCGCCCTCACCTCGGGCTCGGGCAGGGGGTCAGTGCATTGATAACTGCCACATCTGTTTCTCTCTCCCATCATGATCAGTGTTTCTCAATTGGATTCCAGCACACCAAACTACGGCCTTCCTTATGGTGCAACCTCGATTGGGAAACCACATTTTCTGCTCTTTCTCGCGTCGACTCCCAGATCGTCGGTCGAGGCAAGGGTGGGAAACACTGCAGAGAGAGAGCATTGATGATGCATGCCGTTGACAGAAGCATGCATGCTTGGTGATTAATGGACATCGTCACCTCATATGAGAATCCCATGACTTCGAACCCCCGCGTTCGTGGTTTCTTGTGTATGCACCAACCCCCAGTCTGCCATGCTCTTCCAAGTGATACGGTGGTGTGCTGCCACCGATGAACCTCATCACGTCCTGACATGACGTCGAAATAGGTCGGATGTTTTGCGACGACGGTGAAAAACCGCCCCATGGGCTATGTATGCTTATGTGCACCATATACATCTAGTTCTACTGCGGTAGTGCAGAAGGCCAATCCCACCCCAACGCCCATGCAAGAAGATCCCATCCCTGCGCCCATCAACCCATTGCCCGACCCGGGTGTCGTACATAGGTATGTATATATAACCAAACACTGATATGAAACCAATAAATAAGGTAGAACTCCTTATCTTTGTCATTGCTCGTCGCCGTCATTGCCGTCGTCGCCGTTGTTGCCGTCGTCCTTGGGTTGTAAAGGTTTCTGGCCATAGACAAAGTATCTGCGTGAAGGACCCCCCCCCAATGGTCAGCCAGATCCGCTTCCTTCCCGGCAACCTAAGGTAGGGAAAAGGGGGAAAGCACTCACGTCAGGAAATAGAAATGCACCCCCAGGTTCTTGATATCCTTCCTCACATCCACAAGCAGCAGCTCCACCTCCTCAGCCGTCATGCCGAGCCCCCTCGTGAAGATGGTCATACTGACGGCGTGTATGCCATCGAGGAAGTTAGTCATCTGCCACAGCCCGAGCAGCTTCTGCTCGCGGCCGCGCGGCCACGCGTTCCCCGGGATGGCGAGCCTCTCCTCGACGACGTTGACGAACCCGGCGTCCTCCATCAGGCGCTTGTACCGCCGCGGCGCCAGCATGTCGCGGCCCAGGCGCCCGCCCCCCTCAATGTACAGGCGCACCCAGCGCTCCAGCGCCGTGCCCGCCAGCGTGTCGTCGACGCACTGCAGCTGGCAGTAGTAGTCCTGCCACTCGAGCCACCCACCCGGCGACAGGTGCTCGAGCGCGGAGTCGATCACCCGCCGGTGCGACTTGAAGGTGTGGAACATGAGGCGCAGGTGGATGAAGTCGAAGGGCTGCGAGTAGACCCACTCGTCTTCCGCGTCGTCTACTTCGAAGTGGCAGTTCGCGGGGACGCTGTTGGTGGAGAGGGAAGACGGAGAACGCCGGTCAGCTCGAGAAAGACGCAATAAAAATGTCAAGGGGAAATGGGACGTAGGTAGGATGTGAGAAAAAGGGGGAGCAGGGAAGCTTCATTGGGGTTGTCGGCACGTACTACTCTGGCTGTATCGGGCTGAGATCAGTCCCGAGGACGTCGGCTGAAGGGTTCTGCGTTGCTAAGGTAAGGGCGGCAGATGTCAGCAAGAGCTGGCCAGAGAGCAAGAGGGCTGGCCAAGCAAGCTGCGAAGCCAGAAACGATTGGGGGTCACGGATCTTCCTACCAAACTCGATGGCCCAGATACCGGTACCCGTCCCGATATCTAGAACGGACTGCGGGTTCTCAATGGGTGCCAGGTTCAGCTTGCCCTTGAGAAGCATGAGGAACACTGCATGTTGTAGATCTGTTGTGATACCATTAGCTGTCCGCAGAGTGGTGGTGGAATGTGGAGCCAATGGCCCAAGACGAGCCAGCCTTACCCAGACGGTCCTGCTCAATCTTTTTGCAATCAAAGTCAACCGAGTCAGCCATGCGTCTCCGTGCATCCCCAACCTTGATTTAATCTAAGACTCACGGGATCATTCGGCATCCAATAACCTAAGCAGGGAGAGTCAACAACCAGTGCAGGAACAAACGCTCTTCAATGTGTACTTACGGCCTTGCTTATATTTATGGAATGTCCTTCCATGCTCCTGGACGAACTCGTATATACTAGATCTCACAGATGTCGTCGACATGCTTTAATAAGTGTCAGTTCCGAAGGCGTAAAGTCCAATCCAGAGGGATGCGAGCGACTCACCTCCCCGAGAGATCGCCCATGGCCGAGTCGGTGTCCGAATCAACCTGCAGTTCCATTAGCGGCCGATCGGCAATGCCGGGCTGGGCGGGTGGGATAAGCTCACGCTGAATCCCGTGGAGAACTGGCTCATGTTACTCAGGGATGAGAGCTCCGGGTCATGCGGGGAGCCCTCCCGCTGCGGGTCATCGTCACCAGGAGGCAGATACTGCTGCTCCACGGGTTCGCGCCCGGGCTCGGGCTCCAACTCCACCTGGACATCGGCGGGGTGTTTCTCGCCGGGCGGCTCCTCGCCAGAAGCCATGTTGGGCCGACGGCGGTCGGGATAGGGTAGGGTAGGGTAGGGTAGGTGGTCAATGAAGTCGGCAGGCAGCGCGACACTGAGGAGTGTAGCTGCTTCTCCTCGCTTCTCGTCCACCACGTGGCATTTGAGCCTCACCGGTCTGTCATAAGAGCAAAAAAGCGGGATTCCGACGTCACCGACTTGGTACGTAACACGAAAAGGGGACCCTGAAAAAACAGTGTGTGAAACGGAATGAAGGGTCCACGTCGCAACCAGGTAGGTGGGAGGAAGGAAAGCGGCGATGAGCTATTATTAACACAGGACTGGAAAGCTGGGGGATCCGAGAAGGGAAGAGAGGTTGGCCGAGGAGGGCAAGTCAAACGTGTTGACACCAACGCGAGTATATTAAGTGGGAAGATCCCATGGCATTGCCATTCCGAAAGTAGCACTCTAGAGGTCCACCACCCTCAAACCTCCATTCAATTCCAATTCCAGTCTCACGCGCCATCCCCACCTCCTCCGCCCCCTCCCCTCCACAATTGAATCTTCAACCCGTTCCACAACGGACAACGGACATCGGGACGTCGCATTGCATGGTGGTGGCGGGTGGCTCATCGATCTGAATGGCCGCTGCACGTCAGTCATCCAGGGTGGCCTGCAGAAGCGAGGCGATTTGGTTCGTGGGACACGGCCCTCCCAAGCGAAGGATGGGACAAAAACGGGAGGTAAGAAGCGAAAGGAATGGGAAGGATGATTGAGGAAGAGGAGGGCCAAGAACAAATATAAAATAAATCATAAAAACTAAAACCAAAACCAAAACCAAAACCAATTCGACTGTTAGGTTCCATGTTACAGGCTCCTTTTTCCCACTCGCAATTGGCCAAGAAGTCGTTGTTTCCATGGATCTTGCCTTCATGATCTTCCCTTGGACGACATTCGGAAGATCCCGACCAGCCTCCTCAAAAGGGCAATTCAATTGAATTTGACCACACAGTCGTCACGTGACAGTCACTCGATATCACTCCCGTCCATCCAATGATGCACGAGCCCTTTTGCTTCACCGGTCCATATGGGCTGCATAGCGGCGTCAGGGGTGGAAATTAACGTCTCCCTCCCGCTTCGTGGCTGCTTTCCTAGCGCCTGGAGACATCGGAAGGCGCATGCATCAATTCCTGTTCGCAGGTTTCAGCTCCAAACTAGAAGAGCGCTGCCGTGCATGGTAAAAGGTGTAGCCTTCGTAAGGCAGGCTGGCTGGCGGTTCTACCTCCAAGCTCCCACCAGCAAGGGTACAAATAGGAGTCGTGATTTGACCCCCCAGAGCACTGATCCACGAGAGCCTCAGCTAGCTGGGTAACTAGGTAGGTAGTCCAGACTGTGGGCGGCCGACTGAGGGACGAAGAGAAAGCAATATCAAAGGCCGAAGGTCAAGCGAAAGTTTTATTCCCCTTCGAGCCAATGCATGACTCTATGCGAATCCCCGTTTTCTCCATCAACACCACCCCATGCCTATCGACGACGCGGGGCGCCAGATGATCATGATCAATGATCATTCGCAGAGTCCATCGGATGGGTATCTCCTCCGCCCATTCGCAACGCCACCAACTCCCTTCTCCCCTTCCCCCCAGCGATCACTATCTATTTCTGTACTCTTCTAAAGAAGTACACGTAAGCAAACTTCTTCATCTCCTCCACGTCGACGACCTCGACCACTTTCTCGTCGTTGAACAAGACCCACGATGGCTGGTCGACGTTGGCAAGCTGCTTGCGAATGAAAGCAACGTAGTGTCTATGAAAAACGCATCAGCCATCACCATCAGTAGATTCATCATGAAGCAGCAAACTCACCCAGCGTGGATGCTCGTCCCCTTGTGGCAGACAATCGACTGCAGCTTGAACGGAGCGGGCAGATCACTACTGCCCGCGAGGGCATCCGGCGCCTTGCTCTCGGCGGCCGCTGCAGGGCCCTCGTCGTCGCCGAACAGCCCCTGGTCGTCGGGGTGGCTGAACAGCCATTCAACCGCCCGCTCGACGTCGCCCCCCGTCTCGCGCAGCGCCTTCTTTGCCTGCGGCGCCCCGAATCCCATCGCGCCTAGCATCTCGATCTTCTCCGGGTCCGCCGCCGCCGCCGCAGCCGCCGCACCTCCGCTACCGCCACCGCCGCCGCCGAGGTCGACCGGCGTGTCAATGTCCGGGTCTTCCATGTGCCCAAAGAGCCACTCCATCGCGGTGTTGGCGTCGCTGTTGCCCGTGGCGTGCAGCGCCTTCTCGCAGCGCACCCTCGGGAAGCCCATGCCCTCCAGCTGCGCAAGTGCCTCGGCGTTGGGGACAAACGCCGGCGCCCCTCCACCTGCGCCGGCGCCCTCGTCCTCGGGCAGGGCCTCTTCGTCAGGCTGCTGGCCCTTGGAGAGATAGTCGTCCATGAGGAATGCGTCGTCGCTTACGATGACCGGGACGTCAACTTTGACGGGGACCCAGTTGACGACGGCCATTTTATGGGCGTTCACGACGAGGACTTCTGGGAAGGTCTTGAAGAGCGTGCGCTTGGTGAAGCCGTCCTTGCTGCTGCAGGACACACAGGTCAGCTCGACAACCTCTTCCGAGGTGAGGTTGTCGAGGCACGTCTTGAGCGTTACGGGTTTGTACTTGGGCTCTTCGTCGCCCTCGGCGGGTAGCTTCTCCAGGGGGATTTCGATGAAGATGCTGTCCTGCTCGGTGCTGCTATAGCGGACCTTCTTGCAGCTGAGGCACTGGAGCCGCTGCTCTAGGACGAAGCGGAAAGGAAGGGTAGGGTCTGCCGTCGAAGCGGGGTGTACCGATCGCGTGACAAGCTTCATAAGATGCTGGAAAAACTCGAAAGCATCTTGCTGACGCATAGTAGAGAACTCGGCGTGGCCTCGGCCGATGAGATGTTTGAGCATCGCAGGGGCGAGGCCTTTTTGGTGTGGGACCTCGGCCGTGTGCTCAGAGGCGATGACATCCGAGTCCGGTTTGGAATATCGCCCGCTCAGGAGACCATCCGCCATCTTGCGGAGCTGGGTCTCAAGATCCTGAGCAGGGTCCGAGACGGTAGGAAGGTCCTCGCTTATTTGGAAATACCGTCGCTGGAAGGATGGCATGTCGAACAGGCACTGGAGCATACTTGCGAGGTAGCAGCTGTTGCCCAGATTCTTGAGCCCCGTGAGGCCGGGTCCGAAGACCGGCTTGAGCTCCTTTCCGTCTTCGGTCGTCATCGAGAACTCCCACCGCAAGTTCTGCTCAATCTGCATCTCTGTTAAGCTCTTCTCCGTCTTCTGTCTCTCGGATAGTATGATGCCCCAGTTTGCCAGATGCGTTGCGAGGTCCTCGTCGATTCGCTCGTCGTCGCAGGTGTAGCAGTAGACGTCAGCCGTGCCCTCGGGGGTGATCGATCCCAGCTTCACAGCAACACCGTGGTGCGTCCCGGTGGCGTGCGACAACGCATGAGAGTTGCCCCCAACACCACCGAACTGGGCTCGTCCGCATCCCAAGTTGCCGCACTCCAAGCACAGCCACAAGTTCTCCTTGAGATCGCAGCTGGAACAGTGGCCCAGGTCTTGGGACTCGATCTTCCGCGGAGGGCCTTGCTGAAGTGTCAGGACGTGCTCGCAACTGGTGAGCTCCTGCTCCCAGGCTTTAACCTCCTCTTTCCGGGAGAATGTGTTCGCCTTCATGATGCCATCAACCGTGGCAGCGAGCTTCGGGTTGCTCGTGTCCATGTTATCGATCCCGCATTCAAGGCACTTCACAGCAAGGGTAGTGTCGTAGCGGTCGGTTTCGGTCTCTGCCGCAATGGCAAGCTTCGACATCTTGGCGGGGGGCTCATCACGGACGACGACTTTGCGGGTCCGACGGATGTTAAGGGCAAGAGGGTGGCCCAAGAGAACGTTGTGAAGGTTTGCATGGTGTCGGTCGCCGGCACAGCCGCCGTTGAAGCACTGGAGGCAGACATCTAGACCGGCAGCATCGTCCTAAAAAACGTGCCGTTAGAAGGTATTATAAGCACAGAGCTGGTTCGGAAGAGTAATGACGGGTGGGCGGTGGCATCGAGCAGCCACCAGAGAGATAGGGAGCACTTACAATCGAATCAAAACATTGCGTGCAGTCCTCCCTGTAAACTGACTGGGCCGGAGTAGGAGGGCTGAGGGCTAGGGCAACGTCAGTTTAAGCTCCATATTCAAAGTCGGAGGGAGGCGGGAAGAGGAGCTTACACAGCGATTCAACGTGAGTGCAGGCCATGGTTGTTGACCAGCTTCCCAATAAATTGTCGGCGATGTTGTATTGTATCGAATCTTGGTGTGAAAACCGGGGCATTAAAACTATGTGAGATCAAGCTGTCTCGGGTGAAGCTGAGCTCTGGGGTAAGGCACTCCAACGAGGCTGGAGGGGCAACGGTACCCAGGCTGCAACCCCGCGGTGGACTTTGGAGGTTATCGGTCACTAACAGAATGCGCTGGGGTTGCAAGGAAACAATGGTAAAGCATGCTAAAAGAAATTCACTTTACAAAGATAAGCTCCACTTCTATGGATATACACTGTACGAATACGTCATTCCTAATAGGTAGGTAGGTAAACAAAAGCCCCGCCATACCTAGGTCCAGACACGGACCACGGAGTATATATCGTGCCGAGAACCCATTGTTACGTAAGTATGGGGTCCTCAGGCAGTCACCATCTCTTATCAGATCCGCTCTCGCCTTATCTCCGCGACTTTGTGGAGACTCGCCCGAAACCAGCGACGTCGCTATGATTTCATCCTTGGCGATTTCGGTCGATTTAGCCACTCGGATTGGACTGACAGCCGAGCCCCGAGATCGCTTCTCCCCCATTCGCCATTTCTGTGAAAAGAGGACCCGCACTTCTTGACCCCAAGCTTTCTTCGGGCTTCCCACTACTTATTTTGCCATCGTGACTCGGAATTGAAAGCATTCGAATCTTTCCCTCAACACTCTTTCGCGAAAACCTTGACCAGCTTTCGTGTATCGCGATATCATCAAATTATCAAACATTATCTCCCACAACCGTCACGATGCTGTCCAGAACCATCCGCACGCTCTCCCGACGGGCACTGTCAACGCCTCTCCGCCCGTCCACTCTCACAACAACTCCCCGTGTGCTCGCACCGGCCGCTTCCATCGGTGCAACCCGCCAGTATCACGAGAAGGTGATTGACCACTACGCCCGGCCGCGGAATGTCGGGTCGATGGACAAGAAGGACCTCGACGTGGGTACCGGGCTGGTGGGTGCTCCGGCCTGCGGCGACGTCATGAAACTCCAGATCCGCGTGGACCCCGACACAAATACCATCGCCGACGTCAAGTTCAAGACTTTCGGGTGCGGGTCGGCTATTGCGAGCTCTAGTTACCTGACCGAACTGGTGCGGGGCATGACGCTGGACCAGGCGAGCAAGGTGAAGAACACACAGATTGCACAGGAACTCTGCCTGCCTCCCATCAAACGTGAGTGAATTTCGACTTCTACATTTTGATATATGTTCTGTTCCGTTATGGTCTAACGGTTTATCAGTCCACTGCTCCATGCTTGCCGAGGATGCCATCAAGTCGGCCATCTCCAACTACTACACCAAGAACCCGAATGCGAAGTCTACGAATCTCGGCGGTACCGAGATCAAGATTGACTCGGCGGCAGCTCCTGCTGCGGCGGCGTAATGCTTGAGGGCCGAGGAATATCAGATTGGTTGCCGAGAAGAGGCGTGAAGGAAGGCGAAGTCTTGGAGACAGTGCGTGATAGGCGAGGAAGATGATGCAAGCGGGTCCTTGGGGACTCATCCTTGGGAATTCACAGGCCGCCATTTGGCAATCGACTTCGGAAGGATCGGGCAAACGAGTATCTCATCAAGGGGACTTCTCTCTGGTTGGAGTTCAGGTCTGGGGAGCTAACTGCTTCTTCTCCTTTTGGTCTGTTGGAGCCAAAAGCCCCGGGGGTAAATTCCCCCATGTAAAGTGCATAGCAAAGATAAAATCAAGACAAAAACAATGAAAGTCGCCACCACTTGGTCCGCACGGTGTTGGTTGTGTTGGGTGTGACGGGAGGTTTCTGCAGTTGGAACAGCCACGGGCACCAACAACATCCGGGCAGAGCCAAAGACTCCAACGATGTCCAATCCGGTATTGGACACGATTGAGGTTTGACACAAAGGGGGTCGTGTCTCGGAGCCGAGCGGATTACCTGCATTCTCCCCAAAAATCGGGGATACTGGATGTTGCTCGGCCGTCCCCGGACCTGCCCCTCCCTAGTCATCCCTCTGCCCCTGAACAAGAGGCAAGTGGTTCATGCCTATACAATACAGACACAGCGGTGAGTAAGCGCAAACTTGTCACGAAATGCCATGAAACTGGGCAGTAGGAATACGGTGGTGTTTTGTTCCTCGACCTGCCGGTGACCTCTGTATCCAAGGATCGCCGACAGGTTGTCAACAACCTCCGCATATCGCCGGCGGAGGCATGGCCCTTGTAAAGTAGGGGCAACTCGGGGCCTCCAAATGAGTGTTAAAGCGCTATCTTGGGTGAGCTGCCACACTCGTAAGCCCGACGGTGTGGCACCAGCTATCTCTCGCCCCATGTCTGGTCTGAGGGGGCGTCGGATAAAACAACATCTTCAATTCCAATCGTATTTCTTCCTCAATTAGGTACAACCACGTATCGACAATGAATGCCCGCGGCAAATGTAAGGATGAGATCATTGAGTATGTATACTAATAATGCGCGTCACCCCTTAGAGCCTGGGCTCCAGGTCAAGGCTTCCAAATCTTGCAAATCCAGACATAACTCCCGATTCCAGACACGGTGACAGTTTCTTGCTCTCTTTGTGATATATATTACATAACCGACGAGATTCAATCCCCTTGTTAGCAGATTTAGTCCTCAAATAACAACGCCAGGGTCGTGAAAGACGTTGTTCTAAGAGCAAAGAAGGCATCAAAGGCTCTCGGCTCAAGGAATTTGTGCTACATTTACCAACAATAACGTTGTCCCGAGCCTTCAATGATGTTGTGAGATACTAAGAAGCATGTTACCAGCTTTACTTACAAAGATTCAAGTCTATATAATGCGTTATCGCGAGTCCCTGAATCCAAAATGGAGAAATCGCAACCTCAACACGCTCGAGCATCAACACCAAGAACACCCATATAGATCACGATCTGCACGACGCCTGTTCCACCTTAAACAGCTATCCAAGTCCCTGACGAGATGCACAATCCCAAGGACGGTAACATCCAGGAAGCTACACTGTTGAGCCGCAAGTTGGTGCCCAATGGCGAGCTAATCACCAGCCAGATGTCGTTCCGAGTCCCCCTGGATTACCGTCAACCCGAAGGCGACTACATTAACCTGGGTGCCACCATGGTCCACGCATTCGCCACGCCCGGCGAGAGCCAAGATAACGGTAAGTACCTCGACAACAAAAGTCCCATCTTCGTCTTCCTCTGTGGAGGCCCCGGCACAGCCAACGACCCCTTTCGCATCCCCGCCCTGAACCGGGCACTGCTGACGGGGACCTTCCTGCAAAACACAAAGTTCCAGGTCCTCTACCTTGACTACCGTGGTACCGGGCGCAGCGACCCCATCACGGCCAGCACCCTCGCCAGGCTCGGAGACGTCCGGGAGCAGGCCGAATACCTCATGCAGTTCCGCCAGGACAACACGGTAAGAGACCTCGAGGCGGCCCGCAAGTGCCTATCCGCCAAGCTCTGGAACGACCACAACCGACCCTGGAGTATCATGGGCCAGTCATACGGCGGCTGGATCGCCCTCACGTACCTCTCCCTCTGCCCGGGCGGCCTCAAGGAGGTCTTCCTAACAGGCGGCCTCGCCCCTGTCGGCCACACCCCGGACGAGGTGTACGCCGAGACATACCGCCAAGTGCGCGCCCAGAACAGGGCCTTCTTCGCGCGGGACGCCCGCAACGGGCCCCGCGTCCGCCAGGTGGCGCTGCACATCCTGACCACGGGCAACAACCGCATCCGCCTCCCGAGCGGCGGCACGCTGACGGTCCAGCGGCTCATGCTGCTCGGGCGCGCCCTCGGCGGCGCGACGGGGCTCGACGACGTCGAGAGGCTTGTTGCCACCATGGCCGCCGAGGCGGCGTCGGCGGGCGCGCTGTCGCGGCGGACCCTGGAGCGGTTCGACGCCGCCGTCAGGCTCGCGGGGCGGCCGCTGTACGCGGCGCTACACGAGGCCATCTACTGCGACGGGCCGGGCGTGGCGTCTCGGTGGGCGGCGCAGCGCATGGGCCGCGGCGTCTTCCAGAGTAGTCCCGAGTACTGGTGGCTGCGGGGGGGACCCGTGACGGCGGCGCAGGTTGGTAATGAGAAGAACATGTTCTTCGCAGGAGAGATGATTTACCCGTTCCACTTCGATACGTTCGCTGAGCTGGTTGCCTTCAAGGACGTTGCCGGCGCTGTGGCCGCCCGCACCGACTGGCCTGCTCTGTACGACCAGGCTCGGCTGGCGGCTAACACCGTGCCTGTTTGCGCCGTCGGGTATAGCAAGGACATGTACGTCAGCGCCCGGCTGGGTCAGCAGACGGCCTCCAAGGTTAGGGGGCTCAGGTACTTTGAGTCTCCCGACCTTGCGCACGATGCCATCCGGACCAACACCGACCTCGTCCTGGGGTATCTTGTCCGGATGAGCCAGGGCCTTCCCGCTCGGGGTTAGTAGGACGGGCGCTGCTTGCTATCGCTTTTCTCCCTCGTGATTTCTTTGCTCATAAGTGAGTCTTTACCGGAAGTTTGGATACGTAAGATATATACCCCTTTCTATCCCTTTTGTTGGCGAGTTGGTTGAGATATCGGATGAACTATACACGGAGTTATGGAATTATACACGGAGTTATGGCTTACACTGCTCTCGATCGTTAATTGTGAGTATCTTGACTGCTGTAGCCCGTGGCTCAAAATGTCGCCTTGGTAGTTGTCTCGTGTTGTTCTGTGAGCTATGGTACGAGCAGGCGTGGAAGGGTTCGGGGCAGTTGGGTTTCGAGACTTGTAGCGTTCTCTCTTTTCTTCTCCCCTTTCTTCTTCCTTCCCCCCGTTGACTTGATCATCTTTTGGAACCCCCGATTGGAAGGGGCAGTAAAACAACTTGACGTAAGCGAAGACCCGGAACGGTCAGGAACGGATAATTGGACGACCAAATCGCAAAGTGATTCACCGACGCCAGGACTGAAGTGAATGTAAGGAGAACCTCACTGTGGTCCACCCTATATATACCCCAATACCAAAGAAGCTTCCATAGGCACTTCGTGATGACTCCGCTTGTTCACCGGGACATTTGGCGTAACGGGTGTTCTTACGGAGTAAAAACCACTTGCGCAACTGCGAAAGTGGTTTTTCGTGCCCGATGACCTGTCTTCGACTCGGCTCATCGGCAAGCTTTTTGCTATATTTCCACCCATGATCTATGTTTTTCTTACCCTTTACATCTTTCTACATTTTTCTACATTTTTTCCACTGGCTCAATTATTTTTACTGAGTCGGGGGGGGGGGGGCGGCGAGCAGTTACTGTGACGCATACATCGCGGCATCCTCAAATAGGGGCAACATATGCCACATGCATCCCGACCATCTTCGCAACCCTTTCACTCGATAAGTCACACCCCAAAAGGACAAACACAGGCTATAAACATATAACCTCTCCCCAAATCAAGCCACCTCACACTCAATGACCCCCTCAACGCCATTCCCCGGGTTCCATATCCCACGAATCTTCAGCCCGCACCGACCCTCCAACAACTCGCGCCAGTCCCCCTCCGTACGCTCCCTCGACCCAAACAGTCCCATCATATAGATATCCGCAAACGTGGCCTCCCAGCTAGCCCCGACAGGCGGGATGACATGCTCATTAACGACAAGCCTACTATACCCCGGCTCCATGACCTCCACAATGCGACCCACGATCTCGACGCACCGGTCATCAGGCCAGTCGTGCAGCACCGAGTGGAGGTAATACGCCCTCGCGCCGCGCACCGGCTGCTCGGCGAAGAAGTCGTGCGCCATGCGCTCGACCCGCCCGTCCAGCCCGTCGGCGGGTATCGCCGCGACGACGGCCGGCCGGTCCTGCAGCACCAGGCGGCCAGCCGGCGGCGCGTCGGGGAAGGCCCGCAGGAAGAGCTCCAGGTCGTGACCCACGCTGCCGCCCACGTCGACGAGCAGCGCCGCCGAGGGGGAGGAGGGGACGAAGCCGTCGATCAGGTTCGCGCGCGCGGGGTACACGGCCGGGTCTACCCAGCTGGGGCGGCCGAGGCGGTAGCCGCCCATGTGGTTGTTGAAGATGGCGCCGAAGGGCGGCTTGGCGGCGACGTACTCGAACAGCGTCATGTCGGTCTGGTTGCCGAGGGTGAAGGCGCTGTCGCGGGGCCTGGACGGGGCCTTGTAGTCGTTCTTCTTCATCCACTGGTCGAGGCGGAGCATGGGGACCAGGCAGACGGATCGGCTGCGTTTCCCAGGATTAGTGGGGGTCTTGCACGGGAGGTGGGAAAAAAGGGGGAGGGGAGGAAGGAGGAAAAGGAGAGTGTGATGGCGGCTTACTAGAACGGGTAACCGGCATTAACAAGGGGAATCGTCAGGGCCTTGGAGAAGTTGTTAGGCTTGAACTCGTCGACGTCCGTCTGGATGATGTATCCCATGGCAACAAGGTGCCTCAGGATGCGCCCTGTTTTGATGCATCAGCTCAGTCGCGGCAGTCAAGGAGCAGGAGAGGAAAGCCAATGAGCATACTCAGGGGGTCAAGGTCAAACTCCAGCTGCGAAGCAAGCTCTTGCACTGTCTTTGCACTCCCATCATTCTTCGCCATCAGATCGAACAGGCCAACGTCGATGCCCAGAGCTATACAGATGAAGGCGAGAGGTTGCGCGCCGACGTGCTTGAGCATGGTCTCTCGGGGAGTCTCTAGAGCTCGGACGAGATACCTTGCTTTCTCAAGCAGGTCAAGGCGAGCATTGCGGTCGGCCGAGAGGTCTCGCTTGCTTCCCAGCGACGAGATGTCGTTGAGCAGTCCGGGAACACTGCCGGCATCGCATGGCAAAGAAGCGATGGAGATGTCGACAGGGGCTCCCTCATCTCGTTGGAGGAAAGGAGATGCAGGCATGATCTTGATTCCGTGAGCTAATATGGTGACCCTTGGGGTATTTTCAGACTCCGGATTGAGCTCTCGGTCGCAAGGCAGCGAGCCCCAGGAGACGAGGGACACACCGGCTTTAACCTTGTCTGCTTCAGCCACACTCTCCTGAGATGCATTTGGTGGTGCACAGAAGAGCAGGTGACCTCGAACAACTTCCAACGTCCTCACATCCAACACGACAGGCTGTTTGCTTGTCACCTAGAGGAGGGGAGACACCCACGAACCCACCCACCATCGGCAGCACCATCGGCAGCAGCATAAGCTAGCAGACTGGCTTCTCACAGAGGCGCACTTGCCCTTTGCTCTCAACATGCCTCGCTGCTCGGATTGCCGATGAATGTCAAGTCACCGAAGGTATAACACAGCGGAAGATGGGGGGTCGCTTAGGGATGGGACATAGTACTATGCGTAGATAAATAATAGCAACCACATACCCCTCCCCGTGCCGTGTCCAGTCAAGCACAGCTCAGCTCAGCTTGTGTAGCCTCAAATTCCATATTGCCCCTGTTCGTCCACCACCAACGCTGCACAAGTGACCAATCCGGGTGTTGGAACCCGTCTACTGTCTAGACCGGCTGCAAGTGGGGACCAGGTATTTCACACCAAACGCCATGTGGCATGTTGGTTCAGTTCCATGCTTTGCCAGGTAGGTAGGTAGCCACGCCGCAAGGGATGGGCAGGACCATGAGTAGGTAAGACATACATGTGGCGCCTCCCTTGCAGTTGGTCGAGAAAGGAATGGGGCCGATCGAGGCCTAGCCTTGCGATACATCCATACGGAAGTACTGTGCCGTCAATTTTAATCGAACATTTGGAAGAATCAATCCCATCAGTGCGTTAAAAGGGAGTAACAGGCTGGCTTAGGTAGATTTTACACCTGCAAAGACCTGCCGGCGATTATGTCACAACTATCCTCTAAAGCCACGTCCGCATACCCTCGCGTTCCCCTCATTTTGCCTTGAATTAGCTGGTGTCCTCACCCGGGCTGGGTGGGCTGCACCGTGGGTTCCTCCTGGTGCCGTATCCGGTGAATGGGGGATGCGCCGGCGAATGCGGAGGGTTCCTGCGTTCCATCGAATCCGGTGCCGTCGCGGACATGTTTGGTTTTGGCTTCCTCCCTCTTCGCTCGTCGTTTCTGAGCTCTAATCTGGTTATGCTCCTCGGCAGTTAAAGGCCTCGGAGCTCGTGCGATGCGTCCAAGGCAGCACACGGTTAGCTCCACAGAAAGATCTATATCAGGATGGCGGCATGCAAAGTGCTCGCAAACCGTAGTAGGCGTCGTTACCGGCAGTGTGTAGAGAAGCCCAAGGGATCCGAAGAGAGGAGAGGAGCTCCACGAGAGAGTATCGGTAATGCAGTTGAAGGGGGAACTGGGCCGCCTTGAGGACATCAATGACATATAGGGGCGGGGGGTCAAGGCAGAGAAGCCTCACGAATTCGAGGTCTGTAGAGCTTCCTCCGTAAGAAACCAGGACGTAATCTCGACCCTTCTCCAAATAGAAATCTTCGCGAATGCTGTTCAGAGTGCCTGTTTTGTCCAACCTGGTAATGGTATGTCTTCATCAGATTTTCCAATGTTGACTGATCTAGGGCGGGGAGTGTAGGAAGTGACTGCCCAGGCACAGGGACAGGGAAGGATTCCAGGACCAGGCCTTGCTGCCGCCGTGTATTCAGAATAGCGAGTACAAGTTGTAGCCGATGGTCATCGACAAGCTCCTTGTATCCATCGCCTGTATCGACATCAACTGAGACGACAAAACGTCCTTGATAGAGCAGCTAGGGAGGTCGTTTCCTGAATCAGTAGTCGCAATTGGACTAGAACTTGAACCTGAACTTGAGTATCTAAGGAAGCAAAGGAACAATGGCGTGGTCGGTGGGTGATGGAGTGGTAATTACTCCAGTCAAGCCACATGCGATTCGAGCTAGAATCTTTTGGTGCCAGCGGTAGTACGTGAGTCATCTTTTCCTCCAGTTAGTTTTAGGAACTAGAAATGGGCTTCACAACAGGAAACAAAAGGTAAAATTTGTAGTTCAAAAGAAACGTTAATGAACGCATGAAGCAGTTGCTGGAGGTTTTGCTGGTTCATTCTGGGGAAGATCGGCAGCAAGTGCGTCATAGTTGCAAATGCTTGGCAAGACATTGACCAACCACAGCGCCCCTGATTACCACCCACCCCTGCTGCATCATGTTCAGCCATGGACGCCATTGCGTGATACAAGGTGCTTTGCGGGTTACCATGTCACCTCCAAGTTGGGCGGCATTAATAAGTATATCACGTATGTGTGGCAGTGCGGCATACTTCTCCCCCCCTCTTTCCTTTCCTCGACCACGACGCCCTCCGGTACAAGCCCATGAATAAGACAGCCTTTCTCCGCCCAGTGGTGCCCTTGTCACGATATCTTGTTCCACGACAGCAACAGCAGCAGCAACAGCAGCTGTTACCCCGCATTCTCGCACTTCCACTGCCAAAGACCCCGCTCTTTCCACGGCCCCTCTCGACTGCCACTCGAGCCATGGCCCAAGAATACAAGATCAAAGATCTCACCTCGCTGTCCCTCAAGCCAGGAGACAAGCAGGAGGTCGAAGTCGAAGGGCTGGACTCGAAGGTGCTCCTCGTCAACGCAGGAGGCCAGATCCAGGCCATTGGCCCGAAATGCACCCACTACGGAGCGCCGCTGGTTAATGGAGTCTTGTCGACAAACGGGCGGTTGACTTGCCCGTGGCACGGAGGTAAGCTTTGGGATACCCCCGTCCGGGGCATGGGAAACAGGATTGGACGTCGCTGACCTGGTCACCCACCGACAGCATGCTTTAACACCAAGACTGGCGACGTCGAAGACGCCCCCGCCCTCGACGCCCTCCCCGTTTTCAAGGTAACTGAGCGTGCCGGCGCCGTGTACCTGACCGGCGAGGCCGAGACCATCAAGAGCGGCCGCCGCAAGCCGACGCTGAAGAAGAACAAGACCGCCCCGGGTGCCTCGAAGGCCGAGAAGGTCGTCGTCGTGGGCGGCGGGTCCGGAGCTTGCGGCGTCGTCGAGGGCCTGCGCGAGGCGGGCTTCCAAGGCGGCATCACCCTGATATCCTCCGAGGGCTACCTGCCCATCGACCGGACCAAGCTGAGCAAGGCGCTGCTGACCGACGTGAGCAAGCTGCAGTGGCGGGACAAGGCGTTCTACGACGAGGCGGCCATTGAGATTGTGGGCGACGAGGTGACGGAGGTGGACTTCCAGGGCAAGACCGTCTCGACGAAGAAGGGCGACAAGTTCCCGTACACAAAGCTCGTCCTGGCGACCGGCGGGACGCCCAGGGCGTTGCCCCTGCAGGGATTCAAGGTACTGGGCAACATCTTCACCCTCCGCACTGTGAATGACGCGAAGAACATTGTCGATGCCATTGGCGAGAAGGGCAAGAAGATCGTGGTCGTCGGCTCGTCGTTCATCGGGATGGAAGTGGGCGGCGCCACTGCGGCCAACAACGACGTCACAATTGTCGGCATGGAAAAGGCGCCGCTGGAGCGCGTCCTCGGCGAGAAGGTCGGCAACATCCTCCGTAAGGGCATGGAGGGCAAGGGCCTCAAATTCTACATGAACGCCGGCGTCGAGAAGGCAGAGCCGTCGACGTCCGATCCCAGCAAGGTGGGCTCGGTGCACCTCAAAGACGGCACCAAGCTCGAGGCGGACATTGTCATCCTCGGCGTGGGCGTGGCACCGGCGACGTCGTTCCTGCGGGACAACAAGGCCATCCAGCTGGAGCAGGACGGCTCTCTCAAGACGGATGAGGCCTTCTCTGTGGTTGGCATCAAGGACGCCTACGCCATCGGCGATATCGCCACGTATCCCTACAACGGGCCTGGCGGCAACGGCAAACTCACCCGAATCGAGCACTGGAACGTGGCCCAGAATGCGGGCCGCACTGTCGCCAACCACATCGTGGAGCCGAACAGGAAACCGCAGTTCTTCACGCCCGTGTTCTGGTCGGCTCTGCACTCGCAGCTGCGCTACTGCGGGAACACGACTAGCGGCTTCGACGACGTGGTGATGCAGGGGAACCCGGACGAGGGCAAGTGGGCGGCGTTTTACACTCTCGGAGAGACGGTGGTGGCGATGGCTAGCATGGGGATGGATCCTTACATGAGCCTGAGCGCGCAGCTCATGAGGTTCGGGAAGATGCCAGGCAAGACGGCATTGCGGGACGGACTGGACCTGCTGAGCTTAGGACCCCCTGAATAAGGAGGGATAAGGGAAGGAAGCCAGAGTTGGGGAGCTGGGCAGTGAGTGGGATGGAAGCCTGGGTTTGGGAGCTAGCATCCCTTGCGTCTTCCCACCTTCTTTCACCATCCTAGAAGCATTCCATAGGTACCTACCTACCTGACGATCCATTTCGATGACCAGTTTCCATTATTGTCTTTTCATTTTTTTCATCGTATGTTTTCAGTCGCCTTGAGAACCAATGCCACTGGTGGAAGTCCTGCTTCCTACCTTTGTCAGTAATCGTAGTGGGACAATGAGCAATCTGTCTCGCCGAGTCGAATGCCCTGTGCAAATAAATCCCACTTGCTTGATGACACCTTTGGCATCTTAATCCCATCACTTTCACTTCCCTTCCATTCACCTTTGCCCAAATCAGCTTTCTCCCCGGTGCAGAATTTTCCATTTCTGCTTCCGGACGTTGGCAATCGTCTCCTCAACCAATGTCGGGAAAGAAACCTTTTAATCTTTGATCTTTGCTCTTCGCCATCCAATTGCTTCTTTCTCCATCGGCATCGCCAATATCACCGCTCAATTGATTGCTTGTAATTATCACCACCGCCCAACATGGAGTGGGAGCGGGAGCAGGATCGGGATGTGCTCAGCAAGCTCCCACCCGAGATACTCGTCATGGTCTTCGAGTTCTGCCCCACCCTCCAATGTGCCCACAACCTGATCCACGCCTCCCCCGCGGCGGCCCGCGCCTTCGCCCACCACGGCGGCGCCATAGCCGAGTCCCTCGTGACCAGCACACTCCCGCCGGTCCTCCGCCCGCTCGCCCGCTCCGTCGCCGTCCTCCGCACCGCCAGCCCCGACCGCCTCCCCTTCTCCGCCGACGCGTACGAGCAGCAATTCGTCGCCGGCCGGGTCGGCGACCGCGTGCTGGCCGACCTCCTGGACACGACCTCGTCGCCGCGCCGCGTCCTCGCCTGGGCCGCCCGCGTGTCCGGCCTCGAGCGCGCCGTCCTCGCCCGCCTGCTCCGCGACGCCCACCTCGCCACCCCCTACCGCCTCCGCGACCCGTCCTTCCGCTACCGGGCCGAATCCCCGCACCTGCAGTTCCCCGCCGGCGTGCCCCTCATAGCCCGGCCCCGCGCCGTCTCCCCGTCCGAGCGCCTCCGCGTCCGCCGCGCCCTCTGGCGCCTCGCCACCGTTTTCGCCATGCCGCCCGCCCGCATCGCCATGAAGGAGCTAGCCTGGGGCTCGGGCTCAGGCTCCGGCTCCGGCTCGACCTCCACGCCCCGAACCCCGGGTTCCGACCCCTCCACCAACAACAGCAACAACAACCCAGCGGACGCCTTCCGCTGGGGCTCCTGGGGCTCCGCCGCCGCCGACTCCCTCAACCCAGACTACGAGTACCAGCGCCTCCTCCTCCCGCCCGTCTGGCGCGGCATGCCCGCCTTCGAGCGTCAGGAGCTGGCCTGCGTCTACGGCTGCCTGCGCGACCTCCTGGGCGGCGCCTCGCCGCTGCTGATGCTCGGCCGGCCGGCCGCCGGCGCAGGCGCTAGTCGCATCCTCGGCAACTACTACGACTACGAGCACGACCACGACTACTACGACGACTACGACGACCTCGAACACGACCACGACCACGACGACCGAGCCATCGCCGAAGACGAAGCCGAAGCCGGCGAGGCCGAAGCCGGCGAGGCCTACGCCGTCAACCGCGGCCTGGCCATGTACCTGTCCTTCCTCGCCACGGGCGCCAACCCCCCGTCCCCGCTGCGCAGGCTGGGCATCTCCGACTTCCGCGTGTTCCGCCACCTCGGCGTCGGCATCTGGGACGCGGCCCGGCTCGTCGACCTGGGCCTGTGCCTGGCCTCCGCGGCGACGGGCGACGACGACGACGACGGCGACGACGCCGGCGGAGGAGGAAACGTCACGATGGACCAGGTCATGTACACGTGGAGGAGTGTCCTGCTGACCGAGCTGGAGAAGGGGCGCTCGGGCGTCGAGTTCTACTCGTCGCCTGGGTGTGGGATGCAGATGGCCTGGTGGCGAGCCCATCTTGCCGGGCGGCCGTCCCGGCAGGGGTTTTCCGGTTGATGGGCGCGCGGGTTTCTCTTTGTTGCTGCTGTTGTCTCATGCTTCATGGCCGGGCCTGAGGGAGGACGATGTTCCTCTTTGCTAACTGTTGCTTGGCGTTCAAAGGCCGGTTGGCTGGAATGGGGATCACGGAACTACATGTCTGGGTTTTAGAGAGGAGAGAATAACAATAATGTGTCAGAGGGGATGTCATGAGTAGCCTGTCTTGGGGTGAATTAGGGAGACTCGCCAGGCTACAAGCTTCAGTCGATAGCTTCCATTTAGTTCAACGCTCCCGTCGTTTCTCCTAAAGCTTATCGTGACTATACCCGCTCCACCTACATACAATTACCAGGCCACTTACCGGTAGTAATGTCACATGGGAGGATGCATACGTGAGGCGTGCTCTGACCAAGCATCGGCAAGGGGTGCAGGAAAAGAAGGTTTGCAAAGGACGACCTCGCCTCCCAAAGATCCTGTCCCACCGCTCTCTCCACTCTTGCTAACGTGGATTCTGGCGTATATATCAGGGTTTCCGCAACTCTGATGCAGTCGATATTAGGCTTAGCTTAGCCTTGCCAGTCCCATCCACCGAGCTCCGGCCCATCGCTGTATGCTCGGGATGTTCGCATGATATCTCTAATATCCGGACCATCTGAGAGCCTCGGCTACAACTGTTGAGAAGAAGTTGACCCTGAGCAGCGGCTCAGGGATCGCGAGACATTTCCTCATTCCTCATTAAAACCCCATCTCGAGCCCAACGGTCATATTAACCGGGACGCACCGCCTCCCCAAAGGGGATATCACAGCCATGCAGGCCTTGCATGGCATCTAGTCCAAATGTACCTAGCAAACAACCACTCGGTTCATTCACCCAGATCCCATACCGCCGTTGAGCAGCGACCAGTACGTCGTGTCCACGCCCTGGAATGCCCAGTCGTCGCCCTCCGCCATCAGGTCCGGGAAGAGGAGATTCTCGTCCTGCGGCTCGAACTCCATGTACATACCGTTCGCCACGTAATCGCCCGGCGAGAATTGCGGTTCCTCTATCGTTGTGTTGAAGTCCATAGCCTGCTCGATGCCCCCGGTCGCGAGAGGCTTAAGGGGGGCGTCCGGGGCGTGCTGCAGGCCATTGGCACTAGAATTGGCACACAGCATGTGGGCTGCATCTCCGACCGTGAGACCCTCCGCGAACGGCGCCGCCGCCGCCTTGGCAGACGAGTTGGGGTGGATGCTGATGGTGCCGAGGTACGGGATGGCGAGGTGCAGGCGCTCCAGTGCCGCGCTGCCGCACTCGGACACGCTGTGGCCGTGGCCGGCGCTCTGCGCTTCGAGGATGACCATGAGCTGGCCGACCATGTCTGCGGATTCGCGCGAGAGCCTGTCGTGGTTGACGATGGCGACATGTTCCATCCTCTCGCGAACCACCTCCACCAGTTTCCTGTCCTCTTCGCGCTGGCCACAGGTCGCGAGGGGCTGCGGGTTGGCCGACGTGCCCGGTTTCGGGCTCAGGTAGCTCAGCAGCAGCGTCATGGCCGCCATCAGGGCCGCGTAGTCGATGTGGCGACAGGCAAAAGCAGAGCTGATTAGCGACCGGAAGCTGATGAATCGCTTGAGCACCTCACGGCTGGATCGTACGCATGTCGCCTTGCTATAATCGTACCGACTCTCGGATGGGTCGCGCAGTAGGTAGGGCAGATGGAGCAGGACCAGGAGACTGAAATGGTGAATCTGAAGGTTCAGATGGCAGGTTGATTGCGCTATTTGCGCGGGCGTTGCGAAGGGGTTCAGCAGGGGCTCCGCCCACCACTGCCGAGCCATGTTCTGGGCAGCTGCCTCGAGGTCGCAGTCTATGATCTGGGTTGTTGCGTATGCTTGAGGGGTCTTGTTCGAGTTGCGATCAATGATCCTGCCTGCAATAACGGTATGGAACTTTTCCAACTTCTCGGCTGGCGTGTCTCGTGCAGTCGCTTCGTCTGAGGCGAAGCTATTATCTTGAGCGCCAATGGGGAGACCCAGAACTAGCGAGAAGTAGCGATCGCAGAAGATGATCCGGTACCACAAGCTCTCAGGTGATGGCTGTAGCTTCGAGTTGGACCTAGGATCTGCTGATTTGAGAGCATGCGAGCCTGCTCGATCGATCCCCATGAGCTGTCCTAGGCTCAATGCTCGGCGGTAGCTGAGCCAGGCTTTTCGTAGGTTTCCGGCATTTGCCTGCCAGACGCCCTGGAGGATGAGGCACTCGAGACCTTCGGCGGTACCGATAACCTCATCGTTGGATGTCACGAGATCTATGACGGTCGACACGATATTGGCCATGGTCTGCGCGATGGTAGACTTCATGACGAGGTTTTCCTTGTCAAACGCCGGCGGTAATTGCTGCATGCAGATTGAAACCTGCAGAAGGCGCCTCGCCAGGACCGTCGGGTGGCTCGATACTGGAGGAATAAGAGTAAGATGGCTGAGCGGTTCGGAGTTGCCCTCCGTGATATCTTTGTTACTGTAGAACAGGCTCGTCACGAAGAGGACTCCGGGGCTTTCCCGGACGATGGTGTTCATGTCTTGTTGGTCGGGAAACAGGCCTTGCAAAATTCTACACACCCGTTCGTATCCCTGGGCTGGAACTCTCTCAGATTCCATGTTTGCCGCCTGTGCCGACTCCGGGGTGAGCATGGCTGGAGACGACTGCGACGCCGATCCTCGGCTGTGCACGCCAGCAAGTAGCCCGGCAGGAATAGCAGGGGAAAGCGAGCCGTTGGGAACATTGACCGGCTGGCGTACGGCACCCGGAGCGGATATGGAAGGAGATGCCGAGACCCCCGAAGCCATGTCTAGGTCAGTAGTCACGCTCGCATCGGGCACCATGCTCTCGACGAGCTTCTCCATCAGCTCTTCCAGCCGAGCCAGGCGTTGAGCCAGGCGGCGGTCCGGGGCCGGCTCCGCGTGTGACGCATCGACGAATTCCTGACTCCGGCACGCGGAGCCTCGGGCCCGACATGGGATGCAGCTGGCGTTCGCGTTCGCGTTCGCGTCATCCTCCGAGGCAAACTGGCATCGGATCTTGCGGCGCCGGCCTACTTAGCGTCAGCACACCGAGCTCTGAATATTCTTGGTCCGAGAGCAGGTGCAGCACACACATTCCCAGCAGCTATGTGTCCCCTTCCGGACCTTCCTTCTCTGGGAGTCGGCTGCTGTTCTTGGAGACTTGGCCGACATGGTGGGGCAACACGAAAGGATATGAACACCAATTGCTACGAAAAAGGCGAGCCTCTCTCTCTCCACAGTTCAGGGAGCGAGATTTCCCTGGAAACCCCATGTATTGTTGCGTAAAGGGAAAAGGCGAACATGTGGTGCTCAATTGCAAGGTAAGAGCAATCAATGGCTTGGTCTGATTCGTCAGCGTCGAAATATTTCGTCCGTTTCGGACCCCGACCTCGGTCGATTCCGCACAAAGTTCACGCCTAACAAATTTGTTTTCGGAAGCAACTGGTCATTACCAGATGGACCTCTTAGTGTAAGCATCTGGTTAAGTAGGTACTTACTGACGTGGTTTTGGATCATCGAAGCCGTCGCCGCGGTTAAGAATGATAATGGCGTTGGAAACCCTCCTTGATTCGAGCCGACAAGCAACGCTACTAGCGATTGGAGACAATCCTGTCGCTTGAGGGTTGCTTACTCGTTGCCGATTCGTAGTTGTAGAGTCTGCCTCTTGGTCCTACAGTGTCCTGCAAAGGGGTTAAGTGCGAGGATGAGGGCGTCGAGGTATTGGACGAGAGTGGTTCCGAGCTTCTCCTGGGCTATCTCAATCCTGGATTTGCATGTGTTGCCTGTGAATTGTCCATTCGTATCTTCATGCATTACGCCAGCTGCTCTGATGGAACGCATTCCGCCCTCGTCGGAGACAACTGAATTCGGCCAGGTTGATCAAATCCCATGCCCGCTCATTGGAAGGGGTCAACGGTCGGCGGACGGGCAAGTACCTATGGTTACGTACGGGGTAAGCAATCAGGGGTGAGGGAAGAAATCAGTTCATATTTATTGCACGAAAACATCTGGGGATAACCGTTTATTAGGAAATAGCCTAAGACTAGTTACCCCTGGAACGGTCACGATCACGATCATCGGATCATTGATAGGGCAGGCAACCATCCCCTCCCTGCATGGTCTGCTAAATGCGCCTACATGCCTACGTGAAGCGTTCCAGGTTCCATCCGCAAGAAAACAAACTCTTTCCTTTCACCCCCTTGAATCAAGCCTGGGCATGGGCTCCGTGGAATCCCAACCCGATGGCAAACCCGACCTCAGCCTTGCCCAGCTCCTTCATGGTGCGGGCGTCCAGGCAGAGGAGGTAGCTCGTGGCCGCCTCCCCGTCGAGCACGACGCTCAGCAGCACGCCGTCGTCCTCGTCGACGGCTCCCGGGCGCCCCACGAAGATGGCCTCGCCGGGCGTGTGGCCGGCTGGGGTGTTCCACCAGAGGGCCTCGCCCGTGTCCATGTCCGTCTTGGCAATGGTATCGACCAGGGTGCTCAGGCCGCGGTTGGCCAGGCCGTAGCAGTAGCGGTGGCGCTTGGTGGAGAAGGCCGGGTTGATGGTCGGTAGCTCGCCGCAGTGAGGGCCCGCGATCGACACGACGGTCTCGGGCTTGAGCTGCGGAGGGATCTGAGCCTTGCTCCCGGGGGTTCCGCCGGCGACGTTGACGGGGACCCGGACCTTGTGACGGACCAGGGTGGCGTTGGTGTCGTGGACGCGCTGCTCGCTATCCCAGAACTTCTGCGTCGCGCCGTTCTTTTGGGTGATGGTGTCGTAGTAGAGGGCACGCAGGACATCGGTCGTGGCGTACTGGATGACGTCGCAGAACAGGCTGACGGTGCCATCCTTCTCATCCTGCTCATCGGTCTCCTCGAACGAGTTGACCGTGTGGAAAAAGAACCCGGCGGGGGTCTCAAACTCGGCAACCACGCCGCGGCCGTGGAGGCGGTCGATGACGAACCACTTGCACTTGTCGTTCTCGTCGAATGGCTTGATGGCGTCGAGGACGCTGCGCTCCCAGGCGATCTTCAGCCCGTTCCATGCGATGTGGCTGCTGGGGATGCAGATAATGGCGAAACTCGGCGAGAGGTAGAAGCTGTGGATGTACGACGGGCTGAGTCCGGCCCGCTGGATCACGGCCAAGATATCAGTCTTGCCGGTCGCCGCGCTGACGCGGAAGATGCGGTACACGGCATCCTTTCCAAAGTTCTGGTTGAAGTTGAACATGTCGCCAGTCATGGGGTCGCGTTGCCCGTGGGCGCAGGAGAGCGGACCCTTCAGATCCGGGTGCAAGGTGGCCTGCGTGGCGAAGCCGATGGGTTCCAGAGTCATGGGATCAATCTGCCGGTAGCTCGAGGTGTCGGTTGCCAACCAAACCGACGCGGGATAGCCAGAGCGGTGGCCAAGGTTCTGGCCCGGCTCGGGCGATTTCCCATTCGGCTTGTCCTCCTTGGTACCAGTGCCAAACCCGGGAGGGCTGACTTGAACGGTGACACAGACGTTCTCGGAGGATGGGCGTCCAGGCTTGGGGATTGCGGCATAGAAGGCTGCCATGAACTTGGAAAACAAGCCCATGCAGGGGTCATTGCGCTGTCCAAAGGTGTACACGGCATGTCGACCGCTCTGCTGGATCTGCTGCATCAAGGCCTCAGATTGGCGGCGTGACGAGTACATGACAGTGGCATGCTCATCACCAGAAGCAATGATATCAAATCGATGGGTGTGGGCAAGGCCATCAAACCAATGTGAGATCGTGTATTTCCCCTGGGAAGTGTCGTTGATCTCGAATATGCCGGGACCGGTGCGGTAGAGGGATCCCGCAGCCCAGGAAGGGATACTGCCGTGGACCTTGATCTCAATGGGGCCTTTCTCTTCCTTCAGACCGTCAAATCCTGCGTCGTTGGGCCACTCACGGTACATCTCGGTCATGACGTGCTTCACAGCCTGCTCCAGGTCGGCTTTTTCATCATCGGCAGTGCGCCGGATTGGCTCACCGGGGGTCATTTTGGCTCCGATGATTATTGTTGTCGTTCTGAGGGATGTGAACAATGATGATGAGAGTCGTGGACAAGGATGATTTAGGTGAGGTCTGGGAGGTCGGGGAGGTCGAGGGAAGCCGGGAGAAAGGAAAACAAGTACTTGGGGCCTGGGCACAGGGCACCCCTAGCGTGAAGTACTCAGTATTGAAGGTGAGGTGAGAGTGAAGGAGTATGGGGTATGGCCGTATGGGGCCCGTAGGGGGGGGCTACCTTGTAGCTGCACAACAAAGGATGGCGGGTGCTATGTTTGGCAACCTGACTAGACAAAGATCCAGCTGTCCAGAGGACATCTGTAGGCACCTAAGAAATAAACAAAAGAAGAGGCTCCAAGTATCGAAACAATTCCCTGGCATCGAAGGATTCAGAGCCAAAGCAAAGTCACTAGTGAATTCTGACTCCCGTCCCTATATCTGAGTTCGGCTTGCTCGACCCCCCAAACCCCCCACACGGCGCCGGGCGGCTGACCGATTGTCGAGGTTTGCGCAGACCCAATGACCGGTGATGATGGCGCCGGAGACAGACAGGGCCTAGTGAAGTTGTGGGCTGCAAAATTCGCTCAGGGAAAACAACAACCACTTTGCCAGACATAGCCGCCATTCGGGGATGCAGTTGGCTATTTATACTACCAGGCGCCAACTACCTAGCCTCCTGTCCCCCCATGCCTCCCCAATGCGGGGATCCCACCCTTCCATATCAGGCCCCAGAACGTGGGAACGGAGAATGTGGTGGTGGGTTACCAAGTTTGCCACGCCAACTGGACGCACCAACGAGCCTATCCGACTGGATGGGAGACTCGTTAGCACCGGGCAAACTGTCCTGGTTGTAGCACCGAACCGAAATAAATGACTGAGGTTGTTCTGCCTGACGCAACTCTCCATTTCTACTTCGTTCATCATCTTCCAATCGGGTCCCTCGCGGCTTCGGCATGGGGCTGAACCATGTGCCCGGACGCTAATCTCGCACTCGGACTCGCTAGATCAGGCTGAAGGCGCAACCAGGGGTGGCACAAAACCGCCTGTAACTGGACGGATTCTCGCTAAATTCGACAGCACGGAGCTGGCACCTTCCAAGCTTAGTGCACAGGCGTTACTGATGCGGTGGTATTCAGGCACGTGGCATGGAGGGTATTGAGGCTACCTGCATGTAACCTTCCAACTTTTCCAACATATATGTACAAAACTCCCGAGTCTTCGCTTTGGATGAACATTCCTGATCTGACTCCAATTCAGATGACGAGGAGTGCCTACCGCCTGATATTCTCCCCCCTCACAAACCCCATGTTCCCTACTAGTCTCGTATTTGACTTGCCCTAGTGGCATTCCGTCATTCCAGGGGGCTAGACCAGAGAGTCTAGCCGCCGGCTCAAAACATCCGAGCGGTTCATCTCGGCCGGCGCCCCGTGCTTCTGCAAGAGGAAGTATTGGCGCACGCCACCGGCCTGCTACGTGCGTACCGGACCGGACCGAGACCCACTCCGACATGACCCCGCTTCGGGGGGTCCAACCTCATATCCGAACTATGGTGCACATAAAATGAGCAAAATGAGCACCAAAGTATCCATCATCTGGGCGAAATTTCGGTTGGCTCATCTACGTGATACTGCGGTTGATTATGTAGAGAAATATGTTCCTATGATTCCCCTGTGGCTCAGAACGAGCCGCTCTGACAGAGCCTCCACGCCGGCCCATGATTTATTTTTCTCAAAGCGAATCCTGTCGCTCCCGACAGTATCGACCACGTGGAAGTTTGTCATAGATTTATAGTGTTTGGAGATAGTGAATGCGAACGGGTTTTAGAGTAGAACAAGAAGATCTCAGATGAGGTAAGGGGTATCCAAGGCTCGTAGTAATTGCCTTCCATGCCCGTTGTTATCTCGGAATGCTCAAGACTTCACCATGAGCAGAATGGTTGCTGGAAAATTCAAGCTGGCTGGCTGTCCACAGTGAATACATGGCATTCCATTCAGAACATGCTACGATATGCTCTTCCATCTATCAAGCAAGAGTATCACATTCGACAAACACTCACTGACAACTCCCTTGCTGTTGTGCGATAGATGCCTGGAGTCGGACAGCCGTAAATTCAAGGCCGCCGTGTCTATATCCTTGGCTACTGAACCATCTTCTCGTTCTGATGATATCGCTCGAAATATTGCCAGCATTCACAACTAGTAATTGTGAGCGCGGTTATGTATTCTCATCTTCCAAGAAGCCCAGTACCATCATGTAGAGGCCGCCCGCGGGCAGACAGTCCGGTCATCTTAAAGACGATATTTGGCTTCTATCGGGATTTCCACACGTTCAAAGGTCGGTTCAAGTATCCTTGGTCTTCCTAGGCAGAGTTTACCGTGATTGTAGGTGCTATGTGATTGCCACGAACCATAGGTAATCTTCCTTCGCAAGGTTCCGCCCGAACTCATCAAAGTCAACTGCCCCTGTCTGGACGGAAACACATACCAGGACGGTGAGGTCATTCCGAGCTACGACGCCCATGAATGACCTAGAGTTATCAGGCTGACGCAAGCAGACCGTCACGAAGACACGACCAGTTATAGATTTGGGCGTGCCTTTGTCCGTCCACCACGTGGTCTGATTGTCTCTCCTAATATCAAATAATATGCATGGCCAGGGGATTTGTTGTTGTATCCCATCCGGGTAGCAAAGTTGGCCGGTGCCAAAGTTAGGAGGTCACGCAGGTGTGTGAGAACATCGACGATATCTAATCAGAATGGATCACTGCAGATGACGTCTCTCAACCCTGACATCTCACGGCTAGACCAAAAATAGGTAAGTAAACAAAGGCCTCCTCAACCCTGATAGCTATCATTATCTTCGGTCAAGGTACGGGGTCACTCGAGGCCTACGTTGTGGTACGTGCCCAGATCTGCCTCAGATTTCGGGTCACCAAAAATATATAAATACCAAGCCCTCACACTTCCCTCGGACTCTGGTCCTTTCCTCCCAACCCCCAACCGTCTTTTTCTTCACCAAGCCACCTTTCCATCGCTCCGGCAATGAGCAACAGCGTGGATGGCACGCTTCCAGAGGTAACCACACATCCTGTTCCTAATGCCAATATAGATTCCATCTTGTCTACAATCTTCAACCTTACACGTCGATACGCTCCCCGACTTCCTCGCCCCAAACTTCTTTTCCATTGTTTACTCGGTGGACTCGTCCTTACGTCAGCTGACGTCGCTTCTCCCAGATATCCTACCCTCTCGCCACGAGTTTATCTTCCCGGCCTGACTGAGAAAATAATATCCGCACAATATATCAAATCCTGACTTCCCTCCTATCTTCCCTCTCCCAGCCGTATATCCATCCTAACCCTTTTTCTGACACCAGACTCCTACCTCCGAAGCACACGACAAGACCATGCCGTCCCCGAAAAAAGAAGCCTACTTCGACCTACTTCGACCCCTCCTCCGATCACCCGAAAGGTAAGCACACACTCTTCCTCCCCGATCTTCCTGAGGGTACAAGAACGGCTCAGATCGAGGACGTACAGTATTACCCTTTCCCCCCCCCACCGCCTTCTTGATTTTTTACCCCTAACTTATTTTCTACCTCTCTCACCAAGTCTCAAATTTTCGGCCTCACTTTTCCCCTCCTCCCTCCACCTCTTGTAGCTGTTGTCTTTATGCCCCATTCTCCCACTTCCCTCTCCTCGATACTGTTTCTCCTTGTCACACTCCCTACCACTCCCTGCCTCCTTCCACTCCTCCTCCTTCCACTCCTCCTCCTTCCACTCCTCCTCCTTCCACTCCTCCTCCTTCCACTCCTCCTCCTTCCACTCCTCCTCCTTCCACTCCTCTCATTTTCCATCTTTACTTCCCTTTGCTACCCCAGCCTCCCTCTCCCCCACGTCAACCGCGAGTGGCGACACTTCCATATATCCCCCTTTCCATCCCCCACACAGCAGTTCTTCGCGCAACACTAACTCTGCGGTCATCCCACAGATTCAGATCCTTCCGAGCGGCAGCTCCCAAGAATACTTCAAATTCGACTTTCAGCCCCGAGAGGTACGTATCAAAATCCTACGCACTTGGCTTATTTTTTAGTTCATTCTCACATTCTCTTTCCCTCGCTCCTTCTTATTTTCACCCCACCTTACGCGTCCAAACCTCAAGCTAACACTCTTTCAAGCTCATATCCTTTCTATCTCCAGTTCCTGCATGGCCTTCTGAAGCGTAATCATACTGAGGGGCTTGGAATCTAACGCCGGCTCGTTCCACAAGGGGTCAGCCACTAGGCCAGCCTTCTTTACGGTTCAAGTTGCCTGACCATGTCGGGGGGGACTACGTACCCGCGGGTGATTTCGGGTCCCGGTCCCTGGACGTCCTTGGTTCCGGAGGCGCCTCACTGCACCCCCTTGAGGGTTCGGAGAAAGCTGGATACCTCTCCCGCCTGCCGGTTCCAAGGCGACAGCGCTCAGACAGTGTATGACGGCCGCTCCACGAGGACGTCACTCAGCCTGCTTTGGTCGACAGCGGTTGTTGAATACGAGGTGCCCCCGAGACCCTGACGAACCTGGTTTTGACACATAGTGAACCTGCCTTGAAGACCAGTGGCAACGCGTTTAGCCCAAGGCCTCTTGTGTACCGTGGAGATCGGGGACTGCGCGTCGGGTGGCTACCCTGCACAGGGGAGCGGGGTGGCGGGCCTGGCCTGCAGCTATTTCCTTAGTGACGCGGGAGGTTAGATGTTGTCGCACGTGGGTCTTTCAACATGCTTCCTCTCCGGGCCATGCAGGACTGGAGATATCCCGGGTTCGTATGTATCGCACCCTCTCCCCTCCCTCCCCTCTTCCTCTGCTCGATTTCGTCAACAGACGCTACTTACGTCACATTCCCAGATTTCTATTTAAACACATCAGGTACAGCATCCTCTTGATCCCCCTGACACATGTTCGTCACACTCTCCAGCTAACAGGGACCTCCTTAGATCAGGATGCGTCTTCACGCCGACTGGAACGGGTCGAGAGGCCTTGATTTTTAATCAATCAATTTTTTGAACTGGAGCACAGCTGGGCTTGCTCAGACGTGCTCGCGTGTCCCTGGTATTACACTACCTCCAGATGACGCGCACCCCCTTTTTTCATTACGAAGTCCAGCTGGCCTAGGCTCGTGGAGAAGAGAGTATCCAAATCTGCCAGACAGAGGATCTACGTCATGGCAAGGATGAGAGACGCAAGGCGGGAGCTACCGAACTGTCGTGATTGATTATGGTAAAATTAGCTAACCTGATCACCACAGCAACATACTCGGACCTTCCAGCCAGAATGACAGGAGCGCCCATCCAAGCCGTCTGGCGAGCATCAAACTCAAAGCCCTCCCAGCCCTCCGCGGCCAGCTTCACTCCCCGGCTGCAACTCCCCTGTTTCTTTCTTTCCTTCTTTTTTTTTCTTGGAAGCAGCGTCCCATACCACCCCCCCTCTCCATTCAAGCCCGCAGAACCGCGCATTCGCATCCCCAAGCTGGGCGTAGACGCGGCCCTCGCTCGTCTCGTCGCCGACGGTGACGTCCCACCAGAAGGTCTGCAGGCTCGCCTGGTTGAAGACCCCGTTGAACTGCAGGATGACGGCCTGGATCGTGGCCGGGCCCGGGGGTGAACCCTGCGGGTACCTTCAGGTCCGGGATCGTCACGTTGTAGCCTTGCAGGGAGGTCACTTATTTTTTGGGTTGTTAGCGATGTGTGCGAGTGTTTTTCCTCTCCTACACAACACACCCCGAGATAAGGGGGAGGAGGGGGAGTACTCGCCGGTGAGGTCGGTCTGGCCGATGAACACGGTGCCGATGTTGCCCGGGTAGCCACCGGTGCCGCCGGCGTATGCATCGTTGGTGATGCCCTACACGGCGACCTGCTGCCGCGGCTGCAAGATCACCTGCTGGCCCCTGGCCTCGAAGACGTCGCCCGGCCGGATGGTGGCCGGGAGCCCCAGCGCGGCTAGTCGGGCTTCGACGCCGGCGGCGAGGCAGGCTGCCGCGGCGAGGAGGGTTGTGATCTGCATGTTGCGGAAAGGGGAGGGAAGGAGAGGGATGTCTGGTGGGCGAGTGGCTTGGTAGGTAAGAGGATCTAGGAGGGGCGGCGGGATTGCTTGTCTTGAAGCAAGCTCTATGTCCAGAGACATCGGACGGACACTGTCTCTTTGTATTAACTACCTACCTACCTAGCTGTCACGATCCTCCAGGCCCATGTACGTTGCTGCTCAATCTATCTGTTCCTTTTTGTCCCCTCACCGTCTGCGCGGTCACCTCCCGAAGTTGACGGGCGTGATCCTTCAGGATTTCTTACAGTGCCCCCCTAGACTGGAGCATGGTGCCATTCCAGCGGGAGACGATACAGCGTTATTGGGCCGCAGACCTTTTACAACGGCTTTGGCAAGCCGAATCAGGCACCTGGAGAACGGGCAAATCAAACCTGCAGAGGAGAATTGTGCTAAATCTGGAGGTTTTGATTTGCCTCATGCACCAACCTGCCCTCGTCTCAATCCGGGTTTCTGTCCCGCGCGTGCGTAAGACACACCACTTGCGGCTGGTCCCCGAAAGGCCTGAATGACACGCAGCCCGCAGGCGACCGGGTCCAGGACGGGACGAAGGATCATTGTGGGCTGCACCGGCTATCTATCGCGATTCCGGCAGCGAGACGGGAGAGGCCGAGGGCTGAGACTTGGCACAAGCTTGTCTTGTCTTGGTTTCCAAGTATGGTGGTACCTATTGCCGTCTCGACTTGACTTGTCCCGGCTTCTCATAATTAAGCATTGTTGGTTGTTGGTAACCTGGGACTGGGAACGGCATTGTTCTAGAAGCGGACGTGACTTGATGTACAATGCAGCGGTTATCTGATATACCTTTGCTTATGGCTCCACTTCTGCCGTAACACCAGGGTGATGTCGTGACGCCGTGATGCTGCTGGCAATGCCCTCAACAATTCGACTAGCACCTTTTATCCCCGATTCGTGACATAATTAGCAGCTAGCTGGGCTCTCTGACTGATCTCGTGACACATGCGCACCTTCGAGGAAGAATCGAGGGCTAGTTGCTGAAGGTAGACTAGGCCGGGCGACGGGCTTGATGACGTCGTCCATTTGCTCCGGCGCGCAGGGATGACCATCGATCATCGAGCCGCCGCAACAACAGCCGAGTGTGATTTGGCGATGACAGGCACAGAGCGTCATGCATCTAGCATCTCTCTCTCGATTTACCATGGACGTGGCAATGGGAGAATCACCAATCGCACATCAATCGGATCCCCATATATATCACTCGACAAATCGACCCACCATTATGAACCCTCTCTCTCCTACTCCCAGCAGCCATAGAAGCATATTATCTTCTAATCGTCCAATTGACTCCGACGTAGCTGTCCCCAAACTTAACCAACCGAACATCAAGCACCTCCAACAATCATGGCAACGTCCCAACTGACATACGCCGCCGAGAAGGCCGTCGGTCACGGCGACGAGTTCATCAAACAGGACGTGTCAAACTACGAGGAATTCGGCGACCCGAGCGACACGATGAAGGCCCTAGTGTGGCAGGGGAAGAAGTCCGTTGCCATTGGTTCGTCAGCCCCGTGGTGTCCCCTGAAGAAGAGAGGTCTGGTGACTGACTCTGGTTGGTAAAGTCGATACGCCCAAGCCGACGATCATCGAGGATGGAGATGTCATCCTGAAGGTGACGGGGAGCACCATCTGCGGCAGCGACCTACACCTGTACCACGGTAGGCATGCTGGTCTTCCCTCCCGCAGTGACTGTTTGCTGACGGTGTTGGGTCTGCAGGCGTCGTCGTGGAGTTGAACAAGGGCGACATCCTCGGGCACGAGTTCTGCGGCGTCGTGGCTGCCGTTGGTCCCGCGGTAAAAAAGGTGCAGGTCGGCAAGCGATATGTCGCGTCCTTCCAGATCGCCTGTGGAGACGTGAGCCCAGCCTATCCCCTTCACTCAGCGCATCCAGACATCTGACAGCTTGTGATCCAGTGCTTCTTCTGCAACCAGAAGCTATCCTCGCAGTGTGAGAGGACCAACTCGAGCTCCCTAGAGAAGGCCATGTACGGCACGAGGACGGCGGGCTTCTTCGGCTACTCCCACTTCACGGGGGGCTTCGCCGGCGGGCAGGCCGAATACGTGAGGGTGCCTCTTGGCGACGTCAACCTGCTCGAGCTCCCGGATGACGTCCCTGACGAGAAGGGTGTGTTTTCTTCTTTGGACCCCCCCCCAAAATCTTGCACTTTGTACTAGCGACTAACCCTTCACCCAGGCCTCTACCTCTCCGACGTCCTCGCGACCTCCTACAACGCCGTCAAGGACACAGCCGTCTACCCGGACGACCAGGTCGCCATCTTCGGCGCGGGCCCCATCGGGCACATGGCCGGCGTCTTCGCGCTGGGCGAGGGCGCCAGCAAGGTTATCTTCGTCGACACGGAGCCGCGGCTGTCGTTCGTCAAGTCGCGCTGGCCGGCCGAGCACGCCGGCAAGCTCGAGCTCGTCGACTTCCGCAAGCTCAGCTCGGGCATCACGAGCAAGGAGACGGTCGTCAGCCGGCTCAAGGACCTGTGCGCGGGGCGCGGGCCGGACGTCGCCATCGAGTGCGCCGCGGGGGAGTATGCAAAGGGGTGGATGCACTGGCTTGAGATGAGCATAGGCGTCGAGACGGACACGAGCGAGATCATTAATGAGATGGTCGAGGGGGTGAGGAACTACGGGAGGGCCGGGATCACGGGCGTCTATCTCGGATATGTGAGTGGGAATCAACCTTTTTCCGAATACGGAGCATCTGACTGACCGCGTTTCTTGTGTCCCAGACCAACCATTTCAACATCGGCTCCCTCATGCAGCGCGGCGTGCGGCTCATCGGCAACGGGCAGGCGCCCGTGCACAAGTACTGGGACGAGCTGCTGAAGATGATCCAGGACGGCAAGCTGGACCCGACGCAGATGCTCTCGCACCGCGTCCGGCTCGAGGACCTCGACACGGTCTACCAGAAGTTCGACGTCAAGGATGACTCGATGCAGAAGATCTTCGTGCAGACCAAGTTCTCGGCGCCGAGGGCGCAGGGTACGCCGGAGCTGACGGAGTACTGATGTCTCTCTCCCCGTCCTCGCCGAGTGGGGAGATATCACTCGCTGCCGGGTGCGTCGACAAAAGGAAATGCTCCACCGGGAGCAAACGAGGAATGAAAATATCAGGTTCAGGGCGTGTGAGTAACAGGCGCTAGTTGCGATCGGAGCTGGTGCAAGGCGCTGAGTTTCCATTTCCTCTACCACTTGATGTAAACCATTTGAGAAATACGCAACAGAGAGGGGGTGGGTAGGAAATCAGTTACCAGAACTTGCCAAGACTCAGCGTCACAGTACCATCAACCGGTAGCACATCTGCCATACAATCTGTCAAGTTTCCAAGATCTGAGGCAAAGGAATGACTGGTAGGGAACGTAGGTACGATTAGAAATATGACAATCCTGCAGCTATATCCATGGTATATGCGAGGTAGAGATAGGAAAGGGTATCCATGCAGACAAGCCACCACCGCCCAGCACGAAGAACTGAACCACCCGAAACCACCCAAATGCAAAAGCGCCCCACCCCCATACCATGGAAGCTCTCATGGCTAGGGGAAACCACCAGTGACCTTCGAAACGCCCCTGCCCAGTCAAACGCTGTGAATCTGGTGCAAACTGAAAGTAATAACAACGAAGTATTGAACAAAATGAAAAGGAAAATTGATGCAATGAACGACCGTCAACATGGAATCAACATCCAACGCAACCCAATGCAATGATGCACACCCATGGATACAATCTCGCAGGCCCCTTTGCCATCAGCCCACATGTACCGGCGGCTTCACAGGCCCTCCAAGCCATCTCTCAGGGCCTCGGTGTCCACAACGTCGGGACACACCTTGCTCGGCGGCCCCCGGCGCTGGTGGGCCGCCCAGTACTCGTAGAAACCAGGGATCGCGCCGGGCTGGTTGATGCCCGGAGCTCTGGAGAAGAAGTCCCGCTCTCGAGACGACGATGGCATATTCGAGGGGCTGGGACTGCGTAGCAGCTGAGTAGTGCCTTCTGGGGGCGACAGGGTTTGGGAGGGCGAGGAAGGTTTTGGAATCGGAGTCCCCGAATTTGGGGGTTCGGAGCCCCCGGTGGGTGACGCGGGTTCCTCGGCGGTCGACGCTTGCGACAGGTTACCCCCGCCGCCCCAAGGCCTCCACGACACGAGCTTGCCGAGGGCTCTTGTGCCCGACGAAGCAATGCGAGGCGAAGGGCTTGGTCGCCGGATGCTTTCGCGGATGGGGTTATCCCACACGGCCCTGCTACCTGCTCCAGTCCTTGGCACCAGCAATCCCGGGCTGGTGAGAGCTAGGTTGTCTCGGAGAATCACACTGCCCCTCTTCCCCTCGCCGCCGCCCCTGGATATTGTGGGTTTCGCCGTAACCGGGCTAAACCCTGTGCCTGCAGTGGAGGCTACTAGAGGTCTCAAAGCTAGCTGTGCGGGGCGTGACCTAAGGGTATGGATGTCAAGTCCGTTGGAGAGTGACATTATCGACTCGTGTGAAACGGCGCGACGAAGCGATTTTGGGAGTTGGACGACGCCAGGATCAAAACGCTCGGGCTCGGGCTCGGGCTCAGGCTCAGGCTGAGGCTCAGGCTCACACTCGGACTCGAATTCGGACTCGGACGACGTCGCGTCGGAAAACGAACCTCCCTCGGGTGCTGTCTCTTCATTAGAAATTACAATGGTCGAATCGTCAGTTGGCGTTGTTGCCAGGGCGGTGCGGAAGGAACCATCCTCGGTCGAGGATATATTCGAGTCTTGCGACGGCTGAGGTTCTTCCTCGTGTGCGTTGGTCACGGACTCCCGAAGCGATGTCGATAATATCTGCGACTGTTCGGTTTCCTGGTGGAGGGGAGAAGTGTCATCCGAAAATGCGTGGGATATGGGGAAATTCGCAGTCGGATACTGAACTCCCGGCTTCCCATACGCAGATCGGAAGCACGGTGATGTCGGGTCGGCACTCGTGGTGGGAGATGTCGGCAATGACATATCAGAAACTCCGTGGTCAAACATGGCGTTCCCGACATTTGACTGCGGAGTGCTAGGGACAGACGACGGGGCAAAATCGGAGGGCTGATCTGACAACAGAGACCATCGATTCGAAGGCAGCGAGATTGTCGAAGTCGAGGAGGGTTTCGCCGAATGGGACAGAACGGTAGACGCGGGGCAGGACCGGTTCAACCGCCATGGACTGCGAGGCGGTGTCGATGGCGATGACATGCTGGGCAGCGTGAAGATGGCCGGGGTGAGTGCTTGCCTCCGCCTCTTGGGTTTCTTCGACTGGGTGTTCTGCGCGACATGGTAGTGGTGGTGGACATGCAGTTCCTGCGAAACGTTCTGCACCTCGGCCTGCTCAGGTGGGCCCAGCTCTGCCCTGAGTGTCGACGAGGAACTGGCCCCGTCTTCGACCGGTTGGTGATAGAGGACGTGTTCTCGCAACATCTGGATTTCGTCGTGCGAGTTGGCGAGCATCTCGCGCAGCTCCGCCATTCCAAGTTGGAGGTTGGCATTGTCTTGTAGCAGGTCTCGGACGAAGTGCGAGACCACGCTGCTTCCATCCTTGTTGCCGTTGAGGGACCTCGCTGCTGCGGCACCTTTCAGCCGGCCTGCTGCGGTATGGAGGTCCTTTTCCACGGCGCGCTGCCTCTCTATCCGCCCGATGGCCTCGACATGCCGTTCGCGCTCTTCCCTAGCTTCCTTCTCCAAGCGGTCTAACTGCTGTTGCAGGTCGCCGATTCCCCGTTCCGCCTGTTTCCAGCGATATACAGCACTTCTGACCTCCTCTTCAGATTGCGAAAGGGTGCCTTGCAATGCCGCCTGCTCCGACTCCAGGACAGCGATATGCCGTTCCATGTCTTCGGCCCTGTCTGTCGCACCCTCCAACCGCCGGACACACTGCTGCGCAGTCTGTAATGCGGCCTCCAGGCTGCGAACCTTGATTTCCGAATCGGCGACACTGCTGTTGAGTTGTTCTAGCTGGTCGAGCAGAGCGCGGTTCTCGTCAACCACGTTGGCATTTCTGGCCTCGAGAGCGGCGTTTTCAGACTCGAGAAAGACGATACGCGCATTGAGCTCCATGCGATCCCGCTGGGCGGAGGCCATGTAAGCCTCATGACGGGCCAGAAGGGCCTGGAGGGCAAAGGTTAGCGACGACATATGTTCTGGGGACGACGTCTGCGAGGACTGCATGGGCTCCATGGCGGCGACGAGGTTGAGCAGCAGAGGACGGCACCAAAATATCGCGCGAGAGAGATAGACTTTGATACCGAGTCGGCCAGCCTAGATCGGCTCGACGCGCTGGAATGTCCGGGCCGGCCCAAGTGGGGTGGTAGAACATGATGCAGATTCGACCCAAGGGATAGGCAGGGAGAGGTATATATAAGAGGGCTCGAGCAGCTATACTCACTTGGCCAACCTTTGCCGCATTGTGGACATCCTTCTCTACGCTGTCAAGAACGGAGCAGTTGTATCGCAGGAAGACGCAATCGGCCTGACCGCAACAACAGCGGAGAGCATCAGGCGGGGCTGAAGGAGGGCCGAGTGCCGGCAAGGGGACTTGGGCAGACGTGGTGGAAGATTCGGCCATTCCTATTGCTGGGGAGGAAGCGCTTTCCGAAATGAAGTCGTCGGGAAGATGGCGTCCAGCATGCTCGCGATCTGTAGAAGACTGAGTACAGGGTAGAAGAGGCAATGGCAGGGCTGCACTTGGCGTGGGTCAAGGTTGAACAAAGAAAGACAATGTCTCAGATGTTGACGGACGCAGTAGCCAATCTAGACCCGTCTATTCCGGATCGAATGATGTTGTTTCTTCGAGTTTAGAGTTTGCTTTCGTCTTCTCTTCACTCCCAAAACCGGGTCCGTCCGACTAGTGGGTAAGGTAAAGTAGTCTAATTAAAGACGGGGACGGGGGGTCGCGGTTGCACGAAACGCAGGTCTGCTACTACTCCCCTGAGATAAGGATTCACCCAAGGGAGTTTCACAGCTTTGGCGAAGGAAGAGCTTGAACGGAGTCATCGGGCGCCCGCAAACACGTGTATTTCTCGTGAAATCGGGTGGCTGGATGTATGCGTAGAGAGCGAGCGCGATCTGCGACAGACTGTTGGCTGGTGGGGACCGGACATTGTCGCGTCACGAGTAGGAGACTATTCTTGGCATTTACAACCCCTGTCGATGACGAAAGCGGGCGCCTCAACGCCACAGCACCAGCCAGTGGAAAGGATGTATTCACCTGTTTATTTATCTTCGAGGATAAGAAGAGAAATGGAAGAGTGAGAGAACGAGGCAGGCTGCTCACACTCTAGACTCATAGACTCATCCAAGCTCTCATCAAAAAGAGTACCCCAAGGTTTGGGGATGGGAGTTGATAAGGCTTCTCAGGCAGCTACTAGCATCACTGCAAGTTCACAAACAGCCCGCCATCGACCAGCAGCTGCGCACCAGTGACATAGCCACTCAGCTCCTCACACGCCAGGAACACGGCCGGCCCAGCTAGGTCCTTGGGCACGCCCGTCCGGCCGAGCGGTATCCTCCCCTCCATGTACCTCCGCTTCTCCTCGTCAGCCAGGTCCTCCTCATTCAGCTGCGTGCGGATCGTCCCAGGCAGCAGCGCGTTGCACCGGATGTTGTACCGCCCCAGCGCGCACGCCGTGCTCTGCATCAGGCTCAGCACCCCGGCCTTGGTCGGCGTGTAGTGCGTCTGCCCGGCGCCGCCCACCAGCGCCGAGATGGAGCTGACCCCGATGATCGACCCGCCCGGAGGCGAGTTCACGCGCGCCATGTGCCTCGCGGCCGCCTGCACGACGTAGAAGGCGCCGTCGAGGTTTGTCCGCACCGTCTTCTCCAGCAGCGCCGCGTCGAGGTCGAGGAACTCGGCAAACGTGCAGATCCCCGCGTTGGACACGCACACGTCCAGCCGGCGGCAGCCGCCGCCGGAGCCCTCGTTGTTGTTCCCGAACGCAGTCGTCGCAAGCTCGACCAGGCGCGCCGCCGCCTCGGGCTCGCGCACGTCGCCCACCTGGTGCGCCAACCGGCCCGCCGACGGGTTCCCGGCGAGCAGCTCCGCCGCCTCGGCCTCCAGGCTGGCCAGGTGCGCGGCGTCGCGCTCGAGGCCTAGGTGGTTGACCGCCACGTTACAGCCCTGCCCCAGGAAGGCGAGCGTGATGGCCCGCCCGATGCCTGTCGTGCCGCCCGTGACGATGGCGTTCTTGCCGGCTAGGAGGTTGGACACCGGCATGGTTGGCGTCATGCGCGCGTGGGTGTGAATAGTCTGGATTGATAAAGGTGGTGAGCAAGCTGGCAAAAGATAACTGTGGGGCAGGGCCACGGATGGAGATTGCTGTGTAGGTAGGTAGGTTGGCGGTCTCGAGAATCGCGAACTTGATCTTTGGAATCTTAATGTGTAATTATTATACCCATCCCATCATATAATAGCAGCAAGTAAACAGTACATGTATACCTAGGTACCTATCTAGCATCACCACCAGTCGCCCAGTCTCGTCCTCTTGCCTACGGTGGTAATTCCTACTAGGTACCTATTCCCTAGGTACCTAGCTGAGAATCATGCCGAGATGTGGGGTGTCGAGCCCCGCGATAAGTTCGGGGTGAACTACCCCGAAATTTGCGAGGCCGCCTTTAATCGGCTTCCCATGGTGAGGGGCTGACAATATTATTGCCCTGTCATGCACGTCGAAGGTATTTGGTATTCATCCATACGAAGTAGTTCTCGCAGCAAATCAGTGTAGCCGTTAGTTCATAATCGAGTTGTGGGAAGAGATCGCCTGGGAACTGTAGTTGACGGTCTAGTTAATCGGCCATGATGCGATTGATGGGAGAATGCGCGTGAAGAGCTGCTGCCAGAAGATTACCAAAATACGTGCATTGCGAAAGATATCTAAGCTAGAATCTGTAACTGGAATCCTCCCCTTCCACGCTGCAATACCTCCGCCGCATGATCTCAGAGCAACGTTGATGTGCCACCAACTTTACTCGAGCTGGTTTTGAGTGAAAATCCATGCGAGAGACTTTCTGTAATATGGAAAACCCGTAATGCCACGATCTAACAAACAAGCTGCCTAAGCCACTAACGTAATCGCTAGAGACACCTCCGGTGTCCCATGCCTCTCTCATGGATCATTTGTATCATCATTGCCTTAAGAAGTGGTGAGCTCTTGCACCTTAGCGACCAGCCCATCCACCTTCTCGGCCTCCACGCCAGGAGCAGGCACAGCGACAGCCTCGGGAACTGTCTCCGCCGCTGACTCAACCTTCGCGGGCGCCTCCGAGGCCTTCTCAGGTTCGCTAGCTGCAGGCGCACTCAGGGAATTCATCGGCGGCGGTGTCAACAGGTATGTGCTCGGGATGAGTTTTGCTCGAGCGACCGGGTTGAGGGTAAGACCGAAGCCTGGCTTATCCAGGTCCGCCGTCGTGAGGAAGCCCTTAGTCGGGATCGGCTCGTCCAGGAAGAGGTCTCCAAAGACGGGGAGGACGCTCTTCCCGTCTGGGGAGTTGGCCAGGTATTCTTGGAACGGGGTGTTGGGCTGGCTGACGACGAAATGATAACTGTAGGGACCACTGGCGTGGGGGACGACAGGAATATCATATGCTGCCGCCATCGCCGACACCTTTAGCAGCTCGGTCATGCCTCCGAGCCACATGACGTCGGGCTGGATAATGTCTAGGTTGCGGCCCTCGATGAGTTTTCGGAAGCCATATCGGGAGTACTCGTGCTCGCCCGTGGTGAACTTGATCGTCGGGTGCGCTCGCTTGATCTGGGCGAACCCGTCGGTGTCATCAGGCGACAGGCACTCCTCCCACCAGTTGATGTTGAGGTCCGCGCACTGCTTCGCAATCTCGATCGTGTATGACACATTTAGTGACATGTAACAGTCCACCATGAGGGGGAAGTCCGGTCCGACAGACTCGCGGTGCTTGCGGAGGAACTCGACGTTTTTCTTGAGACCGACATGCCCCTCCTCGGGGCAGTAAGGCAGCGGCACCTTGGCACCCCAGAACCCCATTGCCTTGGCCGCCGGGGGATCAGGGCCAGTGCAGTAGAAGTCCAGCCGCTCCTTGGTCGCACCTCCAATCAGCTTGTATACGGGCTCGTTCCGGACCTTGCCCAGGAGATCCCAGATAGCCAAGTCGATGACGGAGATCACGGCGGTGGCGAGACCCTTACGGCCGTAGAACATGGAGGCGCGGTACATCTGCTCGAAGAGGTGGTTCGTATTTCTGGGGTCGGCTCCGATCAAGAACCGTTCGAAGTGCTGGTGAACGAGCCAGCATGCCGGGGGGCCTGGACAGTTGGGGGTCAGTGATGCCTCCTAGGGGGGTTGAATCAGGCGACGCCGGGTACCTCCAAAGCCAGTAGCAAAACCGACTGTGCCGTCAGATGCCTCAATCTCGACGAAGAAGGAACCCAAGACATTGATGCCCCAGCTTGTCCGCGAATGGCGGTATTTTTCCCATTGTGAACAAGGAGTCGAGATGGGCGAGTCGATCAACCTGAACCTCCGTCAGCCTCCTTATGATACCCCGAGGTGGACTGAGCGAGTATACACACCAATGGCCACTCTTGACATTGTGGTAGTCGCCACCTGTTCCCCGAGGTCAGCATCCATGCTGTTCGTGTTCTGCCACCTGTAACAGCGGAGGGATTGCCCAGCCATTGAGACACACACACCTGAGCCAACGCCATCGATTATGAACGACCTTACGCTCTTGATGGTGGGAAACTGCCTGACAGATGCCATGGTGATGCAGGGCTGGTAAGAATTGCTCGATGCTGGAGTAAACCAACGAAGGGAGAGAGACAAGAGGAAATTAATTGGAGGTGACCAAGGAATGCAGCTGTGGCAGGCCTGGAGGGGAATATATCTGGCCTCGGGTCTTTGTACACGCCACTGCGGGTCAGAGGCTCCAATGCTGATGCTGCAAGCCTCTAGTTGATCGGTCCTACCGTTGAGAAGGAGACAATAATATTGGATCAGGTATAACTGCCAGCCTCACTGGGGGGTTCTCTAGATTCCTAGAGAGGCGGGATAAATTGAGACTGGGTGGCCCATCGGGCCATGATGCACCGACAGAGGGGCCCAGTCCATGGAAGCTTATCACTTCAACTAGTAACCCCCCACCCGTAGGTAAATTCTGCCAGGTCCAACCGAGTGAGTAGCGACCGATGTGAATTTGACAGGAGGTAGTGAGCAACTCACATCCGACGGGCGTATGGATCCATTTGCAAGTACCGGAAGTGCCCTTGGGTTTGAACATCCCCGCTGTCATGGTAGGAGGAGACGGGATTCCCAACAGACAAGACAACTGCAGCATTGGGCTGGCAGAGCTATCTCGGCGGGGCGGGCAGACGCTCTTCACTCAAGGTTGCCCGAGCAGAAAGGCAAGGTGCTGTACCTGCCTCCTCTACGCATAAGGCAGGTGCGGGTAACAGACTCCCGTCGACATCAAGCTTCAGCACCAGAAACCACGTGCAGGGTCAGAACTGTTGGTTCCTGAATTGAGGCTTTCCAGAATGGATCGACGGTTGGTCCTTCCCCGCACATAACAAAATGCCCCATGGGGTGGGTCCCTGGCCCTCCCGGGTGCAACCTCAGTCCCCCTGCCGCGGATAAAGCACCGAGAAAGCACCACATGCGCGCCCACTCTTCCACTTGTCATTAGCCCGAGCCCGTCTTCTCCTCTGCATTCCCTTGGGTTGGCTACGCAATTTCTGCAACAGCTCTCGTGGCCCTGAGCTCCGCCCGAGAAGGTGAGCCGCCCACGGGCTATCAATGACACGGTCAAGGCCCACTCAACTCCACCGAAGTCGAGAGACATTGAGCTCCGCATCGCGAGCCTTAGAGCCTGAGAGCCCCGAGCCCGGCGATAGATCCACCCTCTAACCGCCGGCTCCGCCTGTGCCATCGCGATGCACCAGCAGAACTACAGTCAGAACGGCCAACAGCGTTCTCCTCGCTCGTCACTCGCCCATACCGAGCCCGCCGAGAGTGACGATGGCGGCTTCCAGACGCTGAGCGGGGACGATGCCGAGAACGACTACGATGATCAGAACGAAAGCGTGCGCAGTGGCAAGCGCAAGCGGCCAATCTCTGTCTCGTATGTCCTGCCGCTTCCCCCGCCATCATATCTATGCTTGATTGTCGCCATCGCCCTTATCTGTGGCCTCCGCAGTGGGCCGTGTCGCAATGGCTCCATCTCCACATGCCGCATCGTCTGCCGACGAGACCGCGGATCCGCCCCCCTTAACTCGACTAGACGGTACGAAGAATGCCTCTGCTGACATCATCATCCCCAGGTGCGAGCTATGCAAGCAGCGAAAAGTAAGTCTGTCAACTTGCCGTCGTCGTCTCAAGCTCGCGCCCCCAACTTCCACCTCCCCGGGGGAGCCGCCCTCCTTACCGCGCCTCTATAGTCTATATTTGGTCCTTGCCCACTGATGGCACCCTAGGTCAAATGCGATCGAGCCCAGCCGTCATGCGGCTGGTGCAGCCGCAACGGCGCGCTCTGCGAATACAAGGAACGGAAGAAGCCCGGCCTCCGCGCCGGCTATGGCCGCGAGCTAGAACACCGGCTCGACAAGCTCGAGGAGATCCTACGCACTCACTCGGAAATACTCCAATCCTCCCTCGCGGCAAACACGTCTCCCGCTAGCGGCGGCAGCGGCCACTTCGTCCCTCACAACCCGCCGTCAAGCGTGAGGGGCAGCAATGCCAGTCTTCCAAGCGACCACGGGACTCCCAGGGACACGGCCGCTCCGCCGTTATTCTCCCGCACGGCCGCTGATAGTCTGCGGACTCCACAGGCCGAGACAGCTTTATTCCTGCAGAAGCCGTCGATCTTCCCCACCACGTCCCAGGGCGTCGATTTCGGTCAACCGCCGCCCTCGCACAGCATCCATGACAACTACCAAGCGGTCAGCGGTATCTCCCCGCCTAATATACCGGGAGCCATCGCGCCCACCCCAGCCGCCCAGGAATACTACGGGACAGGTCCTGGCGCGAACCCAGCACTCCAGTCCCCCACGGCCAACGTCACACAAGGCCATGGTCAGATATCTTCGGACCAAGACCTCCCTCCGTACGACCTCCTCTATGCCCTGGTGGATCTGTACTTTAAGCACGTCAACACGTGGTGCCCGATCCTGCATCGGAAGACAACTCTTGACTCATTGTTTGGTCCGTCGATAATTGAAGAGACGGATAAGATATTATTGCATGCAATTGTCGCAACGACCCTTCGCTTCTCAACAGATGCCCGGCTCACGGACGAGCGAAGACACCATTACCACACTGTCTCGAAACAGCGTGTTCTCCTATATGGCATGGAGAATTCGTCAGTCAAGGCCTTGCAGGCACTTGTCATTCTCGCTCTGGATCTTTGTGGCAGTAGCAACGGCCCGCCAGGATGGAATATCATGGCCTTGATCACACGCTCCGTTGTCCAGCTCGGTCTCGCTGTCGAGAGCAACTCTTTCTCCGTCTCCCCAAACTACACCTCCATATACACCCTGCGCGCCATGATCTTACCCGAACCCCGCGACTTCATCGAGGAGGAGTCGCGGAGGCGGCTCTTCTGGATGGTATATCTCCTGGACCGGTACGCGACCATCTCGACGGCGTTTGAGTTCGCGCTTGACGACAGGGAGATTGATCGCACACTCCCGTGCCGCGATGACTTGTGGATAAAGAACCAGAAGGTAGAGACGCGCTGGTTCCGTGCGGATGACATGCGCGCCGACGATTCGAATAGCAACAACCCGGCGTCCCCCGAATATGAAGTGAACAAGCCTCAGAATCTCGGCGCCTTCTCCTACTATATTGAAATCCTCGGGATCCTCTCCAAGATCCATAAGTTTCTCAAGAAGCCGGTCGATATCTCGGCCCTTTCCGACGTGGAATCATGGCAGATGAGGTACAAGGAGCTCGACAAGATGCTGACCTCGTGGAAATTCAACCTGCCTAGCGAGTACGGAAACATGGCAAAGCTGTTCCAGCCAGGATGCGCCAAGACACTCAACTGCGGGTGGGTCATGCTCCACGCAACGTACCACACCGCCGTCATCCGGCTGCACTCGTCGGCCGCGTACCCGACCACGCGGTCGCCCATCTTCACACCGAGCTACTCGGCCAGCCAGCAGTGTCACGGCGCCGTGGAGAATATCGCCGCGCTCAGCGAGTTCGTCGTCAATCACGGCCTGCTCGTGAAGCTAGGCCCGCCCTTCGCCTTCACGCTCTGGGTAGCCGCCCGTCTGCTCCTCGTGCATGGCAGCACCGTCGAGCACAAGCTATCGCCGCAGATCGCCTTCCTTGTCGACACGCTGCACGCCATGGGCCGCCACTGGCCCGTCGCAGCGCGCTACTGCAAGCTGCTGCAGCGCGTCCTCGACGAGCACCGCGACAGCGAGCGCCAGGGCGACGGCGTCACGCCCAGTAGCGTCAGGATCCTCGCCGACATGCGCCGCACCGCCTTCGACCTTGACTTCCTCATCAGCCGCCAGCCCCGCCACCTGCCTGTCGCCAGCCACGGCGGCAACGGCCACGGCGGAAACGGCCCTGGCGGCAACGGCAGCGGCAACGGAGGCAACGGCAACGGCAACGGGCAAGGGAACGGGTGGCACGGCCGCTTCCCCAGCATCACGCCCGCGCGCACGCCCGCGCCCAACGAGCTCGAGTACCTCGACGTCTTTGAGTTCTTCAATGTGCCCCGGGTCCCGCTGGGCGCGACGGGCCTGCCACTGCCACTGCAGATGCCGCTCGATGTGGACGGGAACCCCGTGGCGCCGGGGGACGCGGCGATGGAAGGCGGTGGAGGAGGTGGCAGTACAGCGGCGGCCTCGGGGGAGTTTAACATCACTGACTTTATGGTTGACGCCAACCGGGACTGGCTTTTCAAACATGACGGGGGTGGCAAGTTTATGAATTGAAGACCGCACGTCTAAGCTTCCCCGCTCCTTGACCTGCAATAGGAGAGAGTGGTTGAAGAGGGGAATACTGGGTAGCCTCATCGGAAATGAGGCTTGCGTGTATATATTCCTGGCCTGCGAGGCCCTCACCTGCCTACAAAATGGGTCGGGGAGGGTTTACAAGTACGGCGTTTTTGTTTTTGTTTCCCCTACATAGGCCCCTCCATCCCAGGGCTCGGGGCTTATATTTCTTGGGACGATATCATGTCACGCTGTTCTTGGATATATGGGATGTCCTGGTATCCAGGGTTCACGATTTCACGCGCGGATGAAGGGGGGAAATGGCCTGCCTAACATGGCATGGCATGTCTGTTCATCAAAATAGTGATATACCATCTCGCCACGGCGCGAGCCTTGCGGATGGATGCGAGGCTTGCTTTTCTCGGGGAAGGCGTGAATCAATGGCATGGATATTGATTCGAAGAGAGAGTTGAAGACAGATGGGAGGGAAAGAGAAAGAAGAGCCACGACTGCTTGTGACAGACACTCCGCGCCTCGAGGACGTTTTAACTACTTCTCCGGTTGAGTCACACATTCATGCCATACCAGGTTGGCTTAACGGACCAACGGTCTGTTGCGCGAATCTAGCTGACATTGCTACCAACCTACCTACACAAAGGTCAAGGTGGTGCTGGGCCACACTGGGGAGCCGGGGGCTCAGGGGGCTCATCGCTGTCGAGGATAAAAGCGCGGCATCACACTCCGAATCGGAAGTTCCGTCTCGACAGCTCGGGCGCAGAACCCTGAGACTGGGGAACAGTCGTCATTCCGAGAGAAATGGGCAATGGTGATTCTGGTGAAGAAAGGTGGGTATTTTGGATAGCGATGACTTTATGAGTCCCCTCAAAAAAAAGACAAGACAAGTTGTAAAATAAATGTAGAAAGACACGGCTCAGGCACCATGTAAGAGATGAATGCCCAGCCGGCAGTTCTGAAGAAAAAAGGGGAAAGAAATGATCACAGGTATCATACAAGTCCCCCTCTGGAAAAAAAAACAACCCTACCTTGGTTGTCCGATAACCCTTGGTTCCCAGCGCAGGAGATGCTTTAACTTTAAAACCTCCAGCTTTTCCCCTTTGGCCTGCTGTTGTTCCCTTATGCATGCAAACATGTATGCTTCGTTCTCTCGCCCCTGATTAATTTTCTCCTTCCTTGCCATACCTATCCCTTGCCCTCAACACGCACCCGACATCAACCCTCGGTGCCACCCTGGCCTTTGCGTCCGCCACCCCCCAGAAACAGGGCCTTGAAGTCAGCGTTGCTCTTCGCCGCCGCCGGCGCGGCGCCGTTAGCCTTTGCTGCCACTCCGCGGTTGGTCGCGGGGGCTTCGGTCGTCTTCTTCGCGGCGCTCCCGGTGAAGCCCAAGCCGCGCTTCCCGCCGCGGCCGCCGCGGCCGCCGAGGACGGGTGGTCGGCGCACGGTGGGCGGCGGCGGCATCAGGGCGCTCGCGGGCCTCCCGGATCCGCCGCTGCCCTTGGTCCCCGAGGGCGCGGGATGGTCGATGCGGTCGATCCTCGTCTCGGCCTTCGCCTTGAACATGTCGGCGACGGAGCCGACGCGAAGCTTCTTGCCGGGCTCGATCTCGGTGCCCTCGATGGCGAGGGCTGCCTTCCCGGCCGTGGCGACGTCGGCGAATTCCACCACCGCACCGCCGTGGGTGGCATGGAGGACGAGCTTGACGATCTCGCCAATGGGCTCGAGCACGGCGCGGACGCGGGCGTCGTTCACCGTGTCCGGGATCCCTAGGACGGCGATGGTGCGCGCGGCGATCTCGGCGGGGCGAGACTGTCGGCCCTGGGTCGACCCGGACGCGCCATCCTGCATCGACTCGTCGCCCTCGGCGTCGGGCCCACTGGGCGCGGGGGAAGGGCTCATCGAGGGGCCCGGGGTTCCTCGGCTGGTCGCGGTAGTCTTGAAGTTCTTCGGCTTCGACAGTTCGATGGTGAGGACCCGGCCCCGGAAGGCTATCTTGTCAAGTTCTTTGATGGCCTCCTGGGCCTGCTCCTTGGTCTCCATGGCCACGAAGGCAGAGCCGTGGGACTGACCGGCCATGTTGCGAATAATGCGAGCGCTCTTGACGGTGCCGTGCTTGGCAAACACGGTTTCCAGCTCTTCCTCCTTTGTGTCCGGGGCCAGGTTCAACACGTGAATCTCTCGTCCTTCGGCCTGCGCTCCCGATCGCTGTTGCTTTCCTTGGGGATCCGAGTACTTCGCTAGAAGCTTGAATTTGCTGTCTAGGACTTTGCCGTTGAGCTTCGTAGCCTCGGCTGCTACCTCGGAGTTGTAGAAGGTGACGTAGCAGAAGCGGCGCTTGGTGTTGTACTTGAGGCTCGGAAATCGCACGCTGAAGACCTCGCCGCAACCGTTGAACAAGCCGCGGATGTAGCGCTCATCGGCCTCGGGAGGGTAGTTGGTCACGAAGAGGGTGCATCCAGTGGCAGCTCTCACGGTGATCTGCTGCTGGCCAAAATACTTGCCGTCTCGAAGCAGGGCGGACTGTGCTTCCTCGGGCGAGCGAAATTCGACGAGCGCAACTATGTCTCGGTCGTTCTTTACGAAGCTAATGTTGTTGATGTGGCCATACTCGCGGAAGTATTGTCTCACCTTCGTCTGTGTAGCCTCGGCAGGTAGGTTGCTGACGAAGACGGACGTGTTCTCCCGATCGCGCTTCAGCGTCTGCTGCTCCTGATCATCCATGGGAAGCTCCGTTCCGTTGACCATGTCACTCCTGGCCCGCTTGTTTGCGTTCTCGCCTTCTTCCGCAAGGCTCCCCTCTCGTTTCCGCTTCCCGCCGCTGGGTGATCCTTGACTACCATCCGTCATGGTCTGACTCTGAGCTTGCTGCCCCGGATGGGTTGGGACTGCCGCATAGGCAGCCTGGGCTGCGGCGGCCTCTCTCTCCCGCCGTTTATTGACGATCCTCTTTGTCTTGTAGACGGTGTCGAGGGCCTGTCGCAGAGTGTCTGTCTGCTCGTAATCGTTACAGTGCTGAAGGTAGACATCCATGACTCGCTCCGGCCAGTCCAGCGTTTTCTGTCGCAAGGCGCGAATGAATATCTGCGTCGCGAGGTTGGGGACTCTCAGCCCCTGCGCGGTCATGGACGGTGTAGGGCTCCTGGCCTTGCTTTTGGCAGAAGAGAAGACGACCATCTCCCACAAGTAATAACTGAGCCAGAAGTCGTAGCTATTGGCGTACAGGTCATTGTGTGACAGGCGCTCCCACAATACGCGGGCATCCTCCGGACAGTCCTTCTTCTCGGTCAAGTATTGGATGTAGATCTTCTCGAGACGGCAATTGGGATCGCCCTGATAAGCGTCGCCGTATCGACGCTTACCCCAATGTTGGACGTCTTCCAGGGCGACGGGGAGCCCTATGTCTGCCAGGTCGACTGCTTCCTCGGAGGCGTTGGTGTCCATGGCCGTGCGTTTCAAGTAGCCACACCAAGCGGCATACATCTCGAGGACGCCCGACATGCCATCTCTGTCAAGCTGGGAGCTGCTGGTCGCGGCGTGCTTGATTCGCTCCATGTCCGAAAACGACAGACCGGCCTCTTCACCGCTCAGGATATAGCGTGCCCAGGCTGTCCCGGACCAGGGAATGTGGTGCACGGCGCGCTGCAGAGAGTCTAGCATGTTAGGAACGGCCTGGGCCATGTTGGGATTCTTGACCCGGCCGGACTTGATTTCCGAGTGGGTGCTAGAAATGAAGACGATGTAGTTGATCCATGTGGTTTCGTCAGCGGCGTATATGCCGGTAAGGGCGCGGGAATATAGAGCGAGGCATATCTCCAAGCTAACGATATCATCGCGGTTCACCCTGCACTCCCTCATCTCCCAGTCAAGGTATTGGCTAAGAAGGGTCTTTTGCTCATCGGGATTGCCCGACCTAGTGGCCACGGCAAGCTTCATCTCGAAAGGGTCGCGCGGTTCGTAACGTCGCTTGGCGTCCCTCGCATTTTCGGTGACTTGCAGCATCTCGGCCTCGTACGCCTGGCGGTTATATTCGGAGAGGAAGCTCGAGAACATCTGCGACGTATTCTCCCAGGTCGCGTGGGGGATAGTGAGGCGGTCTTTGAAGAGGTGGGTGATGCGCCGGACACCCTGCTCGGTCCTGGTCTTGGCAAGCAGCTCCATCTCGAGGGAAATCCAACGGTTCCAGAGCTCGTGGCTGTCGTTGAGACGATAGCGCACGGCCTCGTATCCCTCCTGCCAGAGGTTGAGGGCGGCATCGAGGGAGAATGTTTCGCGACCGATCATCTGGTCCTCCTGAGACCATCCGGCGTCGCTACCGGGCTGGCAGTCGGAGTGGAGCGACCAGAAGTATTCGCAGTATGCCATCCATACTTTGATGCAGCCGGGCTCGGCGGAAACGGCGCGGCGGAACTGTTCGATCACATTGACACGGGCCTCGAGATCGGTGGCCTCACGGAGCTGCTGGTCGATGTAGTCGACCCAGCTGTCTCCGCCAACCGGTGCCGGTCCCGTCATTGCGTTGGTCGATAGAGATTTCAGGCGGGAGGACCTGCGGGTTCGCAGAACGAATCATCTGATAAGCAGGGCAAAGTCACGTCGCAAGCCTTTGTTGAAGCTGTATTGATCTAGGGTTCTATCAAAACCAGAGACCGACGAGAGACACGTGGGCTTGCTGGTGGTGTTGCGTCCAAGCTGTCGGATGGGGGAAGATTGGGGGATTTTTTTTCGACGAGGGAGGGGGGGGGGGGGGGGGGGGGCGGGGGCTGCGGGGGCATAATTGTGGGGGCCAGCGCAATTTTGGTAAGTAAAAGCAAAAATTGGGGGCCCCAATCCGGACGACCCGAAGTGGCAAGGAGGG